AATATTTTTCAGTAAATGTTTTTAGTTTCCATTCAACCTTTTTCAGGCAAATAACGATATCGATGACCCTGTAACTGGAGTTATTGTTGACGGTGGCAAGTGCTTCAATTGTGACCGCTGCGAAGGATATGAAAATCACACATGGAGGTATGTAATACTGTTTCATTAAAATTTCTTATTTGAAACTTAATAATATTGCACAATCTGAATAAAAATATGACCATAATGCTTTATCTTATAATGATTCTTAGATTTTAGGAATATACCCTATTTACTTTCGCTCTCTTTTTATTGCTTAAGCTTGAAAATAATATAACGTTTGAGTCAGTGCGTTTGAAATGCTGGTTTTTTTATTTATTTAGAATTAGTACTTTTTGAGGAGACGAGTCTAAATTCCTGTTGTCTAGGACTATTATTACATCAATTTGTCTGAACCAATGAGAATATTCATCATTTGCACATGCGCATTAAGGCGAAAACTTATAGACGAAATTTACATCTCTTGGCGCTTCACAGCATTTAATCAAAACTGTTTTATATAGTTGCATCATAGAAACCAAATTTCACTCTTCACATGAATCCCTTTTCTCAAGTTTTCTTCGTCTTTTGATTCGATTCCCATTAGTGCCACGAGTGTTCCTACCACAGAATGTGACAGAATACAATTCGCGATGTGAAAACAATGTTGTCGATTTTAACTGCGCATGTACAAATGATGCAAAGTTTAAAATCCAACAGACTTGCTGACAAATGCTGCTTCGTCTTCTCAACAAGTATGTCAGGACTCGTGACTAGTTCGTGGCTTCCCGTTTTCCGAGCTACTTCTGGCCGGTCCGGACCAGCTTCCAAAAGGTGTGCTACCAAAAAATGCCTGGGGCAGGAAACTCAAAAATGTTTTAAGCTATTCTTACGAAATAGATTTAAAAGTGGAGAATCTGAGAGGCTCTGTGAAAACCTCTTGATAAATCCTATTTGCAACAAGAACTACAAATTCTCTTATATGCACAATTTTACATTGATTAGGCTCTTTTAAGCTTCAAGGGGGGGGGGGGAGGCCTCCCATTAAGGCCTGACAGGGGCATTGGCATAAGTCCACTATATGAATATGGACTTATGCCAATGGTTTATCGAATAAAACTAAGAAGACTATTGTATCTACATAAACTAATAAACATGAAAGAAACACCTTTAACAAAACAAGTATACCAAGAACAAAAGCACCTCAACCTAAGAAATCGTTGGTATTATGAAATAATGAATGACTTGATTGAACTAAATATACAATACTCAAAAATACAAATTTCAGATCTATCAAGGAAAGATTGAAAAAAATAGTAAAAAGCAAAATCATAAAGAGGATAGAGAAGCAAGTTAAGAACAGCGATAAAACAAAGATCATTAAGAAAGGCAATTCTGGAATAAAAGAATATATAAAACATAAAAAGGGACCAACCTTACTAAAATTGAAACTAAACATGACCGATTTAAAAGCTAATTACAAAGGAAAGTATGATAATATAAGTTGCAGAAAGTGTGGATTACATGAAGAAAACTTAGAACATTTATGGCAATGGTTCTAATCTTTATTATAGATAACGAACAAGGTTTTGTTTTTCCGAAAACAACAGCAGTCAGTTGTGAAGAAATTTGTCAAAAAAAGTCCAGGGGAGCACAAGAAAGTGGATGCTACCAAGGACATAATTTCGGTTTTTGTGCTACTATTTGAGGGTTACTGTCAAAAAATACTACCATTTGAGGGTATTTTTTTTAAAACTTTAGCGTTGACCCTGTTTGACCCTGACTGGATTTCCCTTTTAGGCTATATTGGGAGTACCCCCGGGTTTCACGCCATACAGCGATCACCATATTTTTTTCTTTCCTCTTTAGCGTAGGCTACATATGCAATACAATGTTTTACCGTATTTCTTCATTGCTTTTATTTTTATTTTTACTCTAGGCTACCCAAGCTATACAATCTATCATCGTAGCTTTTCGCTGTTTTCACATCCTTCATTGTACAACCTTTCATCGAGCCCCTTTTATTTTTCGCATTCTTTTTCTTTAACCAACCCTTGACCACATTCCCATAACTAGCTGCAATACACACCCTCTTTTAATCCAACTTTACTTCAATTAAACTACCTTGACGCTCTTTCGGATAATCCCTTTGTTTTTCCTCATCATTTTGAGTCGTGCATAGAAAATCACAAACCACAACCTTACTTGTTTCTTCATTTAAAAACAAGTAAGAACACCAAAGCCATTAGTCAACGGGATCTCTTTGTAAAGATCGAGCTAATTTGCTGCTCTTATCCCTCTCTTAGGCCGGTATCTTCTTTTCTCTTTCCTGAAAAGCTTGATCTAAACACCAGCTAGATTTGCTACAACACACGGTGAATAATACGTATTAGCAAGGTTGAGCCAGTTTTACGGCCTTCCTTGTGTCCGCCCTGCGTCATTAAGACAATCATTTTTCGACAGACAAAATTCAATCAGGAGCTTCCTGTTTGTATATCTTCAGTAGCTCGATTGTGTAACAAGCACTGTAATCTTAAATCTTAAAGTAATGAAAGAATATAAGTCAATCTAGATGGGAATCTCTCGAATAGAGAAGGCGCACATGTTGACATTTAAATTTTACTGCCAGTGAGACCACGCCCTATTGGCCTTGTTTCAGTGCTTTGTATCAGGTCAAATTTCCTTAGGAAATATTACCTACCCCTACCTAGTGCTTTTTAATCCGTTTTTTGACGAATTATGTAGACCATGTTTCGACAAAAGTGGGGGGGGGGGTAATTACCCTCCCCCATACCACCCCTTGACGCCGCCACTGACTTGAAATATCTTTACATATTTTTTGGAATATAGAAATGAGGGTGACAGTAGCTGGTTCAATTCTAAATTGAAAGTTCCGAAGATGTCTCCTTTTCAGTGTAAAAATGAATAGATATACCACAATTATGTTAACGAATACCGTTTCCATCACATATTTTGCTTGCAAAAGTGATAGGGGCTAAGTTTTTGTTGTTCATGTAAATGGGAAATCCATTGGAAATGGATTAAAAAGTCAATCCAATCCGTTTTCTACATATCGTGTTTTTTCGCCAGCTCTGATTTTATCACAAATTTTGTTGCAGATATATGGCTATTTTCTTTGTCCACTTTTATGTTGCCCCTTCATTTCATGATGTCAAATAGTTTGTTACTGTATATTGTGCACTGTCCGTTCATTTTATCACTGTCCGACGATTTTATTACTACATAATATGTAATTGCTGGTTGATCATCTTGCTGCTATCTGATACTTGTCAGAAAGCAGCTAAACAGCGTCGAAACAATCGAGACGAAAGTCTCTTTTTCCCTATTATTTTCTTCCAATCCTCAACAAAGTCCAACAGCTTTTCTCTTTTACGTTCCCTTACAAGTCTCAGTCCTTCGAAAGAATTACTATGCATTACGTCATCGCAAATTACAGTCTGGTTATTTTGCTGCTGTCCGACTATTTTGTTCCTTTGCTACAGCCATATAAACCAATTCGACTTACGGCCTCGTTTTGAAAAAATCTTCAAATTCTTTTATACAAAATTTTTAACCTCAGATTCGAATTAAGAGCAATGATTTTAGTCAACTTGGAAATTTTCATTATGGTATTGCTCACGATATTGATTTTATGACGACATAAAGATAAAAATTTTAGAAGAGATTTGACCGTAATTGCCGACTAGGGGGGTAAAGTTTCACCCGGAATGATTTTTGCGGTCAAATCCCTTGCAAGTTTTCAAACTGCATTTCTCCATAAAATCTAAATTACAAGCACAAACAAAATGAAAAATTGTATCCAGCCTAAATCTATTGTGATAAAACCAAATCTGAGCTTAAAAAAGTCGTATAGTTAAATTTGGAAAAAATTCCAAAACGAGGCCGTAAGTCGAATTGGTCTATTATCATTTGTGTCCGAAAATTTACACTGTACTCGAAAACTGTACGATGTCTTGAAAAGCCATTTAAAGTCTTCCTTTATAGAATGATAGCAATATTTATTATTTAATGTCACCAATATGCTTTCAGTTTTAAATCGCACTTTTCATTCAATTCAAATTTTTTATCTACTATTGAGTCTCATTTTTTATAAATGTTTGTTTAAGTTTATCGTCAAAAAACAAAGTGGACATGTCTTAAACAAACTGACGAGAAAATAATACATATGAACGCATGCTACTTTTATCAACACAAAGCGTTTAGAATTGAACTAAACAACTTATTTTCTTTCTCTTTTTAGCTAATTTTTGTGGAAAATAAGCCTAAATTACCCAATCTTGCATCAAAATTTCTCTCTATTTGAGCACTGAGCTCATGGCACTATATCGTTATGAAAGTGTGCAGTTTCTCCTTTATCGTATATTGTTTCTTGTCATTTAGTGTTGGATGGTTAAATATGCTGGGCAAAGTAAATTGACTTGATCAGCGCATAGATTAAATACGATTAAAAAACAGTTGCCTGCTTAAGATAACATATGCAGGATTATGCCAAAATTAATGTATAGTGTAGATATGGCGATAAGTGTTTTTTGAAGAAGCTCGTTTTCTTCTATCTTGTCACCAATCTCATATCTACACTCTTTCTTAAAGGACCATTAACTGGAAGTTCAGGCTGACTGTTCCTTTTTTCCGAAAATTTAACTCTCGATTCTTCTTAATTGTTCTTAAATTATTAGGGTGTAAGCAGTGTGCTCTAGAAAGGTTTTCAGGTCTCATTTGCCAACAAAGTGAATGACAAATCATTTATTCGCCAGCAGGTTTGAAAATTCACCGAAAAAGCCGGGGGACAATTCACTCTTGCAAATAGCGTACGAGATTTTCCCTAAAACAAAAGGATTTTCATAAAAGGGGTACGATATTTTCTTGGAGTGATTTTCCCCTCGGAAAAAGCAACGCTAGATGGCAGAAATCTCCTTTTTAGATGAATTTTTTAAAGGGGGCGGGGGGGGGGTACAACAATGTTCAAAGTCACACTATGATCGTTTTTGAAATAAAATGTTATTCAAAATTGCATTTTACAGTAGCTCAGCCTCAACTTTTGGCCAGATTTGTTCTTTACGTTTGGCAAGTTTTGAGGCTCATGTTTCTATACAATTGCCCTTATAAAGAAAGAGTGTACATTTAAGCCCGCAAACTTCGTGAAGGAGAAACACTTTATATTAACTCGCCCACTTCAAATTTTCATAGGGAGATGTCAGGCATCAAAAAAGGAAGCGAGGTTTTGCACTTAAGATTTCGGGTAAATAAAAAACCTAACATTTTGACCATGTTTTTACTTCGACCACAATGCTTCCTTGATTACGGATGACGTGTAAGATCCACGGAGCAATGTTATGATTCGGGTTCCTTTTCAGAATGTCGGAAATAAATATTGGTTGACCAATCAAGTTATTTTTTTAACTAGGATCAGTTGAAAAACATCCTAAAAAGTGAATCGGAGCCACAGAGTGGAAGGCTTTTTATTACTGCAATTTTCTCACGTGGGAAATCTACACGTCACCTGTTTCCTGGAGAAGATGACGTACCGGGCATGTTGTTGATGAGCACACCGTCGATCAGCATTGTTGTCCTGGGTTAGTCAACTGTTCGCCCATTGTGACTCGTTAATATTTGATGCCATTGTCAATTCATTGCACTGCAAATGCTTTGAAGTTAAATCTTTCTTAACAATCATTGAGTTTGGGCTTGCCGTACTAGATAGCTGAAATTTGTGAGCAACTTAGCTGGATTCTGAGATCACAAAGTTTCGTTGTTTAAAATGTCATCAAAGTAGGCATGCTTACAACTAATGAACGGATCGTGATGAACGGAGAGTTGAAGCGTACGCCGCCCAGAAAGCCGCCAAGGTATGATCGATTACATAAAGTAACTCTGTGTAGTATAATAACCTTTACAATATATTGGCTTTTCTCTTATCTGCTCGATTGTTCATTATTAAAAATTGCAACATTCCTCAAAGCTGACACAGACATTTGCTTCAGTCAACCATTATTTTTCATCAGTGTTGTTTATATCTTGCATTTATTTACTGTAGTTTCGAAATGATAGGATTAATCTCTGATGGTTATCAATTATAGTTCTCGTTTAATATCCATAAACAGTTTTATAATTATAATTCAAACAAAACCTTTTAGCTATGACCCATGCAGTTAAGATTTAACGGCCATGGGAACGGATTTTTGAATAATAATAAAATTTTAACTCTTCAATCTGAAAATTTTCTCAAATTTGACATAGCTATTTCCCCTTATTTATTCCCCAAATTTAACATGTTTCCCCTTATCGCCTGATTTTACTCTCCCCTTTGTTTTTTATCGAATATTATCAAATTATTGTCATCAATTTTTTAAGTTAAAACAAGCGAAGACGAAAGGAACTTTCTAAAAATCAACTCTTTTTTTCTGCTACCCAAAGGGCGTTTCCATTGTTTGTAAGATAAGGCGATAGGTTCCAGTGTTCACAATAATTTTTGATTTAGTATATCAAAATGTAGAATTGCACAGCGTGTTCTGCACCTGTTCAGAGGAAATTCTTACTAGCCCTTTCTTAACACAGTTCCCTGAAAAGGCGCATTAAGCGTTCACTACGTTCAAAATATGCTGGCAACTTTTATTTACAACATAGGTGCACTTCTTATGTTATGTAGTGTAGCAACTTCTGGAATCTGTGGTAAGATTCTCTTTTCTTGTAAATAAGAGCGTCTAAAGAGGTTCTGGCCTAGTGGACAATTACTAGTTGAATGAAGAGAGAAACTCTAAATTTTCCATTCAACTGAACTCGTCTCTGGGAAACCAGTCGAGTCTGCGCGTAGGCTAACAATTAAACAACCTTGAATGATATTGTAACCTTTTTCCTAAACGTAGCTTCTTTCTTACAATTACTGCTACTTTCTAATCGCTCAACTTGAGTAAGAATTCTTGTAATATATAATTATCGTTGTACCACGGCATCCTACAAACATTTACCAATTATCTTCTCTCATTGTGCACCCCCTTGCTAATTGTTAATTTAAGCCAACCTGCACCCTTGTACATCCTATGTAACGGCTGTCGTTTAAAAACCCACACGGACAGTTATATGTGACCGCGGTTTTTACCGGATTTTTCCAGGTAAGAATTTATCGGATGATAGGCAGGCCTTGGGGCTATAACGTTGGCTCAAAAAGCTATTGATACGATATCTACAGCAGAATTTCCAAATTCATTTCCGAAGCAGTCACTTCAAGATCCCGTCGTTGTCGGTCCCATTCATGAACGGAAATAAACGGAGACACACCCTGGAGACGATAAAAGCACGGCCTAGAAATCTTTTCGAGAGACACGTAAAGCGAATCTGAATTTCGCTTTACGTGATATATACAATCAGTAAATCTATCTCAAGGCACTGTTAGAAATTTTAGACGGTGCCATCTTCAAACAGGGATCACAAAAACTTTCTTAGGAAATTTTGGGGTTTCGAGGTACTAGGGAACATTTCAAAATTTTTTTAGGAATAGAAACAGAAGTGGTTTTTTAATTTTTTAGGGCCATGGAAACATGTTTCCTCCTGGGGGCCTCATTTTTTTGTTAAAAGTTTTAAAGTAGCAGAAAACCGTCCATGTTGAACTGGAGGTGATAAAGGTTTAAAAGCAAAATCAATTCAATGAAAGGCTTCGTTAGGGACTAGTCTCAACGAAGCCTTTCATCAAAGTCCTCCACCCAAGTCTTTTCATCACACAGAAAGATGACGAGTCTTAAGACTGTTGTTCGGTTAAGGAATCAGACGAATGAGTCATGAATAAATTAACAGTCGCATTTCGCAGAGAATTTCCAAGATCTGTTTAATTTTTAATGATAAGCGAAGCTCTCATGTTCATCAACTGTAGAAATTCCAAACCACTACTGATCAGTATTTCGTTTTATCACATACAAGAACCGCTTATCACTTGCTAAAGAACCGCTTTTGTAACCAAGTACAGAAATCACAAGCTAATTGCGCCACCTTATCTTGAGTTTTTCCTTGACAATTCAGTTCAGGGATAAAAGGCCCTCTGTAATCTGTCATGTTAAGTGGCCAACAACTTGCTTGCAAAAGTTCTTCAAGCTTGATAGGCCTAAAACAAGTTTTTATCGGTCAAGCAACGATATTTCGAGTGAGCGCTGATGTTTCTATTTCAAAAAACGTTTATTTCATTTCCACATCATCAGCAATCGTTTCTTTGATTTTAAAACGTACCACATGCTTGAAGTACATAATTTATTCTGTATAATGTTATTTACGCTGCAACCTTCAACCCCAAAGTCTTGTTTACATTCATCCGCAGCTATTTCCTTTGCTTTTTTCCCGTATTAGCTGTCATAAAAGCTGCCGGCTATTTCCTGCCTCATTTGACGGAAAGCACCATTTTGAAGAGACTCTTTGATTGGAAACTTGAAAGTCGAATAATGATTTCGGCAGAGCTTGTTTGCGGCAGAGAAACTTGTAAATTGCTTTCTCCACAGTATATTCTGAAAGGGTCTTTTGTAGACCCCCATTTGTAGACCACAAGAGGTGCCAGAAACGTGAGCAGCAATTTACATTTCTTATTATGCCCTTTTTTATAAGAACAATTTTGTAAGAACAAGAGCCTCAAAATTGGACAAAGTTTAACTACAAACAAGAGCCTCAAAATTAACTACAAACTGAGGCTGAGCTACTATAATATGCAATTTTGAACAACGTTTCATCTAAAAAACGATGATTTTTAGCCATGTGTCGGTGCTTTTTCGGTGGACATTCAAACTTGTCGGCAAATGAAGGTTGTCTCTTGTCTAATCAGGTCTGAACACCTCCCTCGAGCGACAAAGCTAGCAATTGCACTGCTTACACCCTATTAATTTAAAAACAAGTAAAGAGCATTCAGCCTCAGATTTTCGAAAAAATTTAGAACAGTCAGTCTGAACTTAAATTCACTGGTTCTTATAAAAAAAGGAGTGTATTGTAGTAACTTGTTTTATCGTCCATAATTCCACAGCTTAAAATCAGTGGAGCTTTGCTACCTGGCAGAACTCGAGGCAAAGTAAAATAGTAATTTAGGCCATCAATTTACAGGGGTGTGGTTTCTAAGACGAATGGAAATCCTACAGAGTTATTAATTTAAGAACCCCAAACTTCATGGAATTTTCATTAAAGACCTAAAACCGGAAAGTAAATCCTATTTCATGATTCTAATCATAATAGGTTTTTGTCGTAATTATGATAAAATGTTTTGTAGGAAGCTAAACATCTCAGGCAGAGTTCACGACCCTCGTCTCCTTCTTTTATCCAAATTATCTGTCCGTATAAAAGGATCAAAATGCAAAGCCCAAACACTTTTATATCTTCGCAAAAATCCATAGCCATTTCTAAGGTAAATCAGCATAGGGGGCCAAGCGTTTCTTTATATTAAGAGAAGGATAATAACCGATTGCTTTAAACAATGGCTAGAGGGGCAATTACCCCCCCTCCCCTCCACCCCCTAGTTACTATATTGAAAAAGACTCTGCAAATATCAGTGTGTTTACTCTTCTTTTATTTCTTGTTGAAGTTATTCATTACTTCGATCTCTGAATCCTGATTCTACTAAATCGTTTTTTAGAGTTTTGCAAAGAAAATTTTAACCTATGTTTCCAATGAAACCTTCTTCAACTCAGCTTTGTACCCCACCTTCATTCTGTTGATTCTTCCACAATCTTGTTGCATATTTCTAAAAGTATCTTTTGTGCGCGCCTTGATCCTATTTCACGGTTTGAACAACAAGCAGCAGACAATAGCATAAGATATCATTATTGCTCGTTCGTAGTTATCACTCCAAGAAGGTTGAGGATAACCTGTCTTCTGTCATGTGAAAATATCGCTTGAATAGCTGATGAGCCAATGCATGGAGCCATTGTAAGGAATTAGCATTGTTTGTAGAAGGATAAAAACAATAAAGCATGTTTCAGCCTTCTAACCGATGTTTTTCCACAAGATTCAAATTTCCTGTCGAACTGTTTCAACCTGCTGTTTTTATTTATGCAAGTATCTTTTTATAATTTCAGGCGAGTTTGCAACAACTGCAAATGCACGAAGGAGGATCACGAGATTGGACAAGGAATGGACGAGAAAATGAACCAGTTGAACATAACTGATAGAAATGAAAATGAAGACTTGATGAATGAGAAAATCCTTAGTCAATACGCTTGGGTACCGCCTGGCTTGGATGCTGCTCTGGTATGTTTTAGATGTTTCTTTCCCCAACTTATCTTCATTTAGGCCGGTTTATGAGCTCCGACGTTTGTTACGCCTATGATAGTCTACGAAGTTTGTTACGCCTATGAGAGTCTACGAAGTTTGTTACGCCTATGAGAGTCTACGAAGTTTGTTACGCCTATGAGAGTCTACGAAGTTTGTTACGCCTATGAGAGTCTACGAAGTTTGTTACGCCTATGAGAGTCTACGAAGTTTGTTACGCCTATGAGAGTCTACGAAGTTTGTTACGCCTATGAGAGTCTACGAAGTTTGTTACGCCTATGAGAGTCTACGAAGTTTGTTACGCCTATGAGAGTCTACGAAGTTTGTTACGCCTATAATAGTCTACGAAGTTTGTTACGCCTATGAGAGTCCACGTTTTTGTGTTAAAGCATTTTTTTATTGGAGGCAGTTATTAAGACGGTAGAATAGGGTACGAACAAGTTCAGTTCGAAAGATAAACGAGATAACAAAAGGGTTGTTAAAGGGGCAGTGGGGTTTCCCTTGAAATAGAACATTGGAACCAGGGAGTGCGGAATATAATATGAATTGGGTTTTGAATTTTTCTAAAAAGGATGCATGATGATCCATTGCTTGGTTTTCACTGATAAATTGTGGGTGGGGCTCGGCCCCCATTTCTGTGATATTTTGCTGTAAGGGGGGAGTTTACGCTAGTAATGCCATGACTGACGTTGCCTTCAAAACCATGACCTGCAGTAGTGGGATCAAAAGAAAAATCAAATGTAATTTCATCTTCCTACTGAATACTTACGTATCTGATAATCTTATTATTCTTGATTTTGTGCTCTAGCCGTGCAATACCAAGGCTGCTCGCAAGCCGTGGTTATGTAAAATGGTTAATGCCACCTTTTTCACAGATCCAAAAGTCAACCAAGTATCTTTTTACACTAAATCTTTTACACTAGCTTTTTCGCTCTAAGGAGGTGTTCAGGTTTCATTTGCCAACAAAGTGAGTGAGACAGCCTTAATTTGCTGAGAAGTTTAAATATTCACCGAAAAAGCACCCACACATCGCTAAAAATCCTCGATTTTGACAAAAAACGTTGTTGAAAATTGCATTTTGCAGAAGCTCAGCCTCAGCTTGTTCTTAATTTGTTCTTAACTTTTGATCAATTTTGAGGCTCGTGTTCGTATAAAATTGTTTTATTAAAAAGAGTGTAACATCCGTAGAAAGAGACTACTGGGCTGTGAGAGAGATTCGCCGAATCTTATAGAGATAAATGCTGGGATTGTACAAAGATCGGTGCAAGGGAATGAAAAATGCCATTATAGTAAGAACAAATATAAAAAAGCTAGGTTATATATAAAATATTTCGTTAAGTATATATTTTACATGTCAGCAGTTGCCTTCTTTGATCCTGCTCCCGAACAAAGATTAAGGGTAACTATTATACTAAATTCAGAGCTGATAGAATAGTATAAGTTCTTGTTGGTCTATTCACAAAACAGTTACCCAGGAAACTTAAAGGCTTCCGATTCCTGTTTGTGGCCATTCTACAGTGATTCAAAAACGATGATTGAGGTTTCTTCATAAAAAGCTGATCGTCAAAAACCAGTTGCTTCCTGATAAGTAATTTGAAAGTCATTGTGGGCAGTTTATGTTTATATAACAGCCAGTTCACCGTTATGCGAATGTAAGGTCCAAAGTCAGGCTAAGTGCCCAGCTGGTTTCTCTTTAGAGGTACTTTCGAGAAATTTCTTTAGGCTATGAGCCAATATTACTAGTAACGATCGAGCCTTGCTTTCTTTAATACTTCTATTGGATGTATTGCGAAAACTTGGGTGCTGTGAGGCCTTAACTCCCAAGTAATCCACCAAAGTACTTTTTATCATCCGCTGAATATTTTGCACTTCACTTTTAACATATTGGGAACATTTTAGGTCCTCCCAAGTCCAATCCAAATTATGCTCACCATTTCGGTCTTCCATGCAACAACTGGATAAAGAATTGAGATCTTACATTGTCTTATCAAAGTAACATCAATTTGATAACATTGAAACCAAACATGGTTGGATTGTTGTATTCCCATAGCTTATTACTTCAGCTAATCCACTGCATATAACGTTATTTGGCCAGGAAAGTCCCTATAAAAAACTACCAATTGGTACATGTCACAGAAGAGCGGTTGTTTTTTTGCAAATCAAAACAGTTTTTTGCAAAATAACTGAAATGTATACGAAATAGAGGATGTGTGAGGTCAAGATACTCTTCAATTGCAAATTGATGTGGTCAAATATACTCAAATTTAGATAGCCCATCATTCTATAAGTGCTTCGTACCTTTCCGTTTATTCACAAAATAACCTCTTTGAAACCGCACAACTGCAACACATTAATAAAACCCCCACCACTGGCGCCTGAAGAAGTGTATGTTTAGCAGTCAACTCTTGCACATTGCATATAGTTACAAACTCCTACAAGCGTCAGTGGTATGGCTTTTATCAATTTGGTGCGGTTGATTTACTTTAGTTATAGCTGATATGCATATTATGGTACAAGCCCCCAGGCCCAGCCACAGGGAGATCAAAAGAGATCTTTTCCTTTTTGCCCCAGGCTTCAAGTTCCACCACCTAATCATACATTACTAAACCGAAAATGATTGGCTAATCAAACACAATAACCGTCATATGCAACTTTTTGCGGCTGACCCCCGTTCTATATCTGTCTATTTTCTTCGCAATTCCTTTAACGTCTAAGTTCTGAATCGAGGGGCAATTCACTTATGCAAATATCATACGAGATTTTGTCTAAAACAAAAGGATTTCTAGGGATTTTCAGATGAAACTATAGGATTTTCCTCAAAAGGTGTACGAGATTTTCTTAAAGTAATTTGCCCCTCGTTCTGAATAGTGTAAGGTGAGGAAGTGCTACGTGTAAAAACTGATTAAAAGTTGTAAGCAATTTTCTAATAATAATAAGCAGTATGCACAGGTTTCAATCTAAGTCCATTTTCCTTGGAGCAAAATCTGCAAAATCCCTGACAAGTATTTCAGAATCCAGGTTTTGTATGGATTTAAGCGCTTTAGCATTTCAATTTCTATTTCATCGGGAATTTCTAGAGAACGTGAAAGACTTTTCTATATAAACTCTTAAAGGAAGGGAAAATGTATACTATTCAGTAGAGACGAGAAAATTTTTGCGACCACACCCTTTAGATTAGCTAAAAATTTCAGAATTGTTCTTACAGTCATTTGCTTGCAGTCTTTATTTTGTCTAAGATATTAGCTTCCCCCCCCCCCCTCTGAGGTACTAATTTTATTGCAGATTGTGCAAAATCCTCGCTACGCTACTGCTCCAGACCCATTTCTTGAAAATAGAGGTTTGGACACTGTTAAGAAGCATGTTCAATCGCCATATTAATCGGCAATATAATTTAGGCCTATATATAACACTCCATTGTAAAGAAAATCTTTCGAAATACATTTCTAATGTAATATCAATTTGCAGAAAAAGCGAGTAGATTCTAACTCAACTTGCAAGCAAAATTATAAAGTAAATTATAATAGAAAACCAAATTTTCGAGCTTATGATAACCATTGTGAGTTCTTGGTTATATAGAGTCACAGAAGAAACCAAAGTCAACTATATAGAATCTTAGAAAACAAAATTGTGTTTGTGGAGCGTCATTTCATAGCAATGTAGTATATAATTTTTTAAAAAACTTTAATTTCGTCTTATTTCGAGCTATGCCGATTAGACGGACGAAAATGATGACGAAGGTATAACTAGCATTTGCACAGCAGCTTGAATGTTAAATTGTCTCCAATTTAGTTGTCGGTCTGTTTTGTTTGACCATACAACTGTAATTTTAAATTCAAAACTGGTGACATGATTCATTTTTTGTTCTGAATTTTTAATGTTCTCCGATTTAAGAAGTTAAACATCCTCTTGCTGTGATTTATCAATTTCGTGCTTCGTTTATGTGTGACACAGAATCGATATAGCGGTTATGAAGTTTTGTAAAAATTACATTTCCTCTACACAGAATGTCTTTCTATACCTATAATTTCTATATCCCAATAGGCCTTTGTTTAATTTGAGTGCTATCTTTATTATGTTTTTTGTGTTTTATCTTTTGAACTTTGGTTTGTTATTTTCTGCAAAAGTTTTCCTGAATGTTTTGTTCATTAAAGTAAAATTTTAGAACTGCACAGACTTTTCTTTAGAACTGCACAAAAAACTTTGAGAACTGCACATTTTGTGTAGAACTGCACGTTAAAAAAACACTGCAACAAACAGTATCGAGTGCCACGCCCAGTGCTGGACTCGCTGTTTTTCCGTATTTAGTTTCATTAACAGTCGGCTTTAGAAAAAGAAGGATCGGGTTTTCGGGCTCTGTAACATGCCATCATAAAGTCATTCTTTTTTTAATAGGAAGATTTTATGTTTGTACCGTTTTCGACTTATTTCCTGTATTACACTCCTTTTTGTGTAAGAATGCACTTTTATCAGAACACCGAGGCTCGATTTGCTGAAATTGTATAAACAACATAAGGAGCATGACCAGCATTTAAAACTCCTTTTAAAATTGAAAACTGAATAACTGTTTTTTTATATTCTCATAAAATTTTTTAAAATACAAACAAACTACAAGACGGTGCCTCAGAGAGCATTGAAATACATAGCAACTCTGTGACCATTAAATTAAACATATTTACATCAAATTGGAATTACATTAAATGTTACATGTTACAGATTTCTGATAAGAAATAACACATACAAAGATCAAATTACACAAAAAAATTACATTGACAAAATAAAACAAAAATAATGACAAATTACATAGGAGAGAAGATTTCTAAAACTTATTGGAAACTTCCAGAGGTCTGAATATAATTTAATGTTGCCTCGAGAATTTTTGTATTGAATTCAAAGATAAATTTTGTGGCTATAAAACAATATGTGCAGTAAAACTTGGTTTTCTCTCTCATGAAATGAAATGGAAATTTTCTATCGTGTTAACACTATGAGATTTTATCAGCAAATTAACCTTGCTATAACAATGTCTTAGAAACCAATGGTCTTAGAAAAAATTAATAGTATCTACAATCGCGGACAAAAATAGCTTCAAGGAAGGCTTATATTTTCACTCTCCTTTTGAAAATAACTCTCCCCCTCCCCCAATTCAATGTTGAATGCATGATTTGAAGGAGAAATGATAGAACTACAAATCCAATGTTGATTCGGCAAAGGGGGGATTCGAATTTGAAGGGGCAAGGTAAAGTAGAAAATTACAAAAATTGCATTTTGTCTCAACATTTTTGTCCGGGATTGTAGATGTAGAAAAATTATGGTTGACAAAAAACAGCATCATGTCTCATCGAGTCTCAAATTATCAAACAAATAAGAGCGTTAAGCTTTTGCATTAAATTATCTGGTGCTTATATAAAACAGTGGCAAGTCTTGGAACTGCCTTTTAAGTATAAAAATATCCTCAAGTTGCTCAAAATTAAACGTAACCTTAACTTTTTTTAAAGTTATTTCGTATCTTTTTCCTTTATCAAGCAGATGGTGTTGATTTAATCATAAAAATAATTTGAAATTTCTCAATGTCAAAGAATCGAGATATAATTCCAATCATTTACAAATGAATGACTATGAGAGACCTCCCCAAGCCGTTTGAAGTGCTTATTTTCATTCTAGACAGACATCAATTAATAATGTAACATAACCAATATCTGCATGTATTGTTAATATCCAAAACTAATCTCAAGTTTAGGTGTACTCTAACAAGAGAAATTCTTTCTGTGGTCTTTAGAATTACCATATTGCCAGACCTTTTCAACAGCACGTGGCTTGAAAGATAATGTCTCTATTGTTGGGGAATCTTATAGAGGTTTGTTGCAATAAAAAGCTCTTTTGCAGCTAAATCTTCCAATTCCATGATCGGCTTATGAATTCTATCGTTCCTGATTTTTATTAAATGAACGCTGTTCTACCCTAGAGGCTTAGGTTTGTTTTACTTGTTATGCTAAGCCCTAATTTACCACGACGGGCTTTGACCTAGGACTTTAAAATCTCTTTAGTACCACCCTGTCTGCATCGTACTAAAGCAGCATTACTTCTTAAGTGAAGGGTTGGCTAAACCCCGGGGGTATAAGAATTGATGGATACTTGAAATGTCCAGAGAAGGCAAATTGAGCTTACAAATGCAATTATGTATCTTTCTAGCCCCTATTGATGACTCGATTTTTCTATGAGCGAATTACAAAGAATTTTTGCCAAGATTTGCAATGATAATGTCTCATCTTTTGAAGCATCCCTTCAATCAGAAGATTCTATTAAACTAGTGATGTAAGATATCACTTGTGATCTTTCTCGTCTTAAAATATCAACATCCCTGCTATCTGTCGTAATGCAAATTACGTTCACAGACATGAATTTTATATTAATTTCGGAAAGCATCAGCGTCGAACTCATTATATTTGGAAAGAAAATACAGTCGATGCATGCCTGTGTATTTTGTCTTCCGCAAGTAATGTCAATGAGAGGCGCTAGAGCAAGAAGGAAATAAGGACTGTGTACTTGAAGTACCCTTTCACATTAGAATGTGTACATTGGACTATTTTATAGCAACTATATTTTGTTTTATACTGTTCCTTTCTCTTTGACAGGTATTCCTTAAACTTGCATCGGAATATTCTTTCTATCGATGTACTTTTTGAGCTCAAAATGCTTCTTAGCGAGGGCCAACTTTTTAAAGTATGCCCTTTTCCACTCTATTAATTACACCCCCCCCCCCCCCCTTATGCTTATTTAAAATGCGATCCTCCTAAACCTTTTTTACAACAATTTGAAGCTATTTCTAACGTTCTTGTCGCTTATCATAATGTTTTCCCTTTTGGTCTAGGTGGAGTCTTACATGAGCTCGTTGCCCGACAACCAAGTGCCAAAATACGAGAATACAGAGGCTATGAAGTACAGAAATAAGCAGTTATTGTTGCAGTTTCCAGTGCAAGATTCCAGCTTTGATCGTTGCAACCATATTCCTCAAGCGGCCAAACACGTGTTTGATCAGTTTACCAAAGCTAAAGAGGCTGATATTGGAACAGGTCACGTGGAGAAGGCTTTCAGAGTCAAGGTACCGTTGTTGTTTCTTTTTGGCAAAAATCTAGCAAAATAAAAATTGTGTTTTTAAGTATGATGATTAAGTGAGTTACGTTTGTAGAATTATCGAATTTTGTTTGTTGTTCAACAAGCATAATGATAATCAGGATCACTTTATTTCGATTTATAAAACTGAATTAATAATTCAAATATTTATAAGTTTAGTAAAGTATCGTGAATTCTTCTTAAGATTACACTAAGCTTGTTACGTATAATTGAAGAAGTGATTGTAAGTTAGCCGTCATTGACCAAAGCTGCTGAAAAAACGAAATTATCACAGATATTTGAAAATCAAGTCCAGTTTCCTACATGCTAACTCGTGATAGAATCTACTAACCAAATGAAATCTACAAACTAAACTCAAAGATACTGTTTATCAGAATCCAGAAAACCCTAGAGCAAAGGGAGTCTCAGGCGGTAGAAATTTAACGCTTCCTAGTATTTCTTTGAGATGTGATACGATACCAGGCTCTAGTTTCTCTATTTATCTACCAACAAATTCAGCGTGTATCTCAAAGGCCCCATTAACATCAGTTTTTTGGCAGCATTCTCCTGATTAGGTTTTTGCAAATCACTTATAAGCTAAGGAACGAAAAACAGTAAATTTTCAGTCTGATAACATTCTTCTTTCCAATGCTATTTTCAGTTCTCTAGTAGATGCCTTACCCAGATTCATCTGCAAAATTATGTTTTGATTGACGACATGCCCAGTTTTGGCTACGTGCTATCTGTGGAAGTAACCGGAAATTGAAGCATTGTTTCTTTATGCGGAATGGCATTGAGTAGTTTAGCTTCAATTCTTCTTGACTGCCTTCGAGAAAGTAGTATTTACTGTTGCAATAGCCCAAGAACTTATGGACACTCTTTCTCTTTCAGGAGTGCCAAAAGTGCCACCAGAACATCGAAATCGGCAGTGCATACGTTTTGGCATTTTCTTTAGGAGAAGAGGCATCATGGCACCCAGCATGCTTTCAGTGCAGTAAATGCAACGAGCTGCTCATGAATTTGATTTTCTTTCATTCTGATGATGACATATTTTGTGGTAGACATTATGCTGAGATCAGTAAACCCAGATGTGATGCCTGCGATGAGGTTCGTATCATCTCATTTGCTCTGAGATTTTTTTTGTTCTGATATTGTTCTCTCTTGTTTAAGTTAGTGAATTTTGTTATTCACTTTTTATGACCTAGAAGCTGATCGTCATGTTTACTTACAAATTTATTTATAAATAAGCTTCGCTTATTCCTCTCAGGCCTTGTGTCCAGCTGTTTTTGCCCATGGAAAATTTGCCAATTCTCACTAAAAGATAAAAGCGTTTTTGTTACATAGCAAATAACAGGTTCTTTTTAAAGAAAAGCTAGTAAAGTGAATAAATTTGAAACTGACAGATTTGATTCACTTTTTTATGCTGTTATAAGTCCGATAGTTCAATTGCCGAATTTGACTATTTCAATAAAAAGCTTTCTCCCATGGTATACTGAGGTCGAGAGAAAGGGGGAAGTTAAAAAAATGGGAATGTGGGGGGTCGTGACCAAGATTTTATAAAAGAGGAAAGGGTTTAAGAGACGTGGAGTCGACCTTCAAAAATTGAAAATGCATTTCTAGAAAGGCATCATCTCCGAAGTGATGCATAGATCATCGTAATGTTTTGACGCACGTTTGGCCTTTGCAATTATTTTGAGTTATATATTTCGTCTGTGGCAGAAAATTCCTTATAATGAAACATCATCCTCATGTTGCCATGATGCATATTAGGGTCGGGAAGCAAGCCTTATTTCTTCTTATTCTTGCTTGCCTGTCCATTACTTTATTGCCTGTCCATTGCCTGCCTGCCCATACTACTCCCAATTTTAGATCAAATGAAATGAATTGCATATTAACAGCCGTTATTTTGTTGGTTCACAGGTGATTCTTTTTGGTGAATACGTCAAAGCTTCGGAAAATGCGTACCACGTTCAGCATTTCTGTTGCTGGATTTGTGACAAAGAATTGAGTGGTAAACAGCACCTAATCGAGGCTCAACAACCCATCTGCATTGATTGCTACAACAACAAATTCGCAAACACGTGCTACAAATGCAACAAGCGTATCTCAATGGATGACAAGGACATACTGTATGAGAACCACCACTGGCATGATACATGTTTAAAGTGCGTTGTCTGCAATGAAACCCTGAGCGGTAGATCGTTCCTTACGAGGGAAAATGAAGAATTTATTTGTACGGACTGTCATAGAAAAACTGATGAGAGACGATGCAAAACATGCGGAGAAGGCTTTGAGCCTGGAATGAAAAGGTAATTTTTTAAATGCCCCATTGCTTTTTAACTGTTTTGATTTCCATCATTTAAACCTTTAATCGTATAAATACCTTTAAACAGCATTCTTTCAGCTTGTTTGGTCAAATTTTCTGAAAGTAGTTTTTGTTTACTCCATTTCTTTCTTTACCACTTTTACCATTATTTTTCTAATGATATCAAAAGTTCAAATATGCTTACAAATTATGTAAGCAATCTAGATTTGATTTTGTTAGAAACAGCAAATGGCAATTTCCAGGAGGATACTACGGGAGCATAGTCTAATACATAATTTTTATAGTCACAGAAACTGTTTGCTAATAAAGCAAAAATGAATGTTCTTCTTGGTTCCCCTGCTGAACTACAATCTTTGAAGTTAAAGAACAATTTAAAATTAGAGTTTAAAGTACATATTGTAGCCCGGATGAACATAGTGTGAAATAGCGTTCTTTGGTGAATTGCGTAGCACTTTCTAAAATACAACCTCGATGGGGGCGGTTAACCCATTAATGGTACGGGGCTTGGCCTTTTGCAAGATGATGTTTTCGCCTAGGAATTCTGGCATAGGGTTTTAACCTTGCTTTCATTTGGACGATATGAATTAGTGACATCAAATACAAAAGATGTCTTACCAATTTTAACTTCTCCGGCACTGGTATCAGACAACTTTAGGTACGGCGCAACCCCCTCCACACCCCTTAAAAGTGTTGGTACATTCCTCCCCAAGCATCGAAGTCATTGCTACAATTGAAATCCCTGTTACAACCTCACTTTTTGGAATTTACCGTTGCACTTGATTTTTGTTACTTTTCTGTAATTTTTTATATATTTTGTTGTTCATAATCTTTTTGTACATTTTCATCACCTCAGATTGGAGCTAAATGGAATTTACTGGCACGATACGTGTTTCATTTGCGAGCTGTGTAAAGAACCAATAAGCTCAAAGCGTTTCATGCGACATCAAGACTTGACTGTTTGCGTCAGATGCTACGAAGATACGTTCGTTAAGAAATGTGTCACGTGCAACTTGCCTCTGACGCAAGGCGGTATAAGCTACAATGGCGAGGCCTATCATAAAGAATGTTTTGTCTGTGTAAAATGCAATGCTTCCATTGCCAGTCAATCGTTTTCAGTCAAAGACGATGATAGATTTTGCGTACAGTGTTATAGTAACTTATTCGCGAAGAAATGCAAGGCCTGTTCAGATTATATATTATCTGGCGAGTATTACACTCTTGATGATGATACCTGGCACAAGGATTGTTTTCGATGCACCAAATGCGGAGAGGCACTCGCAAACTCATCTTTTGTCCAAGAAGGTGACGAGGTCCTTCTTGTCTGCGAGAAATGCATTGAATCAGATTGAGAGAGCTTACGCTAAAGCTAATTGCGAACAGGCTTGGTACGTTAGTGCACGGAACAACTGGCGAACTAGACTGTGGAACTACGCTCATTTCCTAATAAGAACAAATATGATCGGATACGTGAATTGTAGTGAATAAACTACCCATTTGTAGCTGCGTAGAATGTTCGGTGGAAAGGATAGAGGCTTCCAGCGAGAGTTTCGTGGATGACATGCTACAGGTTATCTTTTCTAAGAACAGAACTCTGTCATAGTTTGCTTGAAAATTTGTAGGTTTGTTGTTGCTTTATTTAATTTTTATATGTGTTATTGTCTAAACCGATATACCTTTTAGTTTCCTTATAGAACAAGTGATATCGCTTTTAAAATTGAAATTTGTGTTGCACACAAGCATGGTAGTTGATAAACACAATTTGCGCTCACTAAAAGTAGGCCAAAAAGGAACGCTCTTATTTGTCAGAGTAGCTGTTATAGGACCACAATATGATTTTATAGGTCCGTAATAAAAACATTTTAAATGTTGATCTTTTTCTCTTGATTGTAGATATCATCAATTTTTTATATTCTGAGCTCTTGTCTAAGAGCCAGGCGAAGGTTTAAGCTTGTATTTGCCATTGCTTTGAAGTATTCGATTCATATTGAAAGAATATTTTTGACTTGAGAAAACGCAAGCTAGAAATGATCTTTTTGGTGATTCGTGTATTTAGCTGACAGAAGTCTTTTTACATCGAGGTTTTACTCGTTAGCCTAAATGTTATATTTATGTATGAGATTCTGTAGTTAACGAGCAAATACTCTTTCTGTGGTGTAATCCTAGTTGATTAAACTCTACTACGGTAAAAGTACCCTGAACTCCCCATTTTTGCAATTGAGTTCTAGATGTAAGCGACAATCTAGCTCTGGATAATACTAGAAGCTTCGAAGAGCACAAAAAAGTCTAACAACGGTCTTTTGAATCAGTGGCTCATTGTATATGGATAACAATACCTTCAAATGTACAGTTTTGGCAATAGACATGGAAGGTTAGGCTCGATGAATGGCTCTACAGGATCAGCAGCCTCTACCGTGTTCTCTGATAATAACAATACCTTTAAATGCATGAATTTTGCAATAACCATAATGACAAAGAAGGGTCTAACTAAAGCTTACAATCATTTAAAACCAGTACAGTAGAGCCTTCCTTTGACGGGCACAACGTGAACCTGTGTAACTGTCCATTGTCCACAAGTGTCTGCTGATTAAAGGTAAAGAGGTGCCCTTTGTATAGAGATGTCAGTTAATAGAGGTCCCCTCGTAGCTAGTTTTATTTTTGGGAACAATTGCAGACAAATAGAGATGGGAAAGAATCTCCCAGTAGATAAAGTTCTCTAAAAAATCACCAGCAGGTTCGAACGATTTCGGATTTCACGCCTTGGGCAATGTACATAAGAAAACATAAACATCCTTGCTCCATCAATCAGGATACTAAATTTTTCGTTTACCCCTCCCAAAAACTTTTAGCCCCTTCAGTCCGTTATATGCTCCGCGCTTTTTGCAGTTTAGTTTAATTTCTCCAGATTTTTCTTATTTGACACTGGATCATCAATCCAAAAACCACTGAGGCGAAGAAAATATTAACAAGTGAAGTTCGTTTCCTTATAATTAAGAAAGATTTTTGGCTGCAGATGACTGAAGTTAACTTGCAGTATGAGGATTCAACTTGAGATGAGAAAATAGAACTGTGGTTTCATCGAACTTCCTCACAAATTTTGGACAGAGAAAACTTGTTACCCACGTTTCGATTTTTTCATTGTCCTAACGATTCCGCAATTGTATTGGAATATACATGCAGTCAACAAAGCTATCGAGAAGTTAAAGAATTTCAATGTAATCCTTGAATTTTAAAGGGTGTTTTACCCACATTGTTGAAACTTTATGTCAGATTCTTCTTGAAAGGCTCTCCCAGACGATTACCTGCAAGGCTTTTTGTTGATTCGCCCTAAATGTCTATGATCAAGTTATCAAACTTTCTCAAAGCAGGACTCCAAACAGTTAAGTACTTGATTGTTCTAAGCCAATCAAATTACCGAACAGCTAGAGTCGTGCAATCCATTAACTAGCTGTTCGTGCAGGCCTAAGCAATCTACGTGGAACACAGTCTACGTGGACAGGTTGCTGTGTTTTTAAATTTGAAAGTGAGTATCTGCACTGCTTTTTCTGAAGTTTAGAGTAGACACTTGTTTTTGTAAACTGTTATCCAATAAAAGAATGTCATTAAAGACTCATTGCTAACAATGAGCCTTTGCGAGCGTGACAAATTGTCCTGGTGACGACCCAAACAATGGCAGTAAACTTCTACGGATTAACCAGAATTGATTTCAGACTGTCTGAAAATGCATTATGGGATGCTTGCGTAGCGCAATGGCTCATTGTTAGCAATGAGTCTTTAAGATAGAATCATTTCTAAATGGATAGCAGCCTTTGCTTTGTAAGAAAGGTTTTTACCATCAGTAGGTTCCACCAGATGCAGGGCACGTTCATGTAAATGAGAAATCAAAATAATCCCGAGTACGATCCCTGAGGTACCCCATTATCAATCTCATAACACAATTTCTCCTACTAGATTTTGTAGCTAGAGAGGTACGTTAGAGCACTTGTAAACAGAATAATTCACCTGTATATAAATTAAAATATGACGGACAGAGTTATTCATCTGCACAAGATGCTTATCCATCGTTGAAAAAAGAACTTCTTTACATCTTTGTCCATGCAACTCTTGTGAGGATTTGTATAAGTGAAGTATTTGTTGTTTTAATTATAAGTTTTTCTCATGTCAAGGGAAATTGGACATATCTCCATGCATGACAGGTTGCCCCATAGACGTTGTAGAAAAGAATAAATTTGATTTATATTGTGACCTACGTAGATTTCCTTGCAGTAACTGTAGTACACCACCTGCGCACAAATGCGCAACAACGGAATCATAAGAGCTTTTTGTGGGGAACAGCGCTTTGATGTCTCCTTAGCTATCTGAAATATACCAAGCGACCTCTGACTTGGTAGAAATTCCTAAGACACTTCATTTAGTCAAAAGTGAAGATAATGTGCCGCTAATTAATACTCATTTATCGTGTTGAGCAGTCATGGGTAGGCTGGTGTGAATTTCGTTTGATTTTTTTTCTTCGATCGAGTCGGGATATCTTTTAAACATATCATAGGAGAATATTTTTGGACACAGCACTCTTTCATGAAGTCAACGACGTTTGAAATCCCATTAAGGTGTTCTCATAAATTATGTACCCTTCAAAAAAGTACTTTTTCCACCTTTCGACAGTAGCTGTGGAGGAGCTGGTGAGTAGCGGAACAACAACATTTCTCACATCAGATTCCCCATTTCCAAAGATGGACTCCGAAGTGAGTAGTGGAATAAGTGAGGACGATGAAAATGAACCTCTGTCAAATAACCTAGGAAAGTCACTGAATCTCCCATCTACCTCATTGGAAGCAAGTTTTAAACAGCAAAGAAAGGCGCTGCGAGTGGTTTCTGTCTTTCCTAGGAACGAAGCATCTTTCAAGGCAGTTTTGGATCTGGTCTCAGTATGCAAGTCAATCGAAGCACAACTTGAGCAAATTTCCTTTCATCGACTGGATTTTGGTGAACTGTCAGCACTTGATCAGTTTTATACGGCCGATATTGTTATTGTCGACGCCTCGCAAGTGAAAGAGCAGGCAACTCTATTTTATCATTTGGGAATAAGAGAAAGTTTTGGAATGAAAGACAATGTTGTTGTTGTGAATGACGAAGATCACGCCAAAACATCTTCGATACAGGTTGATAAACTATTTTAATAATCAATCAAAATCTCAGGTTATTACCAGATAATATTCCGAAAGCAGTTACACATTATTCAATGGTATTTGGCCATTATCAATCTTTTTATTACATTCGCTCAGACCGGGAACCTAGCAGCATAATTTTTCTCCATGGGATTTGTGGTGGATATAAATTTATCTATAGCACAAACTCGTATTGTAGTTTTATTTTGTAACAACAAAGGAGGTCTTTTCTCATTAAAACAGCGAATGTATATAAACTTGTAAATAAATGATATGTTTTGAGTTAAATTTTATTTGAAAATTTTTTGTTTTTATAAAGTTGGCTTTATAAAAACAAATCAAACAAATTCAGGAATCAAAATACTCTAGGCAAATACTATGTTCCTCTCTGACTTTAAAGCAAAAAATTATTTTTTTGCGCCAGGAAAGAGATGTGACTGTTCTTTGTAAAGCACCAAACTCAGATTACTTTCTTGGAAATAAATAATTTTGAATTAGGCCTTCTTGAAACCCCTTGTTAATACTGACGAACCCTTTGATACTGCATCCTGTATATCAATCCTAATATCATTTTTAGATTTCAAGCTCAAACTACAATTTTTTGGCTTACGTTTTGAACACCCAAGGTCGATGTTTTGTTACCCGTAATGGTCATCGTAGCGTAAAGGAGATGAAGACATGCAAGCCTTTGGTGATGATGTTCAGGAAACTTTTGACAAACATTGAAGGTTGTAAGAGAGCAATGTGCAAAGAATATTTCTTGAGGGATTTGAGGAATACAAGAGAGAAACTTTGTGGACAAGATCTTCAAAAGGTTGGTTGTTGGAAAAAGTCTGCCTCATTCATTATGAATCAGCCTCTATTGAAAAACACAGCAAGGAGATTAAAATAGTCTTATTGGCTTCCCTTTGTTATAATCCTTTTAAACTTTTGTAAGTCATATAGGCATTTTATTGCATTCCACTGTTAATAATTGATTAGCACTCAAATTAGATGATAAGTGAATTATTCACGTAATCTGAGTTTATTTTTATATTTATATGAATGCTTGCAGATCACATGCTGCTTTTCTAAATATAGCCAGAAATGGTTTTTGATCATTGTTTATCAAATGATCAGAAGCTGTCAATCATTTTCACTAAAATATTTTGGTATTTTGTCTACTCCTTAACTTTCTTTTTTGCTTAATTTCATGCTAGTTTCAGAATGTGCTAAATCACTGCCCACTTATTATCCATCTCTGTGTAGACTGCTTTAACTTCCTTTGATAAGGAGTTCCCTTGAGAATGAATTTTTTGCTTAATTTCATGCTAGTTTCAGAATGTGCTAAATCATTGCCCACTTATTATCCATGTCTATGTAGACTGCTTTAACTTCTTTTGATAAGGAGTTCCATTGAAAATGAATTTAATCTTCTCCCTTTGATTTTGTAAGCAATTTATCTTTTAAGGAGCTGAATAGAATGAAGTTACTGCTTGGAGACCCTTCATTGTTTTCAGCAGACATTATTATCAACTTGTTGCTATCTTATCGAGACATTCAGGTATGAATTGAAATGTATCTTTTGAATTATTTATTAAGATGGGTATTTCTGCCTTGACAAAAAGTGGTAGCTCTTGAAAACTTAGATAAACTTAGCGATAACCAGATTGAGTTATTTAGAAGGACATGGTTTGTACTCCTTTTCAGATTTCAATGAGATGTTTCATAATCATTTCTGACTTTTTAAATTTTAGAAAGGGAGAGGTTTATTGACCTCTTTAGAAAAGAAAGGTGGGAAATTTTTGTCATCTTGCAACAAAATTTATTCCCTCTTATATCCAAGATTTTAATCAAGCAATTTTTAAAGTCACAAAGCAAGTTTTTGTCTCAAGTTCACTTGCCATTGTCTGTCTTATCCAAGAATCACTTGTTTCTGAGGACTCTGAGATTTTTGTTTCATCTGTATAGGCTTATATGCTTTAGATCCTGTTGCATGATCACAATTGCTTCAAATATATTGACTTTATATTTGACTTGATTGATGTTATAATTAGTTTTATTTTTATTTGGCTAGTCATAATTCCTAATTTTGTTTGTCATGATTACAGGATTATTCATCAATGGTAGAGCTGATAGAAGAACTACCCCCAAGTCACAAGGAGACAAGGAACAAAGCCATTCAGCAACAATATGCTTTTGCTCTAAACAGGTATTTTTAACTAAAATCCTATCATTTTTCAGTATTTTTGCTTTCATTCTCATTATTTTTCTTTATATTGATTAAATAAAACGTAAACAACTTTAGAAATTTCTTATTTAGAAGACTGGAATTTCTCTCTTTGATCATTAATTTACAATTTATTTAATCAACTCTCCAGGAGAAATAACAGTGGTGACAGAGACAAGGCTGTGAAAGTTGTTAACTTAGTAAGTCATTTTCTTGGATTTCATTCACTTCGTTACTTCTATTTTTGTTACTTGGCCATTTTGAATATTGATTTTGTCAACAGCCTGTACCATACCTCTACTTTCCTATAAAGGGGGAGCTTGGGGTGGATATAAGAAAAGTGAAATCCAGCAACAAAAACCTGCACTGAGACTGTGCTTTTGTCAACAAACTACCAATCCTCCAGTCAGCTTTTCAAACAATAGGGGTGTCATTTCAGCAAGTTACTTCCCCTGAAATTGGGAAAGGAAAGGATTTGGGAAAAGGCCTCACTGTGACTCATTGCTGTTTTAAGTTCACAGTGTTTAACATTCTAAAGCCAATTCCTTTGTATTTACATAACCATTGTCTAATCTTGCTGCATTATTTGCAATATATTTGATTTGTACTAGTGCTTATTAAAGTTTACTTGTTTTTGTGTTTCAAAGTTGTTACAAACAAAAGAAAATCATGCACCAGATACCCTTGGTTTGTGTGGAAGAATTCATAAAGATAAGTTCATTGACTCTGAGTTTCAAGATTGTGAAAGCCGCGATGAAGCTATAAAATGGTAATAATAATAATGTTTGTATAATTTAGCAATTTGTGTACCTTGATATTTCTCAAGATAAGTTAAAGGCACAACATGCATTTAGTCAGTTTTTTCACACTTGCAATGAACTCTTCCTGGGTACATAGATATGTGTTTCTTGTTATTATGCAGAAATATTTAAAAACAGCTTGAAAAAGACGATCTTTCCAGTATTTTATTTTCAATGGTCAAACGTTTGAATCAATCATGGCCTTGTTATGTATGTTACCCAATAGGTACTATAGTTTTTGATAGAATGCAGCTTTACACGAATGTAGCAGTTTACGAATTTTATACTTGTTCGTGTTTACCCAAAATACCACCTGACATTTGAAATGGTTTAGTCAATCAAATTCAACCATTAGCTCATCTATTTCAGATATTAAGTCCAGGTTTTTTTTAACATGGCCTAACAGGGCTGTGTTTGACACCAATTATTTTGCGTAGGTATCGCAAGGCATTTGAGGTGCAGCCCAACCAATACTCAGGGATGAATCTTGCCATCCTTCTTGTATCGTCTGGTCAAGATTTACACAAATCAGAGGAGCTTCAAAGAGTTTGTGAGTAAATTGCAGTTATTTTGGACATTGCTTGTTTTGTCCCTATATCAGGCTATTATTCTTTTGTCTCTGTTTCTTATTAATCATTTCATTTTAATTCATATTCTCTTTCTGTTCTTTCCATATTCTTTTTATTGCGAAGAAAATCCATATTTTGAATGGTTGATTTTTTATAATTTTTATAATTTTTTTAAATTTTTTGTTATCTTTTAAACAGGCATGATGCTGAACAGCATAATTGGACGCAAAGGTAGCCTGGTTTCCTTAAAGAATTTCTGGGACGTGGCTGTATTTTTTAGTGTTAGTATTCTCGCTGAGGATTATGGGAAGGCCTGTCAGGCTGCAGAGTGCATGTTCAAACTACAACCACCCGCCTGGTACGTAATTAAATTCTCCCTAAAGTTTCCACTGTTTGTTTCACTGTGTCATATTGTGTATTAAACTAAAATGATTTAGAGCGGCTTTTTATGTGTAATCTCACTTTGTGACTTGTAGACTGTTTTAGAAACTAGTTGCTTCTCTATCATAGGTACTTAAAGTCTTTATTGACGGATATCAAAATAATTGACGAATTCCACCCACGTGACGAATCCAGTAGAAGTTCGGTTGATGAGGTACGTTCTTTGCTGCATTACCTCTTTCCTTGACTTGAAGACAAAACCGCATTTAGACACAAAACATTGTTCAGTTTCAACCCTCATAATATTTAACATGAAGTGATGTGGCAAATGCGAATTATTCACTTGTGTCAAATGAATGTCTCCAAAAGCATGTATTTCCACGTACATGTCTTTGCAATTGCAAATAATGTAGCGTGTTGAAAAACAAAAATGTTTATCAGTGCTGCTAGAAGCAATTTGCAGATTTTTTATTTATAGTCAGTATGCGCCGTTATTCAGGGGGATGCACACAAGCGAATGGGAATTATTGAGTTTCTTCCCGCTTGCAATCAAGTCACATTCGTGATAGCAATTAAGTAAAACACGCATGTTCGTTGACTGAAACGATGGATGTGGCTTATTTAAACGATATCCCTTTTTTCCCAAAAAATATCCAGTCTTGGAAAACACGAAAAGCACTTTCTTAAAGAGAAAGTTTTGTTCGTCTATTATTAGACTTGTTAGTATAAACATGTCTGGTTATGGGTTAAAGCTTGCCAACGGGAAAATAGGTGGATAATTTTTGTTTTGACTGATCAGTATCTTCAATCCTTTTCACATGATTTTTGAGTTCTTTTGGCGAATTTGTTGATCAATTTATTAGCTCTACGACTTTTGGATGGATTACCTTGTTGAGGCATCGCAGGAAGATGTGGAAAGTTTAAGATTCCCGGTGAGTTGTTGTTACTTATGGATATGCTTATATTTTACTTGTGTTGACTACCAAGTCATTCACATAAAAAACGGTTTGGCCAGTGCTCAAAGAAGAAAGATATATCTAGAAGCTAATTTTTTATGCATTGTTGTATTCAGTGCTAAACCCATTCAGTTTATATCATGGTCACCAGTAGGACTATTTGGAGAATTCATATTCTTTCTGAAATAATTTGTTATGGAAAAACCTGCTTTGTCGTATACCTTACATTGAGATTTTTGCGACATGCATTTATCTGTGTGTCCAAAAAAACGTATAATTATTGGTTTTATTTTGTCTCTAGATGTTTTTAGAAATTGGCAGGATACTTGCCGTTACTTTTTGTGTGACAATTGGATTGTCCTTTGTTTTTAAAAGTTATGACTTCATAACTTGAGGCTTTTATTTGACTTTGCTGTACATAAATCTAAAACCTGGAGCAGTTTCTTAGCTGATTCTGAGTAGATGTTCTTTTTGACAAATGCTATTTATCTTTCATTCTAGGTCCTCATTTTAGAAGTTGGAAATGATTACGTGCCCAGCTACGTGTCAGTCTCGTTGGAAAAGAACGAAGAGGTTTTGTTTTACTTTTCTCTCAGGGTTATTTGAGAAAGCATTTCTTTCTCATGCTTGCTCACTCAGCAAGTGATTCTGAATTCTGCTCTGTTGGACTTTAACCATTTCTCTTCCTGTTTATATGACCTTCCTTTGAGCAAAGTTGATTTTCGAATCAGCCCAACCAACGTTTTCGTTTCCTGTAATGACGTACTTCACAGTTGCTTAGCATCATTTTTTTGCCTGTTTCAATTTCAGACCAAAAGGGGTATATTGTTGTTTTTATGCAGTATAACATCCCTTATATTTTAGCAATTTGTCTTTTAGGCCATTACCATATTTAATGTCGGAGCAAAGAAAGGTAGCAAGGTAAGTTCTCGGCCATAAAAGTCTCTCAACCTTACAAGACTCAAATGGACATGAATTTACAATTCAAAATAGCACAGAGAAACGGAAACACCGTATTTACATATTTTTCATTCGACACCCCTCAAAGTATAAACGTCGGATATTAACCAAGAATTATGCAAAGACCTATTTCTAGGTTTCGAACAATGGTAACGTAAGAGAAAGAATAGCACGTTGGATTGGTTTATTGCTTTTGACCAATCGGCGGCTGCTAACGTCTCACCTAGTTGAATAGTCCAAGAGAAATAATGAAGTATTTCTGTCTGCACAAATCGTAAACTTTTGTTTTGACGTAGACTGATTAAAAACACCTAAAGAAAAACGCGAACTTGCTGGATCAAAAGGCGACCAATGATTTTCGCCACTATATATTTTGATATACTCTGAATAAATATTGAGGTATGGCCAAGTCGCAGTATTTTTGTTTTTTCGTGCTATTCCATGATTTAGTGCTTTTAACAATGCATTGATGCAGTTAGAGCCTTTTAAGTTCATACTTTCTTTAAATGCTTTTGATTCTCTTAAAAGACTAAAATCGAACGGCCTATAATGAAAGCTGTTATTTTTGCATAAGCATTTTGATAAAAGTGTTTATTTCAATACAGAAAATAGATCATTGGGTATTCAATCGCGACTCAATAAAAGGCCTCAGGTATGCATTGTTATGTTTTTTTCTTTTTATTCTATTTCCTTGACACTTTTTATAGAATGCATTGTTTTGGTGCAACATCACATTATCTTTAAATCTTTAAAAGCTTTGGAAATTTGGTCATGCTCCAAAGGGATTTTTGGCAACACTGTCGTGTTTTCAATGTTGTTCAACTATGTCTTCTACTTGTTTAAGAGACTATGTTGGGGTTGCATATTAAGAATTTTTTTGTTCTTTATACAGCTCATACAAGCTGGACGACCGGTCATTGTTCCTATATGTTACTGAAAATTCAGATGATTTCCAGTTCTTCTTTAGCTCATCACATCAAAGAAAACGGTAATTTTATCACTTTGGGATTTTTTATCTGCAAATGAAAACGTACTTAAAGTAACGTAGTATGAAAAATGAACATAAATGAATGGATTTTTGCAATATGTAGTATCTTTAAAAATAGCTGTTTGGAAGGTATTTGTTCATTGGTTTGTAAAGTTGTGGGAAGAAAATACTTCAAAAGCCAATGCGTACCAAGATGCTGTAATTATTCCATATCAACCCTTTTTAAAGATTTTTTTAAAGTTTAGCAAGGTATGATGCACTTTTAGTCAACTTCTAAGAAATCATGTTGTCAATGATTGCAAGAACTTCAAAGATGCAAATAAAGGAGAGGCTGCTCGACGGGCTCCAATGGAATGCTTGCGGGGAAAAGTCGATAAAAATGTGGAAAATAATGACAACGCGCCGAGAACTAACAACAATGGGCACAAGAAGCGTCCTGCTCAAAAACAAAACAAATTTTATACCGCCTAACAAAGCCAATGTAGTGGCGATAACTTTCTGATGCCTCTATTCCTAGAAAACATATCTAAAAACATTTGTTCTCATCAATTTTTTTTCATTTATTACACGATGAGTATGGTTCCTATTGTAGGTTTCACGATGTCGTTTTGCAGATGTCGAAGGACTGTAGTTGTCTCTCAGAGGCTGGTGGTGACAACGAATCATATGATGACATACAGGTAAATTATTTCTCCAATTAGTTTTGGTTTCGATAGGTTCCACGAAAGCTACATCGCCATTTTTTGTGTACAAGTTAGTCTTTAATATTGTCTCTAACGATATTTGACAAAATTCATGGAAGCTAGCTCAAGATTTCAAATATATAGAGAAAAATAGCTGAGACAACAATGAAATCAATATAAGTATTTCGAATTTACGCCAAATTTACGATAGCAATATTGAAAATTAAGTTACGTTAGATTACGTTATAATCAGGTTAAGCGTGAAACTCGAAGTTTCATCTTAGAACCGTCCTATTCTAAACACCAAAGCGGATAGCCATATTTATGGGATTTTCCCTTTAATAGTAACGATTTGCTATATTGCTAGATAAATAATACTTTACATATAATGGGCTGCAATAAGCAGAGTTGGAAGTTGATAGAAACTTAAGAGATGCCTAAAGAAGGGAAACATTTATATCAGATCGTTAATCACAGCAGACAGCAAGTATTAGAATTTCTTATATAAACACCCTCTAATTTCAACTTGGAAGACTGTTTGTGAGCATATCAGACAACTAAGCAGAAGTTGGGGTGGAGTAAGAGTTGAGAGTATGAAATATAACGCAAAATAATATATATGAGGTTATTGATTTATGGAGATCAGAGCATAAAATCGTTCGTTGTTATTTCCTTCCAGTATGAATATGAGTATGACGAGAGAGGAGAAAGAATTGTTTTGGGAAGAGGGACATTTGGTATTGTGTATGCTGCCCGGGAACTTATTACGCAGGTTAAAATTGCAGTGAAGGAAATCCCTGAACGTGATAAAAGGTATGACCAATTTGTATGCTGATGTTTGTGATTTGACTTCAGGAAGCGGAAAGTTTTAGATTCTAAAATGGGTTGGGTTGCCATGAGTCCTATCGAAGATTATTTAGAAGCTAACAGTTTTTTGTATTACGTCATGAATTTATGACTAAATCATATCGAAAAGTATATAGAATCTTACCCAAATTTAAGACAATATTTCCTCTAGTTGAAATTGTCCCCTTCAGTTAGATGCTGGATTAAACTTTTAGAAACGTCTTAACAACTAAAACTATTTCGTGTCCAATGTTTTTCATGTGACTTTGAGAACCCTTCAAGCTGTTTGTTTTTTAAATTCCAGTGACCAGACAATTCCTTTTTATGACCATGTATTGCAGACCACTTTATTATTGTTTCATCGTAATTTCTAATCATCAACCATGTTAATTTGTTTTTGTTTTTCCCAAAAGCCACGTCCAACCGTTACATGAAGAAATATCCCTCCATCGACAGTTCAGACATCCGAATATAGTAGAGTATCTTGGGTCCAGAAGTGAAGATGGAATTTTCAAAATTTTCATGGAGCAAGTTCCTGGAGGTCAGTCATACTTTTAAATAGCGTATGAAAGTTTCTTTTTCATTTTTATCAAAATTATACTCAAATGAACTGTTTTTAGTTTGTGAAAAACTAGAAAAAAATCGCCTCAGGGCACATTGAATTATTTTCAGGTTTAGTTTGTTGATGTGTGTGTGTTAAAAACTTTGAAGTCAGCCGGAATATGTTTATAGAGTCATAACTGGTTAAGGAGGCAGCTTTTTTAATTTGTTTGTACGCTTTCATCTCTAAGCATTTTCTGTTGATCAGAGTGACTTCAATACAAAAATCTTCAATTTTCCTCATAATCAGAGTCAACCATTGCGTTGATTTTTAGGACTGAAGTCATGCTGAATTGAAGAAATTGAAAACTTAATTGCTTTTAAATCACGTTTGGTGCATATGCTAGATCTTCTAAAAATGACATATTTGATTGCAAAAGACCCTGCTTAGCTTTAATGTGTCGTTTGAATGAGGTGCATACAATTATGTTAAAGCAAGTAACTGCAATGTTCGTTGATTAAGTCACAAATATTTCGGCTAGCAGTAAGTTGGCATTAACGAAATCATCTTTGCAGGGAGTTTGTCATCGTTAATCAGATCAAAATGGGGTCCTTTATTAAACAACGAAGGAACAGTTGCTTTCTATACGAAGCAAATACTTGAAGGCGTCAAGTATTTGGTAAGTGCTGGCCCCCTTAATTTTGTAAATTTTTCTCATTTTTAGGATTAAAGCAAAAAATTTGCGATATTAGCTTTTGATTCATTCTAGAATGGAGCTTTTCAAACTTTGTGTTTTCGGTATTTTTATTTTGTAAATTTAATTTTCTGCATGTTTGCTATATCTTACAAAGAACTGTCAATACTGTGAAAATCAGACAAACTATTTGAATTTTTCCTACCGGAGATGATATATTTCTCTCTCATCATGTTCAATCTAGCATTTGAAAGTTCGAACTTTGGATGATATGAAAAATGTTCTTGCTAGTTGTATTGATTACTTTAGGTTGACTCTGATCCTGTTAATCATTTTATTTGCAGTACCTGACTCATATTCCTGCACTTTGTTCCTCTTAGTTGTGTTGTTATGAAGTCATTGATCCCTCACATTCCTTGTAATAATTTGTTCAATCTTTTCTGATTTGAAATGTGAAGTTCTTATTGGTGTCTTTTTGCCTTCTCTGTTTTAGCATACCCAGAAAATTGTCCATCGAGATATCAAAGGTACGCTAAAAAACGTTTTGTTAAATCTTGTCTTGTGAGTGAATATAGGTGTTAGTTTCCATTTCTTTTAAAACTAGTTCGCCATAATCATTGATTTTCATTCCTTTAAGGTGACAATGTGTTGGTGAATACATATAGCGGTGCTTGTAAACTTTCTGACTTTGGAACATGCAAAAGACTCGCAGGGATCAATCCAGTCACAAAGACATTCACAGGTATGCGGTTGTATTTTGAATCTTCACTATTGGCACAGTCCTCTGTTTAGCTGAGGCCTTTATTAAAGTCTTGTTTACTTATTAAAGTCGTTGCAAAATGTGGAAGTGTATATTAACCGTCACCGCCTGCCTAGGTTTGGTCAGGCCTATGTTCTATCATGAGGCTGCTAGCACAATCGTAGCCCGAAGAATTGGAGTAATCCCACTATTTAACCGAAAGATTATCGAATTGGGGCTGTAATATCTGAAAACCTCTTCTAGGGACAATGCAGTTTATGGCTCCGGAGGTAATTGACCACGGTCAGAGAGGCTACGGACCACCGGTAATTGAATTTATCGTCTTATTGAAAGTTTTATGAATTGTATTATTGAAATTATCATGTGTTACTTTATCGAAACTATCAAATATTGTACTATCATGCTTGCTGCTTTATTATGTTCAATAGCAGTTTTCTGCAGGATTGTATTCCAGTGTATTCTACTGTGTTGTATTGCATTGCATCGTACGGTACTCGACTTCATTGTATCCTACTGTATTAACTTGTGAGGTAAAAGTATTGCGATAAATGTAACTTTATATAAGAATACGAATTATACTCTCTCAAATTTGCAGTCAATTTCAATTTTTAAAACTGTATTGCTCTCGCAGTCCTGTTTGTTGATAGAATTTGGGAAAATTGCTATAAGAAAGAATTTTCTGTTTTCTCTCAAGTTTTCCCTATCATTGTTGGAAGTAAATGCTTTTGAAATTTATTAATTTTAGGCAGATATATGGTCTGTTGGTTGCACCGTAATCGAAATGATAACTGGAAAGCCACCCTTCTTTGAGGTCAGCATTATATTTATTTTCTTCTAAGAACTAGGTGGCTTGAAGTTGCAACTCCAAGTTGCACGCCATTACGATGTTCTTTTATTTGAAATGCTACCCGACATGGCAAGAAGACAAAGCTAACTTATCAGCTTTCCTCTCGAATGTAGTTTCGACTAACATTTACTCGCTTGCTCAACAGTACCATCCTTAAAGGAGCAGTTGCATTCTTTCTTTTACTGACGATAACATTTGGCAATCGTAAAATGTTAAAACTCACTGTCTATTGCTGTTGTTGAAAACGGTCTTCTTGTTTTCATATCACTAGCTCGAGCCAGCTGCCGCCATTTTTAAAGTCGGTATGTTCAAAACCCATCCGGATATTCCTGAAACGTTATCGAAAGGAGCAAAAGATTTCCTGAAGCGGTAAGAAAGGTTATATCATCTGCTTTACGTTGTTGCTTTGAAGTGTCTCCAGCTTTGGCTTAGAATCTCCAGCTTTGGCTGACTTTGTTACACATTTGTCTTTCTTTATTACTTGGCAAGACTTTTCATCGTTGCGTGTCTTTGCCTTTTTAGCAGAATATATTCTTTTCTTATCTAACAATGACTGCAAACACTGTCTATTTTATTTTACTCTTGGTGAATATTATCCTTTAACTTCTTCATACAGAGTGTTACCACCTCAAAATAACTAATTCAAAAGCTCTATTTATTTCAACAAGGAAAGTTTTACGGATGAGAAATATATGGTTTCTTCACAATGGATTCTAAGAGCGTAGTTATTTGATCTGTTGTTTGTTAATCAAAGTTTCCTGTTTGCAAGTTTCATAAAGAAATTTGAAGTCTTTTAGTGAGCATGCAAAAAGTCGGAGGAAAAGGGATCCCAGTGTATTTTAAGATCAATATTAGAAGTTTTACGCAAACGATTGCACCCATTTTTTTAACTAAGAGTCAAAATTTAGTTTGCAAGAGGCTCATTTAGAAAAAGTTGCCATGTCTGTTTGTGTTAAAAACTCTCTTTCCACTTCCTTTTTCAATATATTTAAAAGCACTGACGGTTGGTTTCAAACACACGCTTTCTGCGCTAAATTTCCAACCCTGGTTCTTTTCAAATGCCTTTTGATAACACTACGTTCAACATTGTTGAATTCAAGATTAAACAAATTTTATATACAAGAGCCTCTCTGAACTGATTTGTTAGATCTGCCCTTTACTGTTTATACCTTCCGCAAACAAATGGCTGACTTCGGCTTGCACATGGTGCATACTTTGCAGAACGGTCTTATTGTAAACGGTCGATTTGGGTCAGTTTGCCAGCATTCAGATATCTTGATTACTAATCTCGATAACTTGGATGTTTTTCTAGATGTTTTGAGCCTGATCCAGTCCCAAGAGCAGCAGCGGAGGAGCTGCTCAAGCATGTTTTTCTTGCAAGGTTTGATTCTGCTTTTTTCATCACTTTTCCTTTTCAAAATTAGATTAAAAATCACTGAACATCTTATAGATTTCCAATGTTTCAGATATGCAACTGTCAACAATAGTTATTGATAAGTTGAAAAGCATTTGGATTGCGGCGTTATCAGAAAGGTAGCTGAAATTTAAACATTTTCCAAGAGGATTAGAAGAAGGAAAAGAGACAGCAAATGTGAAATGAGTATAACCTGCTTGTGAGAAAATTGTAATTTTATATATCCCAATTTTTGGTACAGAAGAAAGGTTTTTGTGATTCATTAGTTTCAGTTGAGAAAGAAAATCCTTGAGTCATATCTCAGCTTAGGTTGGATGTGAACTCATTGTTCTTAAACAGAGCTTGCCGGTTGCAATAAAAAGTAAAGTATTTCTGCGCAAGACTTATAATGAAATGGCTTACAACCTGTGATCATATTATGAATTGCAATTTCTTTAACAGAAAAGATCGAAGAAGGCTTGGCGATATGAAACTTGTCATTCCGAAACATGGGAATCACAGTACAACTGGTATTTTATCATTTTTTAGAAATTTAACTTAGTCATTATATCTTCACTTCATATAACATGTTCGTATTGACTTATCTGTCATTATTGATAATATGTCTGTATTATTTTGCACCTGAAAATCCCGATAAATTCGGTAATTGTTGCCACATTTTAAAACTTACATTTTTCACTAGTATGGTCCTCAAATGAAAAAAGCTACGTATAGTCTTTCCTCTCCCTTTATAGTCTCTCCGCTTACGGTCACTCTGCTGGAAGTCACACTACTGGTTACAGTCGCGTAAAATTTAGACCCAAATACGCAAAACCGCTCAGGCAAACCCTTTTTACAGTGACTTACTGCCACAGCTTTTCAAGCAACATTTGGTGTGACTTTAATCGGAGTCTACTTAATCATAGTTTTAGCAAGAACTGTTTTGTCTTAGGTTCAATAATTACATCGGACTCTGGAATTGAAATTACCACGAGCAGTGACGTAAGCACTCCAAAAGATTTCTTTCAAGCTACACCTATGATGAGCCCCGATCAAGGGAGCCCACCAAGATCACCTCAGTCTGAAACTGGGTTTGTCTTTTTTATTCTTTCTTCTTGTATATTCGATGAAATGAAAGTTTTGATTGACTAGTTCCTGAGAACTCTGAACCCGTAAAGAATTTTGATGTTCTGCGTTTTTTATATTTTGCATATTGCATCGAGTGATTTTACACCAGTTTACGTTCAACGTTTATTGTTATGAAATAATATGCATACGTTGAAATTATTCGTAAGAAGGTTTTTCTACTCTCACAACTTTTAGACACGTGCATGATAACTTTGCTGTTGAACCGAAAACCAAACGAATGACTCGGTCTTTGACGTTGCCTGCAAGGAAAAGGTATAGTTTAGTATAGTTTCATTTTCCTTTCATTTTTTACCTTACTTTATCTTTCATATGTCTTCTCCCCAATGCTCGAACAAACGTGTAAAAAGTGCCACAAAATTAATAAAATGAACCCTTTTAAATTTTTAAAAAGAGCCCTTTATTTTACAACTGCTCTTTTTGAACAGTGCTTTTCATTATAAAAGTTTATTTGTTACTAGCTGCAGTGTCCTAATGAAGTTAATGGGCATGGTTGATCAGCTTTCTGTTTGAAAATGGACGTGATTAAGGTATCGTTAAGGTACCAAATACTGCCGCCTCGGGCAGCCTTGATCATACAAATCAGTTGCAAAAGGATTTCCCGGCCTACTACCTCTCTACAACCTTACATATAGCTGCTGAGACAAACCCATAAAAAGTATCTAAAATTGTAAGATCACATTGTCTTTTTTCAAGATCGTTTCTTTTTCTAATCAAGCTCAACTTCTTTTCGTTTAAAGTGACGAATCTTTGTCATCTGCTGGATCTCTTTCACCAACCAGTTCAACAAACTCGTTGGATGGTTCCCACGCAAAGCAAGGTGGGAGGGATGTGTTTTTCCAGGTAAAGCAAGAGAGCGAAAGGCGGAAGTTGGTTATCGACGTCATGAATGAAAAAATGGAACAGGTACTTAAGACGTCATAATAAAGTTGATTATCATTCATTGACAGCTACAATAAGAAACAATGGTATGTTTTATTGCGATTGCTTATGGAACATACCTTATTTCAGTAGAATTCAGTTAGGACAAAAGAATCACTTTCAAGCATGCATTCCTAATCTATTAAATGATTTGCGGGATCTTTGCAATATATCTTGCCACATCCTGACAAAATAGTTTGAATTAAGGTTTTAATATTAAGACTTTGATGACGGTCGATGAGAAATGAAGAAAAATGAACACAATTAGATCGAATGAGTGTTGTTTTGCTGAAGATGGAATTCATTCGGTCCTTATTATACATTCATTAAGAGAAGCATCCCAAAGTACTCTTGCTTTATTAAGATTGTTTTAACCTCTTTCTTAGTATCTATGGAGAATATTTTTCTGAACTGGCATTGCACCCTTTTATGTTTTTAAACTTCGTTTGCAATGTAAGTAGACTAGTAGGTGAAATATCCCTTCATTTGTGGCAATTTTTGTGTTTTTAGGCTCACTTTTACCACAGACACATTGATTGTGCTTTCAAATTGCTGATACCTTGGTTTATTTTGTAGATCTGTTATGGCTGGGTGACAAAGCTGGAGCACATGAGTAGCGTATCTGTTCTACAAATTGTACGTATCATTTTATTTTTCTTATTTTTCACCTCTTTATATCCCCCTTTCTTCGTATGTGGATGCTTGTTTAATCATCAAGTGCTATGTTTATTCAATATGGCATTCGATCGAATGTGTCACATGTCATTTTGCTATCTTTTAGAGCGATTTGAAAGTACTTGTAAACTGTGTGAAGGAATTTATTGAAGAGAAGGAGGATGTTCAAGTCGAAAAGTATCTTGGTATGTTTAAGCTTTGCTATTCACACGACTGGGTTTAAAGCTATGAATTTTGATGTTTTATTCTTACCAGAACTAGAGCATTTATAACTTCTGGGTATGTGCGAGGATGGCTCAGTTGCTAGAGGCGCTGACTACAGACCCAAGGGTCCGTGGTTCGAGTCTCTGGCATGACCAAACTTTCACCCAGAATGGGGAGAGTCGCCAGCTCTCTGTAATTCAAGGCGTAGGAATCACGAGGTGTGGTCACATCGAGAGGAAGGACCAGGACACTGCTCGATAAGCATAGCTTCTCAGTGTCCTAAAAAACTACCTTCGGATGCTAGGTAGCAACAAATACAATTACTTCTGGGTATACATAGCCAATGTCTAACTTATGCAACACAGGTTCGAATACACGAAGACACTTCGTTTATTCTAAACAATAACACTCATGACCATGACCAACATAACTTGTGAACTGACGGACTAAAAATCAACTAACGCAATACATAAAGCACTTTAGCAGCAAGCGATTATAAAGCCTTAAATTATTACAGTTCTCAATCTTGAAAATCCTCAGACTAAGTTTGTAGTGTTACGACACTATCTTGTTTGTTCTCTTATCGTTTATTAAAGTAGGTTCAACGACAGAACCCTATACATTTACATGTATAGAAAAGATTTATGGTTAAATTGACAGCACCTTTCCCCTTTTCAAAACATTTTCTGTACAACAATTACAGGGTGTTTTTGGTAATAAGAAACAAAGTTATTAATTGCATGATTTTTGTATAGACAATTAACCTTTAAAACTATTACAATGAGACTCAGTTCTGAAAAAATCCATAATTTGCCTGCTAAAAACACTTTATTTCTACGCTCAACTTGAAGTAATTCAGATTTTGCGTATCAAAATTAAGAAAATCTACAAGAAACGCTTACTTTGATAAGTGTACACAAGCTTCAAAGTTTCTTTTACAAGTCTGCGAGCAAAATACGATTTAAAATTGAATGCAAATTTCAGGATATAGGTTTTTTTCTGTTTTATTTCTTCAAATGTTACGATTACTTGCCTAGTTGATTTTGTCTAGTTGAATAATTTCTCACTTTTTTGCAGATCCAATCGAAAATGCACACGGAAACCACCCAAAAATTTACCAAGAAATTCAAATTGCTCTTCACATGTTTAATGAAGCAGTGAGTAGCATATGTGATTTCTCATATTTCAACGTGTTCAGACCCATCTGGCTGTTCAATCGCCAATCTTGTCAAAATTAAAATCAAGACTGATTTGTAAGAATGTAAGAATGATTCGTTTTTCACTAGGAAACTCGACAATTTTGCAATTCATTGAAATTGAATTGGTCGTAGATGCCCTTCTTTGAATTTTCAGTTAGAAGAGAAACGAGACTTTGTTTCGAATGCTTTGCATCATCAGGTGTAGTTATTTTCTACGATCGCTTAATTGATATCAACGGGTTCAAGACATTTATGTTTAGCCTACCAGTTCAGTTTGTCTAGAAGTGGAAAACCAAAAGTCTTAATGCGTAGCTGTGAGCTTTGATTAGAGTTTGTAGTTTAAGATATATATATATATGGGACATTTTGCTGCCCAAGCTGCCTAAATTACCTTTCTTTGTGGTACTACGTCATCTAAGAGTACACCGCTAACTTACTTTTGCTGTAACTTATTACTTCTTTTGCATCTGAATTTTTTCTAGATTTTTAAAGTTTGTCTAAATCAGATTTTGCACCTTTGAATTAAAGGCTAGTTTTTTTAAAATTATCAGTGTTGGTGAGCGTGTCGTTTGTTGCTGGATTAAATTTGAAATAACTAGCATTAGTGACCTTTACAGGAATCTGGCGATTACAAAAACCTTTCGAAATCAACTGTTCGTGATGGTCTTTGTCTAAAAACTTACCTTTTCTTCATTAATTACGGGACTTTCTGAGTCTTAAGGCTTGTAGAACATCAATTGAACGATATTTTCATCCTAATAATAACATTTGCAGGTGTCGGAAGTTATAAGTAAGCACAAAAAGGTTCTACCTCATTGGATGTTTGCTGTTGACAACATGGTTCGAATGGCGGTTTCAAAAACCTTGGAGCACTTAACAAGAGGTAAACTGAAATATAAGAACCTCTGAAGTCTGTTTTCATCTACCTGACAGGGGTATTGCTTCGTACACCGGATTTCATTGTAGATATAACGCAAGCCATCACCCAGAGACCCTTATTGAAACTTTATTCAGATTATGCGTACTCTTAAATTTTTCCTTTGTCAATCCGAGTAGGAATTTCTTAATATCAAAGGGTAAATTACTTAGTTTTATGGAAAAATCTTTGAAGCAACAATTAGTTGAGAGACTTTTTCCTAGTCAAATATCATCGAGAATTAAAGAGAAGGATTAGAGTCCAATTTTCCCTCTTTTCAGTAAAGTTACTTTGCTCGACTGTATCTTTGAGCTTTTTTAGACCACAAATACCTCTTGTATTCCACAGAAATGAGAGACAACCTGAAATCAATCAGCTCCATTGATGAAAGTGAATACAATATTTCAACCAACAACAGTCAGGATACAGAAATGGAAGTTAAAACAGTAACATTTGCTGACAAGGTGACTTTTGACAGACCCACACTTTTGGCTAAAATTGAAAAATTATCCCAGGAAAATATTGGGTAAGTTGTGTGCAGATCTTTCATTTTTGTATGCATCCTAGCAAGCTTAAAGGCACTATGTCCTGACACATTTCGCTGACCATTTCATTTTCCCATTGGTTGGACTACACAATAGACCTATTGTTACGTATCTATTCGGCAATGTAAGTTTAATTCTCAACCATTTTATCAGTCATAAACGTGCTGCAGAGCCTGTTGTTAGCTCTGAATGGTTGACTGAAGGGAACATAGTGCCTTTAAACAATGTTTTGCTTAATATCCTTCAGTGTAACAGTTTTCTTCAACAAAGAGATTTGATAACCATTCAAGATATTGAATAGATTTACCAAGTCTTGTGCATTTAAGAGAACAGAAACAACATAAAAGCGACAGAAGCAATATATTATAAGGTAGAACTATAGATCCCACGTATATAGAAAACATAAGCTTGTCAAATATTTCGAAAATATATTGAAAAAATGACTTTGCACATGATGACATAAAAACGTTGACAGTCTTTTGAATTAATTACCATTTTGAATTAATAGCTGAATTGTCATTTTGCATGGTTTCTTATTGTTGACTATGCATTTTTTGCAGATTGATGAATGAGCTTATCGATGTTCAGGAGACATTAAAGAGAGTCCTCACTCAAAATATTGGCTCACACAAAAGCCTTATAGATTCTTATAAGTGAGTTTACCTATATACTCAGCCTGTGCCTGTTTTTTTTATTGGTACTTGCTTTTCGTATTGTTAAGCCTTCTTAATCGCCCAATGTAAAATTAAATCCCAATGAAGTCCCAATTGTGCACATATCTTCTTGGCTTGATCAATACAGCATGTTACTTAATGGCCTAAACATGAGAGATCATAATTTACAAGATATTTTCTAGAACTTTATGTCATTCCCTGACAAAGTTTTTCAATTCTGTTGGAGTTGGTATTAGCGAAGAGATTGTGTAGTAGAAATGATGTGGGTGGGTGGGGGTTGATTTAAATGGCAGGGTTGTTTTGATTATGGATCTTTGGTAGTATGGAGAGTTTAGTCTTCGTATTTGAGAATGGGTAGGATAGGTGAAGGTTTCGAAAGTAATAAAGGGCAGCCATGAGGAAATTAAGCAGAGGAAATCAAGCATCTTACAGAGGAAATTAAGCTAAAATGACTCAACATTCTGTGGAGTATGGTCTTCTTACTGGGTAACCTCGCCGAAAAATGAGCAGCTGATTGCACAAAGAGCTAAATGTTGCAATTTGAAACCTCAGATGTTTAGAAGTATTAAGTAAGGTAGCTTGGAATGCGAGAAGTGGTCATCTTACTGAGGCGTTCAGGTATTTTTCTAAATTAGCAGATGGCAAAGGAGGTCTAGACGTACAAGTCTTTGTCTATTATATCACTGTCTATTATACTTTGTCTAAAATATGTGCTGTATTCATTGGGATGTTTCTGGTTTTAGATCTAACACAAAAGTTAGAGAAAGACGAAGATCACTAGCTGGTAAGTGCGTTTTGGTGCATTGGCTCTTTTTCCATTCATAATTTTGTGTTCCTTTTTCAAAGTGAGATTTCTGTAAAGAAGAAATCAGAAATTTATGTAGAGATGAAAAATTGTTTATCAAGAATCAAAGTTACAAGCAATATACATCTTGGACACTTATTTTGAAATAAAAAGTTTAATTTATTGTTTTATTTGTCGGGTTAAATTAGTTTCCTAAAGATTTGGGCAGTGCAGCCAAATCAACATCCTCTGGAGGGGGAGGCTTATTGGAGGGGATGGTTTAATCAAGAATTTAAGGGCTAATGCTATTGTAAACACGTACCAATGATGGCTAAGGATTGCAATAAATGAATGCAAAAAGAATCATGCTCATTAGGACTACTGTGAGTTAATGTCTCTTTCTTAGTTTACGATAGAAATTAGATAACGATGCTTGCTGTTTGTTGTCACAGCATAATTTATCATTCAGTATTTCCTCAGGTTTAAAGATTAATGATCAGATTGGTGATCTGAAGTTAGAAAGTTTTCTTCAGGATTCAGGAATACCAAACTCTGAAATAACTAAGGTATGAAATTTTAAAGGGACGTTTTTTCTAGTGCTTTGTTTGATTTTTCAGATCTATTCTGTGAACAGCTGTCCTACAACGATTGCCTGTTCTTTCATTTGTGCTTGTATTGCAGTGTCTTTGTTATACCCTATTTTGTCTTTGATTATTGCTTAAAGTGAGTTAGGGCTGTATTATATTCTCTAATTTTCACATCGTCTTTACAGTGTTTAAGAAACGTTATGTAAAAATTACCACAGAAGCCAAAATTAATGTGTCTTAACACAGAGTAATTTGAGGTCTTTCTGAGAATGTTTCTCACCGTTCCTAAAAGCGTTTGGACTTGAGTTTACAGTGCTCTTAACACCAGATGCTTGTAGAACCACAATTATTGTCTGTAATAGTGAGATGTCAGTTGTCTTGAGGTTATGAAGTAATGAGGTAATAAGGCTAACACCACAGGAGGAACAATTTGAGACAGAATTATTTGTCCACAGTTGGGAAGTTAGGGTGTAGAAAATTGAGTTTATGCCAAGAAAGTAGTTTTTTCAACTTTTTGCTTTTGGTTTAAGAGAGTTATTTTTAAATTACCCTTCTTAATCTTTTCTTATCATTACAATACTGCTTGATGTTGTCCTTTTTTTAAATGTATTGATCTTTGGAATGTGTCCGTCAGTTGTGGTTTTACCCCAGTGGGGGGTGGAGGGGTGCTCCCATTATAGCCTGACAAGGGAGTCCGGTCAGGGTCAAAGAGAGCCAACGCTAAAATTTTAGAAAATTACCCTCAAATGGTAGTACTTTTTGACAAAACCCCTCAAAAGATAGCATAAAACCGAAAATATATCCTTGCTAGCATCCAGTTCTTTGTGCTCTCCTGGTCCTTTTTTGACAACTTTCTTCATAATTGATTGTTGTTGTTTCGGGAAAGATAAATCTTGTTCATTATCTATAACAAATCGCAAGCTAGACTAAACAGTTCAGTTATTTTCGAAAATGGGCCATTTGGTAAGACCCTCAACGGACTGGACCCCCCTGTCAGGCCTTAATGGGAGTTCCCCCGGTGTGGGGGGGGGGGGGTTTCTGTACTGTTTACAACCATCGGAAATGCATCACAGTTCCCTATTCCCTTTTTAACAATGAATCTGAGAGGTTGGATAGTACAGGTTGGTAGGGTTGGGAAAACTCTCTAGCCTTGTGCAATCAATGTGCATTAGGCTACACAGGTGTTACTGATAAAATCGATAAGCTCTATATATTTTGCGTTGCAGTTTGCAAATCATCATTGCACTTATAATGATGTAGTTTGCAACTTCTCATTTGAAGATCTAAAAGATGTTGGCCTTAGGTGAGTTAATTTCGTGTTATGCTGAAATTTATTCTTTGAGCAGGAGCTAGAAATGCCAAATTGTGTTTAAGTACACTTAGGTTCAGTTGGCACATTAGATTAATTTTTGGAACTGAAGGAGTTGGCTTGGGTTTGCTTACAATGAATTTCTTTTTGTCATTCATCAAATATCAGGAGTTACCTGTTTTTCAAAACAATGTCTGCAAGCAAGAGTAGTGGCGGATTTAAGGGGGGCAACTAGGAACAGTTGCCCCTCCCTTAACGAGTTGAGGAAATTGTGCGCCCCTTTTGAAATGAGAATCTGGTGAAAAAGTTTCGGAAACCGTTAGGTTAATTTGCTTCCAAGATTACCTCAAAGTTATGTTTTTTTGTTTATTCACAATGGACCCGAAATTGTTGTATACAACGTGCTCTCATCACCAATTTTTGAAAATTTTTCGATCGTTTTTAATTTAATGAAAAGCATGTTGAGTTTTATTTCTGTCAAAGATTGTTCATTGAAGGCAAAAGTTAGATTTGTTATGACCACATTTGTTGGTCAATGTTTTGGGCAATGATGACTGTTTTTGATGAAAGCAGTTTTAAAACACTTGAAGTTAAATTTTCATCCTTTCAAAGCCGTAATTACAAGAAAAGTGTTTGTGATGAAGGGTTTTGCCTGTTATTACATTTAAAGAAACCATGTTGATTAAGTTTTCTTTTTGTATTCTGTAGCAAAATAAATTTTCTTGCTAATATTTTAAGCAGACAGACAGCTCAGAATCACAAGTTCTGTTTAATTCTCATTGCAGCATTGGCCCAAGAAGTAGAATTTGGAGTGCTATCCTCAAACTTCGCTCAAGTCCCACTTCTGTTTGAGATTTTTAAGGCACACATGGTTTGTATTGATAGTTTTATCAAAACGTTTTTTCGCAATCATTATATTCTTGGTAATGTTTCCAATGAAATTTTATTCCTATTACAATAGCTTTCAGTACTAATTGCACAAAATGGTTTGTAGAAATCAGGTTCCCCTTTTTAACTTCAATCTTTTACAGCTTTAAGAAATCAAGATGTAAACTTGAAAAACTTAGAATGATCACTCTTTTGTTATCAGTGTATTTGTGAAGTATTGACCTCATTTTAAGAGTCAATTGAAGTAAACAATCAGAGAATTATATTCCTTGAATAAAACAGGCTACTAGTGCCAAGTCCCACTCCTCTTTGTTTTCTCTTAAAATTTGTGTAAGTCTGTTTCACATTGGATGTATGGCGACTTAAATGTGATTGACAGCCCATCCATCAAATCTGTAATATTGTGACAGCACAGGTGCAGGGTTTTTTGATGGTTAGGGCTTTTAGGGGAGGACAGTTGCAGTGACTGTGGTTGTCAGTGGTGCTCTTTCTACTGGGGCCTCTACGTCCCAGCACTGTCGCCTGTGCTGGCCTGATATCCAATGTGGAACAGATCCTAGTATGTATCCGTATTTAATCGTATTTAATCATATTTGTCAGTAAGTTAGTTTAGTGTTTTAAGTAATGACCTTTGGGATAGTGGTGGGTTCTTGCTTCCCGGGGTCATCATCCTTGTTATGTAGTCCAGTAGTTTGTAAAGTATAGTCTTAAGTACCTCGTTTTTGTAAAAAAAATTATATTATACAAAAAAACAGGCTACTAGCAGGCCTGGCCATAAGACTTTAAGCAGAGGAGTAGCAAACAACCCTCCTAGTAATTTCCATGTGATCTATTCACAGATATATATATCAAAAGGAATAAAGGAAAGATTGCTTTCAAGGAGAGCAATTTGCTTGTTTTGAACAGTTTAGGAGAGCAATCCTCTTGAGCATTTGAGGGAAGCTGGAGGGGGGAAGGCAAGAGCAATTTGCTTGTTTTGAACAGTTTAAGAAAGCAATCTGTAGCTCCTCTTGAGCATTTGAGGGAAGCATGGAGGGGGGAGGGCAAGAGCAATTTGCTTGTTTTGAACAGTTTAGGAAAGCAATCTGTAGCTCCTCTTGAGCATTTGAGGGAAGCATGGAGGGGGGAGGGCAAGAGCTTCAGCTTTCCTCAAATCGCCAGGCCTGATACTAGTCATTTGCTTAATATTCTAATTTTGAATTTTGTAATTTCTATTTTTTAAGAAGAATTTTTTCCAATTAGATCAATTATTCAATCAAATGTCAATTGCAAACTGTTTTTATATTCAAATATTTCAATTTTTCTCTACTCAGCACTATTACCAATAAAGACACATGCAACAAGTTGAATTTTTGGTTTATACAGAATGTGGTAGCTACTTTACATACATTTTTTAAAAGATTGCTGTAATCCCCTCTATTTATTCAAATTGTTTTGTTCACTTCATTATTTGAGCTAAATTTTGTATCACAGTCACAGTTTGAGAACAATACTCCAAATATTTGATCATAGTTAAACGGAAATCTCCAACAACACCGGAGTGGTTTCATGCTAAATCAGCTTGTGCTATGCCAACATAATTTCAGACATAAGTAATGTGATCTGCCTCACTGCTAGCTAATTATTTAAATTTCTAGTCAAGTGATAAGGATTTGGTCACTTCTGGAATAAGTTTATCCCCGCCTCAATTTTCTGCCACAAAATATTTGCAAGTGAATAACCCAAAAATTGAATAATAAGCTCTCAACAACAAATTGAAATTACAGAAGCTGTATTGCTAAATTAAGCTTGACAATGGCTGGTTTAAAACAGTTGTAAATACAGGTAAATTTGAGCTAGTTTTTTATGTTAAATGCACAACTTTATGATGTAAATGCACAACTTTAGGATGTATTTTAATTGCAAGACAGAGTGGATTGGAACTGTGCTATAATTCTTTGAACAAATTTATGAACATATTAAAATTTATTCAGTTTCAATTTTAATTCTGTAAAGTAGGAAACATTTTATTTATATTCAAGGTACATTTTTAAGGCTTGTGTGAACATTATTTTATAATTTTTGCTGTTCCTTAAGCATAGAAATGAAATATATATTTATGTGATGTACGTATTAATGAAATACATCAACATAAAAATAATAACGAGAATAAGAGAATAACTTTTTCTGATACGATTTTCTGAGCAGTGAAAGTGCAGAAATTACAAAACCACAATCTCCAAAATGTTGTTTCATTAAATTCTTGCAGTCCCACATAAGTTTCTACATATTCAAAACACAAGTTTTGTTCATCCATATAAAAGCTGAGTACAGAAGGCCATAAACAACAGAATGCATTGCTGTTTTTTTAAAAAGAGTTGTGATTTGCTGGATTATAGAACATAATCCTACTTTTTTTAAGAGTTGAAAAGCAGATTCAAAGCTCAATCCTCAAAGCAAGGGTGGATATGCCAACCAAATCGCAACCAGAGTCCAATGTCATCAGTCACATCCAGGTTTCTAAGGATAAGCAGTATCTTCCATATGACATGACAGCTCTATTACTGCTTGTTTACAAATACAAATTGACTTTCTGGCTTTCTTTAGGTTACTAAGAAAGCCATACCATAAATGAGGGTGTTAACACATACATCTCTACCTTGTGTTAATTAGCACCTTTAACCAATAACACCTTCCTTGCATGCAAGATAATTTGGTTAAAAATAAATATTTCTGTTATTAATGAACTTTTAAATATTAGGTTTTAGGCTTTGTAGGCTGTAGCAGGATCTTCATGCTGTGTTGTTACCAATATGCTCCTAAATTTGTCAATTAATGTCACCAGTTCTGATCGACGCATGTTCTCATAATACATGATTTCCTCTAGATGATGCTGGCCTTTAAAATATGGACAGATTTGTAAAAACAAGTCAATATCCTCAGCCTCAACATATTGCTGCATGCTTAAAATGCCAGCTTTTTCTTGGTTAGTAAGGGTATGCCAGATCTCCTTAGATGTAATTTCTGGACCTGCTAATTCATTTAGCTCAAAACTGGTACCAGAATGAGTTAAAATGTTTGCCTCAATATCGTCAGGAGGCATAAAATAAACATAGGTATGTAATTGCTTAAGAAGCTGTTGTTTCAAAAGCCAGGTGACAATCATCAAATGCTCTCTCTGTTGGTGAATAGAATCAATTGGATTTTTATATTCACCAAGTGTTGTTGGAAAAGAAAATCTTGCAAGAATAGAAACCAATTCAAGACTTGATTTTCTCTGAAACTCCCTTTCAAATTTTCTTGCAACCTTTGAGTCAATGTTAGCTGGTGTATCTTTGACAATCATGTAAACATTATTCTCCGCAAGTGGATAAATAACCATTGCTTTACCCCAGTACACCAAATGGGACACAACATTAAATATTTGTGATAATGATATATCTGCATCTTGTGACAATGTTTGAAAGCTTTTCTTCAAACTGCACATTTTTATAACCCTTTTAAGAGTTGGAGCACAATCATCTGGAAGGGTATTCAGCAAGTTTCTTTCATCATCAAGAAGCAAAATTGTGTGATAAGGCCTTATTCTTGAGACATATGTACTCAGCAATCCTGGATCAATTCTTAGCTGTCCTTCTTCATTTTCATGTACTTTATGAGGTAAACAAAAGCTAACATTTATCCATTTGTTAATATAGACATTTATTATCCCAGTGGTGCACAACTCATCAAAGATCAGCTTCAGATCTTTGGCTAATTTGCTTTTGCTTAGAACAACCTCGAATTGTGATTGATGACAGTCTTCCGGCATTCCACTAACTTCATCTTGAATTGCCACAATCAATCCTCTTTCTTTTGTTAAGTACCTGGACCTGCAAAAAATGCATAGATGTTGGATTAACATCGAAAACCAGTGCTTTCTTTTGATTTATTTGAGCAGTTTCTATAGAAAAAAGATACAGACTTCAGCTTTATAGAAACTTGCAACAAAGCATGATTTTTCATATATACTTGTAATTATTTTAAATAGATATAGTTAGTTTCAGCCATTAAGGTGCTGCAAGATATTTCTCAACTTTATTAGCTTTTAAAATGTCCCAGCAGCCTAGGTAGAGGTACTTTTTTCAAAGTTTTTTGTGTCCTGAGGAAGGATGCAGTTAGTTTCCTATTTAAAAAATACACTTTCAACAAAAAATTCCAGTTTCGATTTCTGGTCTTTTCAATGCTTATCAAGCCTGTTCTTAAAGATGTTCAAATTTTGCGTCTGGACTACTTTTTTCAGCAAACTATTCCAGGTACTAATGCATCTCTCTTTGAAAAAGTTCTTCTGAATGTTTAACCTTGAGCCAGATTTTACTAGTTTCAATTAATGTCCACATGTGGTGAAATTATCTTTGATCTAAGCTGAATAACTGAGTGATGTCAACATCATCCTTTCCATTTAGATATACTTGAATCATATCTCCTCTTAAGGGTCGAAATGCTAAAATTCGTAAATTGACAGCCTTAAGACGTTCGGGATAATTTAGGTTCTGACAAGACATTTACTATTATCATGTTTTGACTTGCTTAGTCATGCTATGAACACGCTTTTCTGCTCTTACGCTGAATACGTAATGTGGCCTAGTATTATATCCTGATCGTATAAGTTGTTTCGTTATGTTCATTCAACCGTAGTTTATCTTTCAAGATACTCTCTGTGGAATTCTAATACTAGGTTCTTTGTTCCATGGATCATTTTTGTAGCTCGTCTTTGCACAGATTCAATTTTGGCAAATTTCTATGAGATCTAGCAAAACAGAAGCTATTTTCAATTCACTAGGCACAATTCACTACCATCTTACATTGTTTTTTCAAGAATCATTCATCAGTGTACTCAAATCATGTTACATTTCAAATAAAATTTCATCACTGTTGACCTATGTCTTCTATCAATACAAGTTCCCTAGATTTTAAGTAAGTTGTTTGAAATGGGTTATATTAATCATTAGGTGGGGATACCACTGTAAATCATAGAAATTTATCTTGGTTGATTTCACATCACTGTTTTGAAAGATTGGAGTGCATTGAATGCTTCATAACTCAAACTCTTGAAGAAAAGTAAAGTGGGTATAAAGAACTAAAATTTTGATTATCAAGATCATGCTCAAACAGAACTGATTTTAATATGAAAACTATGGAAGTTCACTATTGGCTCATACCTATTCTCTTCATGCCTTATTGCATTCACCAGCATCTTACACAACATCTGGTAGCATCCAATAACGGACTGACTGCATCCTGTTCTAACAACAAGAACAATGTTAAAAATCTTCAACAGAACATCATCTTCTGGGTCCTTTTCTTTCCCCACATTGAATCCATTGGGTCTTTGCACAAGCACTGGATGCCCCACGAACAGAGCCTCGTCGATCTTGAGCTCAAAATTCGTTTCACAAAGACTCGATGTCGGTGCCAAAATATTGGCTAAGATATCATCTGGATAGCCAAATAGTTTTCCATCTTTCAAAATTGCATCTGATCGGCTTTCAGTTTGTTTAAAACTTCTATCAACGCCAAAAGGATTTCGACCAGTGACTAATATTGTTCCAGTATCATCTTCGACTTCGGTATCTTGGTAAGGGTATCTAAAAAGCAGTCTGTAGCCTCTACTGCCAGCAACTACAAGAAGGATATTTAGAGGGTCGTTTGATTGATGCATTTTCTTTTCCACAATCATAGGCTTGCGAATTTGCTTACGAGCATTTTGTCTGTTGATTTTGTCTTCGTTTCCACTTGAAACTGTGGCTTCAGTCAGGCCACTGGTCTCGTTTTGACTTTTGCACTCGTTTTCGACTAGGGATTTTTCCTGGAATTGATTTCGAAGGTCAGATTCCCAAATAGCAAAGTCTGAACTTCGCAACAAAGACATTAAAACCATCTCTATTCTCTGCCCATAGCTATTAGAGGACCTGAAATCGATACCCTAAGCACTTTAAAGAACGCTCTCCCATTACTGCTGATTTCTACGAGGCGAATTTCGCGGCGAAATCGCTGATGAAGGCATCAAGACATGCGCAGTTTTGATTTTTGATTTCGCAGCGAATTCGCAAGAAAGTAGAAAAGAGTTCTACTTTTTCTCGGCGAAATATTTCGCAGCACCTAATAACCAGTCAAAGCATGGTAAATTTGCTTGATTTGTAAGAAAACAATCTTGGAACACTCGTCATGCGTGCAGTTCTTAAAATAGGCGCCTTAAAGTTGAGTTTTGGAGGAAATTATTATATAAGCGAATTTCGCCTCGTGGAAATCAGCCTTTAGGAAAATTGCAGATAGTCAGTAAGAGTTTTTAATATGAAAAATATTTTTGAGAACATCCCCTTTCCTGTTGAACCAAAGAACATCAGAAACAAATCATAGACATTTATATTGCAAAAAATAAGATCACTTGAACTTACTTTATACAAATTTATACAACCTGACGAAGGATGACGAAGATATGTAACTCTGTATTCCATTTATTTGCGAAATCGTAGTAAAAATCAAAAATAATCTAATGGATACACTATCGTTTTTGCAGCAGCTAAGTTTTAAAAAATTTAAATTGCATTGAAAAATGAAACTTTCAAGCTATATTTTTGTTCACTTTTGCTTCTAGATGCGAAGATTTTTCAGAATGGAAATTTATTCAAAACTGACCTGGTGTGATGATATCTCAGTAAATTTTGCGTTATATCCATTTATCTGTGTTGTAACGGCACTTAATGATTATTACTGAAATAATCACGTAGTTTGAGCTTGAGTCGTGTTATTTCAAATCGCAATTGTTCTTTTGTAAGACAGTCTTCTTGTAAGAAAGTTGAAAAAATATTATCTTGAATTACCCGGTAGACCATTTTTTTGCTAAATGTCTAGGCATAGAATTATATGACTTTTAGAAAAATTGAAGTGAAAATACAAATTTTTTAGATAATTATAAATTGGCGATATTACCCTCTCAAATTGTCAACTGAAAACATTAATAGGCAAACAGCACTGATTCGGCAACCTCAACATTCATGTGCTAGCGTTTCTGTTTTTTATATATTTCATCTATTTCGATCCACAATTAGGTGTATATATTTCCTAGCGTACAATTTTCGTTCTGACGTTTTATACCTTTAAGGGTGTCAGATGAAAAGCTTTAGTAACATATTTCAAAATCCTTGCTTTTTTCAAAGCAATTTTTCAAATCATCTACTGAAAACTTTGTTCTCTATATAACTGAAACTCTATATAACTATATTATTTTCTATATAACTGAAATCGGGTTGTTTTCTACATATAATTAAAACTTACTCACTAATAAGTTTTAGATCAAAAACCCAAAACACGAAACTAAGATGCAGGCCTCTTGCTTCTGTTAAACCGTCTATCCGGCAAAAACCTTTTCAACACCGAGAAACAGCTCACTTCTCGCGGACCTGCCTTAATCACCTTCTTTTATCACAGGCGACTCCTGTCAACCAGATCTTGTCTTCGTAACAGAAGCTCAAACCCTTCACATGATAGAGCTTACTGTTGGGTTCGAAAGCAACATCGACGAAAACAGTACTCGAAAAGCTAAGAAATACAGTGATCTTATCAAGGAACTGAGCCCTGCCTATAAACGTGTTATCTTTGTTAACCTTTCTATAAGTGCCCTTGGCATTCTGGGAATCTCATCTATCTCTCTCTCTGACATGCTACATCAACTCAGTTTTGTCTCCAGTCAAACAAAATCCATCTTGATGAAACTAATGAACATTTCGACTACTGGCACATCAAAATACACAACAAGGCTCAAATTCTATGTGACAAAAGCGATCTTGCTTTTTATTTGTAACTGCATCTGTATAAATTTTAATGAGGAATACACTATTCGCATCCTCGTGAACTGCGATCCCCTTTAGTTAATCTTGAGATGTGTCAGTTTCATTTCCAATCCCTCAACCAATCAAGCCAAAAACTTTTAGTAACTCTAGTGTCTCTAATAGACGTGCCCCCCGTGTATTAATTTCAGAAGAATTTACCCTCCCTCGTCGCTTATTAACACCCCCTTTCTATTAAATTTTACAAATCTGTCATGACCAGAACCCGCAATTTTCACTTGTCAATAATTCCCCTTGTTATGTTTGTCTATCTTCATCTCTAACCATCTATCCATTATCAAGTAACCAGTGTCACCATCCTACTAATTCCATTGCCTTTAAATTAAAAAGATTTACCCACATCCACTCCTTCTATTAGCTCCCCTTTGCTATTGAAATTTGCTGACATTTTATTGAAAATTAGCCAACCTGAACACCCCCTTCTATTAGCAACGCCCTTCTATTGAAAACCGGTCGACATGAACACCCCCTTCTATTAGCACCCCCCTTCTATTGAAAACTGGTCGACATGAACACCCCCTTCTATTAGCACCCCCCTTCTATTGAAAATTGGCCGGAATGAACAACCCCCCTTCTATTACCTCCCCTTCTATTACCTCCCCCTTCTATTAGAGACACTAGAGTAGAAGACATTGGTTCTCGCTTCGATATCAAGGATAGTAATATGTTAAATCACTAGTTTGATCTATCATAAACGCGTGAGTTCTAAATAATAAGTAGAATTAACTTACGACCTTGAGCAGAAGAACTCGAATGAAGACACGTCTCGTCCAAAACAGCAAATGATTTCGACAACTACGCTACACGATATATATATCTAGGGGCAAAGGTTAAAATTAGGCAAAATAATGTCTTTACTAAATATGGTTAACAGAAATGTATTTCATGTTCCTGGCCAATCAGGGAAGCGATAGAAAAATATCTGATGCAATGTACATGCACCCGGCACAAAGTACAACGTCTGATCTGATGTCTGATGCAATGCTGGTATGTAGACGTCACGTGTCATGCAGCAAAATTGATAATCGAACAAAAACAACAGCAACAGCATATAAGCGATTGTTAAGTGAACTGTCTATTTACAAATAGTGTCGCTTTGAATTAACTCAAATATCTCTTGATAGGAAAGGTTGTTCTTCTCTGTCAAGGACTTGAGATAACCTTCATCCTTTTTGCTTTCGAATGGGTTTTGAAATAGACGGCTGTAGCGTTCCAAGTTGTCAAATGCGAACCAACAAACTCTTAAAGAAACTCTGTGAAGCTCACTTGAAAGAATTGCTGCTTTTGTATCTCTTGTATCTCTTGACCGCTGGCTTTTGATCTTCCACAACTTTTCTTCGCTCTCATGCCCGTGCACTTCGCGGTACACCTGGCGTGTGGAAATGTGCATGGGATAAAACACCGTGCCGGTCTTCCCTTCCGTGCCAGTATTGTTCAACCTTTTTGATCCACGGCGCATTTCTCATCGAAAATATGTTAAAAAATGAAACTTCATGGCCTTTGCACAATTTAAATTCGATCTCATCGAAGTGTCTTGAATAGCTATCTCAATTAACACAAAGAAAAAAGTGTTTAAAGAATAAAGCAAAATATTTTTATTCACTCAGTGTTAAACCTGAGTCTCTTTTTAGACCAATGACGTGAAATTGAAGATTTCTCACGGTACACCAGATAATATCTCACGGCAGACCAGTTTGCCACCGCACAATTGTTGAAAAAAACAGTGTCCTTAGTGGTTCCCGAATCCCCGTTGTTGCAGTTGCTCTTGTCCAGCACTTGAATTTTTGGTGTTGTATATTTTTCTTAAATTTTGCAAAAGAAGTTTGAAGTTGAGTTAAAAATACAGTTAATGTTAAAGAATTTTTTTATACAAGAGCTCAATTTCATGTCCACAAATGACTTCTGTTTTCATATTATCTAACAGTATTAGCTTGTGAACCATTTCGGGTTAGGAGGGCGATTCCAGACTCCTTGGAATCTATGACCAATTTTTTCTCTCTGTCAGCCACCCCTGCCTTACCCCTGGTCAATACAGAGCATGTAGACAAATTATATAGATTACCTGCCCTTCGGTACAGATAAATGAATGGTTTCTACCATTTTGCTTCACGTGTTGATAAAGTGCTGATTGTTTACTATTGTTTTCATGACGATTCACGTGTTAGTCTCGTTATCATTTATAGCCTCCTTGAACAAAACAATGGTAGAGTGGGGCAAAAGCTCAAAGTACGGTGCAGAAAAACTTTGTAACTCTGTATGATGAAAAAACAAAGATGGGAAGCTATGTCATACTAGAGTTGTGCCCAAAACTGTTTTATAGAATTATTTTATTCTTTATTCACAATGTATTATGGTTGATGGCAAAATCAGTGTCATTCTGGAGCAGTGTAAAAAGGTGGTACGTGGCAGCAACAGAGTTAGGCCCTCTCGCCAATAGATATAACAACTGTTGGAGGGAAGTCAAAACATTGCGTCATGCAGCTAGAATGTTGACGAAAATCCCAAAGCATACAGTAATCGTACTTACGAATGAAAATGATATTTCAACAGAAAGTTTAGCAAATTGTGTGACCTGGAGTGTCTGCTGCGGGACATTATACGTCACTTTGTATGACAAGAAAGGTTAGTATATTTTATCTCTCGTTTCTGTTAAATAAAAATATGTAATATGCTAGATACGTCACGACTTGTTTGAAGCACGACATAATGAATTGGTCAGTATGTTATTAATAAGGGATAAATTTGCTTTTATCATCAGCACAATTTGACGTACTGACATACAAAAAAGTGAAGGATTTTATTTGTTATCCTGACCGATGTTCTCAGAAAATACATATTTATGTTGATAATAAAAATTATTTTACAGTTTTCGCCAGTTAATATAACTTTAATCTTTGGCAAAGCTGTGAGCATTGTCATAATGGTGAACTATGAAGCATATATTTCAACTGCTGTGTATTTTACAAAATGTTGTTGGTAAGACATCCTCTGCTTATCTAATTATGCCAATATTACAATCTTCTCAAAGCTAATTAGTCCTAGAATTTTTCCATTCACAGTGCTTGCCCCACAACCTGAAAACTCAATTTTTGCTAGGCCAGACTGGAAACTTTGTCGCGCAATCATGATATATTGCCTGCGCACCCAAATTTTCCATCCGTGCACTTTTGCATATTGGCCGTGCAAAGTCCCTATTTGAATACATTTCACATTATTAATCATAAAAATTTCTTGAAAGTGCATGATTTCAGGTGCGCAGTCATGCAGTAAGTCGCATGAACTTGCCCGGGCAAGAAACAAAGTTTCCAGTCTGGGCTAATGGTCAACATAACTAGCAATATCATTTAAAGATGAAAAATACAGTTGAAGTATAAACTTGTTTTTTTACCAGTCCCATTAGTTGAAACAATCAGGAAAATGAGTTTCTGTGTAGGCAATTATCATGAAAGATGTCTGGTATGCTAAAAATCTTGACAAGAAGTAAACACTTTCCAGTCTAGTACAATGAGATTTTTGAAGCAAATAGCCCAGTATACAGAGCATAGCAATTCTGCACCCAAGTTGTATACCTGGTACAACTGTGATTGATATTTGCAAATCTGCATCAATGGTAATCTGCAAATCTGTTGATCTTGTCACAATTGTCCATCTTCTGCCAACTGGCAAATAGCTAAGCTTGTTGGCTTTTGCTATTTTTCATGTTTTTTACTTTTTAGGCAATCTGCTGCTCTGCCAAGATGAAATAAAAAGCCAAGTATTGCGGAAGTTGAAGACATTACTGGGAGATGATTTTGTAAAATATAGTTTGATATTCAAAGATAGTTCCTCGTCATATGGCAATGGATATGGTATGTATTAAAGTCTGTTTTGTATTGTTTCTTGTACTTTTGAGAGTTGAAATATAGAAGAACAAATGCAAATGAATGTATGTATTTATGTCATATTGCAAATTGTATCACAAAGTTTGTAATAAGGAGCAGCCACGCAATTTAACTTTGATTTTTAACTCTGCTATGATTTTTATATTTGTGATTGAAAACCGTGTTGCTTTTTGCTACTTTAGGTTAGCATTGTATTGTATGGTATTTTTGCTAGCTAGCTGCCAAAGATAGTTTTAGGACACTGAAAAGCTATGTTTATTTGGCAGTGTCCTGGTCCTTCCACCTCCTGATTCCTATACCAGCTGGTGACCTATTCCATAAGAGCTGGTGGCTCTCCTCACTCTGAAAAAAGTTTGTTGATGTTAGGGACTTAAAGCACAGACCCTTACCATTGAGGCATCCTTGTGCCTGTTATGTTATTTGTTTTGTTTAAGCATTGTTTTGTTTGCATTCGATAACATGTAATTTGTTTTCATGTGAGTGAATCATTTGCTAAAAACCTTTTTCAGATGCCTTTATGAAAACTTTTGTTTTTTCCATTTTTTTTATTTTGTTATATAAAAAGACAAGGGAAAAAAGTAAAAGAGTAATGCAAGAACAATATAAAGCAAGATTTGAAATTTATTCTTTGATTAAGTGTTGCCTGCATATTTCAAAGCAGTAACAAACTTTGCTTTTCTTCAAGTGTTTGATTTATGGAGCATTCTTTTGAGGAACACCATAGATTAGCTTACATTTTATACTCTGTTGTACATAAATTGTGTAGGCTGAATTTATTTTGGGAACAAAATTTCAGGTTTTGGTTTGAAGATTGATTTTTTCAGCCAAATTTTTTCTGAATTTTTGAAAGTTGGACTAATCAGAGTGTCTATAATTGTGTTTTTGTTTTTAGTTCACACAACTGGAGTTTGTGTTCAAGTCATTTCAGAAGATGACTGTCGAAAAGATATAGTAGATGTTTCAAAGCAAATCCTTGAGCAAATTGACTCACAGCTGATAGATGATAGCGACATAGATTCTTCACTAATTAATTCAAAGTTGAATGGTGCGTAGCAGCATTTTATGAACCAATTTTCCCTAAGTTCATATTTTTTTGAAAATATTCATATTTTAGCAAAATTGCTCCACTATTCTTATTTTGAAAATATCCCTATTTTATATGTATATTTTGATGCTGAGAGAACTGTTTTAGTAACAGTCAATAGATGTTCTGCTGGATACTGAGAGGATATTCTGACCTCATTATAGAGATCACCTTCAAGGTCATTCCTTTTGTTGTGTAGCATATTTTTCAATAGAAAGTTGTTTATAGTTCCCCATTTTCTTGTTGGGTAAGATTATATGCCAGCAGTAGGTTTTTCTGATATTCATTCATAATATCTGGAAAGCAATCAAGCCACTTGGAATTTTCAGATACTTTATATTGAATTTTTCTGTATTATTCTCAATGACAGATATGCAACTATCACTTACCTTATCTTAAGACCTGCTAAACTGTTTTTTTCTATTTGTTATTTCTGTATTGCTATATGTATATGTCTACAATTTTTTGCAGTACAGAATTTGAAAATGGCTTTGAAAAAAGCAAACATGTTATGTATATGTAAAATTTTACTTATAAAGACTTTTTCTAACCTACTTTACAGCCATCAAAGGTCTTCCTGACCCAGATTTAGCAATCCAGTTTGGTTCAATACAGTTTCTTGATGGCTGCCTTCCATGGCAAATGAGATTAACAGAAATTGTGTAAGAGTTTTACTTTATTTCAACTTAGTCATAACTATTCAATACTCCTCTTTGAAGAAATTGAATTAAGTATATTAATTAAAAAGGTTTTCAATTTGAAACTGACAGCCAGTTTGCATTACTTGATTTGGTACAGAAGTCCATTATGCTGTAAATTCTGGGGTATTTGAGGTGTGGGTCCAGAGAAAAATCTGGCTGGAGCAGGAGGGGGGATAGGAGCTACACCCTCAGGAGCAGGAGGGAGGGATAGGGGCTACAATGCTTAATACCCTTTCTTTTTTAGAGATTTCTTTGCAACACATAGTGATATTTTAAAAACTTGATCAATGATTTGATAAAAAAAATGACACGAGAGAAGCTTTTACAAAGATATGGCACAAGTGGAGGTGGAAGGTGATATAGTGGTGAAGAGGAGATCTTCCCCTGGCACTACAAGGAATGCAGACTGGACTGTCAAATTGACAGACAACTTTTTTTGAAGATAATGTCAAACACTCTAAAGAACCAATACCTCTAGAGCTAAACCATGTCACAACATAGCATAGAAATATATTATTTTCAACAAATTTGTCAGTTGGACAGTGACTCTTATCATGTCATGTATGAACAATCTTGCAGTGGCAAGGCATAGTGGTGCTAAAGGTACTAGTCTTAGTATCTGTTTGCAAACTATTGATGCCCATACTCCTTTGCTTTGAGTCACACAGACCTTTGGATGCTGACAGTCGTGTTAGTGTGCCAAAGCCAATATCTGCTAGCCATAACACATGAGATGCTATGTGCTTAGATTCCATTCCATTGTATTTACCTCAGTTTTGCAGTTGCATAGGGCTGTGAAATTGTTCTGTGTAGATGGTCTATCTTTGGCTTTTTGAAAGTTCACACCAAAAAACGCCTGGCCCCTTTCATCTAGGCCTATACAGTTTCTCACCTGTTCTAGTGTGAAATAATGTAATCAGATTTCATGAACTTATAATCAGTATTGTAATGAACAACGTCAAGAAAGTTTTTTTAGTTAAACAAGTCATGAAGTCGTTTCATGCCCCGTGGATAAGGATTGCAGCCCTAGCTGCAATACGATATTAGACTAGCAGTTACTCTTATCTTTCTTGCCAATTGTTATAATATAAGTTTAAACCCTCAAGCTAATATAGCCATATACTTTTTAGATCCTTGGAAAGCTGCAGAAATATTCATGTTGATGATTTTGTTACATGCCTGAGGAGATTTTCCAAATGTGAACAAAGATTTGGGAAGTGATTCCTCTAGTTTATTACGAACTCTTAACTATGCAACATCCAGTTAAGAAAAATGGAGCTTTCGACTTATAGATTGGGAACGCTTTATACAGTAAGCTTTGTTTCTGGAGATGTTAGAATTTTGTATTATTAGATTAGATATTTAATCATGTGTAATTAAGACTACAGGATTTCATCTAAAGTGATTTTTCTTTAGTTCAAAATAATAGAAACTTATTTAAATGACAAAGAAGGGCATCGTTGGAAGAAGTTCATTGTATACCAGAAAATTCACTTGACAGCCTCTCAGAATGATTCCAATATTTGAGATAATACAAAGATTTTTTTCATAAATTCAGATACCATAGCTTTTTAGGTACCATACCATCACCCTGATGCTTCTAGAAAAAACACTATTGTCTCTGTGACTATTGGTTGAAAGGTTCAAAGACAGTTAGTGTCATTGGCCAAAAGTTGTATTTTTTTAGATCTGTAGCTATAAGGCATGATATTGCAAATCCCCATCTTAAAGAATTCAATATAGACTACGCTTTATGACAGTATATTGTATATAAGTAGAAGGTGCCAGTCAAACAGAAGCAGTTTTATTGGGATATTTTAAGGGATGGATGCCAAGGGCTAGATTTGAAGCTTGCAGTGTAATAAGCAACTTTATTTGCTACCATCAAGGAACTTCTTCAGTTAAACTCGAAATGGAATTAACCATTGGCACTAAAAAGTTACCTTTTCTTTTGTAAGTCGAGCTCATCTATGTATGTGGAAAAAATGTATTGATATGCTGACAATTTGCAACTAGTTTAAAATGACCAAAATCAGTGTAAGTGAATTCGTACAACTTATTGTCAATCAAACCCAGTTTGATTTTAAAGTCTGTCTTTGCTTATTTATTGAATCTTTATCTCTTTTTATGAATCACGATACTTAGCTCTGTATTGCGCACCATAAAGTACATTTTATTTCATAGCAACAGGTCAGGCCCAGAAGTCAGAATAGATTATTTGTTTTAAGACCCAGTTTTGCCCCTGTAACCCCAGCCTTCGCTGTTAAAGAACAAGTGCCTGATTGCTCAAAGCAATCAAGTAGTTGAATCAGGTTCATTCTGATCTGTAGGCTCAAATGCTAGACAGTCACTTTCAATTTTGTAAATGACGTTTTTTAAATGCATAAGCTAATGTAAGTGATGAATATTCTTTAAGTGTTTGTTTTTTGTTATATGTAAACTAGTCAATCAGGGCTTATAGGCAAGTTTTAGGCCTTACAAAATTAGGAAACATGCCTATTATTCGTGCTATAAACCCTTTGTTCTTAAAGCAAAATTTTTCATGTGGGGTCTTCTCCCGTTTTCTACAAGTTTGGATGCACTTAAACCCTCTACAAATTTTTTTTCTGTAATCTAGAGAGCAGTCGGAAGCTTACCCTGTTTGCATTTGAAGAGATTGCACATATACCGCAAATCCTCGAATTACCCCCCTGGGCGCTTGTTTATTTTTGATATTTTTGGATGGGGGCTTATTCGAGGGGGGCTTATATGAATGGGGGGCTTATAAAATTATTGTAGACATGAATTTGTTGTGGTAATTCAATAAAACGCCATAGGCAACCTCAGGTGGCAAAAATCATAAAATGGAGGGGTCCAGTTCGAGAATTTACAGTAGCAGTGGGGGCTTATTCAAGAGGGGGGGTTATTGACAATTTGTAGTTCTAGGGTGGGGGCTTATTCGAAGGGGGGGGGGGGCTTTTTCGAGTGGGAGGCCAATTTGAGGATTTACGGTATCTGAAAAGGCGTCCGAGAAAGTTGATTACGACTTTTTCTATGAAACTAAAAATATCTTAATCTTTGGTTCCTTTCTTGCGGCAGTGACAGCTTCTTGGGTAGCTCTTACTTGTCTGATCAGAAGCAGTTTTTAGGGTTAGCCAAGTTAATTTGAGACAAAAATTTTGGAGCTCGACAAGCACAATTCCTTGTCCCTGCCTTGACCTACTTCTCTTCGCAAATATATAAAGGATCAAATTGATAGTTTGGAAGTGGGGGGCAAGACATGCAAAAGACCAAAGGCAAGTTTGCTTCCGTACCGTTTTAAGTACATTTTTTATATTTTCTGAGTGCTTCAGTTCACAGCCTCGTGCTTTTGTGGTCCATATAAGTTTGACTATAGTCTCCTCAGGACGTATACCCAAAAATTATTTGTGCCCATAGCCGCCTAATGTAGACTCTGGCTATAGTCGCACCAAATGTTGCTTGAAAATTTGTGATTGTAAACGGAGTGTCTCTGTAAGCGGAGCTAAATTGAATAGTTTTGCATATTTGTGTGGGTCAACAATTTTGTGACTGAAGTAGGTTGTGTGACTTTAAGCGAAGTGACTGTAAGCGGAATCAGTTGTATAATAGCAGTCATAGCCAAGTGTATACCCGGCTACAAGACAATGGACTTTCTATTAATGTTGACAAAACACATTTTGTGCTTATAATTTCGAAATATGTTGGCGATAATTATTTAGCGAGGCTGGCTGTTTTCATAAAGGGGTTCCTCTGGGTGACTGCCACTGTTCAGTCCTTTCACCGGCCATTAATCTGTATGTTTGTAACAGTTCTGGCTGCTTTTACAAGGTTTCATAGTGTTCCTCTCCCAAATCCAAAAACTTTCTACCAGAGTTTTTGACGTCAAAGGCCTCGCTTTCATCGACATCTCTCGTTTCCAATCATTGCGCGTTTCCATAGCAAAAGGCTTAGAAAAATGGCGGATACCAAGCAATCTTGAATTTTCAAGCCTGCCAACTTTGGCACCGTAAAATGCATATTTTTGCCATGCTTTCTGGCCTAAATTTATTATATAGACGTGTGGATTCGTCTTTATGTTTGAACTAGTGGATCGATTAAATGATTATTTTTACCGAGAATGTGAAATCAGGCGCGCCTAGGCCCAAATGATCAACTAACTAAAAAGTAGCACTTGTAAACATATTTGGTGCGTTACAAACAGTTATGTTCAGCGAGAAAGAGTTACGAGATATTGCCAAAGCTGCCGGTTATGCTGGTAAGTAGGCCATATTGATTTCTCACTCGAATTAGTAATTAGTGATCGTTTCGAAAAATATTTTGGTTTTTAAATTTTTGATTAACTTGGTACGTGGTTGGTACCGTTCCTAGAACAATAGTTATTTGTTTCTTCCTTTAGTTTGATGCTGTACTACTGTTTATTCACATAGCGAAAGTTCTAAAGCTTTATAACGACAGTTGAAAGAGTGTCCATATCAAAAGGAAGTTGGCTATGCCCATTGTCCATCGTGTGTACATTGGCTGTGTCCTTCAGAGAGTGTGGTTAAGAGCTTGAGTAAGAAGAAGAGTCTAAGAAAACAATTATTTTCTGTAGGTAGCATGGAAAAGTTGAAACATAGCATACTTGGTCATATGTTTTATACAAATTGTATTCAGTACTTTTGCTTTGTTATAGGTTATGAAGAAGTGCAAGACATAGCAACATTGTCTAAAAAGGAAAGATGGGTAAGTATCTTTAATTCCCAATGAAAAACCCCAAATTTCCTGCAAGAAAGTTACTGATACAGGCAAAAGACTGAAATCAGATGCCTATGTTGCACTTCTTGATAGAGACTTTCTAGAAATAGAGCAAGAGATCTACAAATCTTCAAACTAGGGTTGCCTATTCCATTGGTGCTAATGGATAGTTGTATGGGGAAGCTTGAGATCAGGGTGATATTAGCCTTCATGCAGACTTCATAAATAGAGGAAATTGTAAAGTCTCCTCATTGATGCTTACTTTCTTGTATCCAGTACGTCAACACTTCTTTAGGAAATCATCTTTTTGCGTGTAAGAAGGAAGAACTGCAGGATAGGCTGTCCGCCGGATTCTGTGAATCTTGCAATGAGTATTACGCGAAATATATTCAGGAACAAAGCAATACGACGACAAGAATACAATGTAATGAGATAAAATTTTCAAAATAAATTAAATTAAAGGAATACTGATATTTCGCCCTGGCATACAGTGCTTCATCAGAGTACAAATGAAACAAACAAGTGAAACGAATCTTTTTTGCAATCTTTTATCTTTGGCACTATGATATCAACAGAATAATGGTAAAACATGTCTTGTATGATCAAACTGATCCAAATACTAGCATACAAAGGCGTTCCGAAGGCATACAACAAAATATGTATTGTTATGATTTATTCCTTAAAATTGTGGAAACACATCTCATTTTCTCTAAAGACAAAGAGATTAGCATAAGGCACTAATCTTGGAAAAAATAATAAGTGGCTACAAGACTTAACAATTTCCTCTATTTGTAAAGTCTGCATGCAGGTTAGAAGATATTTGTTGTTAATGAATTAACTGCTAGCAGCAGGAGGGCTCTTGCCTTCAAAAAAATTTGGTATGATGCACCATGTATTACATTTCTGTTATAACTGTCTACACCTGTTTCTCTATGTTATCATGAAATGCTCCAATCACAAACATCATATGAGGATATTATTTGCCTTTTCATCAACTTTTGGCTTTTCATAAAATCAATGATTTATTCTCCTAGATCAGGTCTAACAAGACTCTGGTGAAGACTGTGGTAATACTCTATATAGACTGTGCCAATTGAATCTTTATTAAACTGTAATTGCTTTCCAATCTTGTAGGAAATTATATCAAAAGGTGAAGACACAACAAAAAGAACAGCTGCAGCTGCTGTAGAAATTCAAAGAATTTGGAAGGGGTACAAAACAAGGTAGCCATTTGATCACTTTGTTATGGTTGCTGAATTAGGTTAGCTGTAAAATTTATATTTGATCTTTGCTCAAAAACAAACTTAATGTTAATTTTTCAAGATAGGCAGTGATAGACCCTTTTATCTGAATTTTTTAAACTTGTGAACCTTGTGCAACATGAAAATGATCCACAAGTAAGCTGGCTTAAGTTTAAATTGAAAATTTCTCATGTCAAAGTAATATTATTACACTGATTTTGTCTGATCTTTTTCTCATTACAATTACTACTTGCTAGGCAATGTTTTAAATGATATTTTAGCTACGAAAACTGCAATTTCAGATCCCAGTAAAATATTGCCTTTTGGCTTTTGCTTGAAAGGAATTTGATGTTTGCTGAATGCTGATTATCACAAAGAAAATTTGTGATACAGAAGCATCATATAATCCTATATATATTGGAAAACATGGATAATGTATAAGCGAATGAAGGAAATTTAGGACATTTAGTTTCCAAGGTTACATTGTCTGAAATGATGTAAATAGAATGAAGGAATTTGGTTATATCTGGTTTCCATTAGGTCAGCTGTTTTTGGTATTACCCATTCCCGTGCAAGTGCAAAGTCAACTTTGGGAGATAGTAGTGATTGCCAAATCAGCCAGCTGTCTTCAAAAACAACTATTCAATCTCAAAGTGCTGTTCTTTCACAAAAGGTAGCTTTTGATTAATCTTCCTAGCTTTGTATTCGGTTTATTGACTTAATGGCATAAGTATAATACTTCAATGATTATCATTTTGTTCCTGTTGGTTGGGAAAACAAAACAAGTTGTTGGATTTAATAGATTAATTTTCCTCTTGTTATTGTGCATTTCATCAAGCATGATAAGTGCTAAATTTCTAAAATACAATATTTTGTAATATTCGCACTTTTTGAATACAGTAATGCACATTTGAATGCTGTTGCTTCTTTGAACCTGGAGCTGATAAAGCTGTTATATAAAAGAGTAAATTTTCGAAGAATATTGAGATTCTAAGTAAGTAAAATTTAGGAATCATTAAAGCTGACAACCAGGCTCAAATTTAATTTGTTGTTTGACTTTTTATCTTTTTAAAAACAAACAAGACAACAACGACTTTCAAAAGTTTGGGGAGGAAATTTTCAAGCGTATTGAAACTCAGCAAAAATCAAGCTGTTCTTTTAAAAGTGTTTAAATGGTTGTAATATAGAACGTTTCTCATTATTTTGCACCTTTTTACCATTAGAGTTCATCAAGACTGAATTCGAGCTACAGTATTCACAAGGGTGCTGCTCTCTCAAACAGCAATATTCCATTGTAGGTATCAATTTTATTACATGTGATCAGTTGAAGTAAACAAGAGATACTGCAAGTTAAAACCATTGATGTTTGAATTGATAGAAAATTAAGGTTTTAAACAAAGTATTCGGAAAGGTAGAAGGTAACTGAATAATTCAACCAATACTTAGACTAGAAAAATTGGTTTTACAGCCAATGTGAGTGGCTATGTAATGATTTTTAATAAGAGAGCACTAGATCACTATTATTTTGATGATCAAAGAGCATTTCTAGGTGCAGATCATTCATCTTCCACTCGCCACTATTGTCTTTCTATAATCTAAAAAAGGAGAAAACATTTTTCAATAGCCACAAAGTAAGAAAAGTTAGCTTAATCCTTTCAATCAAATTTAAGGTCTTTATGGTGGTCAAATCGATGCTTTAAAGGAATACCACATGCTAACAAAATAAAACTCTTGAATATAAATGTAAGAAAGGGCCATCATGGAATGGAGTATAGTGAAAATTCATACGTAAGAACCTAGGAATTTAAGAACCTTGTGGCAGAAATTTTTTATTTTTTTAATACTCCAAATTTTAGAATCTGTTTAGCCAAACAATTTATACACTTTATTAACAAAGCAAAAAAATTGACAGAAAATTGAAATTTTGAAATAACACTGAAAATACACAATGTATTTTCAATTTTAACTGTCATTATGAAACAATTATGGAACCATTTCATATACAATACTATATCATTGATCAATTATTGTTGGTGGGCTTTTGGCAACATTGTACACTAATAGATATTCAGAATGCAGAACAGATCAGATTTATCCGTCAATCAACAACAATATATACTCTATAGATATCAAGTACCCACATGCGGTTTTTTACTGTACAATAGGTTTTTTCATAATGAAGTTAGACTAGAGCGAAAGCAAATAAGCCTTAAAGATCTTGTTTTACATAGAAATGAGATATGGGAATAAATTGATCGTATTTTATGGCAATTTATCATTATTTCGAGTTGTAACCTGTATTTTGAAATAGCGAACAATCTATTACCATAAAAACAAATCTTCTTGTTATAAACTTTATCACTAAATAGTCTTTTCTTGCAATTTTTTTACTTGTTATAGGATCACTTTCCATTTCCAGGCCGTTCAAAGAATTTTGTGCAACTGTTATTCAAAAATGGTGGAGAGATAAATTGAAGAAAAAAGGAAGGGAACAACTTTTGTCAGTTGAAAAGAAACAAGAGGATTCTAGTCGGCAGTCGTCATTTGATGAAAATTTCGTCCGAAATTCGAGTGTGAGAATTGAATATGGGAAAAGCTCTTCTGAAGCAAAATTAACTGAAGATGCCGCTGTATCAATCATACAAAGAGGGTGGAGAAGACACGTGGTATGCAGTTTGTTGTCATTGATATCTTGAAATGTTTTCGGTAGAGAATTGTTGTTTCTTACAAATTTTGCTGGAGAGGTAAATGGTGTTCAAATTGATTTCACAGGCTATGAAATAGGAATATTTTGTTGTGCTTTGCCAAATGAAAGGTTATTGTGCGAATTCATCATATTTTCTAAATCTAAGGACGAAATACAAAGTTTCAACAGTGAGCAAGAAAAGCGCAAACCCAGATCAACAATCCAATACAACATGAGTTCCTTTGTAATTGTTAAATGTATTCACATTCGTAAATAATGATTTCTTGATGAAATTGGTTGTTCTTTTGCGAGCTGCATCGCTGCAGAAAATCCAGTGTCTCTTCGATAGACGAAGATGTCAGTTTTGTAAACACAGCCCCTCCCTTTAATGTATCTATCAGCTCTTCTGAACAAATTTTTGATAATGCTGGATGCAAAATTTTTAAAATTAATTATCATTCATAATTATTGCTAGGTTGTTTATCTCTTGTCATACAGATGACATGATGCTGTGTTGTTTACTAACGGCTTTATATAAAATGTGACTTGGACTAAATGAATGATGAAATTCTATAATCATCCTCAACCTTAAGTTTATTTCAGCTCAAAACGTCGTTGATAAAGCTGCTTTTCTATCCACCTTTCACACAGTAATGTAAAACTTTAATGGTCAAAATTCTTGATGATGACTTGACTTTTTGGATATTCGATTGATATCTGTGCTTTATTAAGATAAATTTGATCTGATGAAGTCTTTTTTCCTCCAAAGGACATGCAGGTCTACAGATATTACAAAGATCTCATCAGCTTTAAGTCCATCGGAGATCCAAGAATAATGCTCAAATGTATAAATCCACGAGAGGTTGGTTTAACGTTAATTATAGTGATTTTATTTCTTCTTTCTCATTTGGCTGTTCTTTCCTGTAAGTGGTTCGATACTGCGACCCTTTACATACGAGGCGAGTAGTTACCCAACGAGTCAAAGTTTGTTAGATCTATTTATGGTTGAACTTAATTATAGTAGTGTCATGGCTGCACATTTCACGGCAGAAAATTGCACCAAAAGGGGATACAGAGATTTAAAGAGGCTAGAATGTTCCTAACTTGTCTACGAAAAGGAGTTTTCACTTTTGAATGATAATGATTTTTGAAAGAGGGCTGTTTATAAACAACCTTCCACTAACGTCTTCTTTTACAGCCCTTATATTGCACCCTCTACCGCTTCAAAGTCCTCGCCCTTGACGTGTTCTCGTGAAGTTTATTGTCATAACTTAGCAAATATGTTATAAATATGTTATTATAGCGACGCTAAGAATTGCAAATCCAGTTCACTTCTACTATTTCTGTCTTAACAAATATTTGGCAAACATTGCTTTGGTGTTATCAAAATGTATATGAACTCTGACATTAAGTTTCAATTTCAGAGTGACCTTCTCGATTCTGCTGCTGGAGGCCATGTGCGATTCAGACTAGGCGGTGTGAGTATCTTCATATCAAATTGATATGTTAAATTTTCGAATTTCAGCGAATTAACACCCTCTTCTCCTTTTGAGTAAGATTTATGATAAACGTTCTTTTATGAAAAGATTTAGTTAAAAGTTATTGAAAATTCTTAAAGACAAAAATTGTTCTGCAGCTTTAAATCATCCCTATAATGTTTTAGGAGCTGATCTTAGAGAAATGTCCATGATAATATAATTACTAAAATACCAACTGTATATGAATTCCATACATATCTAACTCCAACGCAGTAACAAAACATGTGTGTACAAGATTACATGGGCGGATTACATACGGGACTTAGTGTACATACGGGATATTAATTATGTGAACATTACAATCCCGGTTCATATTATGAAATCTCATGTTAAATTTATCCTTACGTTTGATTGAGTTTCTGCCATTCAATCTGACTTTATTTTCTCCCTCGTATTTATCTGGCTGTAATGTTTGGTAAAATTAATATTTAAACTGCTCTTCATTGTTTTTTGGGTCTTTTCATATCGTGTTTTGTCCTGTGTCATATCATGTCGTGTACATCGAAAACGAAACATGTCCTCTATAGCCCGGAATAAGACAATTTAGGTCAGAAAATATTAAGCAAAGTGCAAAGTTTATGGAAGGCAAATAATTGCATATCTCTCAGGGCTCATCTTTGTCGGTGTTGGGAAAGTTTAATTCTCTTGTCCCAATCTTGTCGGGCTTCTTGTACAAGAGGCCAACTTGATATTATCCTTTAAAGCGAAGATTTGCAAAGTTCTCTACAAAGTCAAAGTCAATGTTTTAGCTTACAATTGAAAAAGATCAGCAAACCTTTAATTCTATATCAAAAAGCGTCCCTTTCTTAATAGTTGCAATCTAGAAGCAAAAATGAACGGTGAACTGGCGATGATTTTCTGGCAGCCTTAGACGGGGAGCTGTCGTCTCTCTAAGTCTGATCTTCCAGTATTTTCATCCCAGGAACAATGTTGTCGTGTCAAGTGGCATTGTCAATGCACTGTGTTGCTTTTCACAGGAAAATTTTCCTCCCAACATTTATTACAAGATATTCACAAATCGAAGTATCGCTGATATTGGTGCATTTGCTCCGAGAGATTATACCAAAAGCCAGCTCAAAAAGCTCCCAATGAAGTACGTTCACAACAAATCAGACTTGGTCAAGGGTATGTTGAAAGGAAAGTTTTTTATTCCTCTTGAAATTTAATCAAAGCAAGGGAGCTAATTTAACGAAATAAATTATTCTGCGATGTAACAGTTATTAAATATCTAATGGCTTGATGAAATTTTTTGTTTAAATTTTACCTTGAAATTATCTTATTTTCCCGACTTTTGTTTCTCAAGTTAATTCTCTATAGATGAACACATATAAAGCTTGTGAAGGAATCTGGAATCTTCAACTAGACTTGTTTACACCTTCTTATAACCAATTGATTCTCGGGCATCTCCTTCAGCCTTGATACTTAGTGCTTTTCTACTTATGACCAAGTTCTCTTTTTCCCAACAGACAATAGCAACGTTGATGAGGGTGACTGGTACCAAAGGTGGGAGAATAATGGTTGGAGATTAGTATCGGACAAAGTAAGTTGCTTTTTTCCTTTTTAATCTCATCTTGTTATTAAATAAAGATCATGGTTTTTCTTATAGTAGTTGTCTTGTTTATGGAGATGCTTCTATGAGCTGAATTCCTGATTCAAATGTGGGTTCAGTTTTTGGGCACAATTTATCAACTTAACACAACGGCACTTGTGTACTCTTCTATAAATTGCCCCGTTTGTGTATTTGCTATATTTTTCTATTTGTCAATACGTGTTTTTCATAAATCTAAATTAATTTTGAAAATATGTGTTTTACGTTAACTCGCTATGAGCTATATCAATATATGAGTTATATAAAACTGCTATAAGTTATATCCTAATTTCGCTATGTCATGCTGTTTTTAATTTCAAAGTTCCTGCTTTTTCTCCTTTCTAATTCCTCTATTTCCATTCTTTCTTAGATGATCAAGCATTTATACCAAGATCCTATAACTTTTTCAACTTCACACAAGAAAACCAAATTTCATCATTCAAAGGTATGTACCGACTGGTCAGCTATTGCTTGCTTACTGAAAGGCAGGATGCGTACAACCCTTTTCAAATTACATTGTCAACTCCACGAGACTCAAATAATTTGTCAATATCGTAGCAAAGAAGGTGTTACTTTCTAGACTAAAACTGTAAACAGTAAAAATGTTTCTAAACTTTGCTATTATGACTGCTGATTGTAATAATAATAATCATATTGACCAGTGTTTTTAATTTCCTTAAACTAAGGAATTCTTTAACTTTTTAAGGAACGTTTCAAGGAATTTCAGTTGCTAAGGAAATTTTAAGGAATTTTCAAAATTTTGAAAAAACTTTCTCTTCTATGATAAAGGAAATAAAATTTTGTTTACTCTTTCATTATAAAGGAAAATTAAACATTTCCAACCAAACACAACATTGAATTAAAAGCATAGCGTTTAGACGAGACTTTTGGACGAATAAACTTTCGAACAAAAAAATTTACAGACAAATAAAGTTACAAACGTATTTTGGTGCGAAATTCTCGGATTTTATGCAAGCAAGTGACTCGATTTGGCATTTTTTATATGGTCAAAGTTGTGTTGACCATATCTTTTACAAAAAGGCAGGTTTTCGTAAATCAAAGGAAATTTTCCAAAGTCTGAGGAAATTTTCGTGCGAGTTTTAGGAAATTAACATAACGCAAAGTGAGAACACTGTTATTGACTGTAGGATTTGATAACCCCTTAGTTTAGTATCATCTTGATAAATTGATAATTTGATAATGTGTATGTTCCGCCGTCAGACGAAATAATTCAATACACTCGTTTAATGTACGTTTAAAGTTTATTATGCCAAATTTTTTACTTCAGATTCGGATTAAGGCCCGAAATTGCTATTGGTCCTGATATTGATTTTATGATGACGTAAGATTAAAGTTTTTCTAACAGATTTTTCCGTGTTTAGCTAAACACGGAGGGTGAAAAGTTTAACCCTGGTTGTTTTTCTGGAAAATCTTTGAAAATTTTCAGCTTTCAAATCATCATAAAATCCACAATACAGGCACAACATATGAAAAATTGCTTTCGTACTTAAATTATGGTAGTAAATTCTAATTTGAGTTTAAAATATCATACAACGATGGAATAATTTCCAAAGCGTGTCATTAAGCTGAATTACAGTACAACACCAGTGTATTTCACGTCGTGCCTGCTTAATAGAAAAAATTGACCCCTTTCACGGACACTATTTGGTACATATCTATTACCGTATCAAAGTTTTTCCTCAATAAAAATTTTAACAATTCCTTCGTAGCTTATACGAAAAGAAGATGTTGAAAGGAAAAGAAAGCAGAAAAAAATCGAATGGATGAGAAAAATGTATGTAAGAACAATATAATTTAACAACTGTAGGAATTGCTAAGGCTTTATCTTAATACGTTGTATTTCCCATCTTTACGTATATAAATAATTCTCATATTGAAATTTCTTCATCTTTCCTGCTTTTTACTAACTTTCTTTAGGCCTTTGATAGACTGCATGTAATCACTCTCGTTGTTCAGCATCATCCCATATAAGAACCTTTGCTATTTCTGCCGAAGTACCTCAACTATTTCAGTGACTTTTGATTGACAAGTGTTTCTATTGATTTGCTCATGTCCTATCACTTAGTTTATACTGTCTGCAACCCGACCGATTATATTTCATTTTTGGAATATCCACTAAGACCAGACATGGGTGTGACTTTAGTCCTGCAAAGCTTGTTCTGAAATAAATCTTAAATGTAGAATTTCAAGATCTTTATAAAGGTTCAGTCTGTTTAAGTCACATTCCGTAATGGATTAATTTATGTGTCAAATTTCTAGCAGGAAATTGTCATTCCAAGACCGATGTTTTGTTAATGCTCTTTTTTGCTCTCATGTGCACTGAGGTGCTTATTTAGCAATTTATCCGGCATCGCCTGTTGTAAACATAGACCCAACACGGAATATTCTACAAACATGTTGAATGCACCTGACAACAAAATAAGTTACAATAGTTATTGGGTGTTTCCCGAGTTTTCAATAATATATCCACAAGCAATCTCTGCAAAATTGACCTGGGATGAGTTTTTAAAGCTGTAACCAGATTGACTTTTGACATATGCCAAAACATTTTTGGTCCTGTGCCCTTACCCATTCCATAACTCTAAACTATTAATTACACTGCTATGAAACATCATCACTGAAAGGGTTGCGAAGGCTCTATTCTGTTTTTCTTTCACTGCTTTCTGAGCCTTTCGATGCTTACCATTTTTAATTTTTCAAAAATCTATCACGTCTGTCTTTCATTGCAAAAACCTGTTATAAAAAGCCTTTTGGTGCTTTTTTCTTCAATGAACTACCTTAAGTATATACTTTAGGAATATTCTTAGTATTAGTTGTTGTTAATTATTAGTAAAGTTTATAGAGTATGTATAATGGATGCAGGTATCGAGACGGTGCAGCGAAGGAGGGAGATAGCAACGTCAAATCACTAGTGGAATCTACAGCGAAAGGAATCATTCATGCATCAGAAGGAGGCTTTGATTTGTCCATTGAGGACTGGGAGGTCGATGAGCTTTTAGAATGGACCAATGGATTGAACTTCGATCAGTAAGTCAGAGGAATTGGGACCATTGTCGCTCTAATCCTCTTTTTAATTTGCCAGTATGTCTAATCAATTCAATGATTGATCGATCATTAATTGGATGAGTTTTCCACATGAAACTTTATCATTGTCAAATCATAATGGATATTTCATTGTAGTTGGAGCTCCAATCAAAGCCTTCGCCTTATCATGTTTGAGTTAAAATCACATTAAATGCTTGTATAAAATATTCCTGCCCAGGGAAACTGCCCTACCTGACCGAGCATGCTCCTCCTCCACCGAATTGCTGTTCTCCCAACTATTAGTGGTTCGAGAGTCAGATTGTTTTTCTAGAATATGTTCGTGAGATGGACATCTTTTTAAGGTTTTGCCCCGTTCCTGTCCCTGTCCCTGTACCTGTCCCAAAACGTTTGCCCCGTACCTGTCCCAAAAATCCCGTTCCTGTCTGTTAATGTTAACGTGTCTGTTAATTGAAAATTTTACAACTGCCATTTGAGATCATTAAAAGATTTGATACTATTTTAATTCTTATTTTTTATGATTAGAGTTAACATAATTGTTAATTTTAAGCGTGTGTAATAATTGCTCTTACTTATAGGTATCACTTTGATTGGAAAGAAGTTGGAACGACTATGTCATCAAATTTGCCAGGTATCACAATTTCCCTATTGCTTTCACCTGAATCAATGTTGGCGAATGAATCTATTCTGTTTTTTATGCATTACCGTGCATTTTAAGCCAGTATGCTACTCTCTTCTCTTTTGAAGTAAAAACTACAATGCCGTTTCTTTTATCAGATATATACAATCTAACTAACTCCTTTCATTTCCAACACTAACCTTGATTTTGTGACATTTATTTCAACCTTTCTTAGTTACCTTTTCTATTTCATACGAATAAAGCCTTTTTCCACATTCTAATTTTCTTGCACGTCTTAAGTTTCATGCTTTCAAATGACATTATAAGTGAAACTTTAAGTGATTTATCCTCTCCCCTTCAAATCAATGTAGATAATCTCCAGTCCAAATTTTGTTCCACACAAAAAGTTTCCAAAAAACTAAGCCTTAGAGAGTGAACTTCCTCAGGAAAATACTCTTCTCAGATTTTAATTTTGCCTGGCTTCTTTTGCATCTTCAAATAATATTTTTTCCTGTTAGAAATGACTTGAAGTATTGAATACGTTGCTTTTATGTTTGATTTGCAGAGACAAGTAAAGCCTTCGATATAATGCAGTGAAGACATAAATGGAGTATAAGGAAAACCAGAGAATGCACGAGGTGCGTCAAAAGCCTGTCGTAGACTCTAGGCCTGAGAGCAATTTAACAGGGATAATGAAACATTAAGACTCCTTCAACCAGTATAAAAAGTCTACATGTTATCCAAAATTAAATAGAAGAGAATTGTTACACTGCTCGAACGTGGTACATTTTGTACTTCCAAAATTTATATTTTCCGAATTGTTCATGTGAAATTTCTTCCCTAGTCGATGATAGCTCTGCTTTTACCCATGGTCATTCCAGCTTGTGATGCACCTTTGTTGGTTCCCATTTGTAACCCAATTATTCCCTGGCCTGCTTTCAGCTGCTCTTCTGACCACTCTCGCTTTTCCCCTTCTGCTTGTTTTGGTCCAAGTGTTGGTCCATCAAATCCTTTTATTTGTGCCTGGAAATAAATTATCAAAGTTTTGAAAAAATGTAAGTTTTTTTTAGATTCAATTATTTACTGCTGTTTTTTATTTTAGAAATATATTAAGTGCTAGCTGGTATGACAATAAGGCGAGGCATATACTTGCTACCAAAATCTAAATATTCCTTTCCATGAGAAAATAAGTCTATTGCGCACTTGGTGTAGTTGAGAAGAATTTTTTCCAGTCAGTGATTTTCTGACCAAAGTTCTGGTTTTTACCAAAAGAGTTGTAATCAGTCAAATCTATTTTCTCGAGGTCATTCTAAGTATTTCAACGAACAATTTGATGGGAAACTTCAAAACTTCTTTTGTCATTATTTGGTTAATGGCCTCTAATTCCAAGGCGGTATTTCTTCTTTAAACTGTTCAATCACGTTGTTTGAAAGAAGGATTATATCTTTGTCAGTTCAGACGGATTTTGCAACCTAAACATCAATCATGTCGTCTTAGACAAGTCATAAAACAACACACCCATAAGACTAATCATTCTTTCAAAAGACCAACCAAACAGGCTCTTAAGATAAGACTTAACAGCACTGATCGGTGCTGAGTTAACAGACTTAACAGCTCACTTACCATTCTCCCTAAAGCCACTATCCCTTTGATTACTGCATCCATGTTTTGGTTCTCAAATAAGTCAACAGACTGAAACAGATCTGCCTTTTTCACTCCATATTTTTCACATCCTTGCAGGAATTTTCCAGTGTTTTCCATCTGTAAGACAACATCATTCATCAATAAATTAGTAGCGTTTGTGTAGCAATCTGTATATTAAACCGTCAGGAATTCCACAGAAATAAACGTAGTGGGGACTAGGGAGGGGTGCTGTTGGGAAAATGCCCCTAAAATCTTTTATAGAAATGTAAAAATATCTTACTAGAAACTGGTGCCCAAACATTTCTTTTCATGAAATTACCCCCTCGATGATAATAAGGTTCTGGAAACATTTAAAGGTGCCCGTTAAGTAAAACTCCCAAAACCCCTTGCCCATGTTAAGAGTACACCATTTGGCGAACCTAGTTTACCCTTGAAATCAATATTTGTGATTGTTGATATGCCTCGTTGGAATCACCAATCAAACGTTGATCAGTATTTGAAAATGATATATTTTCTGATATTTAGGAGTTTGAACAATAACTGTATTGCAAATCTTACCAGAATCATTGGTTGGGTGCCAGTATTAATCTTTTTGACGCTTCCTGGTTGGAGTACGTTGATAAGTCTAGACGCAAGAAGATTTTATTTTCGTTTGAAATAATATTATACTACTGTAAAGCTTATTCCAGGTATGGTGATATAATTAAATAAATCAAAGTGGATTTTCGTCTAATGATGTAGTATGATGTGCTATGGTCCACTTTCCGTTGTTTCAAAAGATTGCTTTTCCCTAATGTCTTTGAAATGCAAGAATACGAATCATGAACCAAAATAAGTGGAAGCCTGGGTGGAGTTTTCTTTCATGTCAATAAAAAGCAGTTTTGTTAGGCTGGAGTGTATCGTCCCTCAAAGTAATTTTTTCCAAATCTTAATGCTTGAAGTTCCAAAACAATTATTTGGCGAAATTCGAAATTTGACAGGCGACATCTCATCTCAATAGTCTTTGTAATGTTTGCAGAGTTTTATTTGATATTTGGAGCCTCATGATTAGAGATCCTTTTTGTTCACTGAGCATCTCTGTATTCCACATGGAAATAGACTTCCATTTAATACCTTTCTATGTGACCTGGAACACAGGATACAACACGCAAATATGATATATGTGAGACCAAGATATTATTTCAAAGGTCCTTAAAAAAATATGCGCAGTCTTTCAATCGGTAGTGGGTGAAAGTTTTTGATTGTATGATACAATTTCGTGGCAGATTTAAAGCATAGTCAGGTCCCAGTAATGGCTTGAGTTGAACATTAGCTGAGGCCAGTTTTCTATAGTGCAGATCCCTTTGCAAGACTTCCTATAACTTCTGTGATGGTTAGAAAATATTGGAGAATGATATCAACACCATCCAGTAGCTTTGCTCAGGCCTAAACATCCAGCCTATCAACTATACGGTATTTCTATGTATTTTTCACTCTATCTACTTCTGTTCAACAAATCAACCATTTACCATACACATCAAATATTTGCAAAACCTACTTGCATAAAATGCTGCCGTCTTTTAAAACTTTTTGCACTGCATCAGCACCTTTTGCCCCTTGCATTGTACCCTCGCCAAGGATCGCTTCAATCCATTGTATTGAATCCTCTTCTAATTTTGGATCGTACTTCCCTGCAATCTATGTAAAAAAGGTATACGCAAAGATTCAGAAAAAATTTTAAATTTAGTTGCCAAAGGCGTTTCTCTATAATTTATTGCATTGATATCATCAGTGTCAACAAACAACTTTGATGTATTTTCTAGGATCCTTTGAGACACTTCACAGAATCAAGCCTATGGGCTCCCTCAAGGATCTCTCCTAAGTCGTCTTATTTATAATCGACTTTTTCCAGGAACCGCCCAACAACTGAGTTTATCTAACGCGTGTTACATGTAGCGTCCGCTCCAGAAAAGTGAATTGTCTGGAGTCATTCAGTACTATTTTGACATTTGTCGTTTTTTGGCCTTCTATGTAGGTATTGAATCTCTTTCTGTTAAAAGCTGTAGTATCTACCAGAACTAACTGCTAATTTTCTCATAGGAATTAATGGAACTCTTACGTCTTAAGGAAAGCCATCAAAGGTGACATTTTTTTCCCTCAAATTGTTTTCTACATTGCTGCAGAATCTAAAGGTATGCAAAGAGTCCCCTTAGGGGGGGGGGGTACTCATATATATTTAGGATAGGGTTGCCCGGTCTGGGGTAAAATCCATCAACCCAAAAAATAATTTCTAGCAATATAATTGGCGCCCAAAAAATCATTTTTATCGTCCTGCACAAGATAGTTTGCAATTTTTCTCTATTTTTAAAACTTTTCTCATACTCGAGATCCAAAAAATTTGATGAACCCAAAAAAGTAATGGTATAATTGACTGACCCCCTGGGGACAAAGTCAACTCATTAATTGCCTCAAACGGGTCTAGAGGCCTATAAAATTTGTAATAAGAAGTGGCTAACCGGGCATTCCATTCTATTGCGAGATTCATTAGAAGCTTTCTGTGGCTTCATGGGGAATCTTATAGTTGTTTTATGACAATTTAGACAAATTCATAATGATTCCAAATTTTGTTGACTTTCCCATATCAATATCAGCTGTAGCAGACTCCTGCCTCCAGCACACAAAGAATAGCCCTGCGCTTCATTCACTTTGTTTATGTTGGTCAATGATTATGAGAAGAATTGCATATGGCTAACTTTGTTCATCTAGTAGCTGTGCTTCACAAGGGAAGCTGCGGGATAGTTTTGATATTGTTCAATTGCCATCCAGGTTTTATCCGATCACTTGTTCGTTTAATTACCATCCAGGTTTTATTCGTGATAGTATAACAAAATTAATCGGTTAAACAGCTTGCATTGAGCGTCTTTATCCACGGGTCAGCTATTCTTGAGGGGCTCGTCTTTTATCCTTTAGTTCAATGAGCCATTCCACAGATATCTAAAGGCGTGGATCCCGTTTATCAATGAAGTATATAGTTGAAATAAAGTATTAATTTGTCAAGTGTTTACAAGCAAAGTTCCCCCTTTCTTTTGCTGTCACTTACAGAATGCTATATCGATGAAACTGCCTTATTTTTAGCTAGTTGTGAGAAACAGTTTTTGCTATTAGAGAAACAGATGCAGGCAGACCTTTTGATGTATGACATCGAAAACAAGATTACTGATGGATGCATAGTGTCTGGATAGAGGATCGGGTTGTCTTGAATTCAAACCAACTGCGAGATTTGTTTGTTTATTCCTGTTATCTCAACTTCCCGTTGTTTTCCAGACTACGGTGCTCTTTGTGAACTTCATACTAGTTGCTGCACCCATAGCAAAGGAAAGAGTTTTAAAATGTTTTCATTCGGAAAAGGCATTATCCGAGCTGTATGCTCACTTTGCTAGAAAAATATTTATGCAAATGCATGGTTTTTATAAGGACAAGTTTTATAAGGGCGCAGAGGCTGGATTTGCTAATCCATATCCTAAGAACGTGTCTAGCCTTCAATGAAAAATAAGAGGGGAAAAAGTGTTTTTAAAATTTTCCCTGATGTCAACAAAAAAGCTGATTTTGTCAGCAAATCAGCTGTGATTTAGAAAAGTCATTCAGAACTGTTATTATATGGTCTTAGAAACAATTTTGGTGTCATGAAGTTGAAGAAATATTCATGTTGAACCAAGAAAGATTTTAAAAGCATTCCAGTCTCAAAATATGAAAAAATAAGAAGATCAAGCCTCGGCGAAAAATTTATTTCTTTCTTATAAAAAAAAGTTAACCTAACAAACGATCTGCGATCTTGCAGGGTTGTAGACATAATTAACGCAATTAGTTTAATGAAAGCAAAATTTTGATGCCCTCTTCAAGTTATTATTGACTGCTCTAAGCTTTTTTTATCTTTTTAACACTTCAGAATTCTGATATTGTGGACAGTAATCTAGTTTTATTTGATATAATTTACAAGTATTAATTTCAGAAAATTCAATATAAACATTTTTTACAGCTTAAAGCACTAATCATCGATATCGATCTTATTCTTATTTTACGTCATAGAATATTTAAGACTAACCTTGTTTTTTATTGCTGCAGTCATCCCATAGCCCTTTGGTCTCAGCGGTTCCGCCATTTTGATCTTTTAAAATCTTCTTTCGAGAACAAGAGACTTGCTAATAGGTTGCTATCTGCAGTATACTACGTGAGAAGTAACGGCAAACTTTCTCTGTTAAAGATATAATGGGAGAAGTGGGTGTACTCATCACGTGATCAGTTGAGACCGACTCTCTGGAAAATACGAGTTTTGGGCAACTTCCGCCAATCCATAACTCTCCATATAAGGAACGATATTAGCGGGTAGTACAGACTGATTTTTGATTGTTCTTTTCGGCTTGGCCGTTGTTAGCATATTTCTAGTGGGCTGTCCTTTATATCGTGTTATACCCTGTTCAACTGGTAATGTTTTTGTCCTCACAGCGCCGTCTTACTTGCTTTGAAAATAGGATCAGTATAGAATATTGTCTATTTGCAACTCAAGGCAAATGAGATGACAAACCACTTCTCACAACTGAATTAGCAAATACAAAAAGGTTAACCGTTATTCTCTTCCTTCTATCGACTTTATAATAGCAAGATTTTCAAGTACAAGGCAGTCTTGGCTGCTGGCTTTGGGATTTTGCCATTCAAAAACGGGGCGAGGTTCTCAATAACTGATGTCTCGTCCACTTATTGACGGGGAGATAGCTAATTCATTATTTATTTTTATGTTTATCGGCATTTAATTAGCTAAAGAAAAACAGTTAAAGGCTGGGTGTAAGAAAGCGAAGGGTAAAGCACTGCTTAAAATCACGTACGCTCTCAAGAATAATCACATTTTAATCACAAATTATTCACATGAATAAAAAATCAAATTAACTGTTAAGTATAACATTAATCACAAAAGTTACTTAAAAACAAATATTAGAATCCTTGCTCACTTTTATCCCCTTTTTTCACACTTTTCCAACCTTTTCATGAACTCGTTGGAAAATCTGCAAACACACGCTCGAGAACAACAAGCTTTTATAAGTACCCTGCAATGGAGCAATAATAAAGGCCTCGTTATGATGCCGGGGTCACTGAAGCAACCATTGCTGTTTTTGTGGCCCAAATTCCACTGAAGTTGATCTGACCGAAAACCACGCCTGATAGCAGTCATTTTTCACCCATTGCTTCATGGGCGGATCAAGATAGTTCCGGAATTCGCAGTTGCAGCTGTTACATTTATGGGGAATAATTTATCTCAGATTCTTGTAATTTCCACAGATAAAGTTTCATAATCAAGTTCCATATTTCTGGAACTTATAGTTTTTCACATCGATGAAAGTTTCAGGAATGAAAGTTTAATTTTCCAATAGCGACATCACTTGCGAGGGCAGAGAACAGAGCACATGCATTTGTCTTAATGTCTCATTCAAAGTGATCAACAACTTTTCACTGTTTTTCACTTCAGGCTACTGTCATCAACCTATAATACTAATTTAAATTTTGCTTATGCTGTTGTTCAGAAAATATATCTCTGTTTTTAGTTGTTAATGTAATTAAACGTTTGCACCTTTTTTGTTTGCAAATCTGCAACGGTCAATTTTTTTCTGGATCCACCCCTGTACTGAACTGCTACTCTTTTTTCAATTTCATAAAGTATGTTGTAAAATCGTTGACGACGTTTATTGAGCATGAAATTATTTGAGAGCACTTTTGAATCTATGATTCAGTTTCTAAAGAATCAAAAATTAATAAAAAAAATTAATCACTTATTACTAAAAATCAAACTAATCACACACAAAATTGATTTAATCACAAATTAATCACTAGTGATTATTAATCTCGTACACCTTTTTCAAGAGTGATTTTCCCCTCGTAAGGAAGTTCAAGACCACAAATCTTTAATAGATGAATAGCCACGCCCATGTTATAATTCGCCTGATTGGCGCCATATCAACTTTTGGCAAGCTTTTTCCACCTCTCTAGGTCTTCTCTAGGGTATATCTGAAATACTGTTTGGGGGGTTTTTAACAAAAAGCTATAAAAATATATGGTAGGCTCTGTTGGTATGCTATGGTGAAGGTTGACAGCTTCTTGTAATAGCTTGTTGTCTGTTCACATTTTTCAGTAATGCAAAGAAAAACATGGAATTATGAACAGGTAACAATGCTATGGTTACGCTGATTAGGCCAATATGTGGCCTCTGAACCAACCTTTGACACCCCCTGGATGCCTATCGTTGCGTCTTGATTTTCATATCAGGTTTCTGCTCACATCATGCCAAATATTTTTAGCACGAAACGTTCCAATTATCGTCATGGAAATCACTACACTCTGGAGGTGGCACAAAAATTACTCCACCCCATGTTGCAGATCCTAGCCCCATTGTTGGAGGGCCTAGCCCTCTGTTGGAGGAATCATGGCAACGCCCCTTTTCCCAACAAAGAAGTGGGGAATGCAAGCCCCTTTCAGAAACGTTTGCCAAAGAAGCGTTTATTTTTCCTTTCAGACATTGATAGAAATTGATTTCTCCTGCATTTCTGTTCAAACAACTGAAGTTTCCTTGCTTTCACTGAGCCTGAACTGCCTTTTGACATTAATAAGAATCGCGCTATTGGTGTAAAGAACAGGACAGTTCTAAGTTGCTACTCCGAGTTTCACGCACAATGCGATCGTCAGGCAACTGTTGAAAACTACTCTTTCTATGGTTGTTATTATAATAAGTTGTTATAACATAAACGTTGCTGGAGGTATCGGGAATTCGAATTCTCATAGCCGTTATTATTCGGAGCACTGTATGACAGACCGGTAAACAAAAATTTTCATTAAATAAGAAACTCTGCATTGAGTTTATTTCCCTTTTTTGAAATCCCATCATTCTTTGACTTGGGAATTATTCAAAGTACAGTATCAATTATTGCAAAGATGATAAAACTACCATGGTTGAAAACATAGTTTATGATTTTTATTTCATTTGATTCTAAATGAAGCACAACGCAGCACAATACAATATAATATTAATTATGGCTTAAATAAAACATGATTTAACAGTAATATTTCTAACGGTATTAGAAAGAAAGTTACAATGCAAAAACACAAATATTGTATAAACACAATGGAAATTTCAATTCTCTTTGCGATTGGAGAGTACAAAACAAAATCGATACTTTTTGGTAGGAAAAATAAACATACAGAAAGAAAAAAGCTGGACACCAGAAGAGGTGACATCAAGATTAAACAATAAACTTCGGTCACATATCTAGGCTGTATGCTTGAAGACGAGATCTATAAATTGACTTCCACGAAAGAGAGACGTGAACAATGCGCAACTACAAAGGACAGGTCCTCTTCAAGCATACAGCCTAGATATGTGACCGAAGTATATTGTTTATCAATGAAACTTTCTTTTCACTTTCATAATTTCTTATCTTACTTGGTAGCAATTCAAAACGTGAAGATATTTGACCATTCACAAATACATACAATCTTGTCTATTTGGAAAATAATGCATCGCGGCCTTGGCTGTTTTAATTCCAAAAGTAAACAGTAAAATTTGTCAACATTTTCTCGTTTCACTAAGGATTACCTGATTTATAATATCTGTTGAATGATCTCAAAACGATATTTTTATAAAGTGCCAGAGATTTGAAGTGATGCAACACTCTGCGCCGAAAGTTTCAAAGACCAAACCGTTTGAAACTAGGTCAGGCTGGCTACACCAGACTCTACGGAGTTGTCTAGTTTCCACACTGCTCGACCTGATGATGTAATTAGTTTACCCTAATCCTAACCCTAACCCTAACCCTAACCCTAACCCTAACCCTAACCCTAACCCTAACCCTAACCCTTTACTTGAAATAATTAATCATGCTGATTTATGACTATCAGGTCGAGCAGTATGGAAACTAACCGACGAAAAATGCCGCATGCCTCGACATGAAAACGAGAAAGAAAGAAGGCAATAATAAATGGCGGGCTTTCCTGCAGTTTGAAGAAATAATATTTTTTTAATCGATGCCTTTTCGGTGGTCGATATGTCAGCTGAGGAAGATACAGAGTTGAGGGACCTTGTTGCACAGTCCTTGGAAGCCAATGGAGTTCTCAACAAAATAAGGGTTTGTGTTTTATTGGTATAAATACCTCGTGTTATTGTGTCGCCGCGATAGCATCAAGAACCCAGCACATTAAATGTTGTAATCCTTTACTTTCATACATTGATATTGTTTTGTTTGGATGCACAAAGATGCTTTGTAGATCTGGTGCAAGTAGAATAGCTTGTAACTTACAAAATGTGTAGCCAATAGATGACAACACCAGTTTAGTTTTCTCTCTCATCATCAGAGCTGTCAAACGAAAATTTTCAAAACCTAGGGATATTTGACTTTCTCCTAAGAAAGACATGGAGAATCGACCAAAATCAGAGAGATCACAGGAATTTATTGAATTGTTTCAAAAGATACCTGTAAACAGAACGTTGTGCAAACAGTTAATGACAAAAATTATGATGAGAAACCAAATTTCCTTGATGCACATCAGAATTAGCTTATCACCTTGTATGAAAATGTGTATCAGAGGGATCTTAGAAACTGAACAAATGAATACAAATATTGAAGTTTATTTCTCTGCAATTGAGGTTTCTAATAGAAAGATGTGCAATTTGGCTTTTTTCTTCAATGAAGTCTTCTTAGATTAAAAACATAAAAATGCAGGTCTTTCAGTTGCGTAATGATTGCACCTGCAACACAAGAATTTGTGTGCCCTTCAGACTTTATTTTGTGTAGTTGTACCCAGAGATTTTGATTCAATGCTCCAAGGGCGGACACTTTTTCAAATATTGGGGGGGCAAGCCTGTTGTTTTAATAAGATGACGTCACATTTCCCATTGTTTAGAACAAAAGACCATTGTCCTCCAATGTATTGGGGGGCAGTTGCCCCCCTCGCCCCCCCCCCCAAGTGTCCGCCACTGCACTGCTCTTACAATTTCTCAAGATATTGACCCTGTCATTAAATTATAAGTTTTGCAGAGTTCTCATGCAATAAATGTTTCAAATTATGTTTGATAAAGAATTGAAAATATGCAAAAAATTTACAGCTGTTTCGGAATCTTACAGCTCTTTCCAGCAGAATTCACTTGGTAATATTAATGCTTTTTTTGATAAGTTCATATGCACATCCATTCAAACTATACTTTTTCATTCTTTCTGGTAGCACTTCTGAGCTCAAGTGTATTAAAAAAGAATGTCTAGAAAAGCTTTGACCTTCTTAGTTGTCAACCACTAAAGTAGTCCCCGCATGGCCCCTCATGAATTCAAAATTCTTTTATATTTGACAAACCTTTTTGTTATCTTTATCCAAATTTGTTATATAAAAGTTGTAAAAATCTTGGCATTTTATATTTGTAGGCAGAGTTAAGGGCCAGTGTTTTCTTGGCCCTTGAAGAACAAGACTCTCTAAAGGTAGTGGCACTGTTTCATTTTTTTCTTGCAAACTTCATGTAATTTGATGCATTTTACAAGTAAAATTATTGATGATGATGGTAATCTAACATATTATTTCTTATGCTTGTCACATTCACTTATGGATCTGTAGTTCAATAATAAGTTGTTAGATTTTGTAACTTTAATTTCCATTATTTTGTTAATTGCAGCTAACTATGTGATTTTTGTATAAAGTTTTTTGCATATCTTCCTGCATTTTCAAGTCTTCATCTTCAATAAATAATTAAAGTTTTTATCTCTTGATAGAACAAGAACAAGGCCATAGAGCAAGATGTCTCTTTTATGTTTGCATAGAAATGAACTAACACTTTTTTAGAAGAATTCAAACCAATTTACAATCCACTTATCCTATCTTGTGCATTTCTATTGTGTAGAACAGCAATATGGTTAATCACAGACTAAAGAACTTTTTAAGTACCAAGGAAGGTAAGATTCTGGTATAATGTTAAAGAAATTCATTTTTTTATTTTTCACTGCTTTGTTGTATGATTTTTTTTTCATTTTCTCTAAGCTTATTCTTTTTTATAGGCTCATTTTGTTTGCAAAAAAGTTTCTCACAAACTTGTGTTTATCAGTATGACTATTTTATAAACTTAACACATAAATTTTTCAATGTTCAATGATGTAAACTAAAGGCCGATTTCCACTAGGCGAATCGAATAAATTTTCGTAGTGATAGAGTAGGACCGAGATCTACTTTCTGCGAATCGAATTTTTTTGCTGTGAAATCTGAGAACATGACACCATGCATGCTCACATTGGCAAAAATTTGATTCGCACTAAAGAATTCGCCTAGTGGAAATCAGCCTTAAGGGTGTTCTAAGGTATTGTTTGCTCTTAAATTGTGAATTGTCTTTCTATATGATTCTTGTTGTTTTATCTTTCTTTCTAACCAGTTTTCATAACTTAATAATTCCTGGTTTATCATGACCTGGCCATGTTATTATTTCAGGTGTCATGGCAGCAAGTCTGGTTCAAGACTTTCTTTCCTGTTTCCATTTGGACTTTACGATGGCTGTTTTTGACCCAGAAACATCGCATGTGAGTAGAATTAGTGCGATAGCAATTTTTGAATTCTCATGGTACTCATAAAAGCAGACAGCACTGCAAATCAATAAAAAGAATTTGGAAGAAAGCAAAGCTTATATACAGGCTTGTCAATTCCAGCCAATTTGTTGAATTTATTGAATTAGTCAAAGTAAAGATGCATATATAAAGTCTCACTCATGCACAAGTTCAGTAATATAAGTTCAGTAGAATCTCACTCTTGCATAGGTTCAGTAAGATAAAATTTAGCTTTCGCTATTTTTTTATATCTATATTCAAGTTGGATATAAGTGGGTTTAAAGTACTCTTTTGTAACCTGTTCTAATGGAAATATTAAGCATGCAAAAAATGCTAAACTATAAGTGATACTATTGGTTAAACTGTTGGCAATAATGTGATGGCTTGTTGGTAACAGTATATTAATATATATAATAGGCAGTTAACTATATAACAACTTCAATGCAACTAGACTATCAGTAACATTTATCATTCATTGTTCACCATTTTTGTTTTAATACAGAGCTTTGTTTTGTACCTTTCCTAGAATGGCAAGTTTGATACAAGAGATGAGTTGAGCAGATCGTTAGATTTATCACCTTCATCAAAAGATACACCTCTCCTGATTGAGCTTTTGAATAAGAACATGCACGAGAAGGTAGGATTGTAAGAAAATTTTGGCATAATTTTTTGTAAACTTAGTTTCTTCTGGGCTGAAGGATTTTGCTAATATCTATCTCTAGAACAATCTATTTATTTATTTTTGAAGAATTGAATGTTAAGAACTCATTATTACCTATTACGATCATCCTATATACTTATCGCTAATCACACTGTTTACTATTGTTCTGTTATATTATGCCTATTGCGTAGTTCCTAATGCTTGCACTGCAATATCTCTCTACTTTTAGAATTTGTATTGTTCTTGATATCTTAATATGCCATGCACAAAGTGTATGTTTTTTCTATAATACCTTTAACACTTAAAGTGTTTCTGTTTTTATTCACCTTTTACATTTAAAGTCATTTCCTATCTAATGGGCTATGAAACCTTTAAAATTAGTACCTAAAGGCAACTATAGTTTTTCTTGATATTTTGTTTTTGCTGGGATATGCAGGTCTTGTAGAAGTTGCTGCAGGTCTTAAAGAAGTTGCTGCAGGTCTGGTAAACTGCGGGTCTTATAGAAGTTATTAATTTTTGTATCTAAAGACCAACAAAATTACTTATATATATCTAAATGTAATTATGATAAAGAATTTTTTGTTTTGTGTAATACAGAAAGTAATATAAATTGAAAAAAATTGTTGTTACCAATTGTATTGCATTTGTAAGGACCAATGCAATCATGATTTTAAATGATCTGCTTAGCCTATTGTCTTAAATTTAGAGACACAATTTGGGTACATCCTTATAAGAAGCTTAGAATTATATCCTATTTTTGAATGGTCCATAATTTTGATTTTCAAAGAATGGAACAAGATCAGTTGGAAAGGAGTCTGCAAAGGGAAAAACTGAAGATATTCAGCCTGGCTCTCCAAGGGTAGCTAAAGATCTTCCTTATTTTTCTTTGAAATTGTTTTCAGGGTACTACTATTCGAAATTTTTGTCTATTTGTTTGAAAGCCTTATTTACACATAGAGGTTTAACACATATCATGGGAAGGTTTCCAACATGTTCAGCTCCATTTACTTTATAGAGTAGATTTGTTTTGTGCACAATATTTAATAAGCAGTTTTCAATTAAACTAGTTATACCACTAAACTAGGTTGTGATTTGCAGTCAAAATTTTTGTTAAAATTATTTGCTTTGATAGCTTCTGATAATTCACCTGAAATAGCTTATCATTTCATAAAGACAAAATTCCTTCTGTCAGAGAATAATAGAATTTTGGAATAAATTACCAGGAGAAAGTTATCAGCAATTCAACAGTATGGATTTTCTAAAAATGCCCTTAAAAAAGTTGGCATTGGAGGTGTCTGCCCACTCTTGCCTCCTCCTTGTTATGACACTGTGTATAGACATTTTGTTGTTTTGAGTTAAAACTTGTGTCTTTTTTATTTAGTCTCCAAGTAGAATACCCCAGAGAGTAGGGCAGGAACCAAAATCTAAATCTGAAACTTCAGTTGGAGGAGATACAAATGACCATTCTGTTGACCTCAGCTTTAGCAGCAAAGATAAACCATCAAATCAGAGATCTGAGTATGTATTAAGTTTTCCAATTGCATTTCCTTGGTTTAAAGAAAACGGGAATTATCAAACTGAAAAATTGCAATCAATATTTGAATATGAATAGCTTGAAGACTTTCTCATATTGCGAGATAAAAATGATTAATATTTTGCTGTTGTTTTTCTTACAGATAGTATAGAAAAGAAAATATAAAACAAGTAAAAAAATTCATAAATACCCTTGATCAAAACCTAGGCTCAAAACTTCATTAACCATTTATCCTTAAAAATGGTGCCATTACAGCACTTTTTATAAAATGCAAATTAATGTATTTTCTAGTAATTTCAAGTAAATTAATGTAATTTTACATTTAATGTATTTTCTAGTCTGAGTCGAAAAGCAAACAAAAAGTCACATTATGAGGATGAGGATGATGAGTTACTTGCTGAACTTGGGCTTCTAGGTGACAGCAAAAAGAGTTCTACCAAAAGGTAATCCTGTTTACTTTTTGAATAAGTACAAAGGCTTAATGAAAATGCAAAAAGCATATTGGATTTGAGCATAAATTATGCATAAAGTGTCCAACTGCAACAACAAGTCTGGATTGGTATTCAGCATAAGTAAATTAGAAAAAAAGATTGCCTATACGGGGCTCAAAAGTTTCTAGGGAGTTATGAGCACATATACAGGCTGAGACAAGTATCTCAAGCTTCCTGTGTGTACCTTAAATTTGTTGCTCAATTTTTTGCACAAAATGCTCAAATAAATAAAAGTCATACTGTCAATGAAATTGGAGCCTGGCAATTATTCCTAATTTTTTCTTTAATTTCAAAAATTTTGAGCCACAGTATTGTTAAAGAAGGTATGTATTTTGAGAATGGGGATCTTTTCTTGTACCATAGCTTCATTTAGGTACAATCATACATCCATATGCCTTTTAAGCCTGGCTAAAATTTAGCCCCTTTTTACACATTAAAATCAGGCCTGGCCGTGAGCATTTTCAGCAGGCGCATTGTACGTCCCTCTCCTCGGTAAAGTCAGGCGGGAGATTTTTAGTCTCTTGAAAATCGTCAATAAAAGTATATGAATAAACAACATTCTTTAACAGCTAAGTTTACAAAACAAGATGGCGATTCTCTGACAAAAATAAAACGATAGTTTCATATAATCGCAAATCAACAACATTGAAAATTCGTTCCATTGATGTAGGCTTCAACAGCTGCCTTTGCAAAGCGGGTTCATAAAAATAGAAGCTTTATCTTTAGCACAAAGTTTGCACCAAACGAACATCACCATCTTCTTTCCATCTATCTCCTCAATTTTTCTTCCAAGAACAGCCCCATGGTCGTATTTGTTGAAAGTTCTTAGCTCAACAGTCGATTCTTTCTGGTTACTCGCCATGTTGAAATGATTCGGGTTTCACATGTTAGGAATATTCAATTGGCCTTCAAAATAGCATTCTGGTTGAAATGAAACCATTCAAATGATTTTCTTCCCTATTGCATTTAAAAATGCTTTGTTTGTTTTTTGCGTGACTTGTTAAGTAGTTGACGAGTTTACAGGAGTAGATGACTTCTAAACTATTACTGAAATACTAAAATCTATTAATTAAGTAAACACAAAGTACACAATAGCAGCATATGAAAAGTACTTAAAAAGGGAGTTGCCCTTGTATGTTTAACTCTGAGAAGTCCATGGTCAACCTGGGAATCTTTGGAAAAAACCCAAAAACTGGATATATCTTACTTTATAAAGTAATTGCTTTTACAGTGGTGGCTGGACCAACTCAGATATGAAAAAGAAACCCGTTGATAAGGAAAACAATAACAAAATGGCTCTAGGATCATTGCATGATGCTCCACCTATTCCTGGAATTGGCAAGAAGAAAGATGATTCACCACTAGGTAGAGTCGTTTTTCAGATGCAACTTTTGTTAATTTGGTTAACCTATACTTTTTCAACTAGAAGCACTGGTTGCAGTGCTGACTTCTCTTCGGATTCTAAAATTGAACTTTCCTATTCCCTTTAGCAAAATTAGTTTGGTGCAAAGTCACACAGAAACAGTCATTGTGCGTTAAATGAATTTTAGGTTAACTACAAAGATTTTTCTGGAGGTAAAGGGAAGCAGAAATGATAGTATTTGGAAAAAGAATTGAAAGAGTTTATTAGAAAAAATACTCAACCTTTTGCTTGTTCAAAATAACTTTGGTAGACATTGTCACTATCAGTACAGAGTTGATTTGAAATTTTTCAACCCCAGCAGGCAACCAAAATTTTTTCTAATTTGTTTCAATCATTTTTAGATTTAAGTTCATCTGGCAACTGGACTGATTTGGCAGCTATTGAAGCAAAGATAAATAAACTTGGTTTTGGTATGTTCCTTAGGATTTATTGTATTTGTAATCATGTTTTTTTGCTATAAAACTTTTGCAGAGTATATTGACTCCTATAGCGTGCAGATTAACTGCAAATTTAGGATTCAACAGCAGTTTCTAATTTGCTGAGACATCTTTTATAATAGTCTGTAATACATTTGGGGAGTTTTCACTTCAAATGGTGTTCAGACAAGTGCTGAGATCTTTTTATAATCAAATAACCAAATTTCTAGTTTTGCTAATTGCACCTTAAGCAATATTAAACATGCTTACAAGGTTTCATTAGAAACATTTACTGTTTTCAGACGTGCCAAAAGATGATAATTATGGGTATGAAGATGACTTTGTAAACTCAAGGCGAGTAAGCTTTATTTCTTGTCCCTTTTAGTTTGTTTAGATATACTATCATGCTACTTTGAATTGGAAAAGGTGCTTTTTCAGAAGATATAGAGATAAAACAGAAATTTCCATTTCTATTTAAAAGGAGGTTTTCTATGCCATCATCTTTTATAAAATTTCATTTTAACTGGAAATTTTCTTAAATGTAATGAAAGAAAATCCTCTGTTTCAAATGGCTCTTCGAATGAATCCCCTCCTAAAAGCAATAAAATTGAAGAACACCCTGGCATTTTTTAAGTAATACAATAAAATTATGTAAAATTTTAAACATTCTCAATTGTAATATTTCATTGATATAATGTTATTTAGAATAATGTATTAATACATTTAATTGAAATTTCTCGAGTATGCAGCTATGAGAACATCTACTTTATTGTGAAATGAAAGCATTTTTTGCATTTTCTCATTGTTCCAAGTTTTATAACTAATTAATTCTTAAACTTTAGCTCAAAGAAAAGTGAAGAAGGACTAAGTATTACAGAAGAAATTGAAGAGGATATTTCAATTGGAAGTTTTGCTGGAAGTAAAGTAAGAAATTTGAAAGTTTAGGTCAGTTAAGTACTCAGCTTTAAGGCGCGGATTAGCCGGTGCTTTCACCGGGTGGGCCCCCCAAAGATATAAGGTACTGCAACTAATTAAATCTGTTTCAACACTGTTGAGAGTCTGCAAATTCCGCCACTCCAAAATCCCGCAGACAATTATGGGGAATTCTCATTGAGATAGGTCTTCCATACCCTGGGTACCAGACTCATTCTATATGAAATAAGTGAGTCTCTTATTTTATATAAAGTGAGTCTGGTCACCAGGGTAGGTCTTCCAGAAAGAGCAGTTTCAAGGAAAAAAGTTATGGCCGGGGAAATGGCTCCTGATGAAACACCGACTCTGTTTTCTTGGCTCAGAATTTCAATCAGTGAAACTTCTCGCCTTTTCACCAACTGCTGATGTGATAAGAGTAGACTTTCATAGCAAATATACATGAATTTGAGTGAGATCAGTGGCCAATAAAATGCCTGCAAAACCAGTAAGTACTTCGTGTGTTTCTCCTAGATAGCATGATTTGTCTGTGCCTTTGAAAAAATTGCATCACAGACATTTCCATTTGATCACTGGTCAAATGAAAAATCTGTGATGGCAAATTATCAGGCAAATAAAAGGGATTATTTCCTGCTGCTTCGTGCAGCTTCAAGCAAGTTTCAAGGTCGTTTACACAATCACAGTCTGTGATCACATAAAAAATGTGATGGAAATTTTACCTGAATATGATCGTGTAAAGTGTAAACTGGCCTTTAGTGGCTAAGCCGTCATCTTGAAGTATGTACTTTCTGTTAAAGTTTGTATCAAGTGAATGATGTGGTCTTCTTGTCAATAAACCTTGTCAGCTTTGATGATGCACTGTATAAGAGGTGATGATGCACCAAAGCTTTATAAGAGGGGGTGCCCAGGAGTGCCCTGCCCCCTTCTACCTCTCAAAGAGGGGCTGGGCCCCTTCTTTTTCTGAATAATTTGAAAATGATATGGCTAATTTTTGCATTAAATGGCCATATTTGAATAAACCAATAATAGTTTTTGCTTAGCCAGCACTTCTTTCCTTACAAGCCATATAAGTGAAAGCGTGAGAAACCAAACTAAGGGAAACATTTATTATGAATAAAAATGGAGGAAATTGTTTGTCCTCCCCCCTCTACATTATTTGGCTCTACACTACCGACACGAACCCCAAACATTGAAATGGTGTCCCTAGAAAGAGGCAGCACGATTGACTTTGGTGAATAGGGTGCTCTAATAGAGATCTCCTGACCCTTTTTTGACAGCTAATCTGCGCTTGATTGTAAGCTTTGATAACTGAGATGTTTTTGTATCAGTGTTTGCTATTTGTCCTCTCTTCTAAGTGTTAAAGTTCTTCTAAAATCTAGGTATAAAGGCTATTAGTAAAGATGTGCTTCATAACAGTTGCACCATGAAGCTTCAATTGTTTAAAGCTTTATTAGGATAAAGGATTTCTGACATAATTCTCATTTGAATTTTGTGAATTATTTTGGTTTGCAGGGTGATGACATCTTCACAACTGATCAAACTGTGTCACAAATAAGTGCCAATGATTTTGATTATAGAGAGGACATTGAACTATAAAATGTGTTAAATAGAGTCATGCTACTAGTAAGCATTATTTAAATATTATTGTTATGTATGATATTTCATTTTGTAAATTTTTATCTGTCACTGGTAGAAACTTCACTTAAGATGTCTTTCTGATGATGACAAGGAACTTATGAAATTATTGCTGTTGTCACTGTTGTAATGTTCCATGGCGTCTTTCTTATCAAGTTTATAGCACTATACACAAAGGCACCTAAACATTGATTTTGAGGATATTTTAGGTCTGGTTCCCACTGCCTGATAGAAAGTCATCACTTTGCTCATTGTTAATTTTTTACCAGCCATGAAAATTTATTGCACAATGGGAGCGTCACAGCGATGACATTTCAACCCATAATTGTCCAAAAATCAAAGTGACAAATAAGGCGATGAATATAAATTTTTTCTATATATATAATTTTGCTTTTACTATAGCTTAACTTAATCCTTGATGAAATCTGTCTTGTTTCAATCAAATTTTGACAGAAGCACATGACAAATTAAGGAAGTTTCTGCAGAGATGGGCAAGATGGCTGCAAGTAGAAACTTTCAGTGAAAATTTAAAAAGGTTTATGGGCAGTATCATTATTGTTACAAGGGGTACAAAAAGAAGGGGTAGGTGTTGCAACGCTCAGAAAGCAGTTGAAATAATCTTCCTGCCACAAAGTTGCATTTCTGCATTATTTTCAATACCCTCTTCTAACTTGATTGTACATTTCTCTCACCCAAACACTTTTGTCCTTCAATTCTGTGATGTTTGTTGCAGAAGCAAATACCTTGAAGCTAGATAAAAAATCATTTATCGGTTTTGTTAATGTTGCGATGTGTCAATTCAAGCAATGGACACATGCAGGACGTGTGTGCGATGAGTTGAAAATCAATGTAAAAGTGACCAACATTACAGGTGATGAATCCTCAGCGCTGACAAAGATTCTACATTGTGCAGTGAGAACCAGGCTTTAGGGAAATTCATTCCTTTTATGCCACATAATAATTTTACTTGACAAAATAGACCATATGATTAAAACAGTTCTTAAAACTTTGTCTTCAAATAAGATTGCTGACCTTTATTCACTGGGATCAGATATCCTCAGCATTTTTTAGAATCTTTCCAAAATGATTAATCTGGGAAATGATTATTTGCTTCGTTCATGTATATATCACATTCCTTAGACTCTATATAGGTATAAAGGCCAAGAAAGTGTTTCAAAAAGGTGATTCCAAAATATATATATTTTTGGCATTTTTGTTGGCATTCATGAATTGGAAGAGAGTGTCCCATTCACTTTTAAAAGATCCTATAGCATTGAAAAAACTTGTTTGCAAATTATGAACATTTGGCAACTACCTTTTTGGTTGTTATTTAAACATGGAATTCACAGTGTTATGGGATATCAAGGAAGAGTCTAATATTGGCCATTCAAAAGCTTGGTGATCTAGAAAAATTCATAATAATCGCTGACAAGTATGTATAATCTTTTTTGTAGTTAAAAGTTTATGCTGAACTAGTTTTGAGATCCAGTTTAATGTGGTCAGTAAAAACAAAACGGGTACCCCCAACCAACCATTTTGACTGACCAAAAAACATTCTGAAATGCTTTGCAACATATATAGACAACACAAAATACAACAGGTCTGTAAAAATCACTTTCAAAAGAATAAACTACCGTTCCTAATGCTATCTTTTGCAAAAATATTTCTTGCAATTATTTTAAGTTTATTCATAAATGTCCTTGAAAACAAACTTCCTTCCACTTTATCAAAGTTCACTTTTATTTTCATCTTTTTTGTTGCTGCAAAGCTTAGTGACTTTAGTACAAAAACCCTTAATATAATTGTTTCTACTTTTCTTAAAATACTTAATAATGTCTTCTTCATGCTCCTCGATAATGTTTTCACATGTAAAGCGAAGTTTATCTGATATATCGCCGCTCAATGAGACATTTTCTAAAGTAATTGCTTCGCCATCTCTTGATTTTGTACGCACGAATTTTACTCTCCCAGAATCTTTGTCTTTTGATTGTGCATAATTATTCATTCCGCTGCATAGATTTTCACTCACTTCAGTCAAATGAGTTTCTGACCTTGCATATAAAATACTTTTACTCTTTTGGTTTCCTTGTGGATCAACCCGAAAGCCCTCTATTTCAATTGTCTTCTTCGGGTCAACTTTAGAAATTGCATATTCCACTTCATCGGCGATCACTTCACATGCAGCACAGTAGAAGTCTTTATCCCTTGCTGCATCAGAAAAAGATACGGCGATTATAACCAAAAACAGGAATGTTACTTCACTCATTTCCATCTCTTCGGTACTTCTTATAATAAACTTTTTACCAGTCCAGTGGGTAACGATGACACACCACAAAGGCCTAGGCCCACCTGAAATTGTTGTTGCAGTTGCTTAAGCACACAGGGAAACAAGAGGCCCCAATAAGTGGGTTGTTCATCACATGAAGGTTTCAGCATCATTGTTGTCATTCGTCAAGCCTCAACATGGAAGATAATCTTTCTGCCGTTTTGCATGGAGTTGATGACTTGAGATTGGTAAGAGCATTTGCTTTTTCCACATTTATTTTCAGTTAGCAGAGAAGGATTTGGGGCTATGTTCTATGCGCATGAAACTCTCAATTTTCTTTGGAGCAGCAGTGCTTCTGCATGCATTCCTATTTGATACAATCAAGCCCCCGACAACGACATCCATATTTTTTGATACCTATTTGCTTAGATGCACCCAGCTTAGTCATGTATACGTTTGCAAAAATTGTGGATGGAGCTAAATTTGTGGAATAATGGCAGACAACAGACAAAATAAAAGTAAAAATATTGTCTAAATTGGGTACTGGTAAATTATTTCTTGATGCTTCCCAGGGGCGGATCTAGCGAAAATTCTGAGTGGAGCAGAACCTAAGGGGGTTGGGGGGAAGTAATAATAAACCAAACTGAATCTTTTATCTTTTCACTGCAGTAAAATTTCATGACGTATAAATGACAAGTCACGAAAGAATGGAATTTCACACTAAACGTTTTTGTTGTATTAGCCGATTACTAAAGCAACATGTGCCCTTTAATCAAATTGATGCCTTTGAAAGTTTCCTTTGCGGTGGTTTTTCGCGGAAATAGCAGTTTGTTCATCGGTAGAAGTGTCATTCTTATCAGTTTCAAAAACTCGCCTATGTAATCGTAATACTAAAGAATCCTAATGGTCTGAATTCAATCAACACAAGCTGCATTTGTGAATAGCTTTTATTATCTCTTAGATGAAGGAAGACAAACATTAGTTTGAAAGACAATTTATAGAGTATTGAAATCGATTATATCATATCAGTCATTAGCGACCCACCCAGATTAGCAACGTTTGATACCAATTCCTTTCTCTTCGTATATTCAAAGAAAATCATAATATTAAAATTACATAAAACTCCTGAATTCAGAGCAGAGCTCCGTGCTTGAGACAAACACTCTTGATCGAGGGGCAAATCAACATTTGAAACCCTATAGCTCTTTTTAAAAATCCCTAGAAATCTGTTTGTTTGGAGGGAAACTGGCAGCTGAAAGAGTGAATTGCCCCTCGCCTCTGACAAGAGCTTTGATTCTATTTATTACAGCTAGCTACATTCCCACAAGTATTCCCAGCGGCCAAGGCATAAGGACCTTTTAGATTAGAAAAAAAGATCTGTACCATTATTACTTCCGAATAACTTTGTGATAAGAAAGTAATCTGTTAAATAACATGACTTGCTTATAGGCCTAAATGAACCCCTATCTTATTGGGTTTATAAACGTCCACAACGACAGCATCAAAAAGAGGGCTCCCTTAAACGACATACATAATTAACATTAGTAAACATACCTGTTTTGCCGTCTCTCTTTCAAAAAACTCAAATCCTTGTCGTCAGTTTTTTTCGAAGCCCCGTTACACACAGAATGTTACGAAAGCTCCAATTCGAAAGAGTGCGCTCCAACTTGCTCCCGACAACGGATTCAAACCAATCGCAGAGCTGGATTTTGCTCCAGTTGCTCAGTAGTTTGATTGGCTAACCAGCACTTCCTGGAGCAAATTTTCATCAACTGGAGCAAAATCCAGTGGTCTGATTGGTTTATTTGACCATGACATATTTCATGTGGAGCAAAATTGTGAACATCTCCTCCACAGTCAACACATAAGCAACTCAGACGACAAAATGTAAACCAGTTCTCTAAGGCACCTATCTAGTCCACAGGGGTTGTTTGGGGGGCATCAGGAAGTATTAATTGATGATTTATGAAGTAACAGAGCTAAGTTAATATCAAACAGGCACTATAATAAATTTAGAAAATTCTGACTGGAGCAGCTGCTCCGTTTGCTCCGGTCTAAATCTGCCACTGCTTCCTGTCCAAAAATACTTAAAGGCTTGTAAAAATACAATAGATGAAAATATTTATACCAAACAAAGAATAAGTCTACAATGAACATTAACAGCATACTTCAGCTTACCATTATCTTTTATGTTTACTAGTTATTGTTTCCCATTGTTTCATGTTGTTTAATTACCAGTGTTTCCTTTATCTTAGGAACAAACCCCAATCTCAAAGCCTGGTAAAAATGGTAAGATTTTTATTGACTCATTATTTGATCTGCAGGTTTTCTCTATAATATCCAGTGCTGGTTATCCTCTCGATGATATAGTATGGATTCCATGGCAGTTGCACCCCCTAGAAATTTATGTTCAATAAAGAGTGCAGTCTGGCACACTGGAGTGATGAGCATGGCTTGGGTATGGTCTTGGGAGTGGCTTAAATTTACCGGTCCTTTCAAAAGATTGCAAAATGAGTTTCTAAATTTGTTTGCAAAAGAGATTGAAAAAGATGTCATCCTATAATTGATTGACCTTCTTGAGATCAGTGCTGCCAAGAATTTTCTGTGCCCAAGGGCAAAACTGAGAGATGTGGACCTTCAAGCAATGGAAGCAGGAGATTTTTGCAACCACACCCTCAACTTTAGCTTTTTAAAATTACATTTCAAAATAATTTTCACAGTCATTTTCTTGCAATCGTTTAAAACAATTTACCACTTTAGGCCCTTTTGAAGCCCCATAGAAACAAGGTCCTTGGCAATCTGCCCCCTGTCTCCATCTTTTTGACCCAGTTTGAGATCATCAATATTGTCATGACAATTTTTTAAGCTTTTTAAAAATTCTTTCTAAGTTTATTCTTTTGCTTGCAATACCTATAGGAATTTGAATAACAGCCACTATTATTACTTGTAGGAAAGCTTAGTTTCAACCTTCAATCATTTAATTTCCCTGCAAGGAAAATTTGATATAAACTGGATGAATACTAAAAGACAAAACATTGACAAACTCAAGAATCACTGGGAAACTTGGTGCACACTCAAATGTGAGCATGTGTCACAAGTACACCCTTGCAATGATGGGTAATGGCTTGTGCTCTTTCAAGATCTCATTAAAACTCTTGTCATAGACTTGTGTACTCTCAAGTCTATGATAAAAATTTCAAAAAAATTAATATTTTTATGGAGGCAATAATGGTTTCTCTGTTTGAACTAGAGAAAAAGTACAAAGAATTGCAAAGAATGTTTACTAATTAACCTTTTTAATGAACTTTTAATTTCTTTATAGAGGTCCTAATTGCCATAAATTCTGTTGGTATATGTGGTTCAGATGTTCATTACTGGAAGAAAGGTGCAATTGGGGATTTCATAGTAAAAGCACCTATGATCCTGGGCCATGAATCCAGTGGAACAGTAACTGAAGTCGGAGAAAGTGTCAAGCACTTGAAAGCTGGTAATATATTACATAAATTGGGTATTCTTCCTCAGTTAAAGGGTGGTTGTTTGATGAAGACTAAACATGTTGCTCACCTAGTATAACCAAGTTAATCTGCTTGATTTTGTTTATAAGAAAAATTTTCATCCTATTAAAAAAATCTTGGCAAGACCTTGGATAGGGGGGCTGTATATCATTTTCCCTACTAAAGCACTTCTGAAATATAATACGAAATTCCTCAATCTTAGCAAGACCTTGAAAAAGCTGACATCCTAACATATACCCTCTCAGAAGTCTGGCTATAGTTATGATTTGATTTTATGATTGAATCTAAAATATATGAGGTGTGGTTTGTGAAAGTGATAGAATACTCTATTTAGTTTAAAAATAACAGTCGTCCTTTTGGTAAATAACAGTTGTCTTTTTGGTTTCTTGCAAAGATTTTAGCAGGTGCATGGCTGATTAGACATCTGCAAACAATTTTTCATTGAGGCACGTCCTGCATAACTTCTGGTTTAAATTGTACGGAAAGGCAGAAATATCACTACTATTAATGTTACAGCTTTTCCTTGTAATTTTTAAGCTTTGTGGTACCAAAAGATTATGCAACTATTGTTTCATTGAAAAATGATTCTCGAGGCAACAGGACAAAGTTTTTGATAAAAAGTAGCCATGAAAAGGTTTGCATAGGGTGGTGCCATCCTTGTTCCCATTGCTGTACCCTGTTTCTGTAAAAAGTGTTGTCCTTACAGCAACATTATCATTATTTCATTTTATAGTACTTCATCCCCATTACGTTTTCATTTCACCACCACCACCCACCCTCTCTCATTCTCCCACTGCGCTACATTCACACGATTCCACATCAGCCAATCAGACACCACCATCGCCTCCTTTAAATGTGTAAATTTTTAGCTTTTGCTCTGATGAAGCCCCGTATGCCGGGGCGAAATATTAGCCTTTACTGATTTACGTGTATTTATTGTTGTTTATTCTCGGCGTATTGCGGTGTTTTATATTTGCTACATTTTTATCGACTTTTTGCCACAAGAACTCCTTGGAGCCCGTCGAGCAGCCTGTTCAGACTGATAGGTCTGATTGTTGATCACCCAGTTGTTGATCAAAACAGGCCAATCAGAAATGTGAGCACATGCCATCCAAGGAGGGCGTCTTTTCTATTCCCCTTTACAAAGCCATTTTTAGCCAACATCCATTTATTTTCCCTCACTTAGAGAGAGAGATATTGGATTTCGTTTTGTGCTGTGTAGATAATGAGCCTGTCTAGCAAAAACTGCTTTTGCTTCCATTGTTTTGAATGTATTTATTTCATTATTTTATTTCTTCTGCCATAGACTTACTTTCATTTTTAACCACTTTAATTCTTTTAAACAAATAGGTGACAGAGTTGCAATAGAGCCAGGGGTTCCATGCCGTCTTTGTGATTTCTGTAAAACAGGGAAATACAACCTTTGCCTTGATATGAAGTTTTGTGCAACACCACCTTATGATGGAACACTTTGTAGATATTACGTCCATGCTGCAGACTTTTGCTACAAACTGCCAGATCATGTGTCCTTTGAAGAAGGTGCATTGCTGGAACCATTATCAGTGGCTGTCCATGCATGCAGGAGAGCTGGGGTTTCAAATGGTGATCATGTTTTAGTGTGTGGAGCAGGTATAACAAAATTTTAAACATCTAATTTGGTCTAGCCTAATAATTGTTGATTTCTCTGGATTGATTTGACAACTAACTATTCATTTGTTTATTTTCGATACCTTGTTTGTAATAAGAAATGTTTAACATTTACTATTCTTTTATGCAGTTTTCTTTTATATAAGATCACACTTCTTTTATCATTATATCCTTATTCAATGATGATTATTCCTTACTATTTTGTTTTTTTTTCTTTTTCTGCATTTTTCTGTACTGCTGATTCTCTAAAGCCAAACATTTTTAAAATTACTACTCTAACCTTTATAGGTAATGTCATCACCATGCAGCAAGAATAGGCTAGCTCATCCCAAATGTATTCGAATTAGTAAAATTGTTCTTCATTGGATCATTACTTTCATTGCCTTTATTCTAGGTCCCATTGGTTTAGTGAATTTGCTAACTGCAAAAGCATGCGGTGCAAGCAGAGTCGCAATCACAGGTAGTATTTGCATGTTAAAATGTTTGTATAATGCAGTTCCATTAGCTCGGTTTTATGAGAGCAACTGACAAAGCTATCCAGAATTTTTAGCTGTTGTTTGTTTTTACTTCAGGGTTGTGGATTTATTACTCAATCCATCAATGACTAAAATTTCTGGTCTCCTTGACAAGATTGAAAATGAAACTGTGTGAATTGTTTTTACAAATGAATTATACTTTATTTTGCTTTGGTAATAACTCTCCTGAACTTTAATCCCATATTTAATAAAACGAGACACAAATAAGGTTTCTTGGTGAAGTGCATACTTTTTATGTTGTGGTGCTTGGCCCTAGATCTTGACGAAAACCGTTTGAAAATGGCAAAAAGTCTTGGGGCTGATGCTGTCTTCAAAGTCGATATAAGTGACGGCAAAGCTATGGCTGAAAAGATTACTAAAGAATTTGGATTCGCTGATCGAACAATAGAGTGTACTGGGGCTGAGCCAAGTATTCACAGTGCTATCTATGTAAGTACTGAATGGTCGCGTTTATAAAACAGTTTTATATGTAAGAACGAGACTGTACTATGTCTTTTACAAAAGAAGGAAAGATTCGTCTTTGGCACTCAAGTTTAGGCGATGGTTTACAGGGATTATTCTGAATTGAGTTATAAAGTTAATTTTTTAGAACAGAAAAACTGACGAGTATTTAGTCACGAGTCTTGAATATGTCCTATAATACACTAGTTGACAAAAATCTGTAGCATTAGCTGAGGTGTAAGTATTGAAGTACCTAAAGTCAGGGGTGTAGTGCTACGAAAAGAGCAGAGTTGTGCCAAAAACTATACCAAAAAGGAAGGGAAGGGCTTTTGGCACTAACAAAGAAGTTGACTGCCCTGACCCTCTCCCTTCAGGTCTACACTTCTATCAGAAAGAATTACTGTTGACAGCAAGACTAAGTTTTTTTATGCGATAGGAAGGATCTCGTGCTCATTTGGCTACTTTTCATATTCAGCTGCTTTTTAAAAAAATGTTTATTTAAAATTTTTTCCCGAAAACGAATAAAGTAAAAACAATTTTAGATATATACTTTTAAACACTACATTACTATTCTATATTACTTGTCCACTCTTGTCAGGCAAAGTTTTGTTTTATCTTTATCTCTTATTTGAACAGGCCACAAAATCAGGTGGAGTCCTCGTTATTGTCGGAATGGGCAAAGCAGAGATTCAGCTGCCTATTGTCAATGCTTTGATAAGAGAGGTTGACATCAGAGGGATCTTCAGATATGCCAATTGGTATGTTTACGATTGAGCATTACATTCAAATGATAATAAATTCGTCATCGTGAGAACGAGCTGTAAGCCTTTATGCAAACCTTTTCTTCGCAAGGGCTTCTCCTGCCGTATTGCATGTTGGTTTAGCAGCGTTCCATCAGGCGTCTACAGAAAACCATCTGTTTTGTAAACTGAAACTTTACACATTGTATTTTTTGGTCAACCTGACCGGTCATACTGTCAGCTGTAAAGTCCTCTTTGAAATGCCTTCCCAAGACCTCGATTGTTTACTGTACTCAACATTGTCTATTTTCTTTTGAGTTCAGATCATTTTTTGTTTTGTTTTTAATTCTACGTTACACATTAATTCTATCAAATTCCAACTAAACATAAAGCGAATAACCAAACTGCAAGCGCATCATTTTAAACATGAATTTAATATAATGAAACAGAAGATAAATGTGATATATATATAGATAGAATAGATAAGCTTAAATGAGAGAGATTGAAATATATTTGAGAATATTGGGTTATCCGGTGGTAGGGAAGGGCACGATGCTTGTATTGAGAAAGGAAAATTTGCCTCGTTGATGTGTCTCACAGTAGACCTAAAGATGACGCAGACGTACGAAAGAGAGTTGTCATCGAGCAGGCACGGATCCAGCCTGAATGAGAAATGTCAGAAAGAGAAGCCACGCCCTTGTGTGTTGGAAACGCCCAAATTTTTCTAAATAAAATCAGTATCGCTGATATCGAATAGGGGGATCCTAAAAGAATTCTAAGGAAACGACTTGCAAAGAGAAGACTAAATTTACGTGCAATTCGGAGGGAAAAAGCTTGAGTAGGCCGATCCCGGTAGGATTCAAACCAGGGCCCCCCACATTCGGAACGCAGTGGTCATACCACACATGGTCATTTCACATTTTATTGGTTGCAAAAACAATTGCAATGGTTCACGGTAAACAATAGCATAAATCAACTCTGATTCCTATTGGTTGGCTGTACCGCTGCAGAGGCAAGCTCATCTTCTGATTTGATAAATCAGATCTCAACTATGCTCGCGCCAAATATTGCAGAGGTGAAGTACACTCTGATTGGCTTAAAAGTCGTTTGTAGAGGTCAAGCAAGCGGTGATTGGCTCTCGAGGGACAAACAAGTTTCTGGATTCAGAAAATACGGACCAGATGAATGCTTAGAATCGCCTCTCGATTATTCTGTGCAGAGGCCGAAAGATAGTCAGCAAAATACATGTCCTGTTATCTGTAGGTTGTTAGTAACAACGGGGGCAGAACTAGGACGGACGTTGCTAAAGAATTTGCCAAAGAAACTATTGTTTAAAAATTTTTGATAGTTTCCATTTTATTTTGATGCTGTAAAAATCTGACTTATGCTTCTGCATAAGTTGCTGCAGTTTGGATCCGCCTCTGATCGAGGCTGACCCAGTAAGGAATTATTTAAAGGATGAGCTCTCTCGATAGATTAACTAATCGAGGAAAGCCCCTCAACCTCCCCCTCCCCTTTATAATCTGAAGTAATATAGAAAGATTTTGATGAACTGAAATAGGGTGTAAATGGCAATGTGATGTGAAACTCGCATTAACCTTTTTTGACCGTTGTTGGGGCACATTTACCACTCTTTCATACTTGGAATCTCGAAAGAGGACTGAAAATTATAGGATTATTCTTTTGGAACCTCGAACGTTTTTTTCTTAAACAGACAAAAGGTTACCTTAATTAATGCTTGTGTTTTTTTTAGCTACCCTACTGCCTTAGAAATGATCTCCTGTGGAAGAGTGGATGTGAAACCACTGGTTACTCATCGATTTACCCTTGAGGATTCACTGAAAGCATTTGAAGCATCAAGAACTGCCCAGGATGGGGCAATCAAGGTTGTTATTAACTGCAGTAAAAAGTAAAATTACAAATAAAGCATCGATCTAGAGATAGGTGGATGTTTACAAACAAATATTCTGTAAAATGGGAATTTATATATATGTGGAGCTGGATGAATTGCTTTTTGGAAACTTAATTTGTAAATCGATATATAATTTGACATTGCTTAAAAAAGTCTTGAAATTCATATGTCTTTATAAAACATCTTCGCAATTGTCATCTTCGGGAACCCAGGCAACTCTTTTTTGCTAATTAAAAATTTAGATTAGCAAAACTGTTTGTAAATTGCAAAATATATTTGCATAAATACATTCATATTTACAGATGTTTATATTACAAAAGATACATGTTTACAGGTAAAGGGGACAATTTCTACTTGTCCCTGCCCCCCATCCACTTTTGAATCGATGATGCGGGTCCTGACCTTTATTATCATCAGTTTCTTGATATTACATATAAAAATATTTCAGGAAATATTTTTCACTAGACGCAATAAATAAGTTAACAAGATCTACGTACAGTTCTTAGAATGGTTAATGACGGTGGTGATCAATCTCGATTAATTCATAATTCTTCAATTTGATATAATAATAGGAAATTTTTAATGTAATATTCTCATTTAGAGGTTTATGAGAGAAAGTTTTGTGAGCCATAGACAGCTTGCAATGCCAACTCGCTAAAAGAATTTCTAGCTATTGATCTGTAAAAAAAGGTTCAAGTCTCTTTGTTGGCGACAAAAAAGTGACGATTCAATAGGATAGATATTAGCAGGGACGCACTCTGATCACTTTGATGAGGGTATTGAAAAAAAATTTTACAAGTGTACGGATAACCTTTAAAAAGTGCGAAAATAATTGACATAGAACATTCAGCAAAAGACAGCAAGAATAAGCAAAGTATCAAGAAAGTTAATTTTGCCAATATAATGTCTTCTGTAATGACAAAATGTAAGGATGGTCTCAAGACTAACATTGCTTTGTATTGGAGGTCGTGGAGAAAGAAGCTCTGAAAAGAGTGAAAGGCCTTTACAGGACATTAAATATAAAAAAATTGATTTATGTCTGATTGTGTCAACGTAGGTTTTCTCACCAGAAAAATCTAGATTTAAGAGAAATTTGTTGTATTATGTTTACGGAAAGATTTTTGCCGATACAAATTTGAGTTCTCAACTATGCTCTTAACATGTAAATTCACATTTTTGATACGAAAACTTGGATCAGCACTAAGTACTAAAAGTCTCTCATTTTGGCATCCAAATTTTGTACTAAAAGTTTCCTAGTTTGTTTCTTTTTGAAGTGGAACATTTTGAGAAGAAAGTATATGCAGATTATCAAGAAAAAACCCATGCTCCAAAGAAAAATAAAAATAGAAACCTATTAAGACTATGGGCGTAAAAATTAATATTATCTATAGTGAAATCAACTCTAAAACATCAAAATTAATAAGGGTTATAAAGTCCTCGAAACCGTCTCTTAATAGAACTTGATACTCATCACTGACTCTTTTTAAAAGTGAAAGTTTTACAGTTTCTTAATTTTTCTTGAGCCTAAAACTAAAGTTTTTGGCCATCTTAGTACCAGTTTTTTATAAACCAGTTTCTTATAATATATGACGTGTCGCTTCTCTGACAAAAACATAAGCTTTACACAACTATTGAACCATTTTCTAAAACCTTTTTATCTCAGTTTTTGCAAATGATGTGTTCAGAATTTCATAATTAAGAGCCTTATCTCTGCTTCGGCCTAGGGCCAAAAAATGCTTGTATAGCTCTACTTTGAGTCTAAAATGAACACTGTTAAAATTCACAAGCTATCTTTGATAAGGCGACAAATGCTGATGGCCAAAATAATGTTTTTTGAAGTTTTGAAATTTGATCGCAAAGCTCTTCCTCGGGGGTTCTATTTCTCTTTGACTCTAAAAATATAACACGAATGCACCATGGCCTCAACTCATTTCACGCTGGTGAAGCAAGTCTGGCGCCCCTTTTTGGAAATTATGCGACCCTTTTGAAGAATAAGAATCAGGTAGAAGTTTCTGAGACCGATAGGTTAATTTCCTTCAAGGATTACCTCAAAGTTAAGTTGTTTATGGGGGCGCTGAAAATGGATCTGAAATTGTGTATACAGCGTACTCTCGTCAACAATTCTTGGGAATTTTTCAGCGTCCCCACTACCGACTGCCCCTCCTTCAACAGGTTTGGGGGAGAGGACGGTGAACTTCTGTGCTGCAACTTTATTTCCTCTTCTGAGCCTCGTTTCTGATTAGTAGCAAATAGGCCTAAGTACACGCACGGGTGCACTCAAATGTTATCAGCGGTTCGAGGTAACTTGTATCGAGGAGTTAGTATTTTAAGGAAAAAAAGCAACTGGAATTTAAACTGCACCAAAAACAACCGCTGTAAGAATCTTCTTACCCGGAGGATCGACGACAGGAACATGGGTTCACTCGATCAAAACACTACCGATGTTGGTTGCGCAGGACAGGAAAAGTCTATGTCCACAGATGAAAAGATAAAATTAATCACGAAAAATCTTCAGGTAAATGAGTGTTATTGTGGCAAAAAACAAAAAATTTTAAAGCTAAACCGATGTTTGAACCCATCATTTCAAAAATCGTTCAGTTCTTTCAAGAAGTCTGTTTAAATGGTTACAGAATATAATGTTATAATTTTCTAGGAGGGGATGTATCAATCATTATCATCGAATAAGGGCATAGTTCCTGTTCAGTAGTCAGAAAATTTTTCAAAGGCCTATTTATTCAAATCTTTTAAGGTCAAGGGTATGTAAAATTTGGTGCAGGGGTGGCTGGCACCAGAAATAAACTGTTATTAGTCAGCCAAGCAGTGGGGGCATGGAGGGCTCCACCGCCCCCCCCCCCTGAACTCGCGTTTTTTCAGGGAATTTTGTTTTTCAAACACCTGATGTATTGAGTCTGTTTTCTTGTGGAAAAAAGAAAATAATGTAGCCATGTAAAATTTAATTCAAAACTACAATCCCCAGCTCATTTCAGGCCAACCTCAAAAACAGCGTCTCCATTGCCAGTGTAATATGCGTTTTGGTACCCTATGCAAATGTGTAACATTGTGAAACGCAATGTGTTTCAAATCATGCGATTTCATCGTAGTGCGATATTATGACACGTTATAATTAACAAATTGAACACTTTTCAATCAAGAAAACTTTGGAGTAGCCATTAATGTTGTACTCTCTTGCATAAACTTAATAAGGGAGATCACAGCACAGCTTCTTGTTAGTACCCACTTGTTAGAAAAAGTTTGATTGTTCTTTACATTCTGATCAATATGAACCAGAACAATTGTGTTCCCAGACCGGTTCGCATGCCAAATTCGTTTCGGTTCCCTGTTTTTTAAAAGCTTGGGTACGTTTTTGTATAAGCAAAATTGTCATGCGTTTGTGTACCGGGACCATTTTATATGCGAATTTCCACGTTTGTTTGGGTACCCTATTGTTTAAGTGCTTGGGTACGTTTTTGTATAAACAAAATTGCCATGCGTTTGTGTACCCGGACCATTTTGCATGCTAAATTCCACCATTCGTTTTGGTACCCTATTGTTTAAGTGCTTGGGTGCGATTTTGCATAACCAAAATTGCCATGAGTTTGAGTACCCGGACCGAAATGCATAAGGTTACCGAAACGCATATGATACCGGCACGGTAATGGGCTGCTACAGCAATGCGTTCTAAGGGCACTGCTGACCTTCGATGCTTCATGGGCTTTATCAATGTGGCCCCAGCAACATTTCGGCTACTGCGTTATTAGAAATGGCTTTCTAATAGCGGGGCCAGAAGACAGAAATAACAGACCATCCTGGATATAATAGAGCTCTAAACATTATTTTTAAAAAGACTTGATAACTTTAATTTCTGAAAATCGCCCATCACGAGACCCGGGCAACAGAAATAAGTATTATTTTTACTTCTTCCCTGCAAATCCATGGAAATGTCTCGTTAACTCTGTAACAATCTTTATTAGAGAAGCGAAGTCTTTAGGTAAGCCATCGTTTATAAGGGAAAAAGTTATTCATGCGTTAGACTTTTACCAGCTGAAATTACGGAAAAAGTCTTGAGAAACAACCCAGTGCACAGAACCAGCTTGAATTATGGTAGTTATTTTGTTTGCGATTTGTTTCACAATGTTATTAGCCAGAGGTGGCTAACAACATGTGAGTAATATACAATGACTTAATAAATGCGCTGTTTTCTATGATGATACGTCATATACACAGAGTAACAACAAAGGAAATGGTGATTTGTGTTATTAGAAACGCAATCCTAATAACAGAGATGTTAGCAAGGGCTATATTGTTGACATTTTCTAAAGGAGATTGAAGGCGAAAGAATTTCAATAAAAGTATATTGACATGCGGAGCCTTGAGCGCCAATCCAAGTCAGGGTGTATGAAAATAAACAATGAGGGCCACAACAAGCCTATGGCTGTGGAAAAAAACTGTTATTAGACTAATAACACTAATAATGCTATAAGCCGCCCCTGATTTGGTAAGATATGGTTTGCTGCCACATATCTATAATCCATTAAATGAGAGTTGTGTTTTTTTGCCTATAGCAGAAAATAGGGTCAAAGGGTACATTCCAAGGGTAACAGAGAGATTAAAATTCACTAAGAGGTTTATTGAGGTTTATTGCAAATTCTCATCTGGTGTGTAATGAATTCAAATTTTTCATTCAAATACCATAAATCAAATCAAATTTTCCAATTATAATTCTTGCCGATGTGAATCAATCATGAAAGGATGGCTTCAAGTGACATGGCCAAAAGGATGATTTCAAATGACATAATGTTGGTATGAGGATAGCTTAATGGCTTGAGGTGCTTACTACAGATCCAAGGACATTGGTTCCAGTCCTTGGTATGATCAGATTTTCACACAGATTCACTGTGATGAAAGTCACCAGCTCTCTATAATTCTATGTGTAGGAATCATTAGGTGTGATCACATTGAGAAGAGGGACCAGGACACTGCTCAATAAGCAGATAGCTTCACTGTGCCATAAAGACTACAATCAGATGTTAGGTAGCAAATAAAAATACAAATACATTCAATAAGGACAACTAAATACCTTCTGCTGGCAAGTTCAAGCAATATGAAGCAAGGAGTAGCAAGGGGGGCAGAGGGGCCCAATTCTAGAGGGTCCCTATTCTAGAGGGGCCGTATTCTAGAGGGTCCCTGAACCAAGACATCTTAACCCCCTCTCTCTTGACTTTGTAGAGTTTGTACATGTTTATGCCTTACCTCTGTACGTTATTTTTAGTATAATCATTTCTATATATTGGAAAGAAAAAAGTTTTAGGCTCCCCAATGTCAAAGTCCTAACTACCCTTATGATATGATGATAATAATTATTCATAAATAATGTTTGTTTCTTGTTACTTTGATCGATAGTTGCAATGAAGACATTGAAATGTTTGTGTTTTTAGGAAGTCATAGGGATGGAGAGAATTATACCAATCATAGAAGAGAGGCCATTGTCACTCTACTGGGGTACTGCAACAACTGGCAAGCCCCATATTGCTTATTTTGTGCCAATGACAAAAATTGCTGATTTTCTCCATGCTGGATGCGAGGTCTGTAATATTTTGAAGGAGTATTTAATCAAATTGATCAGATAATAGAGAAACTTTGTAATTGATATCATGATGTAGTGACATATACTTTCATTTGTAAACCCTTCTTTATGTAAATAATGGCTTTAAAAAGCTTATCCTTAAAATGATTTGACTTAATTTCAATTAGCTTTTGTCCGGGAATTTAAAGTTGGCATGCAACATTTGTCAGCCCTAGCTTATTGGTATTTTCTTCTCCCTGTCACTTGTTATCCACCATATTGAGATCATGTTTTGATGCTAGAAGAAAACTATACACAAATAACCATATACTCACTTGCAATAACACTCAATATGAATTGATGTCGCTTCTTCTACAGGTCACCATTTTATTTGCTGATTTGCATGCCTACCTAGACAATCTCAAAGCTCCTTGGGAATTACTCCAGTATCGAGTAACATACTATCAAGAAATCATTAAGGTATGAAGACATGGAATATTAATTGTGAATATGCTGACATTTTAAACAATAAGCCACATCTTCCAAAAGCCACTCCTCTCTGACTTTTTAAAACCCTTTTTGAAATTGTCCCCGATTTGAGGCTGTTGCCCTAGCACCATATATGTTCAGAAGGTTGTGACACCTGTTCCATAGCTCCAGCTGTTTTTTCTTCCAATCCCAAAGCCATGTACATTTGAATTTATGAGATATTTGTGGTGGCCCTTTTATTGTAGACAGTAGCACTTGCAGGGGTTTCAGTCAAGGCTGTGCCCAGCTATCCATGCTTAAAACTAAGGTTTTTTCATTCTTAAACGATAATGCATCATTTTAGGTTAGCCCTTCTCCCAAAAAAAACCCTGAAAGGCCTGAAATTAAATGTTAAGCGATTTGAAAGTCATTTTGCTTTGCTTATCTTCAAAACAATTTTTGACAATCTTGGACTCTGGCTAGCAATGTGGGTCGGTAAAACTAACAAGGAGTCATTGCTTTAACATGTCATTGGTGGTTTTAAAATTAGGCAGGAAACAGTGGCGGAAATTCAGGCTTTCATTTGGGGGGCCCAGGCCAACGATTTTCCGACAAGATACATCTTGGATCATGTCTAATTTTAAGGAAACTGCACATTTTGATAAAAAGAGATGATTTTTGTTGGGGCCTTTAAGAAATCTTTGCTGACCACGCCATAATTAAGTAGCATGAAGAACAATCCATTTCTGATTTTTGATGTGAAGATCGATTTGATATCGGCCGTGCCCCCCCCCCATACCCCCATAATTTCCGCCACCGGCAGGGAAGACTAAATGACTTGGCTTTGCATCATATTGAAGTGATGTTGCTAAAAAGATAGATTTTTCTATTGTTATAGATGCTTTTGCTTTCAAAAGCTTAAGAAGTTGAATGATGTATGTCAGGGATAGAAAATGTCTGTAGTTGATTGAGTTTTAATCGCCACAAAGCTTAATCTTTTAATTATTTTTTATTGATTTGTAATGCGGCATTAATACCTTTTTTGTTTAAATAGAGAGTCGAGGCGAAGGTATATGAGTAAGGTTTAAAAAGATGAACATTTTAACCAGGCTACAAAGCGATGTTTAAAGCCCATTTTTGCGTTCAATTTCAGAAAAAGGGCTGCACAATCAAGCGTTTATCTTTTAAGGACTGCCGTGAGGGAATCTTGTGTCCTTACTGTATCAACAGACTATAAACTGCCACCTTTATCTTTTACCTATATCAGTTTATATGTTGCTTCATTATAACAGTGTTAATGTAGACATAATAATTATGGTTTATTTTGTAGTCAGTGCTTGAGTCAATTGAAGTGCCACTAGAGAAACTGAAATTTGTCAAAGGAACTGAGTACCAACTTAGCAGGTGGGCTGCATCAAATCATATTTTTAATCACTTATAATTATTCTATGTATGATATTATTCTATGTATAACCAACTTCGTTGCTGTTAAAGGATATTTTTCAACTGTGCATATTTTCCTCAATTCTGTACTTGGCCAAAGCCCAGTGTTGTCTGACAGGCCAGAACACTAAAAGGATTTGGTGAAAAATTCGTTTCAGCTATTTGGTTAACAATAACCTATGTGCAATAAAGGAAAACTAAATTTAATATGCGGTTGAAACCAAGTGACAAACACAAGTCACACCCTATGATACTTATTGCTTTATATAGAAAGTATTTGTTTCTATTGGTACTCATAAATGGAACAAGTATGCTTGTCTGTCTCTGTTTTTCATCAAGTTTTGAACTAATTTCTAATGTAGCTCTTCCTCTTTCTTTCATTTTGCCAATTATTTTTAGAGTTGCTTTGAGTTTATAATGTTGCATGTCCAAGAAGGATTGCCATTGTTAAAGATGGTAACTATTTGACAACCGCTGAAATTTGTTCTCTCAACTTAACGGCTTCTCTCAACGAATTCAGTCCAAGTAAACAAAGTGTTATCATGGCTTTGAAAAAAGCAAACATTTTACAACATATTAGCTAGAAGCTTGTTCGTCTGACACTCTTCAGAGCATAAAACGTCAGAATAAGGGTCCGAAAGAACACGATAAAAAATATATACCCAGTTGTGGATCGAAATAGGCCAATCAGAAAAACGCAAGCACAAGACCGGTATGGTTGACCAATCAGTGCCGCGTGCCTAAAGAAAAATTACCACTGAAGTCCACGAGAGAAAACGAATTCCTTCTGTCTACAAAATGGCGGCTTTTTCGTTTGTATGTAGATCGATTCCAAAACTGCTAGATGGAAAGACGACCGGGCTCTTCCAATTATTCGAAGCATGTCGTCATTGTAGAGTTTAGCACAATCTGGGTTGTCTAAAAAATGGCAGAATCACTTGTTTTAACGATGTTTCTAGACCTACAAGATCGAGGAGGATGTTCTCTTTGAGGATAAGTTTTGTTTCTTAAGTTGGAAGGAACATGCTGTTTTATCCTATCCCCCAGTCTTTGGGTTGTGCGTCCTACGTAGCCAGGGCACGTAAATTCATGAACAACGGAATTTTTTGGGTTGGTAGGAACGCCATTCTTTTGAATAGGTGAAAGGGCTCTCCTAGTGCTGTAAACAATACGGGGATTGACAGCAATGTGATGTGAAAATCCTCAAAGAGAATTGTAATAGGCTGTTTTAAGCAAATCAAAGAAGCAAATTAAAAAAATGGGGCACATCTAGTATTTTTAAGCTTTTTGTAGATTATCGGCTGGCAGACTATTAGTACTTATACAGGAGAGTGAAGAACTTTACCTAACATATCTTTGGAGTTATTTGTTCCCTCGATTCAACTACACGAGTAACTTACCAACAAAACTCTTCAGATGAAAAGGAATGTCTTTATTTTTCTTATGAAAGCTACACTTTTGGTTACTGACTGCATGGCATTTCCTTCATTAAATTTCTTTCGTAGAAACCTATAATGCCAGAAAACTTTTTCTACTGAATGAAAGTATTGCATTAAAAATTGTACTCAAAAATTGAAGGAAGACATTCATTTTAATAAATAATACAAAGAAATCATTTTTTCTTACTATGAGCTCAATTTTAAACCCAATTGGTAAAATATCTTTATTTTGTGTAAAATATTCTACCAAGTCAGTATATACCACAACCTTCATACCTATTTCTTGTCAGATATTTAGCATTGTTTTTTTAAAAGTTTGTCTGAAGGGGAGTTTGACTGTTAACTACATTCATTGAACATCGCTGCTGTCTAAAAACCCTTCTATTCAAGGAAACAACTTATTTGCCCTTTTTCGATTCTGCTGAAAAATCTACAAGAAATATCGTGCTCTGAGGGTAGTAGCAATGTGAAAGTGCTGATGACACGAAGGAGAGTTCTTAGAATTACCTGAAAACCAGTTCTTAGTTTTTGAAGACATTTGTGTATTTCTCAATGTTATTTTATATGATATAATCAGAGTTTCTTATATGTTGTGGTGAGGTCTGTCTAAACTATAATCTACGTTGAATTTTCTCACAGGGAGTATATACTTGATGTTTTCAAGATGTCAACTGTTGCTACGGAGGTATGAAAGGATTAACGTCATTTTCATTGTACTTGTTCACTTTATTTTGATTTGCAGCCTGAATTTGCAGTTATTCTTTTCTTCGCATGAGGTGGACAGTTTACTTTCTATGAGATGTGAAAAATAAGGCCTTTTACTTTGATTGAAATAGGTCAAAGTAATTTTTGTAGTTGTCCTATTTGGCTTTTGCAAGGATAATCAAAGTTGATTTCAAATTTTCTTTTGAACGTTGTTTTTATTAGTTTGGTGTATCTAAACATATCGTTTTATTGACTGATTCAGGAATAATCTTTTGCAAATCCTAATGATGAATTTTGTGAACTCTGAGATGGGTCTTGTTAGTCCTTAAATATGTTTTTGTTAATACTGAAACAGCTTCTTTGGATCCGAAGACCTATTTTTGTCATTCCTAAGAGAATTCTTTTTCAATCCTGAATAAGATTTTTGTCAATCCTAAAGCAGTTGTCTGTCTTGAAAGAGATTTTTGCTAATCCTGATATAGATTTTATTGAATTATACAGAATTTTTACATACTTGATCAGATAAGGATACTGAAACCCCACTAATAGCACTAATAGATTTTCTGCAATATTAAACTTGAATTGCCATGGCGTTTTTTCGTGTTTTGCTTCATTAATTGCTCATTTTCGTGACGGGCCTTGTAATTCTCTAATTATAATACATCTATATAATATATAAAGTCTGACAGGAGAAAAATTCTTTCCACAAGGGTGCTGCCCCATTGCATCGAACCACTCTTGGTCGGAATCGATCTCCAGCTTGCTGCTTCAAAAATCAACGCTCATTCCACTGAGCCGAACGGCCCAATGAAATAAGCGAAGAATCTCCAAAACCACGATTTCACCGTAGCCAAGGCATGAGTTAAAGCTGGAGTTAGGTGCTCATGTAATAGTAATATTGTGTTATTTATAGCATAGTAATAAAGCATTATTTTCAGCTATGCCCTTGTTCACTTTGTTGTAGCACGACTGCAAGAAAGCTGGGTCTGAAGTTGTCAAACAAGTCCAGCATCCTTTACTCAGTGGTCTTTTGTATCCTGGCTTGCAGGTGAGATTCCAGTACTTAGCTGAATTCATTTTAATCTTTATAACGTAGCAATTTTTTGCTGTAATAATTTCTTTGAAATTCGCATAAATAAAAACATATGTCCTACATCAAAGACAGTGACAGGATCTAAAATATTTTTGTATATTAATTAGTCTGCTTTTGCCTGTTCCTACTTACAGAATGCAAAATATGCACTCTTCAATTCTCTTCCTTTGGTTTCTTGATCAATAAAGTGCCACATTACATCGTATTTACTTTTAAAAATCGTAATATTTTTAATGTCGCCTTTTTTACTCACGTATAAGATGTTTTTTTAGTAAAAATTTTGAGACTATCGCCTTTTCAGAATTGTTTTGGTTTTAGTCTGTTGTTGTTTCTCATTCTTGAAGGTCGAAGTTTTCTGCCTTGTCGTCAAATGATTATCGTATATAGGTTTCATAATCTGGCCATGATTTGTCAATGCCATTAATGGCTCCCTTTCATTCCAGGCGTTAGATGAAGAATATTTGAAAGTGGATGCTCAATTTGGTGGTGTTGATCAACGGAAGATTTTTACTTATGCAGAAAAGGTTTGCAGATACTTAATTGTTTGTGTATGTATGCTAAAAGGAGATATGACTTAGTTAAACGACCAGAGCAGGATCGAAGTTCGGTGACCAGCTACACTGTAGGAAGATCTCTAGTTCTCCCTTGGTCGTTCGTGTCACTCACTCATTTTCTCTTCAGATTTTCTCATATTCAAAACAAGAAAGAAAGCTCTTCGTTTCATTGCAATTTTATTTTGTGATATTCTCTGCCCTTCCTTATATGATATTCATTTCATTAGTATATGCCGCAACTTGGGTATAAAAAGAGGATCCATTTGATGAATCCTATGGGTGAGTTTAACTTAAAGGAGAACTGACACGCAAAAATAAGTTTGGCTAAAACGGTAGTTTGTGACAAGCAAATTCCAGGATCGAAAAAATTTTTCAAATCACAGTTACCGTTTTTGAAATACAGGCGTTTTAAGTTGAGAAACGACAATTGTTCCGACAACTTGAGACTCGAGGCGAAAATCGTCACGAGTGGACGATCATCTTTGACGTCACAAGTGACATGTTCTCAGCACGTATTGTGTTTCTCTATAGAAACCTTTAACAAAATGCTGCGGACAAATGTTTATTTTGTGCATGTGAAAGGAGCCAATTTTTCATTTTTGACACATAATTGTCTTTTTCAATGGTTTGGGACTCTGAATCGGAGTTTTATTACACTGATTTCGAAACAAATGGAAAATTTCAGCCGTCTGAGTTTTTGCTACCAACCAGCGCTGCCGCTTGGGCAGACAGTCGTCCCATGGCTCAACAGTGACGATATTATAAACAAAGAACAAACTGGAAGTACAAACTGATATGGAATTTCTATTAAAAACAATGCTATTGCTACAATCTAAATGAGATCAGGTATCGTAAAACTAGAATTTCATTTCAGATTGAGGCGTCTTTGTCCAGACTGCTTTGTCTGTATGGCCTAATTCGCTGAAATGCCTATGATGACCTAAACGGAACTGCAAGTTATTTATTGTTAATATAACATTCTATGATTGTTTTTCAATGTTTCAAACGCGTTAACTGTATAGTGATATTGAATAGTAAAGGCGGGTTAAAAGTCGACTTGTGCGGATTTTATGCCATTTTCACCGGGCGTGAAGGGTTTCGGGAACTGATAAGTTACCTGGCAGTCGAAAGATCTGGATTTACGAAATAGGCTCTTAGCTCTTAGTCAAAGAACTTGATTTCTTAGTCGAAGAAAATGCTGTTAAGCTGTCATAGGAATATCAACTGGCACATTATATTCTTTTGCAAGCAATTTTGACTTGGGTGGGGGATGGTCTTTTTGCAAGACTAGGTTATTCCCTAGTATCTCAACCTCTGTTAAAATACAATAATCAAGTTCAGTGAAATTATTATTTAGTCACACTCGCAGCTCCCATCAACCAAGGTTTTTTCTTGAATTCATATTTCTGCACCCAAAGCAGGTTGCAGGATCGCTTTTACCGCTGTCTCCACTAGATTTCGTTTGTCTTTTGGCTACTGCTTCAACCCCCCACCCCCCATGTTGCGATTTTTTTGTAATTGTAAAAATAAAAACTTTGAAGAAACGGTATCAGTTTTCAAACAAAGTCGACTCCTTTTTTCACAAGCTTAGAGGTTCTTTCAATGTTTCAAAGCATGCTGGTTCGAAGATATCATGGCATGAAAATAAATTTTATGTGGATATAAGCATCTTAGCAGACATGTAGCTAGGATTTTCTAGCTTCTATATACTTATAAATGAAATGCCTGACAATTTTTTGTCTTTTCACCGCGGACTATTTTCAATAAAACACGAAACTTCACTTGTACTTTCACCGTTGCGGTGAAAGCCTTTACAACGGCATTGTTAACATGTCACTTGTGACGTCAACCGAGAATTTCAACAACTCCTGGCGATAATCTTGTTTCCGCTTCGGGAAATTCCCGAGTCCTGGCTGTGACGTATTTGACGGATAAAAGTGCAAATATCAGAAAAACGGCGAATCTAAGAAGAAAACTTTTTCCAGATTTGAAGTCAGCGACAAATTTTGCATCGAATAAGCCAAAGTTATTTTTGCGTGTCAGTTCTCCTTTAAGATTTTACATTAAGAGAAAAAATGATTAACACGATGTGTCAATACTCTGGGATTTTGATGACATTGTGGGTACCCTAGGAAGCTAAATGATGATAGTCGTGCATCAAAAGCACTATTTTCACGCTTAGCAAAACAGTCAGCACATTTTGCATTTCCTCCAGGTGGCCCATGCGTGTAATGAATAGAGATTCAAGAAAAGAAGCTATTTGCTAATGACTGTATATATTTTGAATGTTTATGGTTGTTATCAGAAAAACAGATCTTGGTGAAGCAGTGAAAATCTGTAATTACCTCTGTACCTAGCTTATTTGTTGAAATCGGTTTAGCCAAAACAGTTTAAAAGTTTAACTTTGCCATTTAGTGCATGGAGTAGGTTTAAGTATAGTCAAGAGAATATATTTTAAGTAGTAAAACCTGACCACCACCATAGTGTCTTAACAAAAGCTAAAGAAAGGATATCTTACTTGTTGTTCTTGGCTAGTTGTAAATCTTCTACTTTTTCTAGTCCCTGGGCTAACTGGTACAAAAATGAGTGCATCCGAAGAGGTATGTGATTTAATTAATGATTGTGAATATTGCGATGGCATGGAATTAGACAAGTGTATGTATTTAGCAAAATTGATTTACTTTACAGCTTTTCGTCTGGCTCAAGAATCTTTGCTATAATTCGCAGAGTTCTCGCAAACTCTTACAAATTGTTGCTGTGTTGATGCATCGAAGGCCTCTACCGTACATTGCCTATCACAGTGATTTTTACTGATTAAAACAAATTTTCTCTTATGCTTTTCGCATTTGATTTCGTATCCAAGCTCTGACCTATACCTGCATCAAATAGTTTGTAAAAAACTTCAATGGATACAAGGACATCAAAAGATCAATCTTCATCTCCCAAAGATAGCATCTACTCCAATGTGATCTCCATTTGTACTTTTCACCTGCATTCTAGCAGATTTTAATATTCTGATCATTGTAAATATTCTCATCAGTTAGGATGTAAATATTACAGCTAAGCCCCTATTCCAGATCAATTTAGGTTTCCATGAAAAAAGAATAATTTTCAGTCACCAAAGCAGAAAATGATTTTGAAGTGGTAGTAAATCTGCTTAAATCTTTATAAATGAAGCTTATACGTTCATAAAACTGGTTAGACATAAGTGATCCTTTCTTCTTTTATCTTTAAATTCTCGCAGGAAATTTTTGCATAATTTTTGTCTAGTCGCAGGAAGAAAAAGTTGTTCGTGCTCTGACATAGAGTCAAGTTTGAATTTACGCAGAAAATACAAGGATTTGCACTCCTTTATCATACATTAAGTTGCTTATATGTTCTTTAATTGATTTTTTCCTCTATAGAGAGTTTGTATGGGCAATCCTCTTGTAAGTTCCCATCTGCGCTTCCTTTTGTTTATGAATGGTCAGTGTGTCCATCAACGCGTAAACAACACATTTTTGTTTTGATCAAATCAGGACTCAAAGATTGATATTCTCGACAGCGCTGCTTCAGTGAGAAAGAAGATAAACAAGGTATTCAAGTAATTTGAAACATATGTCACCGCTAATGGACATAATGAATATAACATGACTTTGATTGTCTCTCAACTGTGCCAAAAGATGCTCTTGATAAGATATATTTTCAGTTCACCTTTTATGAACATCAAATATTAATTCTATAATCAACGAACATGTTTATGGAATAAAAGATCTGCTACAGTATTGTTGCAGAAAAAAAAGCTTTGATGTTCAAGAACGACTTTTCTTAATTGAAACATAGCTAATAGCCTAAGTAGTTAGTAACTCGGCTATATCTCTCTGTTTTTCACCGTTATATTTTTCCTTTCAGTAATGAAAAATCACGACAGATAATACAATAGGACATATATTCAGTTTTATTCATAAAGTGCTTGATGTACGTGGAGCTGCACACGCTTCTGGTGTATAGAAAAGGGCTATTCTAAATTGCTACTCCAAGTTTTGAATTAATCATCAAGCGATTATCTGTTCTATTGGTATATGTATTATAATTTATCAGGTATATGATTCTAACTAGTTTTGGTTTAAGTAAATTTCTGATGTTAACCTAGCTATGTTTTCTCTCTAGGCGTTTTGTGAAGAAGGTAACATAACGGAAAACGGGGTGCTCTCATTTTGCAAGTTTGTTATGTTCCCGATTTTGGACCTGAGGCAAAACAGCAAAGGTACATATTCTGCCCCAGAAATTGTTCGATGCACTATCTCAAATTTTCTTGATAAACTTGTAATGGTTTTTCTTTGTTTTTTTCACTGTTGTTGGAGCCAGAGTTACTTGATGTTTTTATCAATCTCGGCTGTTTTTCATTGAGAATAGGTGCAGATAGCAGTCACTATCAGTAATAAACAAACACAGTTTGAAATTTACTTTCTAGTTTAATAGATTTTAGGGGTCATTTGCTTACGAATAAAACTCAGAGAGAATGCGAGCGATTGACATGACCTGGGCAGTAGGCCAAATTCTGCTAGACCTGCTTAATGAAAACAACTAGGTTGAAAAATGTTTCTTTATACCCATTTGAAGTATATTTGACGCCTTTACAGGTCCTTAAAGTTTTTAACGAGGTAAAAATTTTTCACAACGACTCCAAAATCGAGGAAGTCCTTTGACTAGCTGTCGAACAAAAGCTGGATAGTGCCTATTTGAAATTAAACAACTCAAGTCTCACCTGCCAGATCACATTAAGATAGCAATTTTATGGACATTAGCGCGGTGGGGAGGGGAGGGGGGTTGGTTGAATTTTCTCAACACTGCCTAGTACAATATCCCTTATAATTTCACAATTTTTGCAGCTTCTCCTTCCTTATGCAATTACCGGTGCTTTAAAGGTCCTCGGCTGCTGCGAGTTTCTTCTTTTTGGAGCTTAAACAGGTTACAATGATTATTTTCATCAACACAAATGCCACGTTGCGAGCTGCTAAAGATTGTAGACAGTTTTAGGCCATGGAAATATACGATCATGACGGACATGGTAGCTAGGGAGGGGAAACAACAAAAAATAACAAATTGATAGTAATTTTGTGAGACTTTGAAGAACTGTTTTTTCAGGATTTGTTATTGAACGCGATGCTGATAATGGGGGAACAGTAACATTCAAGGATTATCCCTCATTGGAAGAAACATTTTCCAAAAAGGTTTGCATATGATTTTTCTGTAGACGAAATTGAAGATGGATCTTTTTAATTCTTGGTTTATATTTCTAAATGGTGTATATTTTTTGCCACTGCCGTCCCTGGCCTGTGTAAAATCGTATTTTTTCGAAGCTGTTTGTTATGTTATTAAAAAATTAGAAAATTATTCATTAAAATCAAATAAGTCATGTATACGTATCACAAATGTATACTATAGTCTTTCAAATAGCATCATATGTAAACATAACATATCATCAACTGCTATAACCATTTGAACCGCTAGTCTGTAATTCTACGATCCAGCGAATGGCGTTATTAAGCTTTTTTCTATCAATTCAACGAACATCAGTTATTTATAAAGGTCTTTTTGTAATTTTGTATTTTTATGTTATCTAATACTGACATTAACACTTGAGATTAATTTTGAAGATTTCTATTTAATATATTTAAAAGCAGTTTACATTAGGAAGTTTTCCTGTTTAAAATATGATATATATTTGTAACGGCGTTCAGCGATATTCAGTATTTTTTTTGATTATCGATTATTCTTTAATTGCCAGCATTCTGCTCCTTGCATTTCATGTCATTCAGAAGGACTTCTGTCTTTTTTACCTATTCTGAAACAGTATGAAGTTTTAAATGCGACCTTTTTATCTATTTCTTAGGAACTTCACCCGCTGGACCTCAAAAATGGCTTGTCACAATTTATGAATGAAGTAAGTCCGGCTAAGGTCTCAAGAGACTTCTATAATCATAAATTTTTCAGTCACAACCATCTTTTTTGTTTCAAAGCTTTCTTTTTTGTATTTCCCTTATCATTTTTTCTTGAATCTTTGTTTTATTTGATCATCATTATTCGATATTCATTACTTGTGCATTTTGCAGTTGTTAGATCCGATAAGAAAGAAATTTGAAACGAAAGAAATGAAAGCACTAATAAATAAAGCATATCCAAAAGTTGAAAAGAAAGCAAGTGAGTAAATTGATCTTTGACGATTCCCTTAATTTGTATCTAATTTGTTGTGCGACTTTGTTAAATATTGTTAAATAAGTGTTGGCTACCTTATTAATAGAACAATTATTGTTCCACATGGACCTAATAATCTTATTGATGTGTGGCAGTGCACTATAATTTCTATAGTTACTTTCACAATGCCAATGATTATTAAATGTTAATTTATTAGCCTTGTACAATATCGTATCTAAATTGTATCACCTGTTTTGTGTCCTTGCTATGTCGTTATATTTCATAAAAAAGTAAAGAATTTTGTTGTGATTGCTATGAAATATATCTGATTGTTGCTATGGATGTGAAAAGTTTTCTTCTAACCATTTTATTTTGACTGGATAGCTTTTTAAAATACAATTTTGAACTTAAATAATTAAAATTTTCTTAACTGTATAAGAACAAATTTCCGCTAAACCCCATTAATCTGAGCTTTTATTCTTTCTTTATCAGAAGGGAAAGGTGAAAATCGGGAGGTGAATCCATCGAGACTTGACCTCAGGATTGGCAAAATAATTTCTGTGAAGAAGGCACGTTTACATCAGTCTTTTTGCTTCATTTTACATTTCATAAAGCACATGCATTAAATTAAGACTTATTTTATAATCAGGTTATGGGTTCATTCGATCTTCAGTTTTATTAGGTAGTTTTATCTGAAATACTTTGACTTAATGTTACTTTTTTGTCCAACAATTGAAGTCACGAACAATGTTTCCTATTTTTGTCGAATGTTTATTTTTTCAATTTTATTTGCTTAAAACACTGTTTGCTAAAAACAAACATTGTATCTCTTGTGACGAAAACAAACCGAGAATTAAAACTCGTTGCGTAATTGTTTAAACTTTGCAAGCTTTATGAATATTGCAAAATTCTAATTAGTACGTCTTTGTATCATTATCCACATACATAATTACAAAAGACGCCCTAGATTAAGGATTGTAACCTGTTTCTGTAAAATAGTTTACCAAACGCTGTTTATTTCAACTATGGTCATCGTCGTAGAGAATAAGAAACTGCAGTATTTCCAATTTATGATATTTAGCAACATCAGTTCTGAAGTTGTTAATTGTGATCATGGCTCTTGAAACATTGTTTCTCAAATGTTTCTTGAAACATTTGAAACATTGTTGGCCAAAGTGACCAAATGGCCAGATCAACCTTTTTCCTGGTTTTTTTTTGTTCTCAAATGAAACAATTAAAGATAGTTTACTAGATTTTACTGCTTAATTCAAAAACATGTTATCCAATATTGATTGGTTTTATTTAATCTTCATTCAATTTATCTGTGGATGACGAATTGCTAAACTAGGACTTAATTGAATTAAGAACCTAGAACCTCTTAACATCTTTTCTTTAAATTTTAGCATCCAGATGCCGATTCTTTGTATATTGAAGAAATCGACGTTGGCGAAGAGCGTAAGGCACCTTTTTATTTTATAGTGGTATTTAATATTATAGCCAAATTTTAAATCAATCAGAAGCAGCTTGGTTTTTAAACGGATAGTTTAAAGGCAATCTGTCACGACGTTGATTGAATATAAGAACAAAGGGTTTTTTTATTGTTTCCAGTCCCCCTTTAATTTATCGCATTGTGAAAAATATGACGGAGCGCTGGAATCGTGTTTAGGCTATTGCTCCAGCTATTGTTCTCTTTAACCAGTCCACAACGAGACAGATTGCCTTTAAGCTGTTAAGGAGTTAATAGTACCGTTTTGTGTCTCAATGTTTTGTAAGCACAGTCAGCTTCTGTCAACTACAATGTCTTGAATATCTTCTTTGTTTTAATGACGCACCTTTTGGCCCTTACTCGCCGTGGCGATCAAATTCTGATAGAATAAAGATACCGATTTCCCGACAAATTTTGATAAAACCTATGCGAAATAGACAATTTTCGATGCAGCCCTAATATTTTGAAAAGCTCCTCCTAAATTTCCAAAAAATTCGGTTTAATTTCAAATCATTGCGGATTTCCAGGGAGAGGTCGAGAATCTACAAAACATTTTTTCTAAACAGCGGAATCAAAGAGCTTTTCTTAAAATCTAAGAATTGTACTAATAAGGACTTGAATCCTCAAGAAATGTATTTACTAGATAAATTCCCCGACTGTCTGTTCAGCTTAAAAATTTCTGCTACTTTTAGGCCCAAGAACTGTAGTTAGCGGTCTGGTTGAGTATGTGACGGAAGAGGAACTAAATGGCAGACTGGTTGTCTTGATATGCAATATGAAGCCAGTTAATATGAGAGGTAAGCAGTTATTTGTTGTTGAGACCAATGACATTGTTAACGCTGATTTGACATGGGCTGACTTTGCTTCATACTACCAAGCCAACTCTTTCACCCCCCCTCCCCCAAGCCAACCCTCTTCTCCCTCCCAACAAGAGTTGTATTGCATACACTGAGTTGCGTATTGTCCTAATATGTTGTCCTTAAATGCTAAGATCATAACCGTCTTTTAAATCTAAACATTCCTCCACCTTGACATCAATTTTCTGACTATTTTGTAACAAAAGTTGTCGAATTTTTGGTGCTGAAAGGCGCTGTCAGTTTACTACATTACTATAAAGTTTGTCTCTACAATAAAGGGCTCACTACTGCGACGCTTCCGACATTGCTACAGAGCAGTGGCGTTGTGGCTCCTAGAAAAGGGCCGGGAGAAAATGATCATAAGGGGTCCCGCTCTTCATTTCCAATCACAAGCCACAGGTCACCTAAAATGGTGCGTACCTGGAAACCATGCATCAACGAAAAATTACAAAGACGCCAGTTTTTATCATCTTTAAAGACTCGTCGCTATTTTTATTTGGGGTGTATCCCCTTTTCTCTAATTATATTCTCTTTAACCAGAGTCGGCGCCGCGAAAAGTTTTTTTGAAATTAAGCCTTCTAGAATGGCTAAAAATGCACCCCCCCCTAAAATTTAACAAATTACCATACTGCTCAGAAAAGACCATTCGAGGATTCTCAGAAAACATCGATTATTGATTTTTAGAAAAATTTGGGAGGGGAGGATTCATGCGTGGAGGAAAGAAAGAAAGGGTGACCTTTGGTTCAGAGTGCACATCGATGTAAATAACAAAATGTTGGATTGATTGAGAGAATTTAAGTCCTGAACGCAAACGCGACAGAACACCTGAGGGCACTGCGAGCGAAAATGTTTGCGGCCATGCCCTTTAAATTGTTTTTTGCAGTCGTTTACCACGTTTTACAATTTTTCAGGCATATTTTTTTGCGTTCCTTGCTTTAGGAGGCCCCCTAAACCTGAAGGCTCTGGGGCAGTTTGCCCCTACACGTCCCCCTCTTGGCGGCCCTGTTCATATTCCACGTATCTCTTTCACAGAGGACTGTTTGTATATGTTGACCTCCTCTAATTCTGAACTGTGAACTTGAGTCTACATGTAAGGGAGGGGTTTTCTTACCAAGGATTTTATTCATATTAAATATTTTCCGGGGTTTTACAAACTTGCTTTTAAGGGGCCCAACGGGGATTTCCCGGTGTCCCGCCTAGCCACAACGCCCCTGAGCCTGACTCATAAAAAAGCATGCATTTCTTCGTAAGGATTCACTTTCATGTGGACTATCAAATTTTATCCTTGACATTGTGGTTTTAATCACACTAAAGCGCACCCAATTAACATTACAGTTGATTGGTGTTTTAGCCACCACAATTCCCCTTGATTAATTTCAAACGTTATGTCTGATTGATTAATGCAATCATATGAACCACAGACAGTTTTCCTCACGTTTTGTACTAATAAACCACGAGTTTGAGAATCATTACGATTCTTCCAGCGGTTAGAATTTGTATGACTCACGAGTGCTTTAGAAGCCGTAAAACAGTGCATAATTTGGTTTTTTATAAACCAATTATTTAAAAAGCTTCCTCAATTGCAATTAAAACTGTTATATTAGGAATATCAGTAAAAAAAATGGCTTTTAATATCAGCATACGTTGCCAAATTAGGCCTACTATCTAAAATACGTCCACCCTAGAAGCTGATTATAGCCTACAATTATTTTGCTATTAGTTGAAGAAAACATATGACAGGCGATTAAAAGCTCTGTGTATCCTATAGGGACACACTTTTCACTTAAACTGTCTCTTTTTAGTTCTAAATCAACTCTCATAGTCCAGAGTTTTAAAGACGTTGCTAAGCGTTAAAAAATTACATAAAATCCTTACGTTTTAAAAATTCATAGGCCATCTACCGACTTTTTTTCTTTGCAAGGTATTAAATCAGAAGCCATGCTGTTGGCAGCTTCAAAAACTGAGTGAGTTTGTCATATACATTGTAAACACTTTTAGTTTTTGAAAAGCTGTAAGTTATTGGTATGAAGCTTCTTTTTGTTTGAATGGTTGAAAGTCTTTCTTACTTCATATCACCCAGCTTTCTAAGTTGATACCTATGATCAAATTTTGGTTTGAAAAAATAACATTCTAACGTCACAGTTTCGATTACTGTTCTGACGTTTTGTACTGAGATGAGGAGAGTCTCTTAAAATGTTTCTGCTTTTTGCAGAGCCAGTTTTATTTTGATACCTTTGAAAAATATTATTAATTTATGTAAGCTTATTTGTTGCAAAAGACCTCGAGCGAAAGCATTTTTTGGTGTTTTGGGATCGGGCCTAAATTGTCAATATTTTTCAACTGGAAATTTATTTCGATGTCATTTTAGGACATTTCCTAACAAAGCAGAACTCAGTGAATAACAGAATAGATTTAGAAGACTTGTAAAAGAAAGATTTATTGAAAGCAATATTTTCAGTATAAAAGATTTTTAGAATTAACTTCAATGTACCCTGTCTTAATGTCATTTTTATTTGATTAAGGATGACCGGAAAAAGAATCGTTAAGCCATTAGAACCACCGGCATCATCAAAACCAGGTGATCGAGTCGAAGTTGAGGGGTATCAGCATGAAATGCATGGAGGTTTGTAAACATTTCTGATACATTTCACTATGAATAAAAAACAGACTCAGTTTACTATGTAATGGTAACAGACCTTTGGAAGGGGTGTAGTGCTAGGGGGCTCAGGGGGACCGAAAATTGGCAAATTTCTACTTTTGCTATTGTTTTTCGCAACATTTTCTGCAAGAGCCCCCCTTGTTATTTAGCTAGCACTACACCACTGCCCTTTGGTGGTGACTTACATCTGTAGCTAGGCTGTTAAGTAGTCTATCATGCTCGTAATTGTTTGTATCATGCTAGTATCAGTCTATCATGTTTTTCAATAGTTGCTGAAAGCTCACAGATAATACACGATTGATTTAGGCCATGAAAAAGTAGTAATCAGTTCCCAAATGTCCCGTATATAGAAAACATCATAACGAGGCAAAGTCAGAACAACAACTATAGTCGAAAAGGCATGTTCCAATGATTTTGCAAACACTTGTCCCAGTACTTTAAAGTCGCTTGAATGGTACCGTTTCTCCCATTTCTGGCTGAAGATATAAATGTTATGCATTTAAGACGTGAGCTGGCTAGACGTAAGCCTTCTTAGTCTTTTTCTCTTGCTTAAAGCATAAGTATTGATCCATGTAATATTTACTCAACAATTTATGTGGAATAGCAACCCCTTTCTACAATATGAAAAATTAACATACAAAACAGCTCTGGCATTTGTCCAAAAAAACCGAGGTTCTCTACTACCGACACAGCCCCTTGTCTAGATTTGATTTTCCATCTTGAACTATACTGCCTAGATAGAGCTCTAAACTTTGACGAAAATGTAATAGAGTCGAACATGATTCGAAGCAAAGTTCATGCATGTTATTGTCATTCAGGCACCGCGGACAAAGGGAGGCTCCCCCCCCCCTACATCTTGCAAAAATGCAAAATATTAAGAAATGAGCCGCTAGTAGAGCCTCATTTTATTCTTTTTTAGCCCCTGTTCTTTTTTAGCCTCCCCCCCCACTTTTCTCAACGCTCCGTGGTGCCTATCATTTTCCTTATTTATGGTCGTCACTTATTGGGCGATTGTCTATTTGACTCTGTTTGATTCCCCTTTTCTCTTTTTTCAGAACCTGACGAATCTTTAAATCCGAAGAAGAAAATATTTGAGACAATCAAGGTATTGTTATTATCCTGTTCTTAAACATTGTTTATTGAAAATTTTTTGGCGTTCATGGAGAAAGAAATTTCTTTCAATGACGTTTAGTACACAGCAGTGCATCGCTGTGATTTTCGTTAAAGCAAAAAAAATTACGTAAGCCGAGAAAAAATTGCATTTAAACCTATAGACCCTTCCAAAGAGAAATTTTCGGTTTTGGAGGATATTATTTCAGCGAAGAAATATATGTAAATATATGTGTTTAAGCGCAAAATTGCGCGTCGTCAAGAGTGTTATTTCCCCACGAACTATGCATTTATATCTACTTTGAACAGATGCTATTTTTTACTATCTTTTAAATGGAACACCTATGATATCAAGGGAAAATGCATTTGATCTGGTAACATATTAATGTCGTAATAACAAAGAATAAACGTTGTCTTGTGTTATAGTGATTACATGAGATCTCGTGAATGAATTCTAATGATAAGCTTTGCTGTTTCAATGCTTTCTGAAACCGGCTTTTCCGCAAGTCTTGTGCTTAGCTCTGTTGTACGCCATGATCATTTCACAAGATGTTTTCCATGCATTAAATTCATTAATTCAAGCTTTCCACATCAGTTCTTCCGTATTTTTGTGTTGCCTAATAACCAATCAACTTTTTTTCTTGACAGACTGACTTAATGGTTTCTGACGAAAATATTGCAGAATACAAAGGATGTCCCATGAAAACAAAAGATGGACCCATTACAGCAGTTTTGCAAAATGCAACAATCAGTTGATATTGTAGTAGGTCAGTTTTTGGAGCTAAGCTCTAAACTTGCAAATCTCAATAGAATTTATCATATCCATTCCTTCTTGTTCATATCTCAAATATATCTTTCTGAAGAACGGTAATCCACTTTTATTCCTCCAAGCAACCTGTTGCAATGCCCACTAAGAACTTGGAGGACCAACAGCTTTTTCATCATTCACATCAACAGTTTCCCATCTCCCCTTTATTGATCGATTTTTTTTCATCCGAGCTTAACTGGTATTTTAGAAACTATGATGGCTGAAGTGTATTTCCAGCATTGTTGGGGGACGCGGGGAAGGGGGTTACCCAGCTATTTCTAGAGATGTGAATTGATCAAGAATTGACTGAATCTCATCAGGTGTTCAAGGCATTTTTGGCAAGAATTGTAGATCCATCAAATGTGGTTAAGAGGCAAAATCTCGGAGGCTTTAATCGGGCCTAAAGTTATTTGGTGGTTCAATTCCTTTAGAATGATTGAAAAGATAGGCGATAGGCCTAATAAGGTTTTGCCTTCCTTTGCCGAACAGTTCAAGGACAGCAGACTTCCATTTTGTTTTCCAGTCTCAGTTTCAGCTATGACGTCTCTTGACTTGAACTAAACATTCGCTTCTGATAATGGCTTCATATAACGGTTCATTAGTTTAGATCGATGCTCTGTATTTTGGTGCAATATGAGATTACCTATAGTTTTATCAATAGTTTGCTATCACAGGGAAAAAAGTTAAAGAAGAATCCCGCTCTAGAAATATGAATCAAGAAATGACTGGAGTAAGGATGTGAAGAATATTTCAATATATATTTTAATGATTATTCAATGAACAATATAAACCAGTATAGGTGTACCACAGTCAGAAAAGGGAATGACCTGATGCGAAAGTAATTTAGAAATTTGGGGGATCCCAGTAATACTATGACATTTTGATCGCACATTGATGTAGGATAATAATCAATCTATCTTAGCACAGTGGAGACACCTAGAGACCTTCTGCTCTTTCGCCTTTATGTGACCAGATAAATACGGTCTCAAGTGCGGTTTGCCATATGACGTCACATGGATCTCGTGTCTGTGTTTTCTGGTGTATTTGAAATACTGCTAATCTGAAATCAATCTCTTAAAGAAGAAGCAAGTTGTGTCAAGTGAATGTATCAGTTTACTGTGTTAATTCGCTTTCGTTAATGCAACTAGAGCGAATATTGAAGGATCCACAATATTTTCGTTAAGGTCAGGTCAGCATAAAAGGCGTTCATATAGATTGATGGGTAGCTGATGGGTCTTCAGAGCAACAGTTGACTAGTCAAGACAATAAATCTAAATGAATGTATATGAGTCGAATAAATGATGAGCTGTTGTTAGAACAAGACACGGTGAACAGCTTTGATGACTACCTATGCTCAAAACGGGTATCAAACTTCAGCGATTGTTTTTTTCATTCAATGATTTTCTCAACAAAAATTAAAAATTTTCATAGTCTTTAAAAAACTCTTGTAATATCGGTGACATAATTCAATCCAAGGTATATAAGTTCGGTAATTGAGGGCTCCCGATCGAAAGGTGCCCTTTTGTTCTTTTAAAAGTTCCATTATAAGATCACAGTTTTTTTTAAATTTTGAATGTCCTTTTACTGAAGAATATAACTCAGCCCTCTTAAAGCTCTTATTGCAATTTTTCAGCTCTACACCATTTGGGGAAACCCTCTTGCAGCATGCTCGTAAGGGAACTATCACATTTGTTCCTAACTGCTTTAGGTGTCTCCGATATTTCATTTTTTCATTCAGTTGACGTACCTAGCTACCAAATTGGTTTTTCTTGGCAGTGATTCTCAAAATTGTTTTTTCCTGGTAGTCATCCTGAATTTTACAATAGAGCTGTTTTTCCAAGTGATGTTGCTTTGATTCAATTTGACCTGCCTGTATAAAATATATGAAGCCTGTTTGTGGCAGGTTCTTGTTAGTTTGGGTCATCACCAAACCGACGTTTCCTTCATAACCTGCTGAGTGTTAGAAGAATGTAGCTTTCAGTACGAATTATCTTTTTCTGCTCTTTATTTAATGAAATGATAAAATGCAAACAACAAAAAAACTTAATATAGATCAAATGTAGTGTCGAAGGGCAGCGCACTGTTTGTGCCTCAGAAAAAAATTACATGTTATCAATACACCAATTCAGCTTACAGCCTCATTTTGAAAAATTCTTCGAATTTTTGACCCAAGTTTCGGATTGAGGGCAAGAGTTTTAGTCTATTTGGATGGAAGTTTTCATTGTGTTATTCCTCTCGATATCGGTTTTAAGATGACATAAAGATAAAAAATTTGTAGAGGATTTGACCTTGATTGGCGACTAAGGAGGTGAAGTTTCACCCGGAAAGATTTTTGCGAAGAAATCTCTTTCAAGTTTTCAATCTTAAGTTCTCCGTAAAATCTAAAATACAAGCAAAAACAATATGAAAAATTGTATCCGGTTGAAAAGTATGGTGATAAAGCCGAATCTGCGGTCAAAGAATTCGTACAACGAAGTTTAGAGTTCCTTGCAAAACGAGGCCGTATGTAAAATAGGTGTATTCAATTGAGAAAAGTGTGGCTGACAATCAGGATGTGAAACGTTTGATTTGTACTTTAAAGCTGTTATTTTTTACCACTTATTTACCTAGGACTGTAGACATTATTGTTCCTTGAGAGGGGGGGGGGGGGCTTATGCCTCTCCAACAATTATAGAAATCCTCTGTTTTCAAGTCAATATCCCTTTGTTAATAGAAAAAGCGGAATATTTTTATAAATAACTTTCTATAAATAAGTACAATCGATAAACCTCACAGTAACCTTTTGTGAAGATCATGTTTACCATTTCTTCTAGTAGCCAGATTATGGTTTCTCTAAACCAGGTGTAAAAGCCTCTAGGGTTGTTATTAATTTCGTTAATAATCCAGTTGCTGTTAAGCTTATAAGACAGTTAATTTTGAATTTTTGTTTTACATCGATGTGAAATACAAAAGGGTGTAATCAAACGGAATCTTAGTTACAAGGGAGTTGGAAGATGGGTGTTACAGTTTGTATGTATTAAAGCGTTCAGATATAGATCCATACAACAAATACCTTCAAGTTTTGAATAATTTATTTATTTATTTATTCATTTCATAAGGCCTGTAGGCCGACTAACTGTAGACATTAAAATACATTATTAAAAGACCTCGTTTATTTTAGTAGGAATTTCTCAATGAGCATTTAATTAATTACTACCAAAAGTATGAATTTTTTGTGGTAATTCAATAAAACGCCATAGGCAACCTCAGATGGCAAAAATCATCAAATTGAGGGGTCAAATACGAGAATTTACGGTAGCAGTGAGGGCTTATTGACAATTTGTAGTTCTAGGGTTAGGGTGGGTGCTTATTCGAGGGGGGCTCTTTCGAGGGGGGGGATCTTTTCGAGGGGGGGGGGGGGCAATTCGAGGACCTACGGTATACCAATTTTTCACAAAATTTCCGCGATACGCCTATTTATTCTCAGTAATTCTTTTCTCTTTACTGTTTTTACTTTTCGACGCTGATCTCTTTCAACAGACACTTTTGAATAAAGGCGATACTGACTGTAGACGTCATTAGGCATGTTATTTAGTTGAAAAACGATTTCACAGTAAAATTTCGTAATCGAAGGCAAAATTTGTTGGACGAAAAGCAAAATTTTGTTCCCAGATTTGGTGCCTTCATATCTAGAGACCATATTGCAAGATGTTTTCTTGCGTAGTAAGTAAAGCCTTTTAAAGTCTGCCATTCATCATAGCGAATATGCTTAAATATACAAAAAGGTTGCTGAATTCAAGGCTAAGTTTCACTTCAGAAATTTAGGCAGGTTTCACTTCAGAAATTCATACATTAAAATGAAAATTATCGATCGTAGCCTGCCGGTGTATTTCCTTTACCACACCCTTAACCATAGACCGAGATACAACTTTTTGTTTGGGGGACAGCCTTGATAAATAAGTGTAAAAACAGCTATATTTTACAAAATAAAAGTATTTTACTTGTAATACTTAAGTATTTTGGGGGGCCAGGCCCCCCGGCATCTCGGTCCTTGTCTCAAACTTTCAAGTTCTGGGCATGCCACGGATAACATAGTCACATTCTCCTGTGACTTCGGTTGAAGTCTTCCATTCAACCCGGCAAAGACCAGCACCGTTCATACCACAACTATTGCAAGGGCAAGAGGAAACAATTAATTTTTCCCAAGATTGGCTTGATTTTCCTTTGGACCCTTTGTTAACCTTTTACGACTTCATCCCTTGAGAGGTATATGTAGAGCATTGAACATCAGAACGTTATTAGATACACAGATTATGCATTGAAGACAATACCGTAAGCTCGTGGCTCTTCCAACTTAGATTTTCATCCAAAGGCTAACCAAGAATGGCTGTCTGCCATTATCGTCGTGTCACCTAACAGTTTAACCGTTGAAAGAAGTGTTTCTGCATACAACATTATATATTTATAATTAAGGGAATCAACATTAACAAATAAACTGTTCATTGCAAGGAATGGCGTCCCAACATCAAAGTTTGACACATGGCCAGCCATTGCAAGATTTTTTCAGAGAAAAGGTCGTCGTGAATCAAACCCAACTATTGAAACTTACAAAAATAAAGAATTTGTTTCTAAGTTTTTTTAATGGATTTACTGGGACTTTGATCAGACATATATTTTCACTTTTGAATAATATCATAACTTCAAGTGTCAACACAAAGCTGTTTCATTTCGTTTGAAATACGAAATGAATATCTTTGAAGTATGGGATCATAAAAGCTTCCTAGAAGATACCCCATATCTCCCGTTTTTTCTTGTATATCCCGTCCCTTTTCAAAACTTGCCCCCTACTTGAAATTTCTTAAAACAAGCTGCGTGAGGGCAGGGGGTCCACACCGCACCCGATACCCCATGTTGGAGGCGTTCTTTGTCTCCTTCTCCACCTAGGAAATTGGAGAATTTTTTCTCTTTCCTGGTACCCAGGGTATTGAAGGTCGAACCACCTAACAAAAACAATTGGTTTTGCACATGCGCAGGTACTGTCATTGGTGGAGGTCACAGAGAGGGTGGGCCTAAGGACTGAAAGTCTGAAACACCTGAACAATTTAACTTTCAAGCCTTGCACTCTTTATAAACTACAGTGTTGCGAAGGTTTATAATAAAAAAGAGAATGGAATCATTTCGTGACCCACTTAGTACGTTGACAGGGATCGTGGAGGCGACTTCGCTGAAGAGGTGGGCTACAACTGACACTCCATATTATCCTGAACTTGAAGAAGAGAGGGTTTCGAGGTTTCCCTTCAGCTATGGAATCAACGATAAAGTAGTATTATGGTAAGATAAAAACCTTAACAAGTAGACTTATTCTGGTGTTCTAAAAACCATCGAAAGATAGTTTCCAGTTTAAAATCGTGAAATGACAAGTGATAACACATTTTCCTGCCGTGACACAACAAAGCGCATTTTTTTAACCCATCCCCATACAGCAACGAAGCCAGGAAAACGCACACAGTAATTAAGATGTAGATAATATTTTTTAGCAATTTGAGTACAGATTTTACCCACATAGTAGAGGAGAGCCATGCATCAACACAGAAAAATTCCTTTCAAAATTCATTTACCTAGTAAAGAAAGAACCCAAAAGGTTTACCTGCCAAATGTGTTTCACCAGCCTAATATGTGTTCTTATCAGTGTTCACCCCTTACCTGTATAATGGATTCTAACTAGAAAAATTATGAAAAATGATTGTGGGAATGAACAGGGAGGCCAGAACCACCAAAGGGCAAGGAGGGGCATGCTTGAGTAAAAGGGCATTTGAAAAATAACTCCCTGCTTCTACGTATTCCTTCTACTAATTGTCATTTTGTTTCGATGTTCTGTAGGTATCTTGAACATTGGCTATCTTTTAGCATAAGAAATTATTTCACAAATTTTGAGAAATGTTGTCATGAATTAGGCACTACAATCAGAATTTCATATGAATCTCCCTGATTATTATAAATGGCCGGTTTCAACGGCACTTTAATGAAAAGGTTACTCTGGCCCCCTTTCCCCTTCTTTCAAAAGGCAACAGGGGTGGTTGAACCCCTGTGCTCCCCTTCTCCGGCATCCCTGGGAATGAAAACAGCGTATCAGATGTTTAGCAAAATGTTCATCTTTCTTTGCAACATTCTTTAAAGGAAAAGGAGGAAAAGGGAGATCAAAATAAGGGTAAACATGCATTTGGTATAAGCCCCATATCAGTGTTCCAACTACTTTTAGTGGCCATTGTAGGCATTAAGTCAAAAGACTTCTGGGTGGGGAACATGGATATGCAAAAAACTGTTTCGTTTAGTTTGAGATGGGGCTCAGAATATATTGACACAAAATATTTGTAAATGGTGGATAATTAATTAAGGTTCAAGCTACCCTGGCCTCCTGACTAGTGTTCTTTGTTTAACAGTGTAAGATGGGCAACCATGGCCTGGTAATCATTTTTATGGCCTGATAATCAAATTATAAGGAAAATTAGGGAAGCACTATACCAGGAGATTATTAGTCCATATGTACTCTGCAGATGATTAAGTTCCTGATATGTAACATTATAGTACTCTTAACAGAATATGCCTTCAGCACAGGGGCTGCTCTTATGTCATTAGTCTTCAGACAAATCTCATTCTTGATTCCCCCCAAGGGATTTTCAAATATCTTAAAAGGACTTTTAAGACTAGTCACTATATAGTAATATTATTCTGGTACATTTGTTTTATTATATTTTTAATTTGTAGTAGCAGAACTAAAAAAAATAAACACAAAATGAACTGAAGTGAAATACACCTCGTTTTATTAATTTTTCTTTTTCATATAAGTAAAAGTTTTACACAGATATTTGGAAGCCTTTGTTTTGAAGGAATAGCATATACATGCAAATTTAATCAAGATATGTCAATATACCTTGAATATGCATGTATTTGCTTTTTAATGGCTTTGAAAAAAGGAAATATTTTGAATCTTACTGAAGCTTTTCATCTGACACTTTTCAGATTATACAATGTCAGAACAAAGACTGAAAGTCTTAATGGCATTTCCGAGGGGGAGGGGATTTTGGTAGTAAAAGGGGTGATTTAGGTAGTGAAATTACATTGATGGTTACTCTTTGATGAATGGAATCGATCATTGGCAACTTGTATATCACTAAAATTGTATATCTTTCCAAATTGTGTCTTTTGGTGTATTTTAGGTGAATTGTGCATGTTTAATGCCAGCATGGCTCTTTATATTACAGGGAAGGTGATGCTACAAAGCTAATTACAGATTTGATTGTAAACCCAACCAATGAGTCACTGACCGATAAGAATCCACTTAGTGAGAGAATACACAAAGTAGCTGGTCCTTTACTGAAGGAGGAATGCAGAAGTAATCTTATAAGTGAGTAATTTTTATTCAAATCAGTTACAGTATTTAATGGGGTAACTGGATAACAGTAATGAAAGTTTTACAAAATTTGTCTGAGTACAGTAGAAACCCGCATAAAAGAACCTGTTTTTATAAGAACATTGAGGCTGAAATTTAACCTTTAAAACCCCATGATTAAGAACCCCCAGGAGGCTGAAAATATGTATATATAAGAAAAAAGGGTTTTTAGAGTATATTAGGTTATGGTTGTTGCATTCTAATTGGACAATCTAACAACACAAATTCTTTAAATTGGTTGAAATTTAACTTAAAAAAAGCTGGTTTAAGTGTGTCCATTAGAATTCTTGCGGTGGAAAACATTGTTAATGTATACAAGGCCTGTATGTATATAAGAGCCTGAACCTTTTAGACTGGAATTTAGAATAGCAGCCTGTTAATTAAGAACCTATTCTGGCTGCCAGACAAAAACCTAGGTTCTTTTATGCAAGTTTCTACTGTTTTTTATATTGAACAGCTAGTTTTTATTGAATAGCTGGAATATTATAAAGGATGATAGGAAATAGCACTGTAGAAAGCAAAATAAGTTTGCTGGTAAACTTTGTTACTGCTGACCTTTCAGAACAGCTTGTAACTCTCCTTCAGATAATATAGATCAAATGCATTTTAATTTCCTATTGCCGATATTGCTTAAAGAACATTGCTTATTGTGTATTATTATGTCAGCATCAAGTAATCTAGTAATACATTGCCTAGAGAACATTGCTTCTGAGCAATGCCTTGTTCAAAGCTATTTAGAATTTATTTGCTTGGCTCTTAGAATGTTGATTATTGTAATATAGTATTTTGTATTTGTAGTTGTTTCTACCTAGTATACAAAGGTAGATCTTAGGACACTGAGAAACTTAAGCTTATCGAGCAGTGTCCTGGTCCTTCCTCTCGATGTGACCCCACCTGGTGGTTCCTATGCCTGAAATTACAGTTAGCTGGCGACTCTTCTCACTCTTGGTGAAAGTTTGGGCATGCCAGGTGTTTGAACCAATTGCTGCATAAATTGGAATCCTGTTGTTGTTCTGATATCTGACTGAACAAACTATAAAACCAAGTTATTTCTCAAATTTTGCAATAAAATATATAAAATTTTTGTGAACTAATTTAAAACCTATGGAAATTCTATTCAGGTTGCAGAACAGGACAAGCTAAAATTACAAAAGGATATGAGCTCCCAGCTAGGTATGTTTCTCTCATTTTTTGCTGCTTTTTTGAGCTTTAGTTCTATGCACAGTGCAATTTTTACTGAAATTTTATGTGTGATTTGTTATAGGAATCAAGGATAATCATTTTCTTTATCAACATCACTTTGACTTTTTCAAAAAATGTATACACTTTATTGTTTTAATAGATTAACGCATGCAGATGAAGTGTCACTGTTTGACATTAATATTTCTTCAATTTAGTCATGAGTAATCTTTCAGGAATGCTTTTAAACAGTTATTATGTGTGGTATATTTTCTCAGATATGTTGCACATACAGTTGGGCCTAGATATAATGTGAAATATAAAACAGCTGCAGAAAGTGCGTTGTACATGTGCTACAGAAATGTTCTTGGACATGCAAGGTTAGTTGGAGCAACCTTTTTTCACATTGTTCAAATTTAGTGCGAAGCGTGCAATTCATATGAGACTGATCAATTTTTGACTAACAAAGACATCTCGTTCCTGGATGAATAGTTTGTTTATTTTGGCTGAAATTCAAATCACATCTCTTTGGTTTGCTGTATCTGATACTTTGATGATGAACAAATAATTTTTGCTGGTAGACTAGATAGAGTATGTTTTCTTGACGTAAGAATGAGGTAAGAATGAAGGACATGAAACAAGTATACAAATGCAGCTGCAAAGAAAAGACTTTGAGGAAATTAAATGTGTATCATAAATATATATGTATATATTTTGTGCCAAGTACTTCTAAGTACTCTTACAATAGCAATCTTTGGTTAAGTATCTCAGTATTTAGTAAAGCACAGTCTCAATATTTTTGTAAAGAACTTACTAGCTGCATGACGTGGATATCAAAACAACTTGGTTATTACGGTACTAAAATCTGCTACCTACGTAAATTTGTAACTTTCTGCCACCTCAAATCTGTTATCTGCTAATTTCTTTGAAGTTGTCATTTCTACATCCCCTATCTCTATTTGTCCTTTACACACCACTCTTTGTCTCCCTCTTGCTTTTAAAAAATGATCTGCTACTTCTCGACTTTTCTCCTTCACCTTTTCTCTCCATAACTGTTAAAAGACATTTCCCTTAAAAGCAAGTTGGAAATTTCTCATTACAGAATAAATTTTCTGCTTTTGATGCCTCTTGTATATCAAGTTACCAAAGATGTAGTTATTTACAAGGGGCTGAGGGACTCAACCCTACGAATTCCTTGAACGAAAAGCCTATCACAAAAGTATCCGATATGCCAAGGAATGGAATGCATTTAATTCCTTATGATCGTTTCAGCTTTAATTCTTGTGAAACAAACTGCAAAACGGTCTTGTACTGACAAGCTGTCAACGCAATTCGTGATGCAAATCACTCCAGATGAAAATTTTTGATCTTCTCATTGACGCACTTGTATCGTATACTTCTTACTCCTTTGGAGAGGTGAAGTGTCGGGATGTGCTTCAAACTTTGATACTGGTGCCTGTTGCTTGCCATACTTTAATTCGTGGTTAGCCTTGTGATTTCATTTGGATTCCACTATTTGAAAGGAGATTGAATTTTTAATTAAGAGAGAATTAATGTAGATTTAATAGAGACTTACGAAATAATTGAAAAGTTTAGGTCATTTTTGTAATGTCTGCAAGCAGGCTTAATATCAGTTTGTCTTATTTGAAGGGAGCACCATTTAAAGTCACTCGGATTGTCAGTGATACACACAACAAGAAGGGGATATCCACCTGAGGAAGGGGCCCACATTGCCCTAAGTAAGTCTGACAAATACATTTTCATGTCATTAAAAGCAAACTTTCGCTAGTTTTTCCCCAACAAGTGTGTGGCAATTCTCTTAGATATTTAGGTTGTTCCTTGCGTTGACTGATAGGCTCGTGTCAGAATCCTTTCTCTGTTACTGCAACCAGACGACGAAGTACCATGTCTTTGCGGCCTTATTGGCACTAAATATAAACGTCGCCACACTACATGGCCTTATTCAACCACACTGCCAAGGCTGTATTACTGAGCGTTTTATTCTGTCACTGAATTAGACAAAGAAATCCTTGACCTATGCTTTTTGATTGACTCTAAAGATAGACACAACCACGTCGAACTGATTTTCATTTGTACTGCATTTTTTTATCAATTGATATGCCTGGAGAATGACGTATATTGTTAAAGCCTGTCGTTGTGGCTTCATGAATCATCAGCTTGAATTATGATAACTTTCAATCGCAGGGTATGCTCAAAGTCAATCCGTTGAAAAGCTAGTGGATTAATAGTATTATTTTCGCCGTTTACCAAAATCAAATCGATAACACAGCACAATTTATTTGCACTGTTGGGCCCACAATTCATTTGCAAAGTTTTATACCCAGAGTTTATTGAGCGTCGCCCGATGAAAACCAAGGTTTTAAGCCCAGAGTTTCGTGAGCGTTGCCCGATTGAATCATGAAAACCAAAATTTAAACCCGGAGTTTCCCGGGCGTTGCCCGATTGAATCATGAAAACCAAGAATTTAAGCCCAGAGTTTCGTGAGCTTTACCCCTTTTCTTTTTATGTTTCTTTCCTTGCCTTATTGCAATCTTTTTTATAATTTCAGGGACCGTGAGAAGATTTCTTGAAAAAAACTTCGATGCTTTTGAAGTGGTTGTTTTCATCGTTGAGCCTATTGATGAGGTATTTATGGCCCTGATTAAAAGTTACCGAATTTACTTTGTACCAAATTGCGCACTTGATACAAGATAGGATTTTTCACACTTTGCTTCAATTGTGAAATGAAAAAATCCCGGAGTGCTGTTTTGTTTTATTAAATGACAATTTTTGGATCCGATCTCGGTCAAAACGATATTTTTGGATCTGATCTCTGTCACAACGATATTTTTGGATCTGATCTCGGTCACAACGATATTTTTGGATCCGATCTCTGTCACAACGATATTTTTGGATCCGATCTCTGTCACAACGATATTTTTGGATCTGATCTCGGTCAAAACGATATTTTTGGATCTGATCTCTGTCACAACGATATTTTTGGATCTGATCTCTGTCACAACGATATTTTTGGATCTGATCTCGGTCACAACGATATTTTTGGATCCGATCTCTGTCACAACGATATTTTTGGATCCGATCTTGGTCACAACGATATTTTTGGATCCGATCTCGGTCACAACGATATTTTTGGATCCGATCTCTGTCACAACGATATTTTTGGATCCGATCTCGGTCACAACGATATTTTTGGATCCGATCTTGGTCACAACCATATTTTTGGATCCGATCTAGGTCACAACGATATTTTTGGATCCGATCTTGGTCACAATGATATTTTTGAATCCGATCTAGGCCACAACGATATTTTTGGATCCGATCTTGGTCACAACGATATTTTTGGATCCGATCTTGGTCACAACGATATTTTTGGATCCGATCTCGGTCACAACGATATTTTTGGATCCGATCTCTGTCACAACGATATTTTTGGATCCGATCTCGGTCACAACGATATTTTTGGATCCGATCTTGGTCACAACCATATTTTTGGATCCGATCTAGGTCACAACGATATTTTTGGATCCGATCTTGGTCACAATGATATTTTTGAATCCGATCTAGGCCACAACGATATTTTTGGATCCGATCTTGGTCACAACGATATTTTTGGATCCGATCTTGGTCACAACGATATTTTTGGATCCGATCTCGGTCACAACGATATTTTTGGATCCGATCGGTGATTTGAGGTACGCATAGGGTCATGAAAAATGCTACGCATGTCTTGCGGTTCAAATTGCTGCTTTCCAAAATTCTCGCTCAAACTACTTTTTTCTTGGGTTTTTAACTAGCTTTTGTTGCAGTTTCATTTCTATCCTTTTTACTTCACCAAAAAACTTGCCATCTTAACAAAAAAGGTTTCCGAAAAATCCATGCTACGAAGGAATTCCTTCATTTTTATTAAGATTGCCCTTTGCTAATGCGCCAGTGTTAATAAAATCTTTTTTGGGCGTTTTTTCACCCTATAAATGAGATTTTCTAAGTATGCAAGGTTATTGAAAGTGATTTGTAATCTGTTATGTTTCAAGCCTATGGCATTGGCATGAGTCACCAGAGGCCTAAACGACCACAACACACGTGGTAAATCTAGGATCGTGTTTCGCTATAACCGTTTCGAAATCCACTTTGCGAGTCATTAGGCTATTGCCTGTCGGGCAGTATTTCTGCCATTTAGCGCTAATGAGAGACTGTTACCTTAAAACGGGTAGCTGTTAGGCACGTTACTCGTCTGCAACATGTAAGTTAGTGGTGTATCCCCCCCCCCTCAAAGTCTCTTTTATTTTTGGCAAAAATCATTTTTTATTCCAAAGACCTCATGGTAGTCGCGACTTCTCCAAACTCTGAGCCCATTATCCACGCTCAACCCCTGTCATATTGTTGGATCACACTTACAGTAAGGAATATGATAATTTACAGAACAAAATGTTTCATGTCAAGTGTCACGAAACCAGTGCGGTCATAATGTCATTTACTAAGTTGAAGATGTTTTCACGTGAAGTATATAGCCCTCTCCAGACCTTCAGAGTTATTTCTTTTTACAATGTCATCAATAAAAAGCTCTTTTCATTCTGAACAATTAGGAGCATGTTCTAAAGAACTTTGTCCAATGCAAGAATTTCCAGACTTTTCGGACTGATTAGGTATACATTGATCGCAAGTGACATATACTCAGAGAAAAATTTTTTTGCCAGTTGTTGCCAAAAAAATGTGAGGACCAAAAGACATAAAAAGCAGCTGATATCTCAACCTTCGATAGAAATCGACATCGTCTGATTGCCTCTACCAACTGCTGCCGTTTTTGTGACCCCAATTAAGGCATTTGAATTCTTATTTGATAGATGCGACTGTCTCTCTCAGAAAATCAAGTCAGCTAAAGTTAGCCTTAGTTGAAAACATTTTATTAAATCGACATTGTTTTTTGTCTGCTTATTCAAAAGGTGATTGATTTTTAGTGTGCGGGCATTTATGTATTCAACTTTTACACTTTATGCCTGGTTTCCATATCGCCATAAGTGACGGGGACGCGTCCTAGAAACGGCGATGCTACGGGAATGCTTGGGGTAATATAGGAACATTTTTTAGGCGACGTAGCCGATGTCCCCGTAATATCACGGAACATTTTCAATCTAGTGGAGTTCAGAGTTTCTTCGGAGTTCAGTTTGGAGACAAGTTTCTTCGTCGGTTTCCATATTGTCGTAAACGACGAGGACGCGTTCACGTTATGTCGATGATGCAACGGCGACTTGTCCCCGACAACATATGAACTTGGCTCCCATATCTGCGTAGGTGTTGGGGGCACGCTTGCAATCTGGCGCGTATTTTGAAGTAAACAAAATGGTGGAAACCGTGCTTAAGATGAATCAATGTATTAAACTACAGGCTTTGTTGATACTCATTGTCAAAATTTATATCAAAAGTTTTGGAAGCGGATATCATAGATAGCATCACAAATTTTATAAAACTTATCTACCAAATTGAAAATGTTCAGTAAGGTATGTACAAGAAGCTGCTTTGCGGTGAAAGCTGCGCCGATGCCAAGTTTTCAACAGACCGCATTCTTCAGAAACTGCGCCTTGATCTTCAAAGTAAAATATGTTTGGTTACCGGTAGTTAATGTCATAACTTACAAAAAAGGTGCGGGGAACAGGCCCCCTTTACGGAGGCAGCCGGCGCCTCTAGGGATTTTCAGCTCTGGCCCCCCAATTATAAGCATTAGTAAAATAATATAGACAAAACACGAAATGCTTATCAAGAGGCTTTCAATTCATTTAGACTGAGGTGTCATGACACCCAGAATACCAGCTTCACAGTAAAATAACAGATATAATGTTTGCTTGGGGCCCATGAAGGTTTGCTTGGCCTCCACCTGTTAGTTTTCTAACTAAAAGTGAATTCGGTCCGTTACGCCACTGCCACTGGACCCCTTTTGCGTGGGCCTTTGCTCTGGTAAAGAAGCCTTCCTTGATATTTTTAACAGTATTTAGCAGATTGTTATTTAGCAGATTTATTATTTGTCAAAATAGTTTCAAAAGTTGATTAGAGAAGCCATTCAAATGTGTGAATGGGAAACATTAGCACGACCCATTTCAGTAAGGCCTTTGAAACGCATTTTCGTTCATTCATTCAGCGAAATCAAAAACATTTTTTATCCACACTTGTAAGAACATTATCGGCATTAATATTTATGCTGTGAAGGCTCGAAGTTCAAAAGGCATCATTTGGGGATACCAGTTTAGCGAACTCTTTCCATCTTTTTCAGTTTTTTAAAACCGGTTTTGTTCAACGTATCTCTAACGGAGCGGGGAACGGAGCTTCAACGTTGCTGGCAGTTGGGAATCTATGTCCAGAGGCGTCGTCTTTATTATCTCCTTGCATTGTGTTTCTCAGCCCGATGCGCATTTTCTGCTCACAGTTACTTTCAAAAGCGTGGAGGTTGTAACATTATATTCCATCTGTCACCTTACAGTCCTTTTTCACTGGATCTCTGTTCTTTTTCTCATCGTGTTAAAATGAATGGGAAGCAAGACCATTCATTTCCCATGCTGTTTACTGTATGCATCAACCGAACTAACAAAGATCTCATTTGCAAAAATTTGAGTTTTATTTGATAGCAACCTGTTATTAGCTGGCACTTTCAACGCTTTGCTTATCCAGCTGCCTCATATTCAAACGTGTTTGACATGAGGAAATAAAAATTTTCTTCGCTGCTAGACGGGTGCTCTATGATTCAAAGGTTTTCAAAGGGGATGTCACAATGTTTTCATAAGTTATGCAATACAGCATTTCGATAACCTTATTAAGACAGCCGTCTGCACTGACTTTACATGCATAATTTATGATAATTAGATACCGTATCTGGCCTATTAATTGCTTTCATGCAAGTTGGCCTAAGCATAGAATGAATGAACAGCCTACTTTGTTATGGCTTTGCTGGCATTTTGATTTAAACTGCTCTTGTTTGACCTGCTTTGTAAAGATTTTTCAGAGAATCTTTTCAGTCATTTCAAATTCAATTTTTTGTTTGATACGTACTGCTATATTTTTGGCCTGATCTGTATACGTCTTTGAACTAAATTACCTAATCATTTTTTTGCTTCTAATTTCTACAGCACTGATATTTGCCAACTTGCTTTGAGCCCATTGCAAAATTTCCATCAGCGAAATTTTAGCGTAAAACCGCTACGAATGCTTCACAGTTCTCGTAGCGAGGAGTTTTTGATGAGCTCTTTTACTTCATGTTCTCACTACGTAATATCGAAATCTGTTTTTCAAGTGTGTATGAAACAGCACGGCTCTAGCTCATAATCTTTAATATACATCAACTGATTGTTCCTACTTTTGAATGTTAAGGATCATGTAACGTGAACTGCAACTGTGTACGAAGTCGTGTGAATTAGAATAGTATAACAGGATTATCATCAAATTCATGCATGTAATGAAATAATATCTTGATTTTAGAGCATCTATAAGAGATTAATGCCGCTGTATTTCCCAAGAAGTAAAAGTGAGGAACAGTATGCCGCCTCGCTGCTGCCACAAGACATTGGTATGTTGTCAAGCAGATATATTTATTGTTGCGGTGGCAAAGCGTGAACCTCTCAACTGGCTACCGTATATATTCGATTATAGGCCTAGGCTTATGTATAATCATTTCTTGTCCTGTTTTGCTGTGGCTTATTATGAAGGGCGGCTTATAAACGAGGGTGGCTTGCATTATTCTATCTATATCCAGATTCTTTGTCCAGAGGTTGAACTTCTAGTCCATTTTTAGTTCAAGTTCACAATAAAGTTTTTATCAGTTTTTGCGTACGTCATTGCAAACCTCTGCATGGTTTTACGGGTGAAACTTAATCAAGAGTTGCTTACATTTTTTTAAGAACTCCATTTCCTGCGGTTTTGAATCGAGGGTGGCTTATAAGAAAAGGGCGGCTTATATTCGAATTAATACGGTATTCACATTTACATAACTGGGCGGGAATGGATATGGCCAGGGGGCTAGAAAGTTTTAAAGGGCTGGAAAACATATGAAACAGTGACTGCAGAAAAAGGTACTATAATATAGTAGACATGATAGACCAATGGAGTTGAAATAGAGAAAACAACTCAAAGGAAGCCTTGAGGCCTATTATCATTTGCTATATTTAATGAAGAAATGCAAACAAAAGGTAAATAAACTAAGATCTCAGTAGGAAAGAAAAACTGATACTTCCTTTTCACAGATTTATTTCAATTCGAGAATGTTTCGTCCTTCGAGAATGTTCCGTCCTTCGAGAATGTTCCTTTCATGTTTCATATCTTAACAACATAGTGCTGCCAAAATTAATTTTTTGTCAAAAGAGCAAGCAAATGAAGTATTAATATATCAAGGTGTAAGCTAGTGAATAAAATTGAAAGATAGGTTTATGATTGGTTATTTCAATAATTACTAAACGATAGATTTTTCCATGGATTTTAAAGAGCTACATAATCACATTGGTAATAAACTCTATAATAAGCGCCCTTGTTTTAAATCTTCGACTGTTTTAGGGGGCACTCATCTGAAGGGAGCGCAAAAATCTATCGCTAATTCTCTGTTCAAAATCAGTAGAAAAGTCCCTACTTAGCCAGCAACATGATCCTCCTTCTTATCATCCTCATCATAAACAAGAAACAGATTCACCGTTAAGGTATTAGATGCCTTTTCAAAGATTTGTGGTTTTTCAATGCAAGAATGTCGGCTAGAATGCTAGAAGCTAGGAGGCTCTGCAAAGTTTGTTTACATTTTCTGGGGGTGTGATCGGCTTAGCAGCAAAAAAGGCCATGTGACTTATCGTAAGCTCTCAGACAATCCAGATTTGAGCCCTTTGCTACGCTGGCATGTTTTGTGCGAGCTATTTGCTACTCCGTGTAATTTAATTTCGCATAAGTTCATGAAACCTTGAATTCTAGTTGAAACAAACTACCAAACGAAGGTAGCGTTTCAGATGGAACGAGCTGGTTTTCATGTTATCGAAAAATTTTTTGCCAAACCTTGGTGATTTGAAGTTTGAAAACGTGCTGGTCAGAGTCTCTCAGAAACACAGTGGAAAATAGCAAATATTAGCGGAAAAGGAGCTTTTTATCGTTGAAATCTTTTGGGTATCGTCCACAGAAAACCGTAGAAAACACTAGGTATTCCTAATACTACTCACTTCCCATTTAGGTTTAAGATAAGGATTGTTTTTTAAGAGTTTTTTTACTTTTGACATTCAAAATTGGTTCCAAGGAAGACGGTGTTCTGTGAAAAGGTCACACAGCACTTTGAAAAAAACTCATTTTGAGTACTTGATTGGCTTAGAGCTAGATACACCTGCGCCTACTCATTATTGTTGTGAGGATAAGTAAATAATCTTCGGATAAGCACTCTCAAGCGGCTCATCCTGATATAATAGAACATCTTGACACCATTTACTTTGAAAAACAACATATGGGTGTCCTTAGCTGGATACTCACTTCGCACTGTTAGTTGCTCTAGAACTGACACCGTTAGACAAAAAAATACTCAGACTTTGTATAGCTACAAAAACCTTCTAGATCTCTATCACGATTTGAACAGCAACGGCGCTGAAATTAGCTTATTTCATTGATTGTTTGAAATCAAGTGAACGACATGCAGAGTTTGATATTTTACTGGCTGATATTTTAATCCGTCGCTTGCTTACTCTGCTATGTGTTCGCATGGCAAGTTGAACTAGGTCGAGATGAGGTCGCTCTATATTATCGTAATTGATTTTCCCGATTGCAATCTGTTTCTATTTCATATTTCACCAAGAGCTGAAACTTTCTCCCTTTAAATGAAAATATGACAAAATATGAAAATATGTTGAAGTCTCAGCCCATGTTGCGAAACCTTTTTGTCGAGATTTTAGCTTGTTCAGCTTGTGTCGAGATTTTATCATTTAGATATCTAAGCTTTACATACTCAACCCAGTTGAAACTCAGTCCGTGTTATAGAAAGCCCAGGTTGGAATTTCTAATGTAAGCTGCCTCTTTACAAAGCACAAATTACGCGAGTTGATTCGAATGAGGTTTCTTTGGTCCTCTGATATCAATATCAGATGCTTCACAAGGTTTTGATTTTTAGTTTGAAATCAAATATTACTTGATTTATATTATATTATATTATATTATATTATATTATATTATATTATATTATATTATATTATATATATATATTTATTATATTATATTAATATATTATATTATATTATATTATTATATTATATTATATTATATTATATTATATTATATTAAATTATATTATATTATATTATATTATATTATATGCCATTTTCTTTATAGGGAATGAAGATGGAGAGCCATTTATTGCCGATAGACAAATAAGAATAAATGAAAAGCCACTGACAAAACGAGGTAGGTTTTTAGCGTTTTGTTTGCTCGCCTCTTCTAGGTATACATTTATCTTACTGTGCCTGGCTTAGCCTAAAGAACAGCTTACTTTCTTAAGCACTTTGATTGGTTTGATTGATTAGTATTGATTGGTTTTATTACGGTATTCGTAGTGACTACTGTTTTGTCTTGAAACAAGCATTTATTCTTTATTTGAATGCTTCCCCTGGCGTGAGCTACTGTGGTGTGCCGTTAAATCCTATATTTCTACCTATGTAATTCGTATAGCGCCTTTTTAAAGCCTTTTTTCAGAACTGCTCTAGATCTAATTGCTCGTCCTATTCAGATTATTTTCCTTTTACATGAGAATTACAACGGCTAACAAGAAAGGATACCTTTTTATATTAATAATTGTACTCTTGTTTGAAATTCCCCAAATAAGGGTTGTTGTAGCTTCTAAAACCTACCTTACTCTTTTATTTTGCACCTCAGATGTAATTGCATGCCTTGAGAAAGTACTGTGAATTTCGTAAAGCATTTACATCGTTTCAATTTTTCGTTCAATTTAGACAGAACCATTTATCTCTTTGAAATCAATTCACTAAGAAGGTTTTCTAAGAAGTTTTACTAAGAGGAAATCTTTCCATAGAGCAACAACTAAGCTTATGATATTTTTGTATCTGGTGCGATTTGAAAATGTCGGAAAGCACTATTGGACGTTCTAGACTACGAAAGGTGAATAAGAAAAATAGAAAGCTCTAAATGAGACTTTGAATTAGTTGTCATTGGTAAATCTATTGCGTCATTTGATATGCAGTAGAACAGTATTTTCTATAATTATCACACTTTCTCTAAAAACAGAAATATTCCTGCTGTAAATGAATCCACCCCTTTATAGATTGGAAATCTGATTTCAAGAGAAGGGATGTATTTCTTCAAATTGTTAACAGTAAATTCCATTTTGGTGGTCCGGCACTTTTGCGCGTTTCTATCTTTTCGTGGTAACCATATTTATCAGACATTTCTATCTTAACGTTGAAGTTTGTTTTTCAAGTTCCACTTGCTGCCCAGTTTAATTTAATTTAGTTGTTCACTATCTTTTATCACTCCATTTCTAATCAGCCTTTTGATTAGAGTTTACATTTCTCCAATACCAGTTAAAGTTTACTCTTTTTTAATCTTGTGGTGAATCTATTTGGCCAATAATGCTATCTCTGGATCGTTTTGGTTTTCCAAATTTTTACAAGTAAACTGCTTTATTGAATCAATTATTGATAGAAAATGGATATTACGGTACTTGATTGGTGTATTACATTAAAATTTCCTTTGAAATCCAACTTGTTCTACTTTCTGATAGTGGCTTATTGAGACGTACTTGAGACGTACTTGGACATAAAGACGCCTGGTTTTATAAGGTAGCTCAAGATTTAGGCCCAAGTTCCATAACTTAGGGTATAGTGAACAGTTTTGTAAGCTAAGCTGCCGTGATCCAGTTATCATAAAGCCCAATATAAAATCGTCTGACCGTTTTTCCTCTAAAGGCCACAGCGTTTATTACAAAATCCGAATTTTTGATGCGTTTAAAAAGAGGGCAGCGTTAATCAGAGGGCGACGTTCATTAGAGGAAATACGGTATATATGTCAATTAGCTTGGTAGTGTATAGGGGCTCTGATTGTGCTCACGAGAACCATTGAAGAAAGCATATTGAAACCGTTTCAGTTTGGTTTGCGCTGGCACAGCGTTTTATAGTGAGATTTTTTAGGAGAAACGATGCACATACCAGAAATAACTTGAAAGTTGAATTAGGAAATTTTAAATTTGCCATGTCCGTAATGCAAATAAAGTCTTTGAGTTTCTTTCTTTTCGGGAAGATAAATAGTGTTGTTAAAAGACCACTTTCTTTGCCTAAAATGGCTTAAGGTCTAGAGACTTCGTTGTTGTAAACTGAGATCTTGTTATAATATGTGATGGAAAACACAGCGACCCGTGCTAATTTCTTTTAAACATTGTAAGTACTATTTACAATGAGAAATCATACTGGTGTTGTCTTATAGAAGTTTCTTATCCTGTTTTTCATAGCAACGGTGATCAATGCAGATGCTCTTTTTGCTGATTGTTTCTTTGAATCCCCTGTTTAGTTTAACTCGTTATTCTTATGAAGTGTAGAATAGACCGAATGAAATTGTAAATATTCACGGAGTCGTCTGGAGTCGCTGCATGCTGTTCACGCTGTTAAGTGCTGTTAGAAGTTGCAGAGTGGTGTTAAGAGTCAACTAAAACACTACACACCCACGACAATCAAATCTTTTTACACCAACCTGCTCAGCCATTTTAGCATAAGTACTAAGAGTCTCTTGAGCTCTATTTTGCTTGTTTGAGGCTAAAGATAAACTTTTATTTTGACTTTATTCTAATCTCTTTTCACCAACAGTTTCTTAAAACCCCGTTTTTTTGTATGAAACGAAGCTGCGAGAACAAAGCTTTCATGAATAGATAGATTTTGCCTGTCACACCCTTTACGGCCCATATCTCCACATATTTGTTGAGTAGCATGTTTGAATCATCTTCTCTTTGAAGTACATTTGTTGATATTCCTCTTTGTGCGTAGTCCATTTTTCTAAGTGCCAATTCAGGAATGACATCATAATCTGTTGTTACTGCCCATTTTTATTGTGTAACTTGCTTTTTCTAAGTTCACTATCCTTTTTTGGTTGACGATTTGTTGCTGAAACTAAATAAGTAAAAACTGAAAACTGAAAAACTGAAAAGAAAATAATTGTTTGTTCAAATTGGTTTGTTGAAACGGCCCTAAATTTCAATTTCTGTTTCTCTATCTTATTTCAATTTTGGAAATTCAATGAATCTTTAAGATTGTAAGTTCTCTATAACTTCAGTTGTAGCACTTCACATGAGCTTTTGAACAAAATACCCTTTTTATCATAGTGGACAAAATAACCTTTTGATTTGCCTCTATCTTCCTCTCTTCCATTTTTCCAACCTGATACAATTTGTGACCATTGCTTGAGAGACAATAAGGACGCTGCTTCTTCATCTTGCGCTTTTTTATTTCCTATGGGATTTCTCTTATCCTGTTTAACTGATCGAAGTTCAGTATTCCTTATGAAAAAGCAATCTTCATTTTAAAACGCTTCCAATTTTCTCCGTTTCTTTTCGTCGTGCAACGGAAAACACAATATGCAACTTTTCAATGAAATATTCGTAACTTTATTAGTTGGTTTTAGTTTGTTGTGTCCGTTTGTGGTGAATTATTTTCGACTGTTACTGGATTCACGTAGACTGTTCGGGAATCGTTTCCACCTTATTTATGCAATCTTTTGAGACAATATTCGGTGTGATAATCATATGCATGTTAGAATCAGTTAGAACACTACAACTATCATTATTTGAAAAAATAAACTTCAGCCTTAGACAGTATAGTGTATACGAAGGGTTAAGATTTTCTGTGCATAACTAAACATCAATGTGATATGATAAAAATATCAAGGAGTCAACTTTTACTAAACGTATGCTTTTCATAATCATTTTTTATAACAATTAAGATGTCCTGGAATTATTTGATAACCTATCATTGCACAAGTACAAACAACATCAGCCCTCGGAGGATTTTCTTATTCCTTCAGTATTTTGCGAAACCTTTAGTATTGAAACCCTGTTTTCAAGCGTGTTTTCATCTTCTTGATATAACTGCTCTTTTTGACGCGCAAATAAATCTTTCTTTAAATCGTCTATTTGTAGTATGTGCGTTTTCTTTTTCAATGCAATAGAGGATATTTAGAGTTTAATCTGCACATTTAATTCTAGCCTATCATTTTGAGGTCATTTTTAGTACAATCTTTTCTATTTCAGACGCAGAAATCCTTGAAGAGGGCGAATCACGCGTGGATTTGATCAACTCTTTTGTCGGAAGGCATCCTTTTGCGTCAGTGGCAGCTGATAACGATCAGATCAGGCGCGCAAAGTTGCATGGGAGAACACCAGAAGAAATGGAAGTGCTTGAGCAGCAACGGAGGTCAGGATTTTTAGCAACGCTTTGCCACGGCCGTCATCCGCATTAAGAAGCTTGCGGTCCTTTTATTTAGGAAAATCAAAGCTTCGCCATAGCGGAAAATTAAGTAATTAAAAGGCCGGACAATTTTCGAGCAGTAGGTAACAGGCTGAACATATTAATTAGAATCATCACACGTGGCCGTGGTTTTCACTTTCTAGTATGTAAACAAATGTCCGATACCATAGCAGTTTGTGAAATGCCCATTCTAAAAGAATTCAAAATTTGCTCATTTCCACGTTGCTAAAAATTCATGCCTTTCTCTTTTATGCCAGTATGGAATAGTTTGCCAGACGATGTAGTTGACCAAAAAACTCGGTTATGTTCTGTGGCTTATGCACGACCCAATCTTAGCTAATTCACGTTAAGTTTTCTGGCTGAACATATCGTGTTGTAAAATGAAGTTTCGATGATGGTTACGTTTTCCTGGCTGGAGAAAGCTATCGTGTCGTAAAATTAATTTTGGATGATGATGATGATCATGATGATAATGTGCACACTGGAAGCTTGCACTTCGCAGAGTGCAATAGTTAATACAGCTAGAAGGGTCCTCATACAACCTTAATAACCTGTGCTTCATTTCCTACTTGGCAGTGTTACCTCATTTACCAGCTAGCTTCTGATTTTTGAATTGAAAGGTAATCTACAGTAGATGATTACCAGTAAATATACAAACGTAGCTGATTTGAGCACAGAGATCGGAAAATGGGAATGGAAACATGAGTGCCTGAAGCACACCAATGGTGTCACACTACTACAGCAACATTTTTTACAGATTATTTGACAGTTTGAAGAAAATTCCTTCGAAAGATGTAAAAAATAATCTTTGTTGTCACTGGGATATGCCTACAGATATTTCCATTAGACAATGGCTCGTTAGTGTTTACGCTCACTTTTCTATGAACCAGATATTTTATACAGAGGCTCAATGCTCTAATTTTTTGATGATTTGAGATTCAAGTTGTGACGGTTACGAGTTATCGTGGGTTAAGTAACCATAGGCAAATAAAACGCATACTCCTCGAGAAAACATCAAATCAACAACTAACTGTATACATCCTTACGAGGCTACTAACAAGTATTAAAAATAGACAATAACGTCACACCTCCCCCCTAGATTTTATTTCCTACAAAAGAAATAACAATCTATAGGTTGAGTGCGCTACGAAATGTTAAACGTTCACGAATGTTTTTTTTTTGTGTTCATCAAGATCTTCAATCTTCATTCCCTTGTGGTATGCAACTGCATCCAATAAAATAACAAGTAAAGAAAATTCAAACTTTGAACCAGCAAAGAGTCAAATACACGCGTAAAATAACGAAAAATCAAATTCTATGGACGTTGAACAGTGCGAAGAAACAGGTCACGAACTTAGACTTTTTCAAGACTTTTAACTCTGCTCGCTCTGAAAATTCCCTCGATTGTTCATTGTCACAGATAGACACAGGAATGTTTATACAAAATCGACGCTTTACTGATGCCGTGACGCGAAACAGGATAAAATCCATAAAAGAGTATAATAAGGAGTCCTGGCTCAACATAACAATCGTGATAACTAACTGAACAATAGATAGTGATAAAGCGAAAAATTCTCAGCGTTTGAAGTCTTCCAACAAATGCGACGAAACGTGATCATCCGCGATCCACATTGTTTCTCCATTCGCAAGTTCTACGAAATACTTAGTTTCTAGTCGTCCCTTTTCATTACGAGTACGCATTTTATCGAGTATTTTTCGAATTGATTTACTCATTTCAACAGGGTCGTCTGCTTTGTCCCTTTTAAGCCGATTTACGTTCACAACTGGGTGTCTGTTAGAGTCTGGCATATCTAGCTTGACGTTTTCTTTTGAAACAACTTCTGTCACACGATAAGGCCCCAACCAATGATTCCTGTCTAGACCTGTCTTGCGTTCGCCGGCCTTTAGATAGACTGAATCACCGATTTTGAATTCAGCTTGCTCAACGTTGTATTTCTTATCGTATGCAGTTTTATGCCTTTCCCTCTCTTTCCTGTTTAGGTTGCGAACAATGGCGTATGCTTGGCGCAAACTATTGTTTCTTTCGTTTAAAAAATCGTCAGTATATAAACGGGTGGGCGCCTGAAACTCAATGCTTGGTGAAACTCTGAATTGTCGACCGAACATCAAGAAACAGGGAGCTTCCTTTGTCACACTATGTGGTGTGGTACGATAAGCAGCAACCATGTCTGGTACGAAAGAATCCCAGTTGTTTTTGCCCTTGTCGATGACTAATGACAGCGAGGTTTTCAAAGTATCGTGAAATCGTTCGCACAACCCGTTGGCCTGAGGATGGTAGGCTGAAGTTTTATCATGACCGATCTTTAGCTGTTTGCACGCTCTTTTTACGATATCAGATAGGAATGCCGATCCTCTATCTGACAAAATTCTGCTTGGATATCCGAAATCTCTAGAAAACCAGCGAATGCATTCAACCACTTCAATTTCCGTAGCATTTTTCAACGGAAAGGCGGCAGGCCATCGAGTGAAGTGGTCCTGAAACGTCATGACATACTTGTTCCCATTTTGTGTTACAGGTAAAGGACCGACAAAGTCGATTCCCACTATTTCAAGGGGTGCATTACTTTCGATTGGGTTTAGAGGTACCCTTTTTCTGTTTTTAGGAGATTTCCGCTTTGCACACCCTTTACAATTTTTGCAGTGTCTTGCAATGTCCTTTTTCATGGTGATCCAAAAATAGTTCTCCTTGATTTTTGAATACGTTCGCATAAATCCAGGGTGGCCTTGTTCATTATGACAATGCATCAAGATTTTTCCTCTTTCTTTCGAGGGTACAACCAATTGCTTCCTTGTTCTACACACATTACCATAAATTTTTGGCGTCCATCGGTGATAGAGGACATCGTCTTCTAGAAAGTAATTCGCACTAAACGAATCGATTTTTTTCCTACGATCGTCGTCAATTCCATTTGGTAACCTTCCATTTGACAAGTAATCTTTCATCTCCTTCATCTCTTGTTCCTCATCCTGCAGGCCACTTACGTCCACCGCATCTAACACTGCTACGTCCCAGCTTTTGATACAAGACTCTGTGTCCTCTAGAGAAGACGTGATGGGGCATCTAGACAATGCATCAGCATTTCCGTTCGATTTACCCGACCTATGAAGCACATTAAAAGAGTACCCCTGTAACTCACAAATCCAACGCTGGATCATTTGATTTTTGGCTTGCATTCGTTTGATCCACTGTAAAGGACAATGGTCGGTTATAACAGAAAAGCTTGGCTGGCCGTAAAGATAGTAATGAAAATGTTTGATTCCCCAAACGATAGCAAGGCATTCCTTTTGAATTGTTGCATATTTCAATTCACTTGGCCTCAACTGGCGACTTGCATACGCGATAACCACCTCTTTGTTATTCTGTTTTTGTGCGAGCACGACGCCTATTCCGCTGTTACTTGCGTCTGTTTGCAAAATGAAATGGCTTTGATAATCCGGGCATCCTAGAATGGGTGCCGAAGTTAGGAGATCTTTTAGTTGATCAAACGCTTCTTCTGCTTTCCTGGTCCATTCAAAGCCTAAATTTCCTTTAGTTTTTGTTAACTCTGTTAAAGGTTTAGCAATACTTGCAAAATTTTCGATAAATCTTCTATAATATGAGGCTAACCCCAGAAAAGCGCGAACTTCAGTTTTGTTTTTAGGTTTAGGAAATTTTGCAACAGCAGCTATTTTCCCTGGATCAGGCTTTATTCCATCACCACTGATAAGATGACCCAAGTACCTAACCTCCAATTTGGCCCACTGACATTTTGATGGCTTTAAGGTTAAACCCGCCTGATTTAATCTGTTTAGTACCACTTGCAAGCGCTCTAGATGTTCATCAAATGTCTTTCCGAAAATGATGACGTCATCTAAGTAAACTAGACAATGGCTCCAATGTAATCCTGTCAATACAAAGTCCATCAATCGTTGAAAAGTTGCCGGGGCATTCGTTAAGCCAAAGGGCATGACGTTAAATTCCCAATGCCCCTTAGTGGTTGAAAACGCAGAAATTTCCTTAGATGCATTATCTAGCGCCACCTGCCAATAACCACTTTGTAGATCTAAAGTTGTAAAATATTTAGCCCCACCTAGTGCATTCAACGTGTCATCTATACGGGGTAAGGGATAAGCGTCCTTTTTTGTGACAGAGTTCACCTTTCTGTAATCAATGCAAAAGCGAGTGGAACCATCAGGCTTTGAAACCAGTACGATTGGAGACGACCAGGGGCTACAAGACGGCCTAATTATTTCCTTTACGAGTAGTTTCTCCACTTCCTCATCAATCAGACGCTGTTTTGCCAACGGAACTCTGTACGGTGGCTGCTTAATTGGTGTTGCGTCACCAACGTTGATTTTATGCTTTATTATTTCAACCTGTCCCAAATCAGGACATTTAACGATTTTAAGTTCTCTAAGGAGTGCAAGCAAGCGATCTTTTTCTTCTTGTTTTAAATGATTAATTTTAAGGTCTTCTTCTGACAAAATATTCTTAGAAACGTTCGGATCAGTGTTCACCACCTCTGTTTGAGCATCGTCAATGCGAGGCTCTTTTTCTTCGATAAATGGGACAACTTCCGCAATTTCTGTGCTTTTTGGTAAAAACACAGGATAGTCCGCTAAGTTTGTTACTTGCAGCGTTACTTTGTCATTATGTGGCCTAACTTTAGTTAAAACTCGCGCAATAAACAGTTTATTGTCCTCGGCAAACCCACCTTCAACGAATAAGTCACTATTTTCAATATTATCAAATAGTTTAGTTTGAATGGCTACAGTTGCCTTCGCTGAAATTTGAACGTCAGATACAGTAGAAACGATAAACTTTCGTTTGGGCAAAGAAAACTCAACAACAAGATCTGGTAGAATTAATGACGATATTCCAAAATCAATGGCAGCTTTGTTAGCAACAAGAAAGTCTTTGCCGAGAATAAAATCATACGAGAAATTTTCAATAACAACGACACTGTGTTTGAAAACGCGATCCTTGAATTGAATAGAAAATTCTGCTTTACCCAAACTCGATAAAGGCGTCCCATTAGCAGCAAACAAATCAACATTATCATAAATCAAAATAGGCTTTTCTGCAATTTCATCGTATATTGATTTTGACATCAATGAAATATCTGCTCCAGTGTCAATCAACAAAAGTGTACTAATTTTATTTACAAAGCCAGCAACGTAACCTTGCTGCTTGATTGAGCGTCTATCGGAATTAATGTTTATTACTTTCGCTTCTGTTTGTTTTAAATTGGCTCCCGTATCTAGTCAATCGTGACTAGCCTCTGAATTCTTAGGTACCCGGGGCTGACTGCATTTGTTTTGAAAATGTCCCCATTTTCCACAGTTCCAGCACTGAATGTTATTCTTACGAGATTTTGAGGGCTGAGAATTTTCTTCCCCAGTACCAGTAATTTTGGGCCCGGATTCTGGGGAGGCTTGCAGGTTTCTGAGCTGAAGAGCAATTATGCGTTTTTGGTCTTGCATTATTGTTTTCATGCCTTCTAGCAGCTCTGAAAATTCGTTGCTAGTGGAGCGGGGTTCCTCAGCATTTTTTGAATCGATGGCACGAACTTCACCTTTTCCCTTTTTTGAAATTATGTAAAGTTCTCGCGTGCGAGCTTTCTGATATGCCGTATCAATATCTTCAACCTCCTCTCCCCAAAATATTTTTTTGATGGTTGGCTTTAAACCTTTGACAAAATATTCGAGGGACTTTTCTCTTAAGAATTCGGGAGATTTTGTGCTCCAGCCCCTTTGAACTAATTTAGAGATATCTTCATAAAAATCCGCCACAGATTCGTTAGGTTTTTGGTATCTTTCACCCACCAGATTTCTGTATTGTAGCCTTTGCGAAGGTGAATTAAAATGACCCTCAATTTCCCTCTTCAAAAGATTAGCATCATTCTTTATTTGAAGCGACAAATTGCGATAAAACTGACTTGCTCGACCCAAAAGATAAAGCGGAAGCATTACCTGTTCCTCATCAGGGGTCCAGCCATTTGCAGCGGTAGCTCGATTCCAGCTGTCAAGCCACTCGATAATACTTTCACGGTCTTCACCAGCAAATTTCTCTATTTCAACGACTGATCGTCTTGGTGCAACACGCGGTCTATATCTTACTTGTTGAGGCATTGGATTTCCTTCGAAGTTTCCTCCAAATAACTGGGGTACTAGGCCCTGCTGTTGTTGCCCTCCTGCTGCAACGTCTTCAAACATTCGACCCGCCTCCAGATCTGGCCTTTCGTAAAAAGCCATTACATCAAATATTCTCTATTTGAGACCAACACTGGCCACCATTTGTGACGGTTACGAGTTATCGTGGGTTAAGTAACCATAGGCAAATAAAACGCATACTCCTCGAGAAAACATCAAATCAACAACTAACTGTATACATCCTTACGAGGCTACTAACAAGTATTAAAAATAGACAATAACGTCACAAAGTGTTTGGCCCTTTTGTTGTTCTTATTTCAAAACTGATATTTCTACAACTACATACAATAATTTATTTCTGACACTACTTAGTAACAGTTTCGCAAGACGTTTTATTGTCTCTCTTTACAGTGGTAAAAGCTGCTGTTTTGATAAAAATTGAAGTGAAAATTTGCTAATGTTTTGCTTTTTTCTTCTATTTTTCTTCTGGGGCATGTTCTTGCGTTGTTCTTGTTTTCTTTGGAAATCAAGCCTATATGTTCTTGTGAAGCGTGTTTTCCTAAAATATGGGGAGTAGTGTAATTAGCACACAGAACCCTGCCCTCCCGGCCTTCCCCCTTCCCTGGAAAATGTTGCTGCGTTGTATACTTGATATGAAGTTATCCGTGCTCTGCGGTGTCCGATATTATCGATATTGTTTTTGGTAAAACTCCTTGATATTGCCTTGATAGGAATAGCAGGAAGATTATTGAAAGAATTTGAAAGACCCATTATCCAAACGAATCAGCCGTATCTTCACCCACCCATAGATATTGTTAATTATATTATCAAGTAGTGCATTCTTCCATGACGTTTTGGGCTAATCAATAATTAACTTTTCTCTCGATAAGATAATTTTATATTGTCTCAATATCTAAATGTGCAGGTCTGGCCCTTGATACGTCAACCAGGTAAACCCTTCCGTTTTCAAGATTAGTTGGAAGCCCGAGGTTAACTTCTGTGACGTAATATCCTTTTTGTAGGTACGCTAAATGGGTGAAGCGCTCGAGGACAGAGGATTTTTCGGATATGATCAAACTCCAGTTTTTGTATCAGTCAGGTAACTAAATCATTCGTACCATAAATTGCGAAACGGAGCTTTATAATTTCCTTACATGGAAAAGGCTAGCTCTGTCAAGAGAGCCAGCCCTGGTACCCGAGATGGACATTGTAAGTTAATATACTGAATTACACTGGGAAAGTGTATCACTCCTCCCTGCGCAGCAAGTTGCGCAATAGGTTATAAGGCTGCGGGCAAGTATTTTCCTATTAGTACCAAGGTCTGTACAAAAATCATCCGTGTCAAGTAGGAGGTCCAGCCCGTCTCCTGTAATCAGGCCCCAGTATCTAAAGTCTTTTACATCTAGATCTGATGTCTCTCATACATGTCTAGATGACACTTGTCATTGACAGCTAGCAGATAAATAACTGTTGGATCTGAAGCTTGATATTCTTGATTCACGGAGACTCATTATAGTATCAAACGTATCTTCTGTTTCTTGCAAAAAGCCGTGCTTTGCTTTATAGGCCTTATCGTTAAGCCATATCCCCTTCTACCAATGTTGCTTGTACTTATTGCCTTTCTTCTAGGGGTTGATTTTATGGGCCGTCCCATCGTCGTTTTCGTCGCAAGGAACTTTCCTGCTCAAAGTATAGACATGAACAAGGTAGACAGTGCGCATGCTCTTTTCAGTGCAATGATTCTATTTCGAATGTTTTCCTACTTTTTTTTTTCTCGCCATTAAACCTAAAATGATATAAGACTCAACATGGGCAAGGGGCAGCTATAGAAACTGTATTAGCAAATAAAGAATATTTTTGTTAGAATTTGTTTATATTTCGAATATTACTCGACCCTTTTCATTGTACCAATAGAGTTCTAAAGTGTGACGTCATCAAAAACCTTCTTGTAGAATTTTTAAATTTTAACCACATAGCGTAAAAGATCACCATGAAATACTTTCAAATACGCAAAATTGGCCAAATATGTCTAAGATCGGTTGAGATATGGCTAATGAAAGATTTGAAGTTTGCTAACGAATCACTGTTATTTTGGCTCTGTTCATAAAGTTTTGAACAGAGATCAAAACACAGAGGTTTCAAGGGGAGAGAACCAATAAACATGTGGCCATATCTCTGCCATTTCGGAATACACTTGCCTGATTTTGCAAATTTAGGGGTATTTCATGATGCTCTTTCAGGTTATGGGATCCAAATAAAAAAATTCTAAAAAAAAAATTTTTGTGACTTCATCACTTTAGAACTCTATTGAAACTTGTGGTGTCGGATTATGTAATAGTATAAACAAGAGGTAAATTAGGACTCCTGGAACATCTTCCATACCAGAGCCCAATAAACCCTTTCTTCGTAGCATTTTTGGCGCTAGCTAAGCAAAGAGCCTCCTTGTATAGGTATACCCTTATTGGTGATGTCTTCGTTGTCGACGTGTCTCCTCTGACGCCCTATCATAATGACCTGATGGCATAGTCATTTCACTTTTTTGCAGGCTGTTTCCTACTTTGTTCATATTATGGATGCAATCGCCAGTAGGGAGTACGTTGTTGTGTATTTTCACACATTGGCGACAGAGGACAACGCTTTGTCAATGTCATTTCTTCGAGACATGTATGAAATGCTGGACATCAAGTTAGTACCTCTATGTCAGCCAAGTTTTCTTTCTTCGTTACTGATGTTTTTATTACATACATTCTCATTTTTTTACAAAACAGACAGATGATAGACTGAGCAAGATGTTGCACATTTATTGTCAATTAAACCTTTAGAGAATTTTCCAGGCAGTTCAGGATACAGTTACTGGGTGACTACTGCAGCTCCATTTTATGTTCTTTAATATATATTAAGTGATATTTGAAAGAGAAACTCAAGTCAGATCAAGACCAGCTGTATAGTTTAGCTTTGGCAGGCAAAGGGGTTTGAACCATTTAGGCCATGCGACATTTCTAAAACGCCTCCCTTACATTATCTTCTTGCAGATTGCACATCGAATCGAATTGCTATTTCATTTTTATTTGGAGAATAGTGGTTGTTTCTATTGAAATCGTCTTGACATCTTTCTTATTTTAACGTTAGCCATCAATTATGTCACGATACAAAAAAAGGAAGTGTCTGTAGTTTGTAAAAAGTCTAGGGATGAAGTCCATGCTGGTGTCATATTCTACAAGGAACTAACTTTACACCTGTTGATGAGACAAGCAGATACATGTTATCATTTTGCCTTTAGTTGTTTAACAATGCAAGTAATAGCTTATTACACGCCCATTTGTATGTAAGATGAATCAGTTTCCTGATATTTTGCTAAAGGCTTTCCTATATGGTGTCTAGGGAAACACACATTCATCAAATTATAACATTTGGAACCTTGTGGCTTTAGTAACAAACTCACATAACAGTTGTATTGTTTAACGCCAAGCAACAGCCATGAAATTGTCTAGTTATCCATGGCCTAGTCGATTTTCTTTGTACTAAGCCACAAATACTATATACACTATCTAATTATCGTGTCATTTCTAGGAATCTTTGAAATAACATAAACGTTTCCAATCATGAGTCAGTGAGAGACGTCGAGTCTTATTAATAGGAAACATGGATAGAATCAATACAGAGTATTAACATCATACATTTTTCTGCATTTCTCATTTAGACGGGATCTCAAGCAAATAATTGCTTTCGCTCGCATTCTCGCCCAAAGTGACCTGATGCATGTTTGATTGTCCGTTTAGTTGAGCCTGTAAAACGTCTTTTCAAAGGAAAAAAGGGATCTTCCGAAAGGGGTTTTTTGCACCAGAGGAAGTGCAGGGTGTTTAAAAAAATCAGGAAGACATTTTAAAGCTTATTACAATAGAGGCCTTTTAAGTACCCACCACCGTTGTACAATAGCTTTCCCATACTAAGTTTGTTTTTTTCTATTTCGCTTCAGGTTTCGTCTTAATTTACGAAGTATTTTCGTTGTTCATGGATCACTGTGGGACAGAATCATTACCTGGTTTTTCACCGTATTTTCTGCAGCTACAATAAAGGACCAAATTAAATTTCTAAGTGGTGTTCAATACCTTTATGACTACATCAACCCTGAGCAACTTCAAATACCACCTTTTGTATTAGAGTACGATGTACAGGTACGTGAAAGCTCGCATTATCCTGCATAGTCGTAGTTTTCTACGAAATCTCTTTCCAGCAAACAAAGCTGTTGTTATTAGCTTTAAAATCAATGGTGAAGCTTCCAAACAGATGGTAGAGTTTTAAGATCAATTACAAAGCGACCTTTTATAACGAATATTTATTATCAGAAGATGAACATTAGACGAGTTCATCCTAGACCACGGAGAACAAATAAGTATTTTTTTCTTTATTGGTATTATATTCTTGGGAAAGATTACAAAATTGTTTTCTTTCTATTGGCATTATGTTCTTGATAAAGAGAACATAGCCCGTTTTTCTTGCCTCCAGTTTACGAATTAGCAAAACACAAACTAGCCTGAAAAACGATTAAAATTTTAAAGGCCTAACCAAATATTTAGGTAGAAACGCAAAAGGTTTTAAGTCACGGTTGTCTGCCTAAAAGTCACGTGATCAAGCCATGTTTTTAATTTCGCCGCGTAGATGTCTGGTGCTCTTTATCGCATATTAAAAATGTGCTTACGTATTCTTGTATCAAAAAGTGATTTGTCTTCACTGATCCAGATATTTTCCTGAGAAGCCATTAAATTGTCTTCCTTCAGGCTGAGATTAAAGGAAATTGTTTTTCAAGTGGCCCTGCCATAGGCACTGGTTCAGGTTAAATGAATTCATTATATTGCCAATCTTTGGATTAGGAAACTAACCAGCTTTGTAATTGGCAGAGTGTTATTTTCCCCTTGACTTTATGATCATTGGTCACAAAAAAATAGTTATAACATTTTTCTCACAGTTAAGTTTCAACCATGGATAAATTATTTAACAGTTTTATACACTTCACAAGAAGTTAGACAGTTTGGAAGGAATCAAAATGCTCGCAGGAAAATAATTCATTACGCTGAAAAGGATCAAAACTATGTTTAGCACAGTGATATTGTGCTAGGGGAGCTCAAGGGGATCAGTTTACCTTGTTAAAAGTGACAGTGTACTACTTACTCCTATGAGTGTTTGTGATATTTAAATGCAGGCTACACAGAAAGTGCTATACAGAAAGAGCCGACCTCACATACCAAATGTATTTCTGAAAGAATTTCCTTCTTGCTCCTCGCTCACAACACTACAGATTAATCTCTTATGTACATAATTTTAGTTTTTGGTATCAGTCTTTCATAAAATCACTTTATTTATCAAGATGCAGGAATTGCCATTTTTATGTTCACTCATTTACGCACCAATTCCAATATTTCCCATTTGCTTGCCTACCCTTTTGTTTTCATTTCTTTCATTTAATTTCAGAAAGAAAGAAATATATCTTTTCTTTCATTTAAATGACTAACTTCATGTCTTCAACAACATAATTTCCAAACTATTTTCGCAAGAAATTCTCTTCAGAATGTTTACGGTCACAAGAGGTCTTTAGTAATAACACTTTAGTGATTGGCTGGTGTGCTATGTAGATTGTCAGTCAGATTGCAGTAGCTATACAAATCCATCATTTTGGTGGATTGAATATACTGATGCCATTAATCAGACTCAGTGTCTTTAATCTTTCGGTGTATGTAGTATTTGCATTATTAGCTTCGTTTGTGAAAATCCCTTTTTTTGTTTCATTCTCTTTTGCTTTTTGGTTTAATCTGCATAGGTGAACAATTTGAAGATCTTAGTCGCTTATAGGCCCTTTGTATGGCTACATTTGGCCAAATATTATTCGAAATCTTTAGAGTTAGCCATAAACTAACCTAAATCCTGACTTGACGAGACCTTCAAGCAAGGCCTGTGTTCTGGGTTTATCTTTCGTCGTTATCTTTTCACAAAAGAAAGACTTTGTTTGGAAAATGATTCCAATTGGTTTGGAACAGCAGCTAAAGCTAATTTGTGTTGATTTGAATGCGATATTAGTTATGCATTTAAAATCCACTGTAAAAAGGTAAAGATTTGTTCTTATTTGTAAGTAGAGGAACGGATGCAATGACATGTCACAAGTTCTCAGTTTTCAAGTTCCCCTTCATCTCTTGAACAGGAATACAAAATCAATGGAAGCTTTCTAGAATCAATATGGTACATCAACACCTAACCTTTAGAGTAAATTCCGTAACACAAATGTTAGTTGTAGGTGCAGTTTTCTTTTTAATCAGAAGTTACAAAAATAAGTCCCCCTTTCTCTATTAAGTCCACTCAATAATCAATACTACAGTATTTCAATTATTTGATATTTTGTTCGCGGACTCTACTAAACTTCCATTAGCTTCATATGCTTCTGTTCGTCGGCCGTTCTTAAAACATCTGCCAATACCTTTTCATTTTGCATCACTTTGAAGAGTCAAGAGACCACAAGCACGTCTCCTTGATACATTGAACCAGTGGGTGTTAACTCCAAGCAGCATTTATTAGATATCAAGTCCCCTCCCTATTAAGTCATCCTCTCTTTTAACCCCCCCCCCCCAGCCAATTACTTGCTAGAAAATATACTGTACTTCAAAGCAACTTAAAATACATCCAAGAGTGTTTTCGGAAATGACATTTGGCCAAAAAGCACTTTAATGCTAGATAAGATCGGATAAGATTAGATAAGATAATATTTTTTAGTAATGACAAATCGCTACCTGACTTTCAGACGGGAGAAATTTCCAGATATTTTTAAAATTTTATAATATTTTTCTGCATCATCAAGAAAATTTGGATAGAGACACCAAGTAGGCTGTATGTCAGTTACATTTAAACCTCCTTATTGCCTTGATGATACATAAGGAAAAGTCACAAATGGAAAAGCCGTTAGTGATCTTATTATAAGTCAGCAAAGGGGTCAGAAAAATGAAGTAACATTGGGTAGAACATTTGCATTTCACCTATGCTTGATTTGCCAATGGAAAGTTGACATAGTTTATGGAAGAATGGAATAGGGGAAGGGACTGGTCCCGCCAAGCTAGTTGGTCTCTTAACATGGAGGTATTCGCAATTGCTTAAATTGTTAGAAATTTATTTTGATTAGCAACAGAAATTTTTATAAGAATCCCTCACTTCAAGGAAATGTTTGCACGACATCCCGCAAGTAGTAAAAAGTATTTTCGTGCAATTTTCAGTCTCGAGGTGCTGTATCATAGAGAAAGCAAGCAAGAAACAGAATGCAGAGTAATGGGTATCCCTTGAAGGTTATTCCAAGCCATTGGTAGCGGTAATAAACACCTTCTTGTGGCTTGTGTTTATCAAAGTTAATTTACCACATCATCTTATCTGGCTTCTATAAGGGCAAGGCAAATAGAATGTTTACGAAGGATGGATTTTTCTGAATGTTACAGGCTAGAAAGCAATATGTAAGAAAAATCTTTTTCGAGTGACAACCTATGTTCAAAGACTGCGGAGCAAATTACGTAGTTAGGGCTTAAAGGGAGGCTTAGAGGGCTAAGCCTGCTATAAGCCAAAAGCAAATTGATTTTTCTTTGGTTTTAAGTATTTTAAAGAACCATTGGAAAAGATTAAGCCCCCTTTGCCCACCTCCATTTTCTTTTACGCGGTTCCTCCCTGTGTGCGTGAAAATTCACGAGCCTTGGAGAGAACGAAGGAAGTATAAAAAGCTTGACGTGTTGTCAAATAAGCAGGGACTGCGATACGGATTCGAAGCAAGTAAGGTGGAAGGAAACAGGTTTGGTAGAATATATCAAATCGTTTCGAATTGCAAGAAAAATCAAAAACGTAGTGGCCAAAAAAGAGTGTCAGATCCATGTTGATGTAATTGAAATAGCAAAGCTCTTATACTTTTAAATCTTCTAATTGGTATCAACCCTGCTCCTTTTAAAAAGTTTTTAGGTTTATACTTTTCTAATGCTTTTCTAAAACTTTGATTGCCAACAAAATAAAGAATCAAGTTGTTGTCTCTTAAGTGTTGCGTAATTAAACTTAGCTCATGTTAGAAAGTTTCAACATTTCCCTTCAGTTAGCACACACTACTAATTTAGAGTTGGCCACAAGACATATTTAAAAAGCCAGTTAGTTTTTTGTCAAGCATATACCAAATACAAGCAAATTATAGTTTTCTGTAACTTATACGACCAAAAACGAGCAAATTGTTGTTTGTGTTGTCTGGAGTTTCCCACTTTTTCAAAGTTCTCATAAATGATGCAGATCGAGGTACTGGCAAAGCCTTTGGTACACAGTTTTTGCAATGAAAGAGACCTACCCACCGCCAAGAAGTCTGCCTGGCTATGCTTTTTTGGGTGTATTCTCGTTTCGTCAGCTTTGTACTGAGACATTCTTTTCTATAATTAAGCAACTAAGATGTATCACAGACTGTATTGTTACCATATTTTTGATTGGAAGAATTTTTTGAAAATATGTAAACGTTAACGTGACATGACTATCGAGGAATAGCAGAAGTGGCAAGTGGTGCCCCAATTTGTTACCCTCAAGTCGCCTTTAGTATGTTGTAGAGGTTCTCTTCAAGAAACGGACTCTTTCTAGATGGGATAATGAAGTCGAACACGTCTTATTTGCCAGGCCATGTTTTCAACCTATAATCTAAGTCTTTTATTAAGCAACTGTCGTTATTATCTTTTATCATCTTCTTAGGTCTTCCTATTTTGCCATGAGTTAATTGAAGTATGCTCATCAAGATGTAGCCCGTTTTGAATTTTCGTATTGACATCATGTATCATCGTCTGCGCACCTTTTCCGACAATTGTTGCTTGTATTCGAGTTTTGTGAGATTTCCTGTTTAAAATTGTATACGTCATCCTTGACAAATTTTTATGAGTTTCGAAAGGCTTCTTTCTGCGTTTATTACCCTTGGTTCCAAAGCCTCAAGAACCGTATAATGCGATGCGATGTGGTGTCAAAGAATAAATAAAAAATATATACTCAGATAATTCATGTAAAGTATATTTCAGAGATATAATTGTGGTGACTTTGATACCCTGTGTTCTCATATGTATTCCCTGCTTTTGATTTTTAGGAAAATGGGCCTAATTACTACGCACCAGGAAACCCCTATCGTGTTGGAGCTTACTGATGCATCTGCAAACTGAACATCACTGCAATTTGGATCATGAACAAGAGGGCATTGGATTTATTTCTGTACGTACTGAAATTGACACATGCATACGCATTTTTGTTCTGTTCTCTGCCAGTTGGGTTCAAATTGACTGCACCAGTACTAGTCGGCCATTATTAAGGGATAATGTTTCCCAACCACAGTCAGCAATAAGTTCCACCCAAGCTCGGTTGTGTGAGTCATTCCTTTTTGCTTTTTCATTTGAGACTTCTTGACAACTTTGATGTCCACAAATTTCCGTTGAATCCACGACTAAAAAACGGAAGTTGCATGCATTTTATTCAGTCTCTGCTACATTTGGCGTTATGATTCTTGGCTTTTTTTATGTAACACATTTTTTTCGTTGTCGGTACGGTGGGTTATCCGAAAAAAGTAACTTATCGAAATGAGAATCAAGGAGAAGAGGTTTGTAGCGGTAGCTTGTACTGCTAGTGTGCGTGATTGGTTTTTCAACCATACAGGGCCTTCTAGTAGAAAAAGTTCAAAATGTTTGAATGGAGTTACTAAACCGCGAGCCATCAATTTGAAATAACAAGGCACCTCTATTGTTTAATCTGGCAGTAATCTTGATTTAACTGTGACAGCATTTGAACCTGATAATGAAATATGCGAAAAATCCATAAAAACCAAGAAATCTAGCCATATTTTTATTTTCCTACAGACCTAAACATCCCCCAGTGTTACCTCGAGCGTTAATGTTGTTGATTAAATATAATCTAATGCAACGTTATATTTATTTTCAACGTAATACTTGCTGAGCTTCACGGTTTCTGTTGTTGTTGCTTTTAAGGGTAATTATTATAATTGTTGTTGTGTTGTTGTTGTTATGATGTTGTTGCTGTTGTTTTGTTTTTTTTGTTTTTTTTGTTTTGTAACAAGCACGGTGCGGAATAGATGGCTTTGTGTATTTAGGAATCTTTAGGGGGGGGGGAGTTTAAGTTAAATTTAGGAAATAACGCTAAAGCGGTTTCTGAAATCTTTTCTAGATTTATCAGAAGCGCAATATTTTTTTGATAGTCTTCAAGGTTTTCTTAAGATGGTACCAAGAAAATATGATATTAAGTAATTATTAGATCCTGACACAGAGCAATTTCATCATTTATTGATAATCAACTGTCACAATTTCACTAATTGCAATGAAATCCACTACTTCGCATCTCATTTGCGATGGATAATTGGATGTTGGTGAACATTTTTGCATAGTCTTTCTATTTATATAATTGTAAATGTAAAATTGTTTTGGTAAATTTTGTAATTTCGTGGTATTAGTAAATTTAAATATAAATTTATCTCTGTTTGCGGTAATTTTCTCAATGGAAAAATCTTGTTTTTGATTGCCTGTTTGGTATTTTGTTAATGCAGTGTGCTAATTGTCTGATAGGAGAAGGAGTTGGTATGATAGGGAAAAGGGGAGGTGTATGCAAATATCACAATAATTCGTGTTTGCATGTTTAGATGCGGTGCGATGAGGAGATTGAAAGTACTGTTTTCCAAATTGTCTTGTCACAATCCTTGTCACCAGTGGCGCCGCTTGACCTTTCAGACTAGGGGGTGGAGAGTCATCAATGGAAAAAATTTACCGACGAAAACAAAGTTGGAGAAGAATTTAGGTCCATTTGACCTATTGATGGATGATTTTGCCGATAAACTAAAGATTTTGTAAAGAAACTGAAGATTTACCGACAAATACATGAAATATTGGTGGGGGGGGGGGGTGTTACACCCCTACACCCTCCGCTGGCTACACCCCTGCTTGTCGCTAACTAGCCTGCGTGCAGACTCTGACCCTAACGAAGGAATAACTGACTGAATACATACTTCTCGTTCAATCATGGATGACTACTCACAACACCGGACAGTGGCCGACTCTCGTGATATATATCGGACGTTTTGCCTGTATGCCCGTTGTGAAGATGATTAATTCTTCACTGAAAAAAGCCTCAATGAAATTGTCATCAAATTGTCCAAGAATACCTTACTTGCTAGATTTTTGTTGTGATTTTCAATGAAATGGTTCTAAGTCAATTTTCTATGTCCTAAATCAAGTAGACTTTGTCTGTTGTTGACTGCCGTCCGTATCTGGTCACGAAATGTATGCATAACAGCCTCTCAATGTACCTCATAGGACTCTTCAAAAAACACCCTTACTTGCTAGATCTTTTGTTGATGCCAAGGATTTTCAATAAAATGGTTCTAAGTCAATTTTCTATGTCCTAAATCAAGTAGACTTTGTCTGTTGTTGACTGCCGTCCGTATCTGGTCACGAAATGTATGCATAACAGCCTCTCAATGTACCTCATAGGACTCTTCAAAAAACACCCGGTTAACAAAGGTGATTTTATTTCCTCTTGTTGCCTTTAAAAATGTTCTTTGAAGGGAATTCCAGTTATCATGTTGCTCAAGGCTTCTGACGCAGGAAAAATGTTTGGGGAAATAACAAATAGCCCAATTGTTTTGTACTCAAATTTCTTTATGTTTGAACACCATGTTCAAATAAACATAGGTTGCGATGCACATAGCAACTGTCATTGTTATAGGCACTACTTTTTTTGCGCCTTTTAACGTATGTTTCCGTTCCACTTTTCTACAAGCAATTAAGATGGCTTGCTTACAAGTTCCCATTTTAGTACTTGGTAAATCTTCTTTTGGGGTGGGAAAGGTGAATTGAGGGTGGGAAAGGTAAATTGAGGGTGGGAAAGGTGAATTGAGGGTGGGAAAGGTGAATTGAGTGACCCTAGCCATTTGGGGTCAGGCAGCTTTTCTCTGAAATTTTGTTGAACATAGACTTTAAGATGGGGGGAAATGAAACGAAATGGGGTTTACGTTAACCTATCGCTGATTTTCGACTTTTTAGACAGCAGGTTGTTTACAATTTGGGAATGGGGTGGCAGATCCCCTTTGCTTACACCACTCTACGCCAATGACTGCAGGGCTCATGAAATGTTTCGTAAGTTTTTACCGCATTGAACAAAACACAAATGGCTCCGCAGAGACGTAGTGGCTGGGACAGAGGCTAAAACAATCCGAGGCTCCCAATATCACGTAAAATGTACATAAAAAGATTAAGTTATAAGCACTTCCAGTCGCTATAAGCACTCCTCGAGTCAACAGGTAAATAAAATCACAAAATTTATAGCAAAAAACCAAAATATGTTTTGAAAAACTAAAATCCATACTGTAATAAATAATTGTTTCCGTTTCATGCGATAGTTTGTAACAGTTTTGGTTAAATCCGAAGTGGCTTACTTATTCCTGGTCAGAAATCAAAAGGCAGGAAGTCAGATTAAAAACAATACAGCACCAAAACATACAGGTTTTTGATTGATAATTTTAATTTTATTTACGAAACAAACTATAAGCTGCATAAACACAAAATTTTATTATTATTTGCAGTTTCTAATCTTTTTCCTCAAAAATTTTTTACAACAAATTTCTTTAGTGTTTTTTATTTTCAGAGGGTTTCTTTATTATATTTTCCTGATTTCTTTAGAATCGATGATTTTTTTCAAGAAGCGGCTGTAGCCACTTGCGGAAATGCACTTCGTCGATGGATTGACCTATGAGGAGCTGTCTAGTTTCCATACTGCTCAACCTGATGACGTAATTAGTTTACCCTAACCCTTAGCCTAACCCTTAGCCTAACCCTAACCCTTTACTTGAAATAATTAATCATACTAATTTATGACTATTAATCATGCTTATTTATCAGGTCGAGCAGTATGAAAACTAGACGATTCCGACCTATGACTGTTGTTAGCAAATAGCAATCATCCTTTTTGTGTAGAAAGAATAGAGTACACTATGTTTTGTGAAGATAGATGTAATCCTTTCTCATCCTATTCATGCATATTGTACTGCATCCGCATGCTACCTAATTTTGCAGAACTTACGTCATACGCCGACTGAATTTACATCAACGCAGGTAATCCCTTTTGTTTACGTCAGTTGCATCCCGCATTGTTTGCTATTTTTGGAACCATGGCCTAACCGGTTTTTTTATCAGTGATATTCGCAAAAAACAACGTCAAGGTCAACTGAAAACCAGGTTGATAGTTAACAGTTCACAAGCAGCGCCTCCAACGACGCGGGGAGGGGGCGAGGCATTCTGCAAAAAACACTTGCTCAACTTAACAAGCATGGCTGTGACGTCATCTTACAGATAGGATATCCTAGTTCTCAATTTTTGTAAGAATAAAATTCCGTGAAAATAATATGACTGGAAAATTGGTCAAGATTAAAAATTCATTTAGAATAATAGCCAGATTTGAATTTTATTGACATTTCAACTTTTTATCAAAAATGGTTTTCTGAGCAATCAATGAGCGTGTGACGTACTTACACGCTAAAAGTTCGAGGAACATTTGTCAAGCTTGTATTGTGCTAGTATGTTTCATTTCCTGTAATATTTTTTGCGATGACGAAAGGCATAGGCACAGGTTTGAAAATTATGGATTTAGAATCACAATTTTCAAAAATATTGAAGCTGGATGCGTCAACCAGCTCAGCAGGGACGGATTTAGCGGGGAAGGGGGAGGGGGATGCGACAAGGGTGTGGCACCAAAATCCAATTAGTGTCTAACACCCCCCCCCCCTATCATTGTTGCTTAAGTCCATCCCTGCAGCTCAGTGACAACACTATTCTTCATCACAAACCAGGTCGGTTTTGCAAGCAGGAAAATTTCGGTTTCTTGTTATTCGTGTGACTAATGATATTTTATGCAATGGTCCGACTTTTTAGGTTAGGTCATCTATTATTTTTTCAGTATAAAATGTTTACAAAAAGTTGCTTTTAAGCGCAAAAAGTTATTGGTTTGTATTGCAGCTACTGTAATTTTTCTGAAATAAAACATTGTGCATGCAATGATAGTTGGGGGAGGGGGGCACCTTCTAATAGAAGATGGTACCTGAAGATGATTTAACCAGCGATTCATGTGGCCTTGATCAACGCAAATTACCTGTTTCATTTGCATTGTTAGTTCGAAGAAATCGAAATTTTGACGAAAAAACCCGCGACTTTGATTAACTTAGATGGTTGCACAATGCAGGCATTATAATTTTCCTCCGATAGTTGTTGACTCGTGGACATGCCACAGATTTTTCAAAATTGTTTGTCCCCTCCATTATCTGATATCAATGGTTTTCTCTCCAGGGCAACAGTAACATGATCCAACAGGTATCACCCGCAAAAAATCCATATCGACTTAACAAAATAAAAATGAAGAGTAGATTCAAATGTAGATAATTTCGGGGGGTTTCTGGATGATCATTATGAGACGATGAAGGTGGAGCTAGCGTTTTGTTAGGCCATCACTGAAAAAAAATGATTCTACCTTGTGTGCTTAGGCTTTCTATTTCTCCATAACAAATATTATAATTTAAATACTGCAGCCTTTATCTTTAAAAAGCAAAGCATGTATTTTTACGCATGGCTGTATTTTATTGAGCTCTGGATGACAGGAAGTTATAAATTTTAAAACGCTATTTTTCACAGAGATGCTTGTATGAAATCGTGAATCATGCCGTTATCCATAGCACATTAAGAAGACAGCTTCCCCAAGCTTCACACTCATCTAAAACTTTCGGATACAGTATGCTGCTTTCCACAAAATGTATTCCGACATCAAGGTGTCAACAGAAACCTTTGTGAATTCGTTATATTTTTTTAAAGAAGATCTTTGAGTTACCGTAAAACATCAAATCTTAGTGGAGGTACACTTAAAAACTTAACGGGAGTACATTTTACATGAATTTTAGTAAACTGTGACCACGCCCATTTTAAGAGTCAGACTTGTTTCATGCTTTGTAAAATACTTCATACTTTTTCAAAACTTTTTTCATGCTATCATGCTAAGCAGTCATTGCAAAGCCGCTCAATTAAATAAAAAGCTTTGCAAATTTTTAACTGTCTGCAAGTCTAGTCTTCAAAGAGTCAACGAGCTCTTCGCCCTGGGCCCCGCCGTTTCAGACTTCCCTACTTAATCCTTCATCCTTTATTATGAAGTCCGTCTATATTGAAAATCATTAGATATTTCAATTCAACATACTTTACTCAAATATACAAATTGAAGTGAAATCTCTATGTTACATCATAATTTTGGTGCAAAGCTGCTTCAATCGTAAGCATCAAAGGCTTCACAGTTCAAATTTTCGACTTATGCAGCTGCAGTTAATTCACTGAGTTACTTGCCTTATAAACCACTTTATGTTTTCAAAACATAGAAATCAAATTTGATAATTGTTCCTCGAGTTTGAAGTAGTCGACTAAATATTCCTAATTCCTCTCTCGTCTAAATTAATTTCTCGTCTGACGAATTTTGAATTAAATAGCTTATTTCTATATGTTCTAGCCTATATGTGACAAACTAATTATGTCTAAAATTTATTGTGTCGATCTCTAAAGCAATTCCCAAGAAAAATATATATTTACAAACAAGTCAAAAAAGTGAATCGGTGTGACTCTGGTAATAACTTTTAATTCACTTTTAAATTTTGGTTTGAAATTTAAAACCTTAAAATTTGCTTTTTGTATTCCTGCCTATCGTTGAAATTTCAATTTACCTGTTTGGTGTAGCATTGTAGATTGGCTAAACCGGTTTTTCTTGTCCCTAAATGTGCCACACCTCCCGAGCAGAAACACACACCACCCCCTCTCATCCACGAGCGTTCCCTTTCATTTCTCATGAACCGGGTTATTGAAATTCAGTCAGGTTTTAACTACATCTGGCTATTTCGTAAGTATTTTCATTTAAAATTCTTAACACGAAATCTGTGTAAAATTTCACTCTTTTCTGGCATTTTTCGTTTTGCGTGGGAGATTTGTGGGAGTGAGCACAACCACATCGTTTCCACGTGGTGTCCTAAGTTGCTTGTTCGTACACAGATTGTCAGATGATAAGCATTAAAAATTCCCTAAAATAATTATTCCGGCATGAATTATTGATGCAGAGACTAATAATAAAACACAGTCCATTGATTCTGTAGCGCGAATGACGCCCCCCTGATACGTCACTGTATGTAAATTAGATGAGTCAAAAGAGATCTGTTTCTTCTATTGTGTGCTAATACAGATCCCGGGAGCATGTCTTTGTTTTTGCTTGTTTCATGCACAAACGCTATTGGCTAGAAAGTACTAGTGGTTTTGTTGTAAGTTGTCAATATCATTTTTCCTCCGTTGCGTAGAAACCGTAAGAATTGAACCAATCAGAAGCCTTCTGTCGCAGCCATTTTTATGCTCAATATTGTCAAATAGAATCCAAACTTGATTCAAGTGTTCGACAGGAAGATTTCCTGACAGTACAGACAAGCTCCTGTATACAAGTTAAAACTTACTTGCAGTGCAACTACTAAACGCAATAACCATGGCAAATAGTCAACATATGCTTACTTGCGAAGAAGTTTCAAGATTAGACGAGGTTCTGGGAACCACAATTTTGGTGCATGGACGTGGAAATTTTCCTACACTGGAGGTTAAACCGAAGTCTCTTATTAGGCTGCTGCTGTCTCAGCTTGCAGATCGAGAGATCATCGTACACGACGTTCGCTTAAATGGCAGCACAGCAAGTTACGTTTTGAATGTACAGGAGGACTGCAATTCCAATGATTTGGCCTACAACGACCTTGATTTGATTTTCAATGTTGAACTGAAGAGTCAGTCGCATTTCCATCAAGTGAAATCAGCTGTACTTGAGTCACTGAAAGACTTTCTCCCGGATGGGGTTTGCAAGGACAGGATGGGTAGCTGTACCCTAAAAGAAGCTTACGTTAGAAAAATGGTGAAAGTTACCAATAAACCCGACAACTGGTCTCTGATTGCACTTGCAAACAAAGATGGACGAAATATCGAGCTTAAATTTGTTGACAGCATGAGAAGGCAGTTTGAATTTTCCATTGACTCATTTCAAATCATTCTCGACTCTTTATTGAAATTCTATGATACATCTGATGTTGGAATAACCCCAGATTCGTATCCAACAGTTAGTGCCGAGTCAGTATATGGCGATTTTGAGGAGGCGAAGTACCATTTGGTTGAGAGACTTATTGCAACGAAAAACCCCGAAGAAATTCGTGGAGGTGGGTTGCTCAAATACTGCAGCTTACTTGTTAAGCAGTTTAAGCCTGTAAATCCTGATTTTAAAACGATGGAAAAGTATATGTGCAGTCGATTTTTTATAGATTTTAAGGACATCTATAGTCAGCATCAAAAGCTTGAAAATTATCTGAACAGTCACTTCGTTCACCAAAATGATAAAAAATGCGAATATTTACGAACCCTGTACAAAGTTGTTGAAAAATCAACTGTTTGCCTGATGTTGCACGAGAGGAACCAGACATTGCAACTGATTGCGAACATGGCAAACAGCCTGCGGAGTCCACCGAAGTACCAACAAATAACAGTGTTTTATTCTGTACCAAATTACATGTATGCCCCAGGTTGTGGATCAAACAATACAGCTACATCCAAGGAGTATGTTGTTCTTGGCAAATGGGAGTCGAACCCAAACGAGGAGCCAAAAGCAGTCTCTTGTTACTGAGGAACACCCCTGCAATTTTCGAGTGACAGTCTCTCCTACTGGTGAGGAGGACTCTGGCCAGGGATTTTAGTATACGTAACTTCTTGTGGGTCCAAGATTAACTTCTATTTTTGTTGACATTGCTCTGTACGTAGTATTTGACATTGTAAATATTTCCAGATAAATATCTACCAGAGCATATAAAATTATCAATTATTCGGCCTAAATTTGTAGTTGTCACAGTTGCCTTTTTCTTAATCTAGCTGGCTGACAAAATTTTATCCCGATTTTGAGTATTTAGGCAGTTTACCATGAAATCAAAATTTGATAAGATAGAACGAAGATAACTTGTTACTATGCTTAAGCATTCTAAAACATTTGCAGCGCAGCATAAATACTCAAATTCGCCTATTTCTGTAAGTTGCTTCAACTTATTGTCAAATAATTTTCTGTTGTGTTTTTTGATTAGAATGATGTAAATGCAGGGTTTTCCGCTTTAATACGTGCTTGGTACACACAATTTGATAACAATCTAGTATTTTTACACATGTGTCGTTGTATTTTCATAAATATTGATATTTTTAACTGTTCAGGTTAAGAAAGTTAATTGATGCTTCAGCATGTATTGTGATATAGATTTAACGTTCCTTGGGGGAGTTAACCTTTGTCTTTATTAAAGGACCAAACGATCTTTGCGTTTTTGTCGAGTGCCAAGGGGAATCACCTCTGACCACTCCGTCTTCAGTGTGTAGAATTGGTTTCCAAGAAGAAGAAATTTGGCCGTTCTTTCCTTGCTAATTGTTTTGTTTCTTTACTACTTTGTGGTAGAATTTCAGTAAATGCGTCGAAATAATTTGGAGAGAATGATTTTATTAAGCCTTGGGATTCAATTGTTGTTTATTTAAAGCTTCATCTCCTGTTGTCTGGGTCTAGAGAATCGATTGTGGAAAATTTTCCGTGTACAGTGTTTTCTGTGGTTTTGATAATTTAGCGCTGTGCATTTCAAAGTTACTGGCTTTGACAATATCTGGAGCTTTGAAAACTTCCTGTTGAGGGAAAATACCCAATATTGTGTGGCTTCCAGGGGTTCACCACAATTCCTTTCTTATGATAATGCTGCCCTTGATATCACCAATAAAGTCTGTATGCCAAAATGCGTAAATTCTTAGTTGGGTTTTTAAATTGGCATTCAGGAAAATGAATTTCGGATAATCGGATGTAAACAATTGGTGAATCTTATGTTTTTATCTTATTATATCTTATGAACAAAATAATAGAAATGTTTTTAAGGCCTGTTTTGTCAAGGACACGACACTGTCAAAACTAATTTGACTTGACTAAAAATTTTTCAAGCAGCTATCCGTACACTGTAATTGTCACAAATTGAAGGATAAACCGAACATAATGGCAAATATGACGTATTAACAAATACCATTTTTGGTTTTCAAAAGGTTCTAGATAAAATTGGTTTCATTACAGCCCAGCAAATGACAGTTTTAAATGGGTGTTCTAAACATTCAAGGCTTCATCTTAGCAATAAATCCTTCAGGTAGCTAATGTTCGCCCAAAGTTGGAGATTGAGGTGTAATGATATTCCCCATGGCACCTCCCTTTCTGCTAAACAAAATACCTTTATGCAAAATCTTTTTTGTTGGTATTCTATTTGCGCCACCCGCCCCAAAATCGTGCGGGAGTCTCCGCTTTGTAGACTGTGTTGGAACCGTAGCGTCTGCATGCAGGCCTACAGAAATTATTTTGCAGGGAGTGGGGGCACCGGGCTCTGTGGGGTTTAGTGCGATATACAAGCCGAGTAAGTGCTTTTTCTCTAGGGAAATCGTGAACAATATGGCATGCCCTTACTCACTGAATTTTATTTTTTTTAAGAAAAATAGGTGTGTCATCTTCTGTAATTATTGGGGAGTAAGTAGCAGTAGGGCCTAAAACACTCCTTGTCTCCGCCAGTGGGGAGACAAAGCGAAATGTCAAAGAGCTTGTTTACCAACAGGGAACGCCAATTTTACCAATTGGGAACTTATTAAAGGCAGTTTCAAAATCATAGAACCATACCATTAAGAACAAGTTGCCAAAAGGTTACCCCTCACCCAAAATTTTGTCATCGAATTTAGACCAAATAGAAAATCAATCCTGTCTAGAAATTGGGGGACGCCGGGAACAGACAAATATACTTGTACATCGATGTACCGCGAGACCCTCCCCAGGCCCAGTGATCATTGACTTCGGAAGAATTTGAAAAGTGGAGCACTGCAAAACGAGGATATCTTTAACACATCCGTTCAGTCATATATGTTGTCTGATAATATGTTGAAATTTTGCATCTTTACTTTCATAAAAACTGGAAATTATACCAAATGAATGTTTTGCAAAATTGCCCTAAAAAGCAAAGAATTACGAGCTTGCAACAATTAAGAAGCCCTTATTTGACATAAAATGACACTCTTGCAATTTCCTGGAACCTGTAAGCCTTACATTGCATTTCATTTCCTTTTCCAATTTTTTACCCTTACTCATGCATCGCCTGAGCTTATCCTCTACTTGTTTTTTCATTTGCAGGCCTGATAGAGCTTGCCCGGATGACGCAATACAAGGGAAACTATTTTTAGCAGGTAACACTGATACTTGCTTAACAACGTGAAATGAGACTTCTTGCAATGATCATCCTTGGGGCTTCTAATTGCTAATTCAAAGATATCGTTACATTCATATATTACTGTAATGATATTGCTACAATTGCGAATATGAAATAAAAAAGCAGTTCACGCGCATTTATTTCCTAGGAGATTTGGAAATTTCCCAGTTAAATTTCCTTTGATCTGATGCTTCAGCCATGGGGGAATGAGGACGAAGCTATTGTCGAGAAATTAAAAGCCAAACCATTGTCTAAGCGATCTTTCACCAGGGGCCTCATTGCATTTCTTGAAGAAGAAAAGGGATATTGTTTACCAAGGAATTAAGGAAAGTAGCCCTCCAATGCAGGGTTGCCAGATGCTTGGAATGGTTGGCGGCCAAATACTTTACGTTTGACGGCCAAATTCGGCTAGCTATACAATATATATAAAAAATCCATATTTTTGCTAATTTCGTGGAATAACAGTGTAATCAAAAATGGCTTTGTTTGTTACAAAAGCTCCCACTTTTTGTAAGTCTCAATTTTCTGCTATCTTTTACTTTGTTTCTTGATTCGTTATTCGTAACTTTGAGATTATTTTAACAACATGTTGAATATTTTCTATGCTAAAATAATTTGTCGTTTTCTTTGTATTTTTGTGGCTTTCAACATGCGGCCAAAATTCGACCAACTTTCGCTTTTTCGGCCAAATCATTTTTCGACGGCCAACAATATTGAAAAACGACCAGAATGGAGTCAAAACGGCCAAATGGCAACCCTGCTCCAATGGCAGAGTCACGGGAGGACACGTCCCCCGAGTTCTCAAGGGCTAATATTTTTGCAAAGTAGCATTTGCTATGTAATTCTATGATTATGAAACTACCTTCAGGTTACTAAAAGTTAGTTATAAGTTTTCCCTCTTTGTAAAATCAACGTTTCCCTAAAGTCGAAAGTATTTTTCTCACAATAAAAAAACGTGGCCTGAAATCTTATATTTTGTCCCCTCAACGGCCCAGTGGCTAGTGCAAACGTTGACCCCCCCCCCTCTTAAGAATGTTCAGCTCGTTATGTTTCGTTTCTGGGGTTTTATGTGTATAGGACATCACACATACTTTTCACCAACGCTAAAAACTGAAAAGAAATAGCTCATTTGCGGAAGCTGCATTCCATAAAAAGGGTCACCACTCAGAAATCCTCACACCAAACACGTGCTCACTTTCTAAGGAGACGCTGAGCCCCACCCCCGAAATCTCTTCGAAATCTCTTCGCCGAGCCCATTTTCACAGCTACACTGCTTCGTGCAAAGATATACTTGCTAATTCAAAGAGGACTATCATACATATCCAACCAGTTTGATTTTTGGCACTTGAAGTTTAAAAAACCTAACAATCTTCATATTATTTTTACGAAAGACTATCTTTTTCCTGAAAAAAACAGCGCACAACCTTCGACTCAAAAGCCCTCTTGATATTTCAGAAGTCAGTGGTACCAGACATACCGATAATGGTACCAGATCATTCAGTTTTCAAGGGTCTTAAATCTGGAATTCACTCCCAGAATTAACAAAGACAGCCCAAAATATGGCAAAGTTCAAAAATTTGATCAAAATTTGGTTTCTTGAAAATAAGTGTGCTTGTTCTTCCAACAGTAAATAGTCTGTCTTATGCAATCCTTGAATTTGCTTTATGTGAAAATTGTTATATTGTAATCAGGATAAAACTACAATTTTGACAAAAAATACTAAGGCATTTACTGAAAAATAAGCTATTCAAAAATCATCCACTTCCCTTCCCCTCAAATAAATATAGCGATTGGATTGGTAACTGATGTTGTAATACCCACTGATTCTGTAAATATCTCAGCCAACATTGACCCCGGGGTAGAGAGGTTTAGGTCACCAGTGTGTATAAAACGAAGATATATAATAGCACTCTCAGCAATTTTTGTCCGATTGTAGAAATGATTTTGATTTTCTGCAGACGAGAGGTGTAGTTTTAGAGGAGTATTGTATATCTAGTTGCTTTTGTGGTTACCTATTCTTCGTAGAGATCGCATCTGGGTGATTTTGAAAATATTCATCTCCAGTAGTGATATTATAGTTTTAGAGGAATACTGTATATCTTGTTAATTATGCAAACACAACCCTTCGTGGTGATATTTCAGGTCGGTGGAATATTGCATATCTAGCTGATTCTTTAAGAAATAATTCCTTCGTAGTGATAAATTAAATAGAATATTGCATTTCTAGATGATTTTGAAAACAATCTTCCTTAGTGTCATTATAATTTAGTAGAATATTGCATATCTAGTTTATATTTGCAAACACCTACCTTCGTGGCGAGTTCTAGGTTAGCAGAATTTTGCATATCTATTTGATTCTGTGAATACCCACCTTCGTGGAGATATTCTGAGTTTGGTAGAATATTAAATACCTGGGTGATTTTTAAAATATCCATCTTCTGTAAAGATACTAGTAAAGATACTATAATTGCATATCTAGCTGATTCTTTAAGAAATAATTCCTTCGTAGTGATGAATTTAATAGAATATCGCATTTCTAGGTGATTTTGAAAACAATCTTCCTTAGTGTCATTATAATTTAGTAGAATATTGCATATCTAGTTTATATTTGCAAACACCTACCTTCGTGGCGAGTTCTAGGTTAGCAGAATTTTGCATATCTATTTGATTCTGTGAATACCCACCTTCGTGGAGATATTCTGAGTTTGGTAGAATATTAAATACCTGGGTGATTTTTAAAATATCCATCTTCTGTAAAGATACTAGTAAAGATACTATAATTGCATATCTAGTTGATTTTGAAATATTTACTTCGTTAGTGTTTTCATAGTTTTAGTGGAATATTCCATATCTAGTTGATTTTGGAAACACCCATCCTCCTTAGTGATCTTCTAGATTTAGTGGAATATTTCACACCTAATTTATTTGATAAACAGTTATCCTTGTGCGTGATAATATAAAATTACTTGAATGTTGCATTATCTTGTTAATTTTGTAGAGAATCACTTTCGACTTTCGTGGTGAAAATTCAAGTCAATTGAATATCGCATGTCTAGGTTATTTTGTGATCACAAATTCGCTTTAGTGATCTTTGAAAGAGGTTTTCCCTAGAAAGAATCAGTTCTAGTCGAATTTGTAAAGACATCTCTATGATGAATACATTCTATTCACATTGATTTTATAGATCAACTAGAATATGTCATATATATATACAGTAAATTTTGTGTAATCCGATCTCTGTGTTGGATCGTAAAAATGTTCTTATAACTAAATGTTTGATTTATGCGATGGATTTCGCCAGATACCCCTAAACCTGGTATTATATCCTTTATCCATGTTATCACAACTTGCACAGCAGTTGTAAACAAAGAAAGACAACGTTCTTCAATTATATTGGTTTTTTAATAAAGATGCACTACAAAATCAGGCAATGTCAGTAGTCGTTCCGAGCCCGACAACTAGGGAGGCCAGCATTCATCCAACTTTGTCGGCTCATCTCCCCAACACAATATGACTGAAATGACTTTAAAAAGCAGCCAAAATGACAATACAACATCAATTCAAAGAGAAGTTAATGAAATTAAGTACCACTGAGTTATTTCTTTAAATTCGCAGAAAGTTTGAAGTAGAAAATTCGAATCACGCGAGTTTGAATTAGCCTCCTTTAATGTAGTTTCCAACAACTCTGAATGTTTAACCTCGGAGAAATTGAACAACGCATTCTTTCGAAGCACTCTTTTCCAATAGACATATTACTTTGGTTTTTTTAAAACTCTTTCCAAAATTCAGGGTTTTATTCCTCCATTTAATCTTGTAATTTGTATTTTTAGATAATATTATTTGCTGAAAAAGACATTAAAATACATGCAGGGTGGCTTGGATGTAAAAAATGCTGCGCTGGACCTATTTCCAATTGTTTAATGCAAGGTAAATTTACTTTTGATTAAGAATACATCAACAATTAAATGGAAATGAGGGGAGGGGGTCGTACATAATCTCAACAGTTAAGGTGCATTTAAGTACGTGGAAGTCCCTTTGTTAGGGATTGGATAGGCAACAGCAAGTTGTGACTGTGAGGTCCAACAACTCTCTCAATTGTTTTTTAATCTTTTAATTTCAGTTGCGTAAGGCTGCTAATTCTAATCATATATTATTCAATATTTCGCATCCAGATAGAAGGTTTTGATAAATCCAAACTAGGCTTGCCTTGTTATTAGCCCTGGGCAGAACATTTTTCCATCAAGGATCCTTTCAAGCACCTTGTCATATCTACTGGCAATAAAATATCTTGGAAGATTGTTAGCGTTGGTCCTTGGATTCAATACCAGTATTAATCGCACAGTTCTCTTTCCTTTGGTCTAGCCCATTATAATATGTCCACAATAATTATCTCTGTATTTAGGGCGAGTACTCTAGATACCTTGATGAGCCCTACGTCAGAAGGACGAGAGAGAGGCAAAGGACTGTTCGATAGTTCTAAAAATTCGACCAGTTTAATAAAGACTGGCAATATCTTCTTAGCTTATTCTCAGTCTCAAAATCCGGTTTCTTGTATGATCAGGCAAGTAAACGAGCATTAGATTGAATGGGCACGGAACAGCTACTTAAACACCTCCAATAAAAATCTGACACTTCATTGATTTTTTTGAATTCATCCCAATCATTTGTGCAAAATAGAGTTTTCCCAATTACTGGCAAAGTAAACATAACTTATACTTTCAATTATGAAGAAAGCTCTTTTTACGCCTGTGACTTTCTGTCTCCTCATGTAAAATTATCCTGGCTTATGTGTCACTTGTCACTTAGAGCTATAGCCTTTTGGAAGCATCATCAATGCTTGCCAAAAGCTCTTGGAACACACGAGCTGTTTCTAAGATGCTCTGTTTATTTTCAATTCACGACTAACGAAATAGCTAGGTTGTCCTCTTTTCCTCAAAATAATGTTGCAATAGAGTACCAAAGTGTAATACCATCAAAAATTTATTTTTAGAATTTTTTAAATTTGACCACAAAGTCTCAAAGAATTGCATGGAAAATCCCTCTGCAAATGCAAAATCAGCTAGTTATGTTCAAAACTGGGCGAGATATAGCCAATAAAAGATTTCAAATTGCTAGCAGATTACTGTCACTCTGATCTGGTTCAAGACCAGATTATAGAGGTTTGATGGGGAAAAGCCTGTGCTTAATGAGCCATGTCTTAGCCAATTTGTAACATTAAAGGCTCTTGCGCAACCAGCATGTCTAGCGACAGCTGTCTTGAGAAATTGATTGTGTTTTGCATTTTCATGCAGTACGAAATTAGGCCAGTTTTGAAAATATTGTCCCAAAGCATGCCGGTTGCGCAACAGCCTTTAAAATGAGTTTGCACATTTCGAAGTATTTTATAATGTTTTCTTAGGTTATATGGTTAAAGTTGAAACATTCTACAAATATGTATTTTGAGACACCATCACTCCGGTAGTCTAGGTTCCAATTGTATATTGCTAAGGAATGGGGAAACTGAAAAAAGTCAATGACAAAAATACTGTTGGTGTTCCAAGAGTTTTGGGAGACATGGTAAATTTTTATAGAAATAAATAAGTTACTTTATCGTGGAAACTGCTCCTTTGATAGCTCGTACAATGCCCATTCGGAGTATTGCTGCATTTTTACTTTTTCTGTGCTTCGAGGATCAGCCTCATTTTTTGTGTTCTGGTCTCCAGAGAGTTCCGTGGTTTTCACAATTGAGAGGCTGAAGGATGAAGCAGTTCGAGCAGAGAAGGTTTTTCTAACGTCGTTTACGAAAGATATAGGTATCAAGTTGAAAAAGAAGACAAATAAGAAGATCAAACATGGACAAAAACTTGCTGTGAACAAGGACAAACAGTTTGTAAGCATTAGTTTAGAAGTTCTTTGATTTTGTTTTTTTGTTGCATCCTTAATTTTGTGTTTGAATAGGCCATGCCTCGTGTTGCTTGAAGTTACCATAATTTTCGCTTAGTTGCCATATCGCTAATTAATTTTATAATCTGTATTATTCATTGTAGCAAGCCGTATAAGATAATCTTCCGACAAGGCCAGTATTCATTTATGTTGTGATTTCTGAAGTTACAGGCTTTGCACGCGTTGAAACGACCCCTTGTAGCTGAGGGCTACAACAGTTATTTTTAATCATGGTTAATAAGAAACTTTATAGCCTAAAAGATTACACAAAATTTCTTATATGTGGGTCTAAAATATAATATTCTTAACAAGGCATTTTTAATTTCTAAGAATACTTATAAACTTCTAAGAATAAGTAGAAAAAACAATTCGTATTTGCGGGGCCTAACTGTAATTTGCCAAGGGGCGAGATTGCTTATAGAATACGAAGAGGCCATATAGAATTTGCAACAGGGGTGTCGTGGAGAGAGGGCTGGGGGAGTGCAGCCCTCAAAGCCAGCGAGTGCATATTTTGTTGGAAAAATTCTGTGTTGGCAACGCTTGGGTTCTTAAAGATTGTTTTATCAAATAGAGTATAGATTTTCTGTGAGTTGGCAATTTTTGGTTGATTAGTTTGAATGATTTCAAATATACAACAGAGGATATATAAGACAAACGCAAATATATTGGTCGTCTTCATGGGTGTGGCTCCTACAATTTGCCTATAAAACAGCGCCCTTTCCAACGTTTCAAGATAGTACGTTTTAAAACGTTTGAGCATATGTGTCAAAAGCAAGCAAAATAAAAAATAAATGAGATGAAAAACTCATTATTCAAGCTTTGGATTTGGGTTTTATTTTCCCATCACCTGACATAGAATCTCGTGTTTTGTATAGTTGTAACACGTTCTCAGCATATTTTAATCCAGATAATTCCATGATCTAACATATACTGATTAACCTCTTTATATTTCTTAAAATTACGCTTTGAGTTTGTTTGCTGCAGTTTCAAAATATTTTGGTTTGGTGTAATGGATATAGAACAACCTCTTTTGCAAGATAGATTAGAATTTCAATAGTTGCATGACATAAACGAAAGTTAGAAACCCTGCTTGTGTAAGTTTTCTTTCTCAGGTTTGCTGGTTTGTATTTGCCAAAATTTTGCTCATTGTTATTTATTTTCCTCTTATTATATCAACCACAATGCAATCAATGTTTCCCTTGCTGGTGCCCTGGGTATCAGAGCAACATAGATTGGATCGCGGAGATAGAAGATAGGAGTGGCGAAACTTGGCTTTCTGTTAACACTCTTTTTTTATAAGAACACACTTTATCAGAACACTGAGGCTCGATTTGCCCAAAAAATAAGAACAAGGCTAGAGCATGCTCAGCTTCAAATAATAAATTCAAAAAAACAATTCGCATTTTGAAATTTATATTATGTCATGTCAACAGAACAAAACTATGCAAGTTTGTTCATAAACACTAGCAGTCGTTGCTTTATTTTTAAACTTTACCCAGTAAAGCGTCTTAAAAACTATATACAGTATGTAACTTCTCAAATATTTGCAAAAAAATCACTCTCAAAATAAGAACAATTTTAAGAACATTTGAGCCTAAAATTATCAAAAAGTTAAGAACATCGAGGCTCGGCAAAACCAATCTGGTTCTTTTAAAACAATGGCCTACGCGCTGAAAATTTTGTGGCTCTGGCACCCAGGGGACCTTGTTGGCAGACGGGTGGAAATTAGGTGTCTCACAACCAGTTAAACTAAACCACCTGGTCTCTTACTCCCTTTGCTTCTTCTGATGAGATATAATCTTTTGAATTTGTATGATTCAGGAAGCAAAATTGTTAATAAATGCTGCTAGCCTCCTTTCCTCTTGCTATGACCCCTTTCAAAAATGTAGATATGTTGGTATAAGATTTCGAGTGATTTTATTTCTCTTTCCTGAATGTGAGTTCTCCTTTTTTACACTATGTTGGTTTACCTACCACCACCAGCTCATGTTCACAGTATCTTGAGACATTAAAAATAAGGTAAATAATATTTTGCGTCCTACAACGAAGAAAAGCACTGAAACTTCTCAAAAAAGGTCACAGTTGAAGTCAAACAAAACCTACAATGAAACAACTGTTCAGTTGTTTATTTACCACTAGTGTCTCAGCGCTCCCACCAAGTGGCGTTCCAGCTCCACCCTTTATCAATTACAAAACTTCCCTTCCTGGATTTCGATGCCTTTGCTCAAGCTTGTCTTGTCTTTACATAGGATTTACTTGGTAACGCTAAGATGTTGATTAAGTCAATACTGGCTTGTTGTCACAAAAGGTTTGCGTTCGTCCCTCCAAATTCAGTTGAAATTATTATCTTCCTTCAAATCTAATTTTCAATTAAGGGCAGGCGTCAATTTTTCTCCTTTCGTTAGTTTAGTATTTCATACTTACCCCTGTCATCCGAATTGTGGAAAACAACTTTATGAATTTATGGCCTATAAATAATACCTAGTGATTGTCTGCTCTGCTCTACCATTTGATGTTGAATGGAAGCAAGGGGCCCAAGCCTTTAGCCTTGCGACTGTTGTTTTGAGATTCTATCGACTTGTTCACTGCGAAACGTGCAACTGACTAAACTCTACGTGACGCGTGCTAAAAAGTTCTACCTCAGCGATCATTAGAACTTTCTAGAAGCTTCTAATTAGCTGACAATAGAGCAGCAAGCAATCTACTCTAACACGTGTCCTACACTAGCTACTAATTACGAAGGTCATTAGTTTACTTACAAACGCAGCAATTACGTAACTGTTGAGTGCACGTTCCCAACACTCCCACTCAATCAACAGTTTCTTTTCAGGTTTTATTGCATTCCGAGCTTGCAGCGTAGGTACTCAAATTGACCTCTGTTCAGTGATTTAGTAAGTAAGTCAGCCAGCATTTCTTTCGTGTTGCAATATTTTAGTAGCAGAGTCCCTTTTTCTACTTGTTCTCGAACAAAATGATACCTTATGTCGATGTGTTTCGTCCGTTTATGTCCGACTGGATTTTTGTCATCGAAATTGCTCCTTGGTTGTCTTCCATGATGGTTATAGGTTGCACATTGTCTCCTATTTCTCTAAACAGTTGCTTCAGCCATATGACCTCTTGGGCAGCTTTACTCAAGGCAATGTACTCTGCCTCAGCGGTTGAAAGAGCCACTGTTGATTGTTTTTGACTAAGCCAGCTAATCGCACCTCCGGCCATCATGAAGACATTTCCAGTGCTTGAGTGGCGATTCTGCATATCGTCAGCCCAACTAGCATCACTAAATCCCGTAACTTCTTTGCTTTCTGATTTCTTGTAAACCAGCGAAAGATTGATTGTTCCTTTCAGATAACGAAATACCCTTTTTACTGCAGTAAGATGCGCTTCTGTTGGTGCTGAATTGAATTGAGAAAGAGCTCCCACTGCTTGAGCGATATCAGGCCTTGTTGCGATGGCAGCATAGAGTAAACTCCCTATCATAGACTGATATTGAACGTTATCAACAGGTTTACTGTTTCCATCATCTGCTACAAGTTTGACATTTGGATCAAGAGGTGTACACACTGGATTAGCATCTTGAAGTCCATAGCGCTTCAGTAATTTTTCAATGTACTGCTTCTGTGATAGACTGACTCCTTCTTCGCTTTGCTCAACGCTGACTCCAAGGCAGAAATGAAGGCTGCCCAAATCTTTCATCTTGAAATTCTTTCTCAGGTTTACTTTCATTTGTTTCATTTCATCTTGAGTAGTGGATATGATGATTAAATCATCTACGTAAACAGCAATAATTGTCAAATTGTTTCTTTCAAGAGATCCTTTCACGAAGATACACGGATCTGCTTGGCCTTGTCTGAAATTTAGTGATTCGAGCGCGTTTCTAAATTTTCGATTCCAGCAACGTGGTGATTGCTTGAGTCCATAGAGGGATTTTTTGAGCCTGCAAACCAGATTCTCTTTTCCACGTATCACGTAACCCTCTGGTTGCTCCATATAGATTTCTTCCGTTAAATCTCCGTTCAGAAATGCCGTAGTTACATCCATTTGATGAATCAGCATTCGGTTTTGAACTGCAAAAGCCAGTAAGGCTCGAATAGAACTGAACCGCACGACAGGAGAAAAAGTTTCATCAAAATCGACGCCGTACTTCTGAGAATACCCTTTTGCTACTAAACGACTTTTGAAACGTTCCACTTGTCCATTTTCGTCATACTTTACTTTGAAGACCCACTTGCACCCGATAGCCTTTCGGTCTTTTGGTGGCTTCACTAACTCCCACGTTTGGTTCTCTATGAGTGACTGATACTCTGAATCCGTTGCTTCTTTCCACTGTGCGGAATATTCACTATTGAAGGCTTCTTGGATGGTAGCTGGTTCTTCGATGATTGCTGAGAATACAACATGTCTTGCTTCTGTGACGTCAGCATACTCATCCAAGCCAAATCGAGGTGGTGGTACCCCTTTTGTGGATCTTTGAGATCGTCGAGGATGGCTTTCTTCTGCATCCGTGTTCCTTTCCGTAGGCTCTGTTTGTCGTTTATCTTCCTTTGCTGGTTCTGGACCCATCTTCAAATACTGTTTTTGAGATCCAAAATCATTTTCATTGAAGTTAACGTCTCTTCTGATCACTATTCTCTTGCTCTGCATATCAAAGAGTCGGTATCCTTTCTGGTTTGCACTGTAGCCCAAGAATCGAAGTCTGTTGGCTTTCTTGTCCAACTTTCTTCGCTCAGCCTCTGGAATATGAGCATAAGCTATGCAGCCGAACACACGAAAGTGGGAGACATCAGGGGGTTTTCCATACCATTTTTCATACGGTGTTTGACCTGATGCGCTGGTTATAACACGATTTCTTATGTAGGCTGCAGTGTTGACTGCTTCTGCCCAGAAGGTCTTGCTGAGTCCGGCATGGTTCATCATTGCTTTTGCGGATTCAACGAGAGTCCGGTTCATGCGCTCAGCCACTCCATTCTGTTGTGGAGAGTGAGAAACAGAAGTTTCGTGTTTGATACCTTTCCTTTTCAGAAGATTTTCAAAGTCATTTGATACATACTCTCCGCCATTATCTGTACGCAAGGTTCCAATTTTACATGCAGCTTCATTGGTTGCAGAGGCTTCAAATTCTTTAAACCTCTTTAAGCCTGGTTTCCATATAGCCGTAAGGCTGCCTGCGGCTGCCTGCGACTGCTTTCTGCCATCTTCCATCTTCCATCCCTACGGTATCGCCGGCAGACAATTCTTTATGGAAACGCTTTCTAACGGTACCGCAGGCAGCTGTTTGAAGTGCCGTAAGACTGCCGGGAGAGCCGGGAGAAAGTTGAACGAGTTCAACTTTTCCCGGCTCTTACGGCAGCCTCCCGGTACCGCCGGCAGACAAATTACAAATGGAAACGCCTTGCCTGCGGCTGCCTGCGGCTGCCTGCGGCATTCTTTTGTTCAAACGGATCATGTGATGTGCAAGAACCAATTGAAACAGGGCTTTGTTGTTGAATTTTGCCCGCCAGTTTTTCCCGCTCAAACTTTACCTAGTTACTGGCATAGTTACCGATACCGCAGGCAATTGAAAACAGAACGTTTCCATTTGCCGGCGCTACTGTAAGGGTGGAAGATGGAAGATGGCAGAAAGCAGTCGCAGGCAGTCGCAGGCAGCCTTACGGCTATATGGAAACCAGGCTTTAGTATCTCAGACTTCCTTTTAATGAAGTAGACTTTGACACATCTCGAGTAGTCATCAATGAATGTGACAAAATAACGCTTTCCCGAAAAGCTCTGTATTGACATTGGTCCACATACGTCGCTGTGAACTATCTGTAATTTTCTAGAAGTCTTGATCCCCTCTGTTGACTTGAAAGGTTTTCTGCTCATCTTACTTTCCGCACACCCTGTACAAAAGTTCAGTTCGTCATTTCCTTGGATGGCAACTCCTTTGATGAGCTTCTTCTTGACTGATTCCAATAGCTGTTTTCTATTTATATGTCCTAGCCGTTGATGCCAAATATCCATCGTGCTAGGGTTGCTATTTTCCATCCTTTCAGATTGGTGATAAGCTGCTGTTATATCTGTTTCGCAGCTCAGAACGTACACTCGCTTAACGAGTCTTCCTTTGCCTACAGCCTTACCGTCCGAGTCCTTTATCCAGCAACAAGTATGTCCAAACTGAACAATAAGTCCCTTCTGTGTCACAGCTCGCACACTGAACAGGTTGCAAGCTAGTTTCGGAACATAGAGTACATTATCCATTTCAATTGTCAGCTGCTTGTTATGGCTTGTTTCCATGGTTATTTGAGCTCGTCCTGATCCACGGGCTTCCACTGTATGTCCGTCACCCAGTTTGACTAATTCAGGCTGGTTGAACTCTATGTAGTTAATCAGAAGCAGTTTGTTTGAGGTCATATGCTGCGAGGCACCCGAATCCAGAATCCATTGTCTGTTTGTCTCATTTTCTGTTTGTTCATTTTCAGCTAGAAAGAGTTGAGAGTCTGAGTCATCATCTTCCTCCTTTCCTGCAGTCTTTGCATTATGTGTTTCATTTTTAAATGAATTGCTGGGCCTCACTTGCTTCCTTTTGTGACATTCAAAGCTTTTATGACACTCCTTGCCACAGTTGTAACATTTGCCTTTGAAAGGCCTGCTGATGCCCTTTTCCAAGTGTAATGTTGAGTCTCGATTTATTTTAGTCGTTGCGGTTGCTTTGAAGGCCTGTTTTTTTTGCTCTTCATTGATAAGGGCTTGCTGGACGAAGGCCAGTGATAGTTCATCTCCTTTAGCTTCCAGAGCTGTAACGAGTGTTGTATAGCTTGGTGGAAGGCTTATGAGCAATGCCACGACTTGCTCTTCTTCAGCTTCTGTAGACCCGAGTGCATGGAGTTTATCAGCAATTTCCTTCATACGTTTCAAATGATCTTGGACCGATTGCCCTTCAAGCATTTTTGAAGTAAAATATTGTCTCTTGAGAAACAGCTTGTTGGCTATCGTATCCCTCTCGAAATAGGCTTTGAGAGTATCCCACAGGTCCTTCGGTGTTTCGCATGATGTCACCAAGTAGATAAGATTCGACTGAATTCCCATTACCAACGTCGCCATTGCCTTTTGCTTGGCCTTTTCGTATGTAGCTCTAGATGCTGTATTATCGTCAGGTAACGAAATCGTTCCATCTACGTGATCCCACACATCTTTCGCCATCAACAAATGTTTCATTTGAAACTTCCATGTAGGCCAGTTCGACCTATCTAATTTTTCGATTTCGAATTTATCTCCAATTCCAGCCATGTGCAGTGGTTTGGTTCTGGGCCCATAACCTGTTGTTTTGAGATTCTATCGACTTGTTCACTGCGAAACGTGCAACTGACTAAACTCTACGTGACGCGTGCTAAAAAGTTCTACCTCAGCGATCATTAGAACTTTCTAGAAGCTTCTAATTAGCTGACAATAGAGCAGCAAGCAATCTACTCTAACACGTGTCCTACACTAGCTACTAATTACGAAGGTCATTAGTTTACTTACAAACGCAGCAATTACGTAACTGTTGAGTGCACGTTCCCAACAGCGACGCCCTTTTCTTCTTCTGTGCGATTCTAGGAAATATTCATATGTTTGTGTCTACGTATATTTGGTGATATGAGGTGATCAAACTTAGCAATTCATAGTTCAAACCTCAGTGCTATATGAAAAACCATGGTCGGTGAAACCGGGGGGTCGGGGGACCATGCAGTTTTTAGGCAAAGAAGAAAAAACTTTAATCGATCATTCTGGAAGTTGCTATGCTTAATAATCACCCCTAAAATACTCTAAGCTTAAGCTCCATTGCCATTGATTTATTATTTAAATATCTAAAAGACCAAAACATGAGAATTTGAAACTTAATTATTGTAAAAGTCGTGCGTCACACGTGGCACTATGCAAGTAACAGTTTGTTAAATATTGATCGTTTGTGCGACCTTGGAAATGCGTGCTTGGCTTAGGATACAGAAGGAGAAGGCTGACCCAAAACAACTAGGTACCAAAGCAAAATGACCAAGCTTTATTTTTCTATGTCCTGAACCTCACTTGTAATGTCTATTACCCCGGATACCAGACTCACACTTATTTTATACAGAGTGAGTCTGGTACCAAGAGTAAATGTCTTTTTGTTGAAGAACAAATTCGTTACGGAAAGAAAGAATATCAACTATTTTGTGCAAGGAAACCGCTAGGAAGGAATTTTTTTGAGAACATAAGGATTACCCCCTCCCCACTTTTATCAAAACATGATCCATTTGCTTCTTCTAGAAATTGATTAAAAAGTGCTAGGTATCGGTAAATCATATTTTATAAGAAAAATTAACCTGTCACAAAGCACTGAAGCGAGTCAAAAATTGGACTCCTCAACTTTCAAACACGTTGCGCCGGCCAATGCCGATAGTGGGTGACGTAGTTGCGGCTATTTCCATGCACATATGATATGATATCTCACCCACATTTCCGCAAATTTGGCCAGCTAAATTTGCTACATATTTGGTTTGTTATCGCCGTACTCTTTTCAGGCGATCATTCTGCTGGCTTAGATTATGCATAGTATGGATTATGGGCTGTTTATCAACTCACTCAATGTATTTGAAAGCAGGATACATTCCTTAAACCCGGGGTTACTTGGCGAGTTGCCTGCTGTTCAAAATAGAAAAATGGCGAATTTTGTGGAAATCTTGTGAAGTTTTTTAGAACGAAGATTTGGAGTGGTATATACTGTAGCATGGCAAACTTTTTAACATTGCTGGACTTTTGTCAGTGACCAGGCATTTTTCTTGTAAAACAAAAACAAGTATTTTACTAGGTCTACAGAAGCTATAGCATTTGTGTTTGTACGTGAAAATTGCCTTTAGAATTGTATATGCAAACTCTATCGCGATTAAACATTTTTGCAATGATTCCTAAACTTGCTATCAATCAAAAACTCAAATCTGATCACCAGAATCTTAATGTGTTTTGTAAGTTATCGAATGTGGAGGAAAAAACTGATGGGCTTTATAATTAAATACAAAGTTATAAGAATGCAAAAATTTATGGTAATATTCAAACTTCTACACAAATCTATGGCTGGGTTTTGCAAGAAACTGCAAACTTCATTGATGACGTCACAATCATCTATTTTTAGAATTTTCGAATTTGGATTCTTTAACTTAAAAGAGCATCATGAAATACCTCTACACATGCCAAATCAGGTAAATATGTTACGAGTTTGCTGAGATATGGCACATGAGCACAAGCTCTGATTGGATTCTCGCTACATTGGATTATCGTCGTTGTATTGCTTTGTTCTTGACTATCCTTTGTACTTTAGTCGTGGTTCATCACTTTATGAACGAGCCAAAATGACAGTAATCCGTTAGCAAACTTCGCAAATCTTTCATTGGCCATATCTCATCCGATTTTAGACATATGTTGCTGACTTTGCATATTTTTTTAAACTCAATCTAGAATAACTTTGAATAAGCCATGTTTTTATTTTTTTGTACAATCTTTCGTATTTTCTCTGCATGTACCTTGGGCTTTATGACAATAAAAAGTTTGACGTCATATTGAGCCTATGTCACTAATCACAGTCAAACCTTATATACAATTTCTTGCTTTAATTCGTCAAAAAACCAATGGCACTACCACTAGCTTCTTGAATCTACACTCATTTTTTTATAAGAAACAAAGGTCGATGTTGAGTACTCCAGTTTCTTAATGTTCTGGAAATTTCAATACTCATTGTTTCTTAAGAGTTTCATGATGTCATGAATGATGTTATGAAATGTTCGTGACCCTTTTTATCACGTCAAGAGATTCACTTCCGTTCCGATACTGTATTTAGATGTGGGAAGTATATTTTTATCCCTTGTGTCTTAAGTTCTAGGCCAACAGGGCAATCTTGTTCTTAGATTTTACAAAATTTCGTTGTTCTCAGTTTTATCACGATTTAATAGTTTCTTAATTTTGTTTTGCTTTGAGTATTGAAGTTTCTTAATTTTTTCTAACTGTCCAGTACTCGTTTCTTATAGCCAGTTTCGTATAAAAAAACGAGTTTATTTCAAAATTCTGATTGTCAATCCGAATCAGAAGTCAATAATTTGATTCAGAGAAGAGACACTCGAAGTATTTTTTAAACTAGACCGTTAATTTTATTGGTTTTGTTGGATAAGCCACTTGTATTTAGAGATGGCAAAAGTACAATAAATACTTAGAGTTGATTATTTGTGAAATATCAAGCGAAAAACAATCTTGAAACCATACAAGAAAGAACGATTGATGGGAGAGGCCTTTCATTTCATGGGAATTTTCATGAGGATTTTATAAGGAGATAGTAGCAAACTCAAAAAGGCTAAAATCATAGTAAGTTTACTGAAAATAAGCTGCAGAATCTCTCCATAATATAACATTCAAGAACACAGCTTCATGCCCTGTAAGACAACTCAAGAATGCTTGCATTTTCAACAATTGATTTTATTATTTTAAGAGCTATTCGAATGTCAAAGGCAGGCCAATTCAAAGTTTGAAGACATTTTTTGTAACTTTTCAAGGCCTACAAATGTATTTCGATCGAAGAAAAGAATATCCCAAGACAAGAATTTTAGACACAGTGACTGTTCTCAAAATATCGTTAGTTATAGTTACCAACAATCCAAACGGTGTTTTGAAACTATGGAAAGTAGCATGAATTTAAAATTATCTTATGAAAAGTTATTTAATAATCAGGAGGACCCACTTCACTCTCTCTAGGTGCGCCATGGCATAAGTAGGTAAATCTGCAAACATTTCCTTTAAAATAGTTTTATTTTATCTCTAGGCAGATTTGTGTCCCTACTGCTTCGCTTAAATATCACCCAAAATCAATACGTTATATCCATTTGAGCGGATTCTTTGTTAATATGGATAAAGATCTCGATTTCATTCTTCAGCTATTTCTTTGTAATAAAGGGTGATTATAATGTTACTGTCTCTCGTGTCATAAAGAGATATGCCATTATTATGTTAGGCTGCGGTTTTTCCAAGGGGTTTTTTTTAAATTCGTTATTAACTGGGATGATTCCATCAAATAATATGATTTATGTAGTATGATTCACTAACCACACTTTTGAGTTGTTTCTAAGCCATTTGTAATGTTGACTAAAATGGCTTCAGAATTATAAACAGGGTGTTTCCAGAATGGTTTCAACAGGGCTTGTATTTACATAGTTGATGCTCTAAACAGGTAGAAAAGATACTGGTAAATTTCTCTGACACTGTGTTAGTTAGATAAACAGTCTTAAATCAAATAATTCTGACCTTGTAGCCTTTGATACCTCACAAGTTGTTTCGCACTTCGAGTTTATACATATTAACAGACAGGGGTGTAGATACAGAGTCGATTGGGGGCAATTTACCCTTTTTTCTATGGCATATTTAATAAGTTTTTTTAAAAATTCGAGTTGTTTGGAGAAAGGTATCACCAGATGCAGGTTCAAAATCGTGACAGCTTTCGTAGCTTCACCCCTGGATCTCACAAAGCCCTCCCTAGCACCCACAAGAGCCCATTATCCACGTAAATGTTGCGCCCTTACATTTAACCCACCTTTAGAACTCCTACCTAGGCTTGATAAAGGAGGAGGGGCTGGGTTTGCCACTCATTTAAAAAGTTGCAGAGATGTGATAAGATTTTAGAGTGCAAAAAGAGGGCAACACTTGATGAGGGACCACTGTGTCAATATTAACAGTTTGTTCAAAGTCGTGTAGAGATTTGTTCGACTCTCTATTGTTTGGAATAGTATGTTTTATGCAACATCTACAGCAAATAGAAAGTTTTTTATTCCGAGCCTTAGTGCTTAGTTGTATTTTTAGCTAATATAATGGAATATCTATTTAAATCATAGCTTACATAATCGTGTGATAGGTGCCAATAATCTTAAGGTGCCAATAATCTTTAGGTGCCAATAATCTTTAGCCGAGCTTCTAAATTTTGCATCAAAATGCACATTTGCTGACATCGACACAATTCAGCGATAATGTTATCACCCTCGGACATTTAGGCTTTTTACATATAACCAAAGCATTAATGCATTGCCATAGAAAAATGGCCTTAAAAAGAAAATTCACATATCATTGGAGGCCATTATGGATATTTCAAACTGGTTTGAATGAATGTATGAATACTGCGTTTTCACGCATTCAAGGATCAGGCGCTGTGACAGGAAGTTTCTCAAGAAATTTAGGGTAAAAAAAGGGTACAGGCAACTCAGGAATAGGTTTTTAAAGAAGGGACAACACTGGAAAAACACTGGACGCACAGAGAAATGATGAACATATATGTGGGATAGTGTAATGTTACCAGGGGAATGGGTAGCGACCTTTAGAATGTCAACGGAAGACTTCGCAAACCTTGCACAAATCTTCAGACCGTATAATTTTGATTTTGCAAGTTCAGATCTCCCCAGTTTGAAAATATCGTGTTCAAATGAATATTTCACGCCAGCTTGAAAATTCAAACCGGTTTGAAAAACCGAATTGAATCTCAGGGCGGTGCGATTTTCAATTCGACCTACTCTTGTGAACACTCAAAGGGATTTGACCAAACATCGAATTAAACTCAAGGCCGGCTTGAAAGCCTCAGGCCGTTTTCTAGTTTATCTGCTGCATAATGACAATAACAGAAGATTTTGTTTTGAACAGTTTATGTCTGAATCAACATGCTGTTTTATTCTACCTCCCGTTCTTTCCAATCTTTAAAATAAGCGTTTTAAGAACAAAATTGTCATTTATTTGTTATCTGATTCACTCTAGACTGTTGTAAGTTCGTGAACTGTCAAACTAATTTACAAAACGATTTCAATTACAGAAGCAAGGCTGATTTCATTCTCCTAAAAGACCTCGGAACGTGAACAAGATGCAAAGCACAGAAAAGGCACAAACGGTGAAAAAATGCCATAAATGAAGCATTTTTCATGTGACACTTCTCGGACTAAAAAAGGCGGATAACGCTTAGAAAGGTAAGTGAAGATTTTTATCCAGAAGCGGATTAAAGCAATAGCACGAGAAGAAGAGTTTAGCGTTTGATTGGCTCTTTTTTATGCCAATAGCCAATCATCATCAATTCATACCAAATATGCTGAAAACATATTCTCACATTGATTAAAGATGTTTAGAACTGTTCGGATACCGGTTTGTAAACCCTTTTGAAACGTTTTTGACAATGTTATACTTTAAAGAGAAAGTAAGGCTATAGGCTAAAGAGAAGTTTCAACTTTCCAGAGAAACTTTTTTTTTCGAAAAAATGTAAAAAGATCCCAAAAATGTATATTTAAACTAATCAAAATGTATTTAGAACTGTTTTGATGCCGCTTCACCGCTTTAATAGAAAATTTCTTGCAAAGTGGAATTTGAACATAAAGTAAGGCTTAGGAAATAAGTCGATTTTCTAGGAAAGCTTTTTCCCCCTACTTTCCCTAACTCGGCTTCAAAGGTAAATTTTACACGAACTGAGAGTATTTAAAATGGTTTTGAGGCTAGTTTGCGGCACTGTTAGAAACTTTTGACCATGTAATATTTTGAAGAAAAAGTAGGATTATAGGCGTAAAGAATCGGTTGATTTTTGAGAGAAGATTCCGAAAATTCCTGAAAAATGCCTTAAGTATATAAATACGTTACTGATATATATTTTGATCTGTTTTCAAAAGATTCTGGCAAGGTAAAATATATTGGAAAAACAAAAGCTATGGAAGGAACATATATTTACACCAACCAAAAGGTATTTATTAATGTTCTTATGCCAGTCTGTAGCATTATTAAGAAAGTTATGATTATATGAAAATTTGAAGAAAAAGTAAGGCTATTGGCTTGGGAAATTTGTCGATAATTAAGCAAAGATTTTTGCCACAAAATTCCCCAACCCTGTTTAAAACACGATTTTCCACTAGTCAAAACCATTCACTGTCTCTCTTTTGCCGGTCTATAACACTATTAGGAACTTTTTGATCCTGTCAATTTTCTAAGAAGAAGTAAGGCTATAGGCTTAGAAAATTGTTCGATATTTCAGCAAAGATTCTTCCCCCAAAATTCCCCAACCCTGTTTAAAACACAATTTTCCACTAGTCAATAGTATTCACTTACTCTCTGATGTCGGTTTTTAGTACTATTAAGAACTTTTTGATCCTGTCAATTTTTTAAGAAAAAGTAAGGCTATAGGCTTAGGGAATTGGTCGATATTTCAGCAAAGATTTTTGCCCCAAAATTTTCCCACCCTATTTGAAACACAATTTTCCACCAGTTAATAGCATTCACTCTCTCTCTGATGTCGGTTTTTAGCACTATTAAGAACTTTATGATCCTGTCAATTTTTAAAGAAAAAGTAAGGCTATAGGCTTAGAAAATTGATCGATATTTCAGCAAAGATTCTTGCCCCAAAATTTTCCAACCCTGTTTGAAACACAATTTTCCACTAGTCAATAGTTTTCATTATCTCTTTTATGTCGGTCTATTACACTATTAAGAACTTTTTGATCCTGTCAATTTTTTAGGAAAAAGTAAGGCTATAGGCTTAGGAAATTGGTCGATATTTCAGCAAAAATTCTTGCCCTAAAATTTACCAACACTGCTCTAATTACATTTTTGTACTAGTAAATAGCATTCACTCTCTCTCTGAATTTCGGTTTTTAGCACTATTAAGAACTTTATGATCCTTTCAATTTTTTGGAAAAAGTAAGGCTATAGGCTTAAAAAATTGGTCGATATTTCAGCAAAGATTTTTGTCCAAAAATTCCCCAACCCTGTTTAAAACACAATTTTCCACTAGTCAATAGTCTTCATTATCTCTCTGATGTCGATTTTTAGTACCAATAAGAACTTTATGGTCCTGTCAATTTTTGAAGAAAAAGTAAGGCTATAGGCTTAGGAAATTGGTCGATATTTCAGCAAAAATTCTTGCCCTAAAATTTACCAACACTGCTCTAATTACATTTTTGTACTAGTAAATAGCATTCACTCTTGCTCTGATGTCGGTTTTTAGCACTATTAAGAACTTTATGATCCTGTCAATTTTTGAAGAAAAAGTAAGGCTATAGGCTTAGGAAATTGGTCGATATTTCAGCAAAAATTCTTGCCTACAAATTTACCACATCCTGCTCTAATTCATTTTTTGTACTCAGTAAATAGCATTCACTCCTTGCTCTGATGTCGGTTTTTAGCACTAATTGAAGAACTTTATTGACCTTCAATTTTTTGAAGAAAAAGTAAGGCTATAGGTTAGGAAATTGATTCCGATATTTAGCAAAAGATTCTTGCCCAAATTTTTCTCCAACCTGTTTTAAAACACTTTTCCACTAGTCAATACTATTTGACTATCTCTCTGTGTCCGGTTTTTAGCACTATTTAAGAACTTTATGATCCTGTCAATTTCTTAACAGAAAAAGTAAGGCTACAGGCTTAGTAAATTGATCGTATTTCAGCAAGATTCTTGCCCCAATTTTTCCAACCCTGTTTAAAACACAATTTTCCAACTAGTGCAAATACTATTGACTATCTCTCTGATGTCGGTTTTTAGCACTATTAAGACTTTGTCCCTGCATTTTTGAAAAAAAGTAAAGGCTATAAGGCTTTAGCGAAATTGGTCGATATTTCAGCAAAAATTCCTTGCCCTAAAAATTATAACCACCACTGCTCTAATTACATTTTTGTACTAGTAAATAGCATTCACTCTTGCTCTGATGTCGGTTTTTAGCACTATTAAGAGCTTTATGATCCTGTCAATTTTTGAAGAAAAAGTAAGGCTATAGGCTTAGGAAATTGGTCGATATTTCAGCAAAAATTCTTGCCCTAAAATTTACCAACACTGCTCTAATTACATTTTTGTACTAGTAAATAGCATTCACTCTTGCTCTGATGTCGGTTTTTAGCACTATTAAGAACTTTATGATCCTGTCAATTTTTGAAGAAAAAGTAAGGCTATAGGCTTAGGAAATTGATCGATATTTCAGCAAAGATTCTTGCCCCAAATTTTTCCAACCCTGTTTAAAACACAATTTTCCACTAGTCAATACTATTGACTATCTCTCTGGTGTCGGTTTTTAGCACTATTAAGAACTTTATGATCCTGTCAATTTTTAAAGAAAAAGTAAGGCTACAGGCTTAGTAAATTGATCGATATTTCAGCAAAGATTCTTGCCCCAAATTTTTCCAACCCTGTTTAAAACACAATTTTCCACTAGTCAATACTATTGACTATCTCTCTGATGTCGGTTTTTAGCACTATTAAGAACTTTATGATCCTGTCAATTTTTGAAGAAAAAGTAAGGCTATAGGCTTAGGAAATTGGTCGATATTTCAGCAAAAATTCTTGCCCTAAAATTTACCAACACTGCTCTAATTACATTTTTGTACTAGTAAATAGCATTCACTCTTGCTCTGATGTCGGTTTTTAGCACTATTAAGAGCTTTATGATCCTGTCAATTTTTGAAGAAAAAGTAAGGCTATAGGCTTAGGAAATTGGTGGATATTTCAGCAAAGATTCTTGCCCTAAAATTTACCAACACTGCTCTAATTACATTTTTGTACTAGTAAATAGCATTCACTCTTGCTCTGATGTCGGTTTTTAGCACTATTAAGAGCTTTATGATCCTGTCAATTTGTAAAGAAAAAGTAAGGCTATAGGCTTAGGAAATTGGTCGATATTTCAGCAAAAATTCTTGCCCTAAAATTTACCAACACTGCTCTAATTACATTTTTGTACTAGTAAATAGCATTCACTCTTGCTCTGATGTCGGTTTTTAGCACTATTAAGAGCTTTATGATCCTGTCAATTTTTGAAGAAAAAGTAAGGCTATAGGCTTAGGAAATTGGTGGATATTTCAGCAAAGATTCTTGCCCTAAAATTTACCAACACTGCTCTAATTACATTTTTGTACTAGTAAATAGCATTCACTCTTGCTCTGATGTCGGTTTTTAGCACTATTAAGAGCTTTATGATCCTGTCAATTTGTAAAGAAAAAGTAAGGCTATAGGCTTAGGAAATTGGTCGATATTTCAGCAAAAATTCTTGCCCTAAAATTTACCAACACTGCTCTAATTACATTTTTGTACTAGTAAATAGCATTCACTCTTGCTCTGATGTCGGTTTTTAGCACTATTAAGAACTTTATGATCCTGTCAATTTGTAAAGAAAAAGTAAGGCTATAGGCTTAGTAAATTGATCGATAATTCAGCAAAGATTATTGCCCTAAAATTCACCAACACTGCTCCAAACACATTTTTGTACTAGTAAATAGCATTCACTCTTGCTCTGATGTCGGTTTTTAGCACTATTAAGAGCTTTATGATCCTGTCAATTTGTAAAGAAAAAGTAAGGCTATAGGCTTAGGAAATTGGTCGATATTTCAGCAAAGATTTTTGCCCTATAATTCACCAACACTGCTCCAAACACATTTTTGTACTAGTAAATAGCATTCACTCTCTCTCTGATGTCGGTTTTCAGCACTATTAAGAACTTTATGATCCTGTCAATTTGTAAAGAAAAAGTAAGGCTATAGGCTTAGGAAATTGGTCGATATTTCAGCAAAGATTTTTGCCCTATAATTCACCAACACTGCTCCAAACACATTTTTGTACTAGTAAATAGCATTCACTCTCTCTCTGATGTCGGTTTTCAGCACTATTAAGAACTTTATGATCCTGTCAATTTGTAAAGAAAAAGTAAGGCTATAGGCTTAGGAAATTGGTCGATATTTCAGCAAAGATTTTTGCCCTATAATTCACCAACACTGCTCCAAACACATTTTTGTACTAGTAAATAGCATTCACTCTCTCTCTGATGTCGGTTTTCAGCACTATTAAGAACTTTATGATCCTGTCAATTTTTAAAGAAAAAGTAAGGCTATAGGCTTAGGAAATTGGTGGATATTTCAGCAAAGATTTTTGCCCCAAAATTCCCCAACCCTGTTTGAAACACAATTTTCCACTAGTCAATAGTCTTCATTATCTCTTTTATGTCGGTTTACTACACTATTAAGAACTTTTTGATCCTGTCAATTTTTTAGGAGAAAGTAAGGCTATAGGCTTAGGAAATTGGTCGATATTTCAGCAAAAATTCTTGCCCTAAAATTTACCAACACTGCTCTAATTACATTTTTGTACTAGTAAATAGCATTCACTATCTCTCTGATTTCGGTTTTTAGCACTATTAAAAACTTTATGATCCTGTCAATTTTTTGGAAAAAGTAAGGTCATAGGCTTAAAAAATTGGTCGATATTTCAGCAAAGGTTCCAAAATTCCCCAACCCTGTTTAAAACACAATTTTCCACTGTCAATAATCTTCATTATCTCTCTGATGTTGATTTTTAGTACTAATAAGAACTTTATGGTCCTGTCAATTTTTTAAGAAAAAGTAAGGCTATAGGCTTAGAAAAATGGTCGGTATTTCAGCAAAAATTCTTGCCCTAATATTCACCAACACTGCTCCAAACACATTTTTGTACTAGTTAATAGCATTCACTCTCTCTCTGATGTCGGTTTTTAGCACTATTAAGAGCTTTATGATCCTGTCAATTTTCAAAGAAAAAGTAAGACTATAGGCTTAGGAAATTAGTGGATATTTCAGCAAAGATTTTTGCCCCAAAATTCCCCATCCCTGGTTAAAACACAATTTTCCACTAGTCAATAGTATTGAGTATCTCTTTTATGTCGGTCTATTACAGTATTAGGAACTTTTTGATCCTGTCAACTTTTAAAGAAAAAGTAAGGCTATAGGCTTAGTAAATTGATCGATATTTCAGCAAAGATTATTGCCCTAAAATTCACCAACACTGCTCCAAACACATTTTTGTACTAGTTAATAGCATTCACTCTCTCTCTGATGTCGGTTTTTAGCACTATTAAGAACTTTATGACCCTGTCAATTTTTAAAGAAAAAGTAAGGCTACAGGCTTAGTAAATTGATCGATAATTCAGCAAAGATTTTTGCCCTAAAATTCACCAACACTGCTCCAAACACATTTTTGTACTAGTTAATAGCATTCACTCTCTCTCTGATGTCGGTTTT